TTTTTTTTTTTTTTTTTTTTTTTTTTTTTTTTTTTTTTTTTTGAGGAAAGAAACTTTGGTGGCATCACCAACACGAAAGGTTACTTTTTTTGTTTCTTTTTCCATAAATATATTTTCTATTAAATCATAAACATGCTAAATCGGTGATCAACATTCAATATAATATCTTGCGGCGATCGGTACCTGCATCCTGGCATGATTGATGATTATGATATGCTACGACTATATATAAGGTATATAAGGTTAATTTAGAATCCAGATTGAGAGCAGATGATCGACCATCTCCGCATAGTGACGACTAACGGTGGGGTTCACTAGAATCCAAAGCATCTATTACATAACAAGAAAAATCTTATCCTGGAACCGCAAATATACAAATCAGATCAACTAATCAATTATCGTCGGGTTCTGCGTTTCTTCCCCGTGACATCATCACCATCCTTATTCTGTCGTTTCGTACCTTTGCCTCTCTGGCTAGTAGTAGTAGTAGTCGACGGCTCCACTGGACTGGTCTCGCCCTCTCTGCTTTGCGGAGACTGAGTGTGAACGGCCTCGCTTCCAGCTTCCTGCCGAAGTCGGTGAAATGCTTTTTCCATTCGGCTCTGGCCTCCGCTGCGGACACGCGGTGCAAAAGCTCCGGCCCCTTGAGGTCCCTGGAAGAAAGCCGTGATATTAGACTGCGTGCCTTCCTGTTCCCTGCGATTCATGTCGCGGATAACCGGTACTAAAACCTCATCCGTCCGTTCCTGACTCCATCCGATCGTTGCCATCAGGAAATTGCGTAGCCCATGTAAATCAGGCACACCCCATTGGAAGGGGGATGGGTCTGAATCAACCTCCGGCTCCAGGTATGCCACATCGACTCGGCCATCCGGAAAGGAGGGAGATAGGAAGATTTTCGACGCCTGTTTGTTGAACTTCTTGTAAAAAGCAGCATGTTCCCCGTCAGGCATATTCGTCCTCATTTGAACTTGGGACCACCAATCACGGAACTCTTCCAGGTTAGAAAATTCCGTGAGAATTTCCAAAGCGGTCACAGGTCCAATGCCAGGTATACCTTCGGTATAATCGCTGCCAAGTAAATGGGCAAAACTGATGAGTTTCCTTCGATGGAGAGAGTACTCTTTCTCCAAGTCGGAAGTAAGGTAGCATTCGACGAACTTTCCTTGGTTGAACATGTTCTTATAGACACGTGTGCCCCCAAATAAAAAGATATCGCTATCGTCAGTAATGATGCCATCAACAAGGCCCAATGCCACCAGCTCCGCACATTGAGCCTCCGCCTCCATTGGCGCGGTAATGTACGGTAAGCCAAATAGCGTCAGGAGCTGCTGACACTCAGAGATCATAATTTGTGACACCTCATCCGCATCTCTGCGATCCTTCTTCTGTTGGGATCGCAACTGTCTGAGTTCCTGCTCGTAATCAAATGCATTCCCGACGTGCGGCGTAGAGTTCAAAGTAGCTGCAAACCGAACGTGCTCTTCACCTTCGGCTGCAAGCTGTCGCATTAATTCCTCATCTTCGGGGTCCGAAAAGCCATCTTCTTCCTCAATGAGATTTACAGGCTCGTCAACCTGATGACTCTGTGGTCTCATCTCAGGAACAATAGCACAGGTTGCCGACTCTTGTGGATGTAGTTGACCATCTTCGAACTCGGGAGATGGCGATGGCTGAGTACGTAGCAAATTCGCCTGATTATCATTGTTGGGCGCTGTACCAGGAGGATGTCGCTCATGGACTGTCTCGTCTGCAGTAGAATCTTTTACAGGGATGTCGGCAGATTCAGTAACTGCCGAAGAAATCTCACGGGCCGCAACAGGGACGTCTTTTGTTGGAACCTCCGTCTGATCTGAGATCTCTGGAGCCCGATGGTGTTTGCGCTCCTCAGAATCTGCTTCCAAGTCAATCACCTCATTCGGCCCCGGAAGCTTATCAACATCAATGATCTTGGGGGACTGATGGTTTTGAAGGAACACGTGATCTGGAATCATGGCACTATCCTGATAATTCTCCAATGACTGATCAGCACTCTCTGTCATAAATTCAGCATTTGAGTTCCCTCCAGCAAACCAAGGTGGCAATGGGCATTTGGCGTTTTCCTTATTTGCTGGTCTTTTCTCAAAGCCACCGGCTTGCTGATCGAGCTCTTCTTGTGGGGGTTTCTTCGTCTTGAAAGCTTTATCCAGCTTGATAGATTCAAAAGGCAGTGGTCCGTCGAAAGGATGATCAGAGATTGGGTTTTGCAAGGCGGTGTTCGATGACTCTTTCTTTGTCCTCTTCGACTGTGCTAAAACAGCTGCAAAGTCTAGGCCATCATCATCACTATCAGGACTAATACTTGGTGGTGATTCTTTAGTGATTGCTAGGGGAGCATTGCTGCGGTTGATCTGAATCTCTGGCATGTCGTTGTCGTACTGATCTAGAGGAGATGTGGCTCTTAGCGACATTTCTATCGCCTTCTGAAGATCTTCATCCTCATTCTCTCCATCACCCTCAAATACATCATTAATAGTACGGCGTCGCCTTTCGTGCTCATCATCTTGTACGAATAGAGAATCATCTCCAAGGCTCTGTGGCAAGAGAGCCTGCTTTTGCTGTTTGATTGAGGTATCGAAGACGCCTTCTCGCAGGAACTCAAGTTTGGGGAGTCTGTTGAGTCCTTCGATGGGCACATCCTCAAACCCTCCATCGTCATCGGATTCTTCGTCCATTCCTGGAAGGATTTCTTGCATGCCATATTGGTCAACATCAATGGGTTTATGCTCCTGGCCTTCGTCCTTACTACCCACGACACCCAACACCCAGCCTCCTTCCACAGCATTGTCTTTGACCAACACGTACTCCTTACCACGTTCCCCAGCAATCCGCTGGCCTGAATTATAAAAAGCATCTTCACCATTCATGCCGTTTATATTCATCAGACGCTGAGTAAGGTCATTCCTTTCCTTTACCCTCTCGATTTGAAATTTCGAGAAGGCCATGCGGTCTGGAAACATGTTATCAAGCTGCTCCTTAGAATAGCCCATGCGCAGTCGGCTCCGTAGTCGCGCTGCATTCAAGATATTATATCGATCCGTAGCAGGAAGGCTAATAAAAAAAGGACTGTCGAAATCAATCTTGGAAAAGTCGTATAGGTTAATATCTTCACCTCTGTAAAACTGCCTCGCATATTCCTCAAGTTCCTCGCGAGACATAATCCGCGGATCATTCGGAGCTCCCATCTCTTCCAGCGAGACATGTAAATCTGGAAGATGGTAGGCATCCTTCTTTCTGAAGGAACGGGCTTGCCGCTTCTCTTTCTCCGTCATGCCGGCGTCTTCGACATATACCGGATTGTCTGGGACATCCTCGTCCTCCCGACGTGCTTCATTCTTGCGTCTGGCTGCCTCTTCTTCTGCAGTTCTTTGTAACTGTACTGCAAGCAACTTTCCAGCAGTTCGCACGGCGTCCTCTCTGCGACCCTCCCGCCTCTTCTTCCTACCAGCTATTGTCTGTCTTTTCAGAATTGGTGCACCACCATCAAACACAAAGACTGGCTTGATTCCAAAATAAAGCAGCTTGCAGATCCGACGGAAGAAGCCCACGATATGGGAATTACGAAGAGCGTTCCCTTCTTGATCACGTACAGCCTTCAAAAATTGATATATCCAGATCGAGGCATCAACAGCCAAGCGTTTCCTATTCAATGTCTCTAATTTTATAGGCCGCGCACAAGGTTGCAAGACGGTCCAAAGCCCATGGACACCCATGCTGACCTAGTAGGAATAGCAAAACTAAGTTGCATCATAATACTTAGATGATAGCAAACGCGTGGACCGGGACGTGAGCGGCGCACGCGATTTCAGAGTTGAAAATATATAGTGAGCCCAACCGGTTGGACCTCTCGACGCTGCGAGAGTTGGGACTTGGTAGGCACCTTCCTCGAGCTCGTGTCGCCACTTATTCAACAAGAGCACCGCGATGTCACGTGCGCCAATTATGCCTGTTATGGAAAATGCCTAAGGCATTAGAGGAGGAAAGGATTCTTACATAATCACTCTCGCTATCGATAGAAATTCTGGAATTTTGGGAAATGATAATCGAGGTATGTGGGGAAATGCTGCTGTACAAAATTGTCCGTGAGGAAGCGATTCGTTCAAAACTCCGCGGGTCTGCTAACTAATGTCTTGTCTCCTGCATCAATGCATTCATCGCTTGAGGTTTGTGATCAATTTATGTTCAATATCCAAACGATGTAACTGCTAATCCAATCCTTAGCACATTGATGTCTGCCTCCCTGTAACTGCACTGGAAGCATTTAATCTGGGAGATGCAAGACTTATTCTGCAAGGACAAGGGCCATACTCTCGGTTGATTGATGACGAGAGTGGAAAAATATTGGCCGAACTAAAAACTTTCAAGCGGAACAATATCCATGGATTCATAGTTCTGAGCCAAGAGCAAAATGCGGCCAAAACATATGCGCAACTTCTGGCCTGGGGAGGTGAATCATTGAGAGTTATCGACTTTTATCTTGGTCAGAATGGGGCCACTGAAAGCTCCGATACTTCCTTGCTTCCAGCGAGTGCGGAATATCTAGCACCAGATTGGATACTGGCTGGGTGTGCGCCTTACTCCATAAACGGAGCCGACAGGGCGTACATGGTGACTGCCCACAATAGTCTCCTTGGACTTTATGTGGTGGATGGAGGTTCTTCGATTTATGCAAAATCCATTCATCTTCGACAGCTCGTGGCTGGAGTCAAGTCTATTCTTTATTCAGCTGATACTATATCATTTTCGGCAACGCATGTGCTGATTGCTGCGGGAACTGTCTTTGGCGAGGTGATAGTCTGGTCCTGCTTCCTAGACGAAAATGTGCATCTCAACCCCACTGCTGTTGGTTCCATTCATCACTTCTTCACGGGTCACGAGGGATCTGTGTTCGGGGTTCGGATATCTCCTGCAATTGCCTCTCTACCAGGCCGCTCTAGCGGACGGTTACTGGCGAGCTGCAGCGACGATAGAACAGTTAGAATATGGGATATTTCAGATTGTGAGCATGCATCCCCTCAAGATCCGTCAGCCTATTTGACGGATGGCTTTGAGCTTCGAAGCACGGGTTTTGGTGGAGTGACAACTGGCGAGGGCCTCAGTGTGGAATCCTGCATTGCAAGCGCTTTTGGTCACAAAGCTCGGATATGGAGTGTACATTTCATGCCTACAAAAGCTAGAGATCAGTCCAAGCTGAGCCTTCTGTCACGTGGTGAGGATGCAACTTGTATAGTGTGGAACCTCAGCTGGGAACCATCCTTATTGCCAAGGTCGAAGTTTAGTCTAGGTCAAATCTCTTCCTGGCATAACCATGCCGGAAAGCATATATGGTCTCTATGCATGCGCAGCGCCCCTGATAATACAACGGTGTATACTGGTGGTGCCGATGGCGCGGTGAAAAGCTTCAAAGTTGAGGTGGATGAAGAGGGCGCGGTTGTGTTGCCGAACAGAAATAATAGCATTACTGCCTCGGCCGGCCCTGGAATATTTCAATCTAGGGTCGATAAATCAGTTCGGGCATTCGCATTTGTTACTCCAGATCATTTCCTCACAACTACCACGCGTGGCGAGGTGCAGATTTGTTGGGTTGGCTCTGAAGCCTCAACCGAACAAATAATTCTCAAGGAAACGCTCTTCGTTGAAGAAGATCTTTCATCTTATTGTGCCATAGCTTCTCTGCCACAGCGCGGCATTGTGGTTTTAGGCAACGCACAGGGGTTGATTCGATTGTACAATCATAATACGAAGTCACTCGTCAGAATAGTTGAATCTGGCCCCAGGCCACTCGTACTTTACGCCCTTGATTATACCCATGGCATCACTGGCTCACCTGAGGCTCTGTTCTTTATCACGTCTCACCAACAACAAGACCATTTGAATTTATTCGTGGTCTCATTATCAGAAGGCATGGTGTCACGAATTGATAGCATAACGCTGGCACTTCCCTACAGTTTTGGTGTGACCTGTGCATCCTTGGTTTGTGGCAACCAGTATGTGGCTCTAGGAAACACACACGGTTCACTTGTCCTATATCGCGTTGCAAGCAGGGAGCCTATCCAGCAACCGTTCTGGAATTGTAAAGTCCACTCTCGGGAGGGTATCAGTCATATATCGTCGTTCTCCTCGCTTTATGGAGAAATTGGCACATCTTATAATTATTTCTTGACTTGCGGTCGATCCGGAGTCTACTGTATCCACGAGGTGGGAGCCGGGGGAGATTCGCGGAACTCATCCACCGTCCGGACAATCCACCGCTCTAGTACTACCCGGACTATTGAAATAGAGGGCGCTTACATCGATAGACGGTCGAAGGATCTTATGTTATATGGATTTCATGGCAAAGAGTTCGTTTTATGGAATGAGACGACGCAATCTGAGGTTGTCAGACGTTTATGTGGTGGAGCACATCGGAGATGGGCTTTTCAGCCCAACTCAGAGACATCTGGGGCTGGCTTGTTCATATGGATTCAAAAGAACCTTAATGTCCTTCAAACCCAGGGTGATGCTGTCCGTACCTTGCGTGCTGGGGGCCATGGAAGAGAGATCAAGGCCATGGATGTGACCCAGACCGCAGGTAGATCTCTCTTTGCAACTGGAGCGGAAGATACACTTTTACGTATATCTACACCGGCAAGGCCAAACGAAGAAAACAAGTGGGGTGCTTTTAAATGTTTGCGGGTGTTGAAAAAGCATCAGGTCGGATTGCAGCAAGTGCGCTGGTCAAAGAATGGGAACTACCTCTTTACAAGCGGTGGGAGCGAAGAATTCATTGTCTGGCAGATTCGTTCGATTCCCTTGTTTGGACTTGCCACAAATGCAGTAGCCTCCGCCAGGGAAGATCCTTACTCTGACCTTCGAGTGACCAGTTTTGATGTACTAGAAGTGGACGAGAACAAATCGGATGGCAGCTTTTTGTTCTGCCTGGTATATTCTAACTCCACGCTCAAGGTAAGAAGATCTTGTGGGCTTTGCTTGCTTGGTTCATGCTAAATCTTGTAGATCTTCCACTTTTCTTCGACAGTCGACGGCGGGATTTTTACCTTACTGGCTGAAGGCACTTATACAAGTAATTGCCTCACCGAAGCATGCTTCCTGCTACGTGGTTCTTCTCTAAGCCTGTTAACTGCCTCAACAGATGGGTATTTTACGCTTTGGAACTTAACCTCCATCCTGGAGCCTTACTACAGCATATCTTCCTCTCTGCATTTGAAACAACCCATTGACACGTTTTCGATTCTCCCTGAAAACATCCCATGTGAAAACAGATACCAGACCCATTCTAACAGTATCAAATGTCTGGAACTTACTCATATATCGGATGCGGCTTCTCTTGTTATTGCTGCAGGTGATGACAACGCACTGACACTCTCCCTTCTGAACACAAACTTCACCACGGGCATCGAAGCTGGCGACGCAACCACCGTCACGGTTCCAGACGCCCATGCAGCATGCATCACAACGGGCAAGATACTCGAACAACGCCAGTATCAGGATAAGGGAATAACGCAGGTCATCATTGCTACTTCCGGGAATGACCATCGAGTCAAGATTTGGTGCATCGAAGTAGATGCTAAGAAGTCTGGAGTGGATGCGATTCAGGTGCAAATGGTAGTAGATAGGTACAGCTGTGTAGCAGACATATCATCTCTGGGCTTGATCCGCGAAGAGCTTGGAGAGACAAAGCTGCTTGTCTGTGGTGTTGGCATGGAAGTGCTAGGTATCCAACTGCATTAGCTTGGTGCATCTTTCTGTTATTATATGATATCCTTAGGGATTGACCGCAGAATACCTAGAGTTTTCAATGCAAAACAATCTGGTAGTTAAGTATACCTCTAATTTTAGGATAATTTCAACCTAAATAATAATAATGTAAAGTGATCCTGTGAATTTATGTGACAACAAGAATAAGCACGCCGAGAACACATTTATGTCGCCGCAGCGATAGAAGTATATAGACACAAACATGTTTTGAATTCATTCTCCTGCTTCTTCCATTTCACTTTCACACCACCAACACAGCCCAACCTAGAGTCAAGATGCAGTTCCTTGGTCTGAGGCAGAAATACCGTGCATTATGTATGGGGGTCATTGAACGTTGGGATGTGTTCAAGCAAGCATTTCATCAGGTCTTTACCCGTGAACTTGTGAACCCTACTATTTCGGTGGTTGGCATTGGGACTTACTACGGGGCCACTATTCTTCAACATGACTTCCTTGAAGATCTCCTAGCTCGCCATTGTCATCATTCTCCTGTGTAAGCTAATATCTGGTCACTCCTTGCTTTCTGTAGTCTCTAGCTAAGCTCACTATCCAGGGTTATGAAGACATGGAGTCTTATCGAAAGGTCTGGTATTAAACACTTGTGCAGTGTTCTTCCCCTAGATGATCCAATCTGGCACCAGCAAGCATTACCCACAATCGCCGATACCGATGCTCTGTTCAAGAGACACGCACTTCCACTCGTGGCCAGCGCTGCAAGATATGCTATTTCGGAATGGGGCGGCTCTGTTGAAGCCATAACCCATGTTGTAGCGGTGACTTGTACCAATACGGCCAACCCTGGCTTCGACATCACCCTATGTAGTACCCTGGGTCTACCTCCCACAGTCCACCGCACTCTCCTACACGGTCTCGGCTGTGCAGGTGGCATAGCAGCTCTGCGTACTGCCTATTATCTAGTCCTTGGAGCGGCATTTCAAGGCCAACCGGCTCGCGCTCTGGTCGTTTCATGCGACCTACCGACTATCTTTGCTAGAGCAGAGCTGCACCGCATCAATTTGGACAAAGAAGTGGGATTCGGCTTGTCACGCTTCAGTGACGGTGCGTCCGCAATGATGGTCACTAACTGGCTAGATACGAAAGTCGCCGAGAGAGCTGCTATTTGGGATTTACTCGGTTTTCGAAGCGTGATCATAGACGAGTCTGAGGGATACAGTGAGCTTAATATTGGACCGCATGGTGAGTGCTACTTCAGCTTCTAGTTATACGTACCTACTTTTCGGCTTTACCAATCCTAACTCCAGCTCTATCTTTTGAATCGATCGTGTTGCTAACCCAAACACACTATATAAAGGGTACAAACCGACTATATCGGCCTTTATCCCTAAGCTCGTCTCCTCTGAATTGTTCCCCAACTTCACTGCGCTTGTCAACTCGATTCCATGTCTGTGCTCTGATCCGTACAGCAACTTACCGGACTGTTACAACTGGGCAGTTGATTTCCCAAGCTGTTCTTCCTTGAGTTTTGCCCAAAGAGCATTGGACTTGAAGAGGCACAACACGGTCGATAGCTACACGGTGTACAAGTCTCGGGGAAGTACAATCTCCTCCACTGTTTTGAACATACTCGATCATATGAGAAGCCAGAGTTATGTCAATGAAGGTGGCTCCCGCAGACGCGGTAAAGTCATAGCCTTGGCAATTGGACCGGGAGTCATCATGGAAATGGCGGTGCTTCGGAAGGTAACTCGGGACAACCTGCATTATTCGGCGCTTTGGTGTGAGTGATAATTGTGCAGTGATTATTAAAGCAACCTCTATGGGAGTGGTTTTCTTAGTTTCCCGCTTGAAAGCCGGTCCAGATGTTTTGCATTAAACTAGGGCTATCCTAAGTAGTAGTAGTAGTAGTAGTAGTAGTAGTAGTAGTAGTAGTAGTAGTAGTAGTAGTAGTTATAGTAGTAGTCACTACTAGTTTGTCAAATTCTATTCAATCAGTTCCAACCCTTACTCCTTCCCCGCACAATGATGGGGTTCTTTTCTAACCCACCATTTATATTCTGCAGTAGTCAAAAGGATCGCTAGGTCCAACAATTCGATAAATTAGGGTCATGAAGCAAGTTAACGCCCGTGCCCAAAACGGCATAGGGTCCGAACCCCGCCGGCAGTTGGAGCTACATAAACCGTGTTGCTGTCAAGGATTGGGATCTTCACCCCCAATTTCCCCTCAGGGTAAAAAAAGATATAGTATCACGGTGGAATTGGTTCCGGTACCAGAGATATTTATGATCGAAATCTCGGGTAAATGGAGGTTTGGACCTAACCTGGCCCCAAGTCGCCGAGAGACTTCCCCCCAGTCTGTGCAGAACGGGGAAGAGCTAACACCCTTCAAACATGCATCATCTAGTCCTTGTTGATCGATTGAGTGTCCCTGTGACGTCTTTTAGCAGAATGTAAGCCATACCGGACCGCGGATATATATATATATATATATATCTCGACAAAAGCATAGATATCATCCTGCAAGACGGAGGGTCATTTCGATGCGCCAGTGAGATTGACAGACAAGTATCTTTTCTAACACATGCTCCACGATGAAGTTTCTCACTGCCTGCTTCATGGCAAGCGCCATCTCCACAGTTCCTGCTCGGCCGTGGCCGAGGGCTGCGGACACCACTTATTTCTTCACATTGTATGGAGATTCTCACAATCCATACGCGGTCCAGTCAAAGCGACTAATCATATACACACAGTGGTAACTCATACACGCAAACCGGCTTCAGCACTATGGGCGAACAGCCGTCTCCTTCGAATCCCATGGGAAACCCCGCCCTTGGTGAGCGTTCAACAGATATAATGATCTCACTGTCTTTATACTGACGTAAGACTAGGAAGTGGTACCACCACTGGTGGTAAGAACTGGGTGGGATATCTGACGACGGCGGAGAATGCGTCCCTTATCCTTTCATACAATCTGGCCGTGGGTGGCGCCAGCATTGATAATTCTCTCGTCCAGGGCTCTACCAACGTCGACCTTGCTTCTCAAGTGGAACTCTTCGGCGAAATATACAGTAGAAAACCGGCTTCTGCGCCTTGGACGGCGGAAAATGCCGTTTTCGGGTTCTGGATAGGGATTAATGAGTATGCCCTGGAGTTAACGTGAAACCCTTTGAAACAGAAAAAGTACTTACTGCCGGGCTTAGTATCGGGAATGCTTTCTATAACACCGATGCCGACACGTTCACCCCCAAGCTGATCGCACGACTTGCATCCCTTGTGGAACAGATCTACAATGCAGGGGGCCGCAAGTTCCTTTTCCTCAATGTACCTCCTACGAGTCGAAGCCCCATGTTTATAAATCAGGGAGAGGCTACTGTTAAGCAGCATGCGGCATATTTAGCCGTTTACAACAATAACCTTGAGTCCATGGTTGATGAGTTCAAAGCAAACCACACGGACGTAAGTACATACAGACGCGGGTGTACTGTTATCATTTAGTGACTGACCCGATTGCTAAAGGTTACTGTCGTGTACTACGACTCTTGGTCATTCATGACGAAGATCCTTGATAGCCCAACAGACTACGGATTCCCTGATGCTGCCTGTATCAACGACGACGGCTCCTCCTGTATCTGGTGGAACGATTATCATCCTTCTGCGAAGTATCAGCAGCTCCAGGCGGAGGACATGAAGCAGGGGCTGCAGCCTTTGGGGGCATGGTAGTTGAGGTGAATACTGGGGTACAAATATACCTAGTTACATTAATTCTCACTGGTGGTGTAAATAACGAGTTCGTTCGATACCATCGCAGGAGAGGACGAATACCTCACGATATGTAGTGGTCGTTATTTAATAATCTAAGCGGTATAATATAGGTGGTAACCTCACCCTAGGTTCTCTCCAGCGGAAGTCATACGATTAATTTCTGCATCTTCTCGTTTCATGTCGATTCAGAGATATCGTCACCGTGCATATATATGGTCAAAGACCATTCCCAGGGCGTCACGGACTACTTGCAAAGACAACAATCCCCGCATCTGAACTAATTAGCTTTCTTACGTGATCGACCGCTGTCACAAGATTTATCTCCGTTCTCGTTTCACTCAAGAAGCCAAGACGGTAAAAAAGGAACACCTGGAAATAATATCTTCGAACTCTGTCCCCGGATAATTCTCATGATTGATCCACCCCACAATCAATTGAACGTGGGGATTATTTTCCTCAATAACCGTAATGTCAACGACAATTCTGCTCTCCGGCCCGAAACCCCGGCATTTGTTGGCTTCGTTCTTGATCTGCTTATTTCACATCTAGAAATCCACGAATCAGGTGATGCTGTCTGTGGTGGATGGAAGAAGATCCGTTGCGGTGCGATGGATTTTTGTCTGTCCCGGATTCAACTGAGAAGACTGCTCAGATATTCGGATATAAAAGCCTTACCAGTTCCCCTTCACCATGAAGCATCGGTAAACAAGCAGTTGGCCTGTTTTCAATTCAATCGTTCTTTGTTCTTCTCCTTGTCCTACATTGAATTATTTGTCTCATTCTGAGCTCTCATTACGATGAGATTCCGTAACCTCTTCTTTGCTGCCGTAGCTGGCTCTGCGGTTGCTGCTCCTCTGGCTAAGGAGCAGAAGAGGAGGGATCCCGTTTTCCAATGTTCGTTGTTTCGTTATTCTTATCCTTCCTACTATCATGTAATAAATAGCACAGGGTTAATCTTATATTATAGGGCTTGGCGCTAACGAGTCGGGTGCTGAATTCGGCGAAAACAGTCTGCCCGGCGTATGGGTGTGTAGTTTCGAATAAGCGATAGTTCCTAATGAGATGCTCGTTCAGAAACTGACTATAATTCCTGCAGGGCAAGGATTACATTTTCCCTGACATCGAGGCCATTACCACCCTGATTGGTAAGGGGATGAACATATTCCGTATACAATTCAAGATGGAGAGATTGGTTCCAAACTCGATAACGGGTCCGTATGATGAGGCCTATTTGAAGAATTTGACGTCGGTAAGCTTTTGATTGAGTTGAAGATGCAGGCTTCGAGTACTGACGATAATTGCAGGTGGTGAACGCCGTCACCAAGGCCGGTGCCCACGCTATCTTGGATCCCCACAACTATGGTAGATTGTGAGTACCTTCTCTAAATGCCTTGCCCTGCCTTTTGGTGCAGGATATGCTGGGTATACTCTCTAACCCTTCCCCTACAGTAATGGCCAGGTCATGTCCAGTGCATCCGACTTCCAGACATTCTGGAAAAACCTTGCAGGACAGTTCAAGAGCAACTCTTTGGTTATCTTCGATACCAGTAAGTTGGCATACTCGGTCTATCGTCACTGTCATTATGATTTAGATCCTAACAATACGATCCGCAGACAATGAATACCATGACATGGACCAGAGCCTGGTCTTCAATCTCAACCAAGCAGCTATTGACGGGATCCGAGAGGCGGGCGCCACGGAGCAATACATTTTCGTTGAGGGCAACTCATGGACCGGTGCCTGGACCTGGACCGATGTGAACGATAATATGAAGAACCTGAAGGATTCCCAGGACAAGATCATCTACCAGATGCACCAGTATCTGGACTCAGATGGATCTGGTACCTCCGAGACCTGTGTTTCTGGCACGATTGGCAAGGAGCGTGTCACCAGCGCTACCCAGTGGCTCAAGGACAACAAGAAGATTGGCATCATCGGCGAGTTTGCGGGTGGACACAACGATCAGTGTAAAACCGCCCTGAAGGGATTGCTGGATCATCTGGCTGAGAATACCGACGTGTGGAAGGGTGCTCTTTGGTGGGCAGCTGGCCCATGGTGGGGAGATTATATGTACAGCATTGAGCCTCCAAATGGCGTTGCGTACACGGGGATGTTGGACGTTCTACAGCCATACCTTGGGTAGAGAGCACTGTGAGGGATTGTTGGGGTTGGGGGGGGGGGGGGGGGAAAGGGAATGAGATGAAATTTGGTTGCCTTTCTTGGCAATATTTGGAGATTTCAGGATGTTTTCTGAACTGTGAGGTCTAGGCCAAATATGGGCAGAGTTGGTAGCCTGTCTATACGTAAATTACTCTCAATCTATTCTACGGTATGGATAACATTAGTCGTAGGGCTTTCGAGGGCTTTGAGAGAGCACAGCCCCGGTAAGGTAGGCTAACCCTAAGGGGGAATTTTGGAGGCCAAGCCCATGTTTTGCGGGACATGGATTCGCTCCACTATTCCGGCAGTGTCGTTTAAATTGAAGATGCCTAAATCTACTCCATAACCTTGAACCATGCATGCATCTATTACATGCCCACATATGGAGCTGTAATCTCAATCTACTACTGTATCACCTACGAATATTCTGTAGAAGCAATGCATATATACTCTGTACTCCGTAGATATTTCACACAAAATGAATCCCCTTGTTACAGAAAATCTCCGGGAAAGAAAAAAATTATTCATAATTTCATCTATTGGGAGGCTTTTGTTAGATAGTGGAACGGAAGGATTCTGGTGCTTTACCCGGTTGGGGATTGGTTGACTACCTAGGTCTTTGTTTGCCTTAGGCAGTAGATACTTAGCATGTACCCGACGGTACTTAGTAGAGATGGAATTGGGAATAGGAAGGTGAATTCTAAGTTACACTGCCAAGCTTTAAATGGTGAAGCCTGCCTGCGCCTTCGAATAGAGTACGTGGTGGATTTGACTGACACAGTCTATAAGAATCGTTATTTTAATACCATGTTTTGGTTCCACCAAAAAGTTTTAATTTGATAACCTTAATACCTAGAGCGGCAGATACCTTACCATGTTGGTATAGTGGAATCTGCAGATTGAAGAAGGAAAATAATAAAATAGTCATATATGTATCACATTATCAATACGATACGATCAGTTGAGTTGAAAAAAAAAAAAAAAAAATTGGCTAAGAGGAGAGACGCGTATCACTCCAGCCACTTATGACGTGGCGGTAGGGCTGTTGTGTCTACTCTTTGGGGTTAGCGTCATACGACTGGTCCCGTTTGAATCGTATGGTAAATAACGATCCTGTAGTTGCGGTGGAAACCTCCGTGAATTTATAGAAACAGAGCGTGGCGTAGCCCTCCAGTCCCTCCCCTGATTGGCTCGACGATCTAACGAGAGAAAAACTTACCAAACCTGCGCCTCCCCAAAAAGTAAAGTTGATGGCCTGGGGCCGTGACGATCATTCGGGCTGCTCATCTTAAAAACAACACAAGTCTCCCGTCTGACTGTGTGATCATTCTCTTCCTGCCTTCTCATTTTATATCTCGATCTCAATTCACCTGTTTTTCTCTCTTCCTTTCTCTTTCTCTCTGCCCATCTTCCTTATCTCGACAGGATAAAAGCAAAACAAACCCAAATAAATTAGCCATCCATCACAGATATCAAAACAACGAACTAAACAACCATCCTCCATCACAACCGTCATCATGGGTAAAGGCGGTCGAGTTTTGTGTATTATCACACCATATGCACTCACCATCGCATCGTTAGTATGCATCATCATCGTCGGGCTGGGCTGCACAAATTCCAGCTCTAGCACGTTGAACGATCTCTACTTCTTCCGGGTAAGCACATACTCACCCCTCCCTCACTTCGTGCGTCATCCACATACTAATAATAGTACCTTTAAAGGCCAATATTCAAAATATGACAACAACTTCATCGTCAAAAAACAAAGTATCCCAAGCTCTTAGCGATGCCGGTGTGACAGTTTCAGATGGAGATATCACGGCTGCCCTGGAACAGGTCCAGAAACAGTTTGACATCAAGGACTTCTACAACGTAGGTCTGTGGGGCTACTGTGAAGGAAACATCAACGACAACAAATTCAATATCTCGGATTGCTCGAAACCTAAGGCGGAGTTCTGGTTCAACCCCATCGAGGTCTGGAATCTGAAGGAGACCGGACTGGAAAATGGCCTCCCTAGTGGTATGCGCAAGTCTTTGAACCTCTACAAGAACGTTTCCAAGTGGATGTTCATCGCGTACATCGTCGCCTTTGTCGCCACCGTTGTCGAGTTGGTCGTTGGTATCTTTGCGATCTGCAGCCGCTGGGGTAGTTGCGTCACCACCCTTGTCTCTGGTGTATGTTGAATCCCCTACTACCATTTTCATTGGTTTCGACAAATGCTAACCCTCAGGTAGGTTGCTTTCCTTTTCACTGCCGCAGCCTCCGTTACTGCTACGGCCATGTTCGCTACCGTCACTGGTGCTTTCAACGAGAACCTGAAGAACTATGGTATGCACGGTAGCATGGGAAAGAACATCTACGTTACCACCTGGTTGGCTGTCGCCTTCTCTCTGGGAGCTGCTCTGTTCTGGATGCTGAGCACCTGCTGCTGCTCCGGCCGCTCTCCCTACAACCATAAGAACACGCCCCGCGGTGTCACTGCCGAGAAGACCCCTTACACCTATGAACCTCTTGGTCCTCAGGGCAACCAGAACACTTCTTACAACACCTCTTACCCACCACCCCCTCCTCCCGCTCAGAACCGGACAAACGCCTACGAACCATTCCGACACGTCTAAGCAATCCTGTGGATCAGGGATTTGATCATAAATCATTTTAAAAGAAAAAATCACATGGTCACTGACCAATGACACCCCGATGATCCTCACTTATGAACATCATGCTCCTTTGCATCATGAATCTTTTTCTTGGCACTTGTATTGTACTTCTGTGTTTTATTATTTAGCTGGGTGGATAGTTCTCGGCTTTTTATTTTTCATTTAATCTTCGATGATATTTCCTTGGAAATTTACCATGGATATAGATTGATGTCTATGACATAGATACCCTCCTTGAATCGAATTGTTCATTCTGCAATGATTATTCGCCGTGTTGTAGACCATAATACTCTCTTACGCTAATTGATAGGTATTCAGTGATACTACTAAGTAGTACGGACTTGAAACCTGTCATAAAACTTGCATTGTTTAATATTGCATACCAGCCACGAATCCACCGGTCCTCGTTGGTACAGAATATAAATACAGGGAAATCGACTTCTCCCCACCATCACCCACATCAATCTCTAAATCATGAAGATCAAGACACAAACGCCATACAACAGGGATATTACGTGAAACACATCATGAACTAGACCTGCCATACAAGTGAGGTGAGAATGAAAAGTCGGTACGGGAATATTTGGACCGAAATAAATATGAAAAAGCAGAAATAGGGTGGAGGGGGACCCCGAATAGGTAGGCGTCTTTGGCGCTTTGCACGATAAAATTCATTCAGGAGGATTGGAATCATAAGGTCGCTGAGGTACTCCCTTATCATCTATAGGAACACGTGCCCAATTGCGACGAGATTTGCGTTCCACGAAGGCGTTCTGGTCTGCCTGTGCCCATCTTTTGAAGGGTGTATTGGGGCCGTCACACCAGTTGGGGACGGTTGGGAAGAGATGTCGAAGGGAGAGAAACCAGTTTTCGTTGGGACTTTCTGCTTCGCTCGGTGCTCCAGTCTCATTGTCTGAAAGGGGCGCATCAGGAGCCGTGGAGGGTTCTTCATCCCCGAGTTCAATGCTGGCTGTTTCGTGCGTTTCGTTCATTAACTCGTATTCCTCACTATTGGTTTCGCTTTCTACAATAACGGACTCCTTATCATTTGCGAGGTCCCTCAGTGTGCTGAGCTGGGTGGTCATCTCCATGTGTAACTGTTCTTCAGTTTCAGAGACTTGTTCTTCGGTATCTGAATGCTGTCTCTCGGTTTCTACTTGCTGCTCCTCGGCTGCTAATTGCTCTGCCGCGGCCTCTGGCAGTTGTTCCTTGGCCTCTATATCATGCTCTCCAACCTGGGGATTATGAACATCGGCAGGTGTACGCAACAAAGTCTTAGTATGCGGAGTAGGGGATGACATAGTAAACGACATCCTATCAACATTGGTGTCAGACTGGGCGCTTTGCTGCGTTGCGGGTCCAAGGGAGTGTGCGTGAAAGTTAGAAAACTTGTCCACAAGGCTGGCTGTAAACGAGGTTTCTGTTGCATTTTGTCTTCGAAATGGACTCATACTCGCATCTGACCTGCTCGTAAGTACGTTCTGTGCCGCAACTACTTTGATTCCTTCTGCGGTAAGACTTCGTTTCTTGTGAGTTGGTTTGGAAAAGTGCAATGTGAAATAATCTTCGTACACCAACGACTTCGTCTCCGAAGAAAGACATTGCTCTAGGTAATGTGGATAGTCTTCCAGGTGCATGATAACAAAACTGTCCCAGAGGAAAGATCGCTGCAGGCTTCCTTTGTCACGTAGAGTCTGCAACATAGCACACAGTTTCTTGAAGTGTAGAAAATCTCCAGAATAGCTTGGATAATCATTTCGGAACTTCTCATATACCCGCTGCGCCTCAAAGTGCTCCGCGGAGTAGCGAATATAATCCTCCCGACGAGAAACTACAACGGGCGCTGATCTGCGTACACCGATAGTAGACATATTGGTGTTTACGCTTCGCATGAACTTATACCGTTTCGACGAGGGTGGCTCTTCAAGACCAATATCAGACGCAGCGCGCTTTAAAGGTGATATCTGACTTTGCTCAACAGGCGTGCCACGCGCCACTCCCTGACTTAGCTCTATGTCCGGTTCGTTCCCCTCGAAGCCCATAGAAGATAGTACCTCATCGTGCGACGGAAATGGCTTTGAGTCATGCGATTCGAGTGTAGACATAGGTATAGAAGCATTTGAGACATGCGCCTTCGGCGCCGACGAGTCAAAGACCAAGGCAGTGTGGGAGTCAGGGGTTGCATCTTGCACCAACCAGTCGCCGTTACTCGGCTGAGTCTCAAGGATTTCATTATCGTTGGACTCCTCATCGTCATTGGTCCTTGAGATGTCGGTCGTCTTAGTGTCTTTTGTGTCGCCGTCGTTACTTGCGTATGTGTTGAAGATGCGTGATTGAGATGACGATTTGGCTACCTGGGATGATAACTGTTCCGGGTGCTTTGCCTCTAGAACAGCCTTGTTCTGGCCTAGGCTTGTGGAACGTAAATGATTGAGGTTAGCTATGGGTGTCTCTAGAACTTGTACATGCCCCCGTATTATAGGGAGTGAGGACCCAGAGCTGATGAGTCCTTGCTCCGATTGGTTGGTAAAGTTTGATAGTTGTGACCCTCCCAATGGACAGGGAACGGATGTGTCCATGATTGAATCCTCGCTTTCTGCATCAGAGTGTGCTTGACAACCAAGCTCGGAAGCTCTAGTATCATTATGATCTGGCTCAAAGATCTGCTGCTTGTTTGCAAGTCGATCGTTCTCAGACGGCATGTCTGCGATCGGGTCACCCTGCTGAATTTTGCTTACTAGAACTGTACCATCATCCCCTTGTTGCTGGTCTTCTCGTGCAATGTCTGATCTTGTAACATGTAAGCCCTTGCCTTTCTTTGCCGGCCCCCGAGTCACAGGGCTACTGTCTACCGGAAGTTCGCGAAGAGGACGGGAAACACGCTCCGGAGAGCTCTCAGACCATTGTGAAGTTACGGGCTCCTCATCAGACTCTACATCTGTTTGAGGTGTAGGAGTGTTGATCTCTGGTAATGGTTCGGGAGACTCAGCCTGCTCGGAAACCAAGCTCTTCGATACTCTCTGTTGATCTAGCCGGCTCTTCTGTAGCGCGATCCTGTTCCATTGGGCTAGAAGTCCAGGTGGCACATAGCCTCGAATCGAGCTTGGGTTATCGGGTGGCACCCATTGACGAGTGTGCTGTTCAAGCAATGCAACTTGGTTCTTGGGTATCCTCACGTCCCTAGTCCGAATACGTGTCATGTCATGCCAAGGGTCAGTATGGCTAAGACCCGAGCCATTAGAAGAGCGCTCCGTACCAAGCACCAATTTTTTTGGAAACGTCTGGGGCGGTGAGGTGTGCTTTTCTCCAACAGTGTGCCCGGTAGTCAAATTCTCAGGTTTCAGATCTCTCCCCTTGGTCGTTCTTATACCAGCTTCCTGAGCTGATGCCTTGTGATCCGCATCGTATGGCCCTTCTAGGGCAGTAGGACTATTGTGTTGAGCAGCAAGTATCGGTTCAAGGGGAGAGCCTGACGTAGATAACAGGGTTCCTTCAACGACGGGAATCTCACTGGTACTTTTAGCAGCGTGACCATTACTTCCTCTTACCTCAGTTATACCGGAAAATCCATGGCTGAGTGACATAGCAGCTGTTTTATGCTCTTTATTTACTAGCAAGCCACTGTCGGCTGCTTTGTTATGAGATCCTAGGTATCCGAGTAGTGCGTTTGAAGACACCGAGCCACGCTTAGATGGGGATGGGGGAACCATAGATGAAAGTCCGGTAATACTTTTGAAGGATGTCTGGGCCTGCGACTGTAGAAACTGTTGAGAAGCATGCTTTCCAGAACCCTCATTAGTTTGAGTCTTCAAAGAGCCGTCGAAGCAGTACGATTCTGGTGTACTCGCAGTGTGGCGAGTCGCTTGAGACTTGATAAAATCAAAGGCCTTTCCTATCAATCCTCGTATACGTGCATTCTTCTTGATTAATTTGCCTTGTGGCGCGCCTTTGTACTTGCCCTTATTCCTTGCAATAGTAAAGTTCTTGACGTAAAGATGAATTTTCGGAGCAGACATGGCATATTCGAGCACGATCTCATAGTCAAGCAGTTGGATGTAATGGTTTAAGGTCGCATTTCTGTTTAATGAACGACCAGGTGACTCCTTTTGTAGTTCCTCCAAGGATTCCTTTGCTAGTACCGCCTCAATCTGCGTGTTGAAGTCGGTCAAAGTTGCCACGTTTCTCCCTTCGCTTTCTCTCCACTAAGAGTAGGTGCGAAGTAGTTAGAATATGATACTTCTTCAGCGGCTCAGAGGCTTACATCGACAACTATAGTGTACTGTGGAGAGCGACTAGCAAAACGGAGGTTACTGCCATCGTCCTCGAGTTGCAAGCCTTCCACTTGTCCCTTGATGTAAAGAGAAAGAGTACGTTCAACCAGCGGCGCAACCCATGCACTCATTGAAGTCATTGTGTAGATGCAGAATTCTTATCAGAATAAATAGCGTCATAGTCTGGTATACAATGATCCGGTAAATCGCATCCCAGTCACAGTAAAGGAGAGGCTTTTTGACGGGTTGATTAGATAGAGAATAACCATAGAATACATGATAGTTCAAGGATCTGCGCCATTCCTCCTAAGTGCTATTCAGTCTTAGAGCACAATATGAATATAAGGAGCTTTTACCCTCATGTAGTACTTTTTTTTTTCCCTTGTCTCCTTCCGTTCATTTGGACGCGAAGGAAGCTTTCAGACGTTCCTCACCGCCCGTATCTCACCAGCCACCTTGCTGCGCCACCACCACGTCATTGGGCAGCATGTCACGGGCATTTGGTGGGCATTCTATTCTGCATGGAAAAGAGAAGCATCGATCGGTGAACATCTCACCCCTCAAACGCGTCCGATATCTCAGATCAACTAGGACTGATCGAAGTTCACAGTACACTCTCGGACGATGCGGAGCCAACCTTCCTATGCATGGATACGCACGACACAGACTTCAATCAGTTTCCTTCACCAACGAATCAGGTTTCTTCACAGGTAGATGCGACGGATGCTTGCGATTACTTGCTCCTACTGAACTGGGGCGATTTTTGTCGGACCAGTAGCCTTCGAGATTTCATTTCTCTTACGCTTCTGGATACGGCAAAGCGTGGATGGCTTCGCAGCAGTCTCAAAGGACGTCCAGTCCATCTGCATCATCTCTCTTTCTTCCGCTAGGACGACGAGGCTCCCGGACATCTTTGTCAGCTCAAGCCGAACGAAAAGGCCTCAATGCTGCACTGGACCAGATTCATACGGCGGCTTACCAATCTGGTTCCCTTACCACGTTCAATGATTTTACCAATCCCCCGGCTCCCACTTCTGCGACAGAAGAGAAAAGCTTCTCGGGCGAGTTGCAAGGAGGCTTGAGTGGATTATATAGTCGATTTAGAACTTCTGTGGGTGGGGTAAAGGATATTGTAAGCGGCGTAGGGAGGTCGCTAGACAAATCCTCTACTGAAGACCATGGTCTAAGAAGCCCACCATCGGAACGCTCCGTTTCGAGGTCTGCTCATGGCTCGACAGCTTCCATACCAGAATCCCAGCAGTATCATCCAGGTTCATCCCAGGGTTCAAGATTACACTCACCAACATCCGCAACCCACCCACCTCAGGATGGTTTGCATTCTCTACTAGCGGGAAAGGGCTCTATGCTTTCGTCGAAGACTGCGAGCATATCCTCAAAAGCCTCCGTCTCGCCTTCACCTGCAATGAAGTCTCCTGTTGCACCGTTACCCAAAAGCACGACTAACTCGGTTGCCGTAGATCCGACAGTTACTGAGCTTCACGTCAACGCTATCAAGGAGTCTCATAATTCAAGCAGCAACTCCGTGAATCTCTCCTCACACAGTTTCCAATCGATAGACTCAGTTAGTACAGACAAAGAAGACGGTCCGCTCACTGCATCTTTAAGCTCCTCGGGATGGAGCCAGCGACTATCACATTCCCCGGTCTTGCAGGCGAAGGCCCAGCACTTCTCGTATGAAGGTCCGGGCGCTTCAGATGCTAGCAGGTCATCTACAACGAACAGTCAGGCACCGGATAGCTTTAAGAGGGCAGATATCCAGGCCATTCATGAGCCAGATACATCATTACCTGGTTCGATGCGAAGAGCGAGACAATCAGCTGATGGAACTCATGATGGGGCATTCTTGGCTCAAGAGAGGATTAGATCGAACTCGGGGGCTTCATTCAGCCCAGATAAATCTACTATCATTTCAACGTCTGGAGCAAATAGTGTCTCTCAATTTCCCGGCAACGCTGACAACTCTTTCCCTGAAGAGCAACACCTTTCTGCTGCTCCAACGCCTACGCCCTTGGCACAGGGGGAAGTTCAGCCGAGAGACCTGTCAAAGACAGTCGTCAAGAATAAGCCTAAGGAAAGATTAGTCCTTCCAAGCTCGAACCGCTTGCCAGGATATGTGGCTTCTCAAGCCTCTCCAAGTGATATATCGATGGACTCTACTGCTGTAGTGCCACTAGTCACAACGGTCGATCATGGCCCTAGTCAGGATGGGCGAAGCTGGCGTTCTCAACCAGCCGGTGATGGTGTCATGTCGCAACTTCGGAGTAAACTGCTCAGTAAAGATTTTTGGATGAGAGATGAGAATGCGAAGGACTGCTTCCACTGTGGAGAGCCGTTCTCTACGTTTCGACGTAAACACCACTGTCGGACATGTGGCCAGATATTCGACTCTAAATGCACACTTCTGATCCCTGGTGAGAGGTTCGGCCAGCCGAGCACTATACGCGTCTGCAAGCCGTGCGAAGCCATGATTAATGGGCATGATGATGATTCCTCTGAGTTCTCGGACAGCGAACAGAGCCCAGTCGTAGTCAATCCTCGGGCCTCTGATCTAGGCTTAAGAAGTTATCCACGTCCGACCGCTGATGATGATGACGCGTCCTCTATAATTTCGCAATCAATCGACCAAGTTTTGAAAACACCTACAATGGCAATTCCTGCAACGAGACGTGCTGGCGAAGGCCATAATCGCCGGTCGGCTGTCCTAGAGATCAGCCCAGACCGTCCATTAGCTCGGCCAACATCCTCAAGGTCACTCAAGTCATCACTCAGTGGGAGGACTCATTCAATGGGCCATAAGCGCCACCACTCTCGTCAGCAGTACATTCGTAACTTCAAGCCTTATCATGATGACCGAGCCCCTTTCCAGAGGCGGCATGTGGAGGACACTGCTATAGAAACACGACTCCCCGCGTTTCATAAAGATAATATCATCGACCCGGATCTGGCACAATATCTCTCCGATGATGCATCCAGCGGTGACGAACAACCAAGTCTACTATCAGCTGTATCAGAAGGGTCATTTTCTAAGAGTGGTGCTGACAATGAGAGAACAACATTCGGAGGACTTCTCGCTGCCATGAAAAAAGGTCGGTCTGCATTTGGTGACCGAAGTGCTGCGAACTACAGTCATGTTGGTCGCGAGCTAGATGAGGGCAGCATTAGTAGTTCGAGAGCAGTAAACCTACCCCGTCCTCGCCGGCGTAATCTTAGTGTTGCCAGCAGTGTCCATCAGCGCCCCTCGCCTAGGACGTCAAAAGATAATGTTTTCAACCCACACGAGTCTTCGAACGCTGCCCACGTGTTTCCTACTGGGGTAGCTTCTAGTGGTTTCAAAATGACAAGAAGCTCTTCTATGAGAGGAGCCGGTGCTCCGCCGGTTGAACTAAACAAGGCTAGCCTGCAGCATGTTCGCAAACTCCTGCGGCAGCTCTTGAAAGATGCCTCAATACCTCACGTCCAAAGCTGGGAAACAGCTTTGCTTCCAATTCTCCTGAAGGCGGCAGATGAGGTTGATCCGGACGTTCAGGGTGGTGACGATATGGACATTCGTCACTACGTTAAGCTGAAAAAGATCTCGGGGGGTCGACCTGGCGACACATCTTATGTATCTGGCTTGGTGTTTACTAAGAACCTTGCCCTCAAGAGCATGTCCAGATGCGTTCCGCAGCCCAAGATACTGATCATTGCCTTTCCACTCGAATATGCTCGTCATCAGCAACATTTCATGAGCTTGGAACCTGTCATCCGCCAGGAGCGTGAATTCCTCGAAAATTTAGTCAGCAGAATAGCTGCTCTACGACCTAACCTGCTTCTCGTTGAGAAGAATGTCTCCGGATTGGCTCTAGAGCTGCTAGACAAAGTCAAAATCGCAACGGCTTACAATGTTAAGTCGTCTGTGCTTGAAGCTGTATCCCGATGCACGCAGACCAGAATAATTACTTCTATGGATAAGCTTGTGACCACTCCTGTGACCAGCGAGTGCGGTAGCTTTGATGTCAAAACATATGTCTATAATGGGCGCAAAAAAACGTACATGTATCTGTCAGGCTGCCGCAAAGAGCTCGGGTGTACAATTGTTCTTCGTGGGGGCGATAGTGAAGTCCTCGCAAAGGTGAAACGGATTACTGAGTTTATGACCTATGTTGTCTACAATCTTAGGCTGGAGACTTGCCTAATGAGAGATGAGTTTGCTCAGATGCCCGCGTTATCTGAAATCGAAACCGGAAGGGACTCATCTGATGCAGCATGCTCGAGCGTCTTATCTTCGGTGAGTAGGTGCGGGAAGAAATCCAGTTCCCCTGCATCAAGCTTGCTGCAGGACCCGAGTGAGAAGAATGATGGATCCTTTCCAGAAAAGTCCGCAGTTACCAGCGAGGTCACAGAAGTTCCGGATGATGTTCCCATGCCAACTTATTACCAGGATTTTGTGCATGATAGTGAAACAAAAATTTTGTCAGCCTCTCCATTCGTCAAGTTTGAGCCCCCTTACCTGCTTAAGCGTGCTAGAGAAATGGAACGCAGACTGGCCTACCTGAAGCGTCTACGAGACCAGAACCTCGATCTTGACCCATCATTAGACGAGAAAGCAAGATCACAAAAGTTTGTTCTCGTGACCCCGGAAATGGTTCATGAATCACCCCAAGGCGCTCCTCCGAAAGTAAAAGAGGTTTTGCATGCGGCCCATGACGCCGAATACGACAGAGCGTTACATAACTATCAGACTCAGAAACGTCAGTGGGAAGCTTACATTGCTGGAGCTGCAGGCGTTTTTGACCCATATGCACATCAGAATATCGTCGTGCTCTTCAGCCTTGTCTGCACTACTTCATCAATTCCCTGCTCGGGTCCGGATCTTCTTGCCTTGGAATACTATAATGAGCACGGGGATGACGCGGTCTTTGAACCCGACTGTGCGCTTGGTCAATATGTGGAGGACATATGCCTCAATGCCAATGCTATTTGCAATGCAAATGGCTGCGAGAAGCGGATGTTTGAACATCACCGTCAATACGTCCACGGTGAAGCTCAGATAAGCGTTTTCATTCAACCGCATCCTTCGAAGCTCCGAGGACTTCAAGACACAATTTTGATGTGGAGCGCCTGCAAGATTTGTGGAAATGAAACCCAAGTCTTTCCCATGTCCGAAAGCACCTGGAAGTATTCGTTTGGGAAATATTTGGAGCTTTCTTTTTGGAGCAAGAACCTTCATGCTCGGGCTGGGATTTGCCCGCACGATTTGCAGCGTGACCACCTTCGTTACTTCGGCTTCAAGGATGTTGCCTTGCGCATCCACTACGACCCCATCAATCTGCTCGAAATCATTGTCCCAAGGACACGAGTCACGTGGAAAGTAGACAACGATCTAAAGCTCAGGAATGACATTTATCTCAGAACCGAGCAGCGTCTAAACAAGTTCATGCTCTCTGTCAAAGCGCGCTTGAAGGGTATTAATGTTGAAAGTGTCATTCCCAAGTTGGCAGAAGACTGCAAGCGGGAAATTGAAGCCCTAACGAAAAAGGCTAGCGAAGACCATGCCGCTCTAGTCAAACAATTGCAAGACAAGTATATCAATTCCCGTTATTGGGAAGTTACTCCTTTGAATGAAGTGCTACGTTTTGCTCAGGAGAAAGTTGTTGAATGGGATACTGCATTTGCAGAATTTGAAAAGAATTTCTTTCCTTCCGAAAAGGACATCAGGCGACTAGCAACCTTGCAGTTGAAGAAGATCTTCTTAGATAAGGATGCCTCTGTCACATCTCTTACTTCAACTGAAGAGGCTCCAACCACCCCGACAGAACCTGAGAGTGAAAATACTGAAGAGCCCGACCAAGGCCGTCCCATGCGTCGCATGACTCTGTCTCCAGAAAAGGCGCAAGATGTCCTAGTATCTGTTGTTGAAGAGCATTCAGGGAAGAAAAAGAAAGCTGAGGCCCAAGAAAATAGCCCTGCCAAACCTGAACAATCTGATACACCAAACTCATCACCTGCACCAGAGGAAATACTTCCATCTTCCCCTAGCGACGAAGCCATAGCGGAAAAGGAAGTACAACATCTGGACTTAGCGATGCCTTCAAGCCAACCTGAACAGTCATTCGTGGAAACAAATGCTCGGAACACGATGGGTCGACCAGAACCTGTGCCTTTTACCTCCGATTTAAGTAAAGGCACTCCAGAGGCTACTATCCCCGAGCAAGATGAACCACAGACGCTGAGTCAGAGGAGCGACGTTGCTGAGAAACTTATGAACTCTCCAAACTCTCCGCCAAGTTTTCAGCGTTCCGCAATTCCACGGCTAGCCGAGGCTGCTACTAGACGCACTGCGAAAGCAACTTCTCCACCCTTGTTTCGTGCTCAATCACAGCCCGCTCAGCTCCAGAAGGAAATAGGGTATGATAGTACGCCCTTAAAAGGGTTCAGAATTAGCCCTGGGAGAGTTGGTGGTCGAGACGGTGCACCTAGTCCACCCCCCTATGAAACGAGGTTCAAGGGTTCAGACAAGAAGCTATCAGAACGATTCGGCCTCAATGCCTTCAGAAACGGAAGGCTCACACCTGGCCCATCTTTAATACCTCGTTCGATACCGACAAGAAAGGGACATACGCGTGTTTCTTCTTTGGCTAAGCATTTTGAGCAATTAAGCCGCGAATTCGAGAAAGAGCGACAGCGTGAAAGAGCACAGAGAGCTGCGAAACGCTCACAATCTCGTGCATTCCCGATTGCAAGTTCTAAGCCTATTGTGGAGGTATACAAAAATGTCAGGGAGGCAGTTGAGGAGCGAGAGCCTTCTGGTGAAGGAGAGGATCTCCTTTCGGCCGCGTCGCGGATTTCTATAGACGACTTGAGCAAAGGAAATGAAGAATTCTTAAGGAGGCCCTCAGAAGAAGAACAAAGAAAAGGTCGTCCTTCACAAGAGCAATCTAGCTCGCCAGTGGAAAGCGACAGCCCCGCCCAGAATGCGGATCACATTTTATCAGAGGGCGAGGCTGAAGAGGGGCATAGTGACGAAGACAGGTCCTCGGTAAATGGGCTTCAGGTTACTGAATCAAACGAAGAATCACCCAAGATGTCTCCAGAGGATGAACAACTGGACCTCAAGGAGTTCCCAAAACATGAAAGAAGCACGCTTCTTAAGTTACTAACAAATTTCTGGTCTGAGCGTTCTGCCAGTGGATGGACTCCTCTCGACTACCCACTGACCATGTCCGACCATGTTTTTGCAGATTGCGATATTATTGTGCGCGAGGATGAACCAAGCTCTCTCATCGCTTTTGCTTTGGACTCTCATGATTATAAAGAGAAGCTAGCGAGCATCCAAAAACGCTATGAGGAGCTCGATGAAACCGAAGCAGATCTAGGGGAAGGACCAGAATCCATGGACGAAGCACGGGTTGAGCATGCGCTTCTGAGGTCTACGGGGACGCATCTCAAATATCAATTCCAGGAAGGTCAGGCAAAGATGCTTTGCAAGGTGTTCTATGCTGAGCAGTTCGACGCTTTGCGGAAGAAGTGCGGTGTTGCCGAGCGTATTGTGGAATCATTATCCCGATGTGCTAAATGGGACTCCAAGGGGGGAAAGACAAAATCTATCTTCTTAAAGTCGTTGGATGATCGGTTTATCTTGAAATCACTCTCACCCATCGAGACGCAGGCCTTCCTCAAGTTTGCTCCCGCTTATTTCCAGATCATGTCTGAAGCGCTGTTTCATGAGCTACCGTCCGCGATTGCGAAGATGTTCGGCTTTTACCAAGTGATTATCAAGAATCCTGCCACAGGCACGGAGTTTAACTGGTTTCTTTTACTAATGGAGAACTTGTTCTACGACCGCGTTCCGACGCGGATTTTTGACCTCAAAGGCTCAATGAGGAATCGCAAGGTACAGAGCACCGGGGAACGCAACGAGGTCCTTCTTGATGAGAACATGGTGGATTTTATCTACGAGACGCCGTTATTCACCAGGGAACACTCGAAGAAGCTTTTGAGCCAGAGTGTTTGGAATGATACTCTGTTCCTCGGACGTCAAAATGTCATGGATTACTCACTCATGATCGCTATCGATGAGAGTCGATCGGAATTGGTGGTTGGCGTGATTGATTGCATCCGTACCTATACCTGGGACAAGAAGTTAGAATCGTGGATCAAGGACCGTGGATTCGCTGGCGGTGGTAAAAACCGGCCTACCGTGACGAGTCCTAAGGAATACAAGAGTCGGTTTAGGGAGGCAATGGCACGATACGTTCTCCAAGCCCCAAGGTTGGTCGCTCGAAGTCAAAAGACATGAATTTAGCTGACAATACTTCCAGTTGTTGGAGTCAATTCCAACAACCTCAGATGTATCGGTACACTCCGGTGGACCAACCTCCCAGCCAGGCATACTGTGCCTTGGAAGGTGATACCGCTGAGGGAAATGAATCAGGTGGTTCCTAACGGCCGATGAGGAGGATATACGATTTTACGACATGATTTACTCATCTTCATTCATTCATTCTGAAAATAGCTTCATTGCGACGGCGTTCACGGCATCAGCATAGCGAGCTGCACATACACCCTTTTTGAACGTTCCTTTTTCGTTTCCTTTTTTTTATACTTCCGAACTTCCCATGTGATGATCATGAGAGTTGCCATACTCCAATTAATGTACTGATAATGATTGTAATATGGAGAAACAACAGACACTATGCACTGTCGCTGCCATAGAGACAAGAAACAATAAATGACCAGAACCTTATTACGTACGCGGCCATAAAAAGACGAAATTAAAAGAATTAAATACCATCTTTAATACTCCTTCCGTTTCACCGACCCGAGATCTCGGCGGAATTCGGGACACTTCGGGAATTTGATTTGCTCTCCACCATTTCCATGCAGATGCCTTGTCAGTATATCTTTTCCCTTTTCTTCTTTTTTCCTACATCTTTCTTCTCTTGTTTCCCCTGATGGCAGACAAATTTCTGGAATATTTGTTCCCTAATCTCTTTCAATACCTGTCGGGTTTTGAGAGTACAATGACCCGTTCCATTAGGGAAATCTACGTCGCAATGAGCATTTATGCAAGGGTTCGATGAGGCATATTGCAGTTCCATTTGACTACACTGACCACACAGCCTCGGTTGAGTGGGATTCCCCCTCATTCATTCGAGACTATTTTCCATTGAAAGGGGAAGATCTTGCTCATTTTTCTTTTCTCTTTTTCCTTTTTTCTCTTTCTTTTCTTTTTCTTCTTTCCCCTCCCCAGAAGATTGACTCGTTTTGTCAATTGCTTTGCTACTTAGTAGGGGTGTCAAGTCTTCGAACCCGTGCAACCAGACCGCCCATCAGCTGAGAGGGTCTCACCTACTGTGACAAGGGACTCTCACAAGGCCTTACTTAACTAACATGAATCCTATCATTTTCTGGAACTCATACGGCAGGCAGGTCTGTTCGTTATGAACGTGAACATGATGATCATTAATCTAGCTTTTGATCGCAACAAACCACCAAAAAGCAGGCAGGCTAGCTAACGCCAACTCAAGATGAATACAGATTATGTTAATGAAGGGTGAGGCTCCTTGTGCGCTTCCAAAAATTGAAGGGGACAAGAGCAGGCTCTCCAAGGCCATTCACCCGACACTGCTCCAAGCCACACCCTCCCGACTAATAGATCGCGCAAAGAGGGGGTGCATATTCGGGAGAGTCACTTGAAGTGTGTGGAGCTTACCGGTCGTCATAATTAGCCGAGACCTGTCTACGACATTTGAGGACACGCTCGTGATTATTTACCCAATCGCTGTCGTTACCACGTCATGCACCAAAGGGGGGGGTACTTCCTGTCTGCATTTACTCGGACAGACCAAGGTTCTCCTCAGCAGGGACCACACGAACAGTGTTGGTGTGACCCTGGCCTCCACGCCAACCCTGGACACAGACAATGTTGTCGCCCTTGTTGATGATACCGAGCTTGAGACCGTGGGAGATGCCCCACTTGAGACGGCGGTCAACATCCTCTTGCCAGATCTTGACATTGAAGTCGGGCTTCTTCTCCGGGAAAAGGAAGGGCCAGACACCACGGTAGAGGTGAGAGTACTACAGTCGTATCAGTCAGCAAAATTCACAACGATGATGAACAACCTTGGCAACTTACCCTGGTAGCCCTGGGGTTACGAGACACCATCAAGATGGGGCAGACAGGGCGATACTTAGAAAGAAGACGGGCGGTGTTACCACTTCACCGGCTGGTTAGCAAACACATCCAATTGAACGAATCATACGATACGTACCTGGTGGTCAGGACAACAATGGCACCGGCATTAAGCTCAAGACTGGCGCTAACGGCAGCCATGGCGATGGACTCCACAGTGTCGGTGGGTCGAGGAGCAAGGTTGCGCAACTCATCGAAAACGTTGAAGTGGGGAATGGCAACCTCTGCGAGCAGACAGGTTTCACTCATCATCTTAACAGCCTCGCAAGGGTACGAGCCCTTGGCAGTTTCACCAGACAGCATGACACAGTCGGCTCCATCAAGAACAGCGTTGGCAACATCGGACACCTCGGCACGGGTGGGGCGGGGGTTGTATGTCATGGACTCGAGCATCTGGGTGGCACAGATGACAGGCTTACCCTTGATGTTACACTTGGCAATCATCATCTTCTGGGCGATGAAGACCTTGGGGGCGGGGATCTCGATACCCAAGTCACCACGGGCAACCATGACACCGTCAGTCTCCTCGAGGATCTCATCGAAGTTGTTGACACCCTGCTGGTTCTCAATCTTGGCAATGATCTGGATCTCTTTGCCCTCTTCACCCAACACCTCACGGATGTGGCGGATGTCGCTTCCACGGCGAATGAAAGAGGCAAAGATCATGTCGACGCCGTTCTTGACACCGAACTTAAGATCGCTGATATCTTTCTCGGAGAGAGCAGGAAGGTCAACATCAGTGCCGGGCAAGTTAACACCCTTGCGAGAGGAGATGTTGCCATTGTTAAGACACTTGACGCGCAGGGTCTTGTCGTCAACAACCTCCAGAACCTGGAACGAAAGGATACCATCGTCGACATAGATCAGCTTTCCAGGAGCTATCACTTTGGTGATGTTCTTATAGTCCAGGTACCTATCAATTGCCTTGTTAGTCCGAACGAGACCCTAGTAGAGCTACTCCAGGATCGATCCGAGGAATTGATGGGAACTCACATGTTCTGGTCATCGCTAGCGGTGGCGTACTTCTCATCGGTGGTGATGTTGAGCTCGTGGCCCTCCTTGATAGGGATATCCTTGTCATCGGGGGTGTTTCCAGTACGGATCTCGGGTCCTTTCTACAGTACCGGTTAGCTCTGTTCAACACTGAAACTCTCCGATCTAGACTTACGGTATCAAGAGCAATCGCGAGAGGACGACCGGTCTGGACACTAGCAGCCTCACGGGCGTGGTCGATAACGGACTGGTGGTACTATGGCGAAAGTTAGAAAAAATGGCACTGCGAGGGAAAGATAAGGGTGACCAGACTCACCTCATATGAACCGTGGGAGAAGTTCATGCGAACAACGTTGAGACCGGCTATTAGGTTGCTTGTCAGCTTGAGCAATTACCGGGGCCATTAGGTTTCGCCGTACATCTGCGGAGAGCGTTGATCTTCTCCACCGAGTTAGTCTTGGGACCTGCGATCAGACAACAATGTTAGCACCATCCATACTAAACTATTCGGGCGCGGTTTAGATTGAGGGGAGAATAGGGGAATCCTGAACTTTTATGGTAATCACATACCAATAGTACCAATGATAGAGGTGCGGCGGAAGTTTTTCGCGGGCACCATCTCCGTGTTCAGCTTGGAGTGCCACTCCAGCTTCATACGGTTGCTCAAATGGTCGAGAGAGTTGCTAGCGGCCATTTTGAAGGTGTTCTCTATCTACACTGCCAAGATGAAGAAGAGAATGGGAAGGATTGAAATAAAGGGAAGTTGTGATGGATGAATGAGAAGAATGGGGGGGTGAAGAGGGGGAAGAGGGGGAAGATGGGCGATAAAAAAAGATCGGAGTTGGCCAGAGAAAGAGGACCACCGGTGAGCGAGGGGCTGCTTTGGGTTTGGTTTGTTTTGCGGGAGTGGGTGTGTGCCCGGGAGGGAAAATGTTGTTGGCCGCCCTTTTCACTTATCTTTCTCTTCTCTCCGGCCCGTTCCCCGCGGTTGGGAAAATTTGGGATTTTTTATTCTGTTGAACAATGGATCTACTACCTAGTATTACATGTACTTATTATTAAGGAGAAAAGCAATCTGATTCGATATATCACCCTCTCCCACGTACATACTCCGGACTACTACTAACAAACCAGTCACTTTCCCATGGTTTTGGTTGGGACCTCCCGGAGCTCCGAAAAAGGGAACACTATCATTGACATTGAATGATGGAATGCTTTCCATCCCCACCCACACAGAACAGTTCTTGATCCATCATTGTTGACTTACCCACCCTTTGACAGCCCTTTAAATGGCGTCCCACCATCGTTATGATGCTAGTGGACTCAATACCACATGATGTAGTACCGTATATCATCTCAAATGATCCTCCTACGTCAGACCACTCTCCCAATTACCTGGTTAAGCATACTGGACAACGTTATTGTTTCAGACAAAAATACCACACGATGCTCGGATTGTCTGACTAGGGAAGAGGGACCTCCTTTCAGGGACACCGAGTATCGTCCAACTGTACCGTTCACCGTAACCAAAAGTAGTACGTAGTACACTCAGTGCCAAGGTTCATGGCATGCAGTGAGCAGTGGGACTAGAGTACAGTAATATTTTTAAGTGCAAGCAAGAGAAAGCATAAGTACTACAGTATAATCAAATATATTCAATCATGACTAATACATCATCTGCATAACTCTTGGCCCTTGTCCTTCCTAACTTCATCTGTGCAAGCTCAATCCAGCCTGTTCCCCAGCCACACCCCAGCCTCCTGAGCCATCTCACCGCCCTATCACTTGCCCACGTCATGTGAAGCAGACACGTGAGCAAGCTCACTCCCCGAGGCTTTTGCCTCGCGGGGAGAACCTTTTCTTTCCTTCTACAAATTATCAGTCAAATTTACCTGTCTCTCTCCTGACTTTGGGCTCACACAGCTCGTATTTACTGCGAATCTCTATTTTATCCTCTGGGATTCGGTGTTAGCAAGTCTCATTTGATTAGTCAAACTTGCTATGGTCACTATGGTACGTTCCTTGCTCCCGAGAGCTTTGCTACTTGCTTAGCTAGCTGAGTATAATCCATTTTTGGGGAAAACTCAGCTGATCGTTGGCCATTGCAGCTCGGCCGACTCACCCATTACGCCTTTGACGCTGTCCTCGGTAGGTTCCTGCCTGGTTTTCCTTGTGGCACCGGTCGACAGATGCTAATAGCCGTATAGTCTCTGCCTTTCTGGCGGGTGTGAGGCGTTCAACTGGTCTTACGTAAGTACGTCCTTTCTACGGCTTTTTCACTTCTACATCTGCGACATTCCGATATGGAGTGATGGCTAAGGATCATGGTTCTCTGACCGATTACTGGGATCTCGGCTAATCCTTGCACCCCGCGCCCCCAACGGGGGAGTTGCGTGGGGACCTTCACAGCCCCAGTCTCAACTCCGACAATATCACCGATAACAAAGACTTCAAGAAATGGATGGATAACTACCTCGGCGTTGGCGAGTGGGTGATGGATCAGTCCGTCGCTGTCCTCGGTTCCTCCAGCTGGTTCGAGCGCAAGCGGTGAAGTCTCTACTACAGATACTCTGGATCAACCAGAGTGACGCTTCGGGTCGAAATGTATGCGTTTCGGGGTTTCCTCTCATCTCAGCTTTGGAGTTAGGTTCGTCAGAAGGGCGTATCTTGTTACTCGCTTGAGACAATGTGTCGAGGGAGTTGCATGTCTTGTAAAGATTATCAAGAGAGCCGACGTGACTGGAAATCAAGGGTCCTGCATGGCGGTTTTACATCATGAGTGATGATTTCCTACCTTATCCTTTATTTTATCCGGTCCGGTGGGCGGACCGCGGCGTTACTTGACTGAGTTCGGGGCTACATTGCTTTTACGTCTTCCCCGGCATACTCGCATGTACATAAGGTTGCCGGCCCTAGTACTACTAGCTGCATTTATTTCCTCGCATTGCGCGGGTTATAATAACCAGTCTCCTTTTTTTTCTTTTTCTCTCTGTTGTGTGTAGGATTAGACTATAGGCTCGAACAGCTTTTGTACGGCTCGTGCCAACCTTGACAGATCATGTCAAAAATATGAATAGTAGACGGTGTACACAGGTGTTCTGGAGGTATCCAGAGGTTCTGGTTCCAATCATGGCTTTTCCAATTTACCTCATCACTGATTAGCATTGCGTGCACACACACACACACACACACACACATATATATATATAAAATTGTGACTCGGGAGCCGCTTCAATCAATTGAAATACTGTTCATCCAATCCGTTAGGCTTAATCAAATACGTATCTATCCAGAGACGGTTGTGTCTGCCAGCGAACCACGCGCCAACTTAATTGTGTCATTCAGACAAAGTGTGTACACCGATCGCCACGAATATAATTGAATTATTACCTCTCACAGTGTGGAGCAAGTAATAGGTTTGAATCGTTAAGTCGTAAAAGTCAACAAGCGTCTGCTCATATCCGAATAAGTTCGTCTATGTCGAGGCGGCGAAAGTAAGAGATGTGTCCCATGGCCTCCCAATAGTGAGCTATACAATCGGGCGATATGAGAATAAGTTGCGATTCGATGAACGTATCTGGGCATCGAGTCAGAACATGCTCCAACATGATATGCGACGTGTTTCAGCTTACCGTCTCTGAAGCCGAGACCCGCCACATGGCCTCGACTACGCACAATTCTCGCCCCGTGAAACAGCTTTTCATCTGCCACACGAACAAGGCCCTTGGGACCAATATCATCCGATTTAAATGAGACCTCGCCACGAGGGACATTTGGGTCTCCAGTGAGTTTGATAGCCTCAAGGCTACCTTGCTGGATAATGCCGTCGTCATGGAGCTCAGGCTCGCCCTCTTCGGACAGGTCGATAGACACGTCTTCGCTGTCACGTTGTAGGAAAAGCATGAATTCACAACCGTGGGCGGAGTAGTCTCCAATCCATATACCTTGGTACGGCTTTCGCCTGGTAGGTGTATATAGCCGCGGATCAAGCGTCGCGTAGGTCGATAGGGTCTCGCTTCGGTCGGCAGCAAACATTGGCATACCAAGACGGAAGTGCGCCCATCTTCTTACCCGAAACGCATCTTCTGACATTAATTCCAAAACTCCAGAATGGCGCTCCCATTCTGAGCCATGCGTTTCCGAGCTCCGATAAACACGGTTTTCACATGGGATAATTGGTGGCGGCCATTGTTTCTGTGGGTCAGGATCTGGTGGGTGCCCTTTGGGACAGAACGACAAGGAATTAAAAACCTGTTGCGATTCCAACGGTAAAGGCATGCGGATCTCCCCACCCAGATACTCATGTCCGCCATCATGATTCTTCAAGAGAAGCATAGGACTATCTAACCAAAGGCTAGGTTTAGGGTGGAAGGTTTGAATGATCACGTCTGGATTCCATTCCCAAATCTGGAACTGGTGCGAACGTCTTTCGGCAATGACCCGGTAAGCTTCTATGACCCCTCGGCGGTGATCGTAACGGGCTAAGATGAGATTGCCCGTGTGCTCCGTATCTGCGAACCAAATCTTTTTCTGGGGGATAAACCAGCAGGGGTGGTATGCAATATAAAGCTTGCGGAATGTGTCGAATGGTCTCGGGTGGTGAATTTTCTCTGGTAAGTAGGAGTTGACGACGTTGGCCCACAATAGATCGTTGGCCGCATGTTCGGCCAAACAGCGGCAGGTGGCCGAGGCGCGAGCGAGATCTTGTGCCGAGAGATAAGACAGAATGGACTGCAAAAGCTCTGTCGGAAGCTGTAGCAAGGGTGAAGTTATGTCCTGATCAAATTTAGTCCCCATGTGCAACCCGGAAAAGTCTTCGTCATCGACCTCTTGTACCGTGGGTGTGTGGCACATCTTCTCCACGGCCAAGCTACTTGATGTCAAATCCATGAGGGGGGAAGAGCCATGAGAGGCCGCTCGGGTGGAGAGAGGGAGACAAGGCAATAGATACAAAGGTAAAGCTAAGCACCTTGCGAAGTATTGACCCGATCCAAAGGTTACTGATGGTGGAGGGGAGTAAGGAGAAGTTGGCGGAAGAACGGAGCCTGGAGTAGGTAGAGTAGTAGGTATGATAAGGCGAAAAGATAAGACAATTGGGCATGACATCACTGGAGACACCAAACCCTAGAACAGACGCAAACAGCCCTTAGTCACTTTAGGTACCCTTTCCTTCCACTTTATGATAATATAGTTCGAATTCTTCTTTTTTTTTTTCGCCCCGACAACTCTATTGACTTGGATTGGCCCTCATCAGTTTCTTAAGGCGAAGAACATGCAAAGGGAGATTTGCATCCAGAGGAGAGGGGTTTGCTTTATCTTATCGCCGGTCCAGGAACATTCAATTGATTAATCAACAATAATTACATGTTACTCTCAACGAACTATTACCTGCAATTAGGAAGTTCAATCCTGAAACAACCCCTCTAAAGCAGCCAGCATATCACAGATAAAAACAAAAGAGAAAATATCCTCCCAGTGGCAGGCTAGGAGAAAGTGTGTATTATACCTTCCGATGACAACCTCAGGCAGGAGTCCAGTCACCTGATATGCCAGGGTTGTTTACATATTCCCAATCGGGAAATAAAAATGGATCCTCCAACGCGTATGTATGCAGCGGATGGCACGAAGGGACTCCAGCCCTTACTTGGTGCAATAATTAAACTCACGATTTGTTTATTATTTATTCGAATCTCCAGGAACACCTGCACCTGCCACATCCCACTTAACCTCTTCCCTTCATTCTAATCTACTACGAGTACATACTACTATACATATATATATCCCACAGGGTACTACTAGTATATAATACCCAAATTAAAAACAAATCACTATGAACACCAGACAATCTCGCAGAAAACGAAGTATCAGTTCGATCTCGAATTCAGAGCCCCGCACTTCTCGTCGGTGTGCGGGAAATGCCTCGACCCCATCTTGTGAAACTCCCCGCCAACCATCTAAAAGGGTCCGTTTCTCGGATCCAGGCCCACGTCTGGAAAGAGGCTATCATGGATGCTCTACAGGCCTCACTCCGGCCATGGTTCGCACATCGTTCGAAGAACCTGGCGACTCCACAAATTGCATCAATAGTACCCCAAGTCGCCGGTTACGACGTCGTTCAACTCCACTTCCACGATCTCGTTCGCTAGATCCCCTGTTGCCCATTGACGGGTCCCATTCAGAACGGGTGGTGCAGTTTACCCCTCTACGACAGATTCTAGACTCCCGGACTCAGCGTAGAATTCGGCGAGTGGGTTTGAGCGATGAGATTAACCAGCTCGAACGTGAGAAGCGGGAGTCCGCACAATACCAAAAGTCACTTCAAGCTCTACTGCAGGAAAGAGATACCCTGAAGAAAGAGCTAGAGTTGGCAAAATGGAACACCGTCACTCCAGCAAAACATTCACCCAATAACGAGATTGCAGGCTTGTCCCCTCAGTCTAAGCTAGAGCAGCTAGAGTCCGAGAACAGTCGGCTAAGGCAAGAGATCACGTTCTCGTCTATCGAGAATGCCAACGACCAATTCGATGAAGCTGATACGGAAGGCGACACCATCATTATTGATGACAGTGGGTTTGACGGGAGCACGTTCCTCATGTCCGACTCCCCAATCATGCGTAGCGTGCAGCTTTCCCGAGCTTCCCCTGATGACTCCTCAATCCTGGGCACTCAAAAGTCCAATGCCGATGCTTTAGTTCAAGCATCTCTGCCTGAAATGGATCATGACGCTGAGCTTCTTGCTCTGTCGCTCGACTTGGAAGCTGCTAGAAAGGAGAAAACTGATTTGTTCTACGCATGGCGCAATCGACTTGCTTCCTTTCAGGGCGGTGCAGTTGAACCTTACCTCTCCAGGTCTTCTCCTCCACCAGACTTCTTCAACCAAATTTTGCCTACATTAACAGGAGCTCTCACCAGCGCCTCAGATGCCATCAGTGCACTGGACACTGTCAAGCAGGAGCTTTCTGGCCTAGGGTTCCCTGGTAGAAGCATGGACGAGATTATATCTGAAATGCGCAACCGCTTCCGCTCAGCACGTTTACAACTAGAGCGTGCAGTTCCTGGGGAAACGCCCAGCTCGAGCTTAGAGAACGGAAATGCAACTCTCAGTGCTCTCGTTAGGCGGGTCGAGCTACTCGTTAAAAGTTTAGGCGAAGAGCGCACACGACATGAAGGATCTCTGGGGCGAGAGCGGGCATTGCGTGGCCAGTTCGACAATTTGTTGGTCCGCTATGAGACCGCCTCGAAGAAAATAAATGACCTTGAAGAATCAATTGCATCTTCGGCGGGAGATATGCTACACACAAGAATGAGGATGCAGGAGCTTGAGCGTGAAGGGAAGGAACAAGCTCTAGGAATTGAACGATTAAATGAAGCTCTAAGCAAGTACCGCGAGGAGGTCAAGAACCTTGAGAAACTCGTGACGGAACTCGAACAGGATAAGGCCATTTCCAATGAATGGCATGGGGAACAGATGGCGCAGCAGGAGAAGCGCGTGATAGAAGAAGAACGTGCCCGCCATGCAGCCGAGTCGGCCGTTGCAGAGCGAGAGACACATATCCGGGAATTGGAAGGAAACGTTGAATCTAACCGGGTCCGCGTGTGTGATTTAACCGCTAAGATCGAGATACTAGAGAAGGAGCTGAAGCACACGGTTGACAGCTCCGAACAACAGGCAGCCAACCAACGTCAACGTCACCAACAGGAAGTCGGTAGTATGAACGTCCGCATCTCTGAGCTCACCACATCGCTTGACAGTGCCAAGTCCGAGGTCGACAAACTTCGTCAAAACAATTCCGGGTTGGAGGAACAGCTGCGCCTCGAGATGGATGCTAGGGATGATTTGCTGGAGAAATGGGCCGCAGACCAGGCACGGTCCTTTACTTACATGAAGGAGACTATCAAGGTAGAGCGACGTAAGGCGAAAGTGCGCAGTGCCAATTGGCAACTCAAATCGGACGAGCTGCAATCGGATGGCACGAACATTGGTAGCGAGCCCTTTACCCCTGTCAGCATGGCGCGATTCGTTGACGTCGAAGTCGGCCGAGGCAAGGAACGCTGGCGGTTGGATAGCGGAATTGGCATACTCACAGAAGATGAGCTTTTTGAGGAAGTAGGCATCGAAAACAACCCCCTTCCTTCTGATCCGGCCGATCTCTAGATGATGCTCAATTTTGTGGAAACCTGTTCTCCTTTGTTTGCATTTGTAGTTTATCTGCCATTTTGACGTTCTTTCTATGTGTCAAGATTATTTTGTATGACATATGACCACTTTAGCTACTTGGAGAAGCTTTGAATAACAATTCGTTGCCACATATAAAGCCTTAATAGCTATCGAAGAACCTCTTGGGTAATGATCGACTAGAACCGTAGGATCTCACGATGGATTATCCTCCATGACCTTAGAATTCAAATTTGCGACGTATAAGCAAGTTGACCAGATAGCACCCGTATCAATTCTAGATCGTCCCCTATGCAAGCTATTGTACCCTTGCTGTGTGCTTGTTCGCCTGCAGATCTGATCACCAGTCAGCTTTGCAGGAGATGATCCTTTGAACGCGGGATTCGCCATGAACAACAGACTGGTTTCTATGCGAAAGCGGTTGTCCAGAGTGATATATTAGTCTAGATCTGTCCATTATATTTTCACACTTATTGGTAGCATTCCTTGGGAAAGATTCCGATATACTCATCCAAAATCAAAGGGCTGATTGATTAGGGCTTCAGAAGATCCAAACGGGTTACCGGGACAATGACGTCACCAATGAACGTTTCCATACGATTTAAATACAATGATAAATACCCCCATTCATTATATAGGAATCAGAATATCTCTTTCACAGTATATACCAGAGGCAGCTGGTAGACCAAACACACATTCCCCCAGATATAAATAGACAGCATCATGTCGGAAACCGACACCCGCAAATACCGTCTAAAAGTCACAGCCGGACCCAGCTACGATCCCTCTACACATCAGCTGGTCCCAGTGAACGAAGACCAGACCCTACGAATTGAAAATGAACTTGCAATCACGAGACTCTGCGTCCGTGTCCAAGACTACACAGGTAGAAGCTCCTCGCCACTCACCCACCTACCTGCCAGCTACTAATCGGTACCTTCCAAGCCAAAAAGAAAGAGAAGTAAAGGCGAAAAGCTAACTAGAAAAGCAACAGGCTACACAGACAATTCCTCAAAGACAAATCCCTACTTCGACCATCCCCTCCACCTATCAGATCAATACTCCATCTCCTTTGCCATTGTTTTCAAGCGCCCGGTCAACGCCAATTCCCTCCTCTTCGGCAACGATTTCGACCGCCCCATTCGCGACTGCTTGCCGCCTGGTTTCAACGCCGCTCTCCGTCTCGTCAAGTGGATGATCGATCCCACCCTTGAAGGGGATGTGTATGCCGATAAACCGTACCTCTATAGCCCGGCTGTGGCCTCGTGGAACCAGTTTTGTATCGGGGAGAAGATCACCAAGGACGACGAAGTACCCGATATGCATGACCGGGTTGTGGAAGAGGGGGGCGAGGGGTCCGGGGTGGAGGTGCGAGAGCAGTTGGGGGTCCCGGGGGGTGTGAATGAGCGGAGGAAGTATTTCCAGTCGGAGGAGGCGAGGGATGGGTTCGTGTTCGAGGAGGGGAGAATTTATTGGGTGGATTTTGGGAACCCTTATCTGGGCTTTAATGGTTGGTACCTACCTCTCTTCTTCATCTTTCTTTCTCTTCCTGCGCTTCTCCAAACGCTCTTTGAGTACCTCATGTCAGTGTGGGCTGATTTTGGTGGTTGTAGATTTCTCGCTGCGGCTTCCCGGGATTACTATGAATGTTATTCAATATATTAATGAGGATAACCATTCGCTGCGGTATGTGTTGAGGAATCGGGATACGGGGGAGGTTTATTTGGTTGTGCTGTTTACGCTTGTGTTGCAGGGGACGTATGAGGAACCGTTGCATAAGGAGGCTGAGAGGATGAAGAAGGAAAGCAAGGCGCAGCATGAGAAGAATGAGGGGAAGATGGGGAGATTCGAGTGGGAACCTGAGCCGTCGGCCGATGATATTGAGTAGCCAATATGCTGATACATATATAGATAGAGGTAGATACGTGGGATACACTTATCGAGGGTTGTATGAGACTCCGTAATCATATATCTTGTATTTTTCTTCTATACCTGATACATATACACATGTTGTTTGCTTAGAGAAACGTCATTAAGGAACAACCACTTACAGCCTCTTCAGCACGTCATCCAGGACCTCCTGTGTCGTGGCCTTACCACCCATGTCAGGGGAGAGGTACTTGCCTTCATCCAGGTTGGCATCGACGGCAGTGTATATCTTGGCGGCGGCACCCTCCTCACCCAAGAACTCCAGCATGAGGGCTACGCTACGCAAGGTGGCAATGGGGTTGGCAATGCCCTGACCCTCAATGTCGGGCGCACTGCCGTGACAGGGCTCACCAATGGCGAAACGGTCACCGACGTTAGCGCTGGGTACGAGACCCAAGCTGCCGACCAGGGCGGCCGCACCGTCGGACAGAATATCACCGTAAAGGTTAGGGGCAACAATGACGTCGTAGTACTCGGGTTGACGGAAGAGCTTGTACACCATAGAGTCGACAATCTGCTCCTCCACCTCGACGGATGAGAAGCGCTCAGCGGCAAGAGCCTTGCGGGCAGTCTCACGGAAGAGGCCATCGGTTTGCGACAGCACGTTGGACTTGTGGGTGATAGTCACCATGGGCTTGGTGCGCAGAGTGGCAGCGGGAGCCGCATCGCGGATCTTCTGCCGGCGCAGGGCAATTTCCCCTGCAATGGTGGAGATCCGGGACGAGGCATTCTCGGAGATCCGCTTAATAGCCTCGGCAACCTTGCCATTCGGAGTGTCCTTGGTCTGCTCTTCTTTCACATAGAGATCTTCAGTATTCTCACGAACAATGACCAGGTCCACAGGGTTACGGCCACCGCCGATGGTAGTCTTGACTGGCCGGACGTTGGCATAGAGGTCCAACTTCTTCCGGAGAGCGACGATGGGCGACGAGTAGCCGGCGACCTTAGTGCTGGGGGAGCTAAGACGTGAAAGCGTTGGTAAGCGTTTAAAACAGGCTGGCAGGAGAAGCAGCATATTTACCTGACAGCTCCGAACAAAGCACCATCGCATTCCTTCTCCAAGGTCTCCACAGTCTTGTCGGGCAGAGCCGTCCCGGTCTGCTTGAAGGTGTCAAAGCCGGCATCCAGGTTAACGAAGCTGAAGTTCAATTTGAGAGATGCTGGGAGAGATTCCAGCACTTTTCTACCGGCCTATATCACAGTTATTGTTAGAAGTCTCATTTTTCCTTTCTTTCAAAAAGCTGTCTGGCTGTGAAGTATATATACCGGAATGACCTCCCGTCCGATACCGTCACCGGGGATGAGACCTAGAGAAAGGGATATCAGTTTATGTTCACATACAGAGGATCAAACACATGAAAATGAGATCAATTGACCTATGCGAAGCGTCCTAGCAGCAGCCATGGTGCCAAAATTGGGGGAAATATTGAGTTGAGAAAATGTCCGGTCAACGGAAAGCCGTAATCGGAGTGGGAGTCATATGAATGCGGAGGAAGGGGAAATATTGATCCGGAGTGGATAGCTTCTGTCCATGGATAAACAAACTACCACGATAGGATAGAGGAATAGTCTCAGACAATTGGGATCAATTCATGCTCAGGAGGACATATAGGTTTTTAAGCGGAATGTATACTCTCATTTTCGTATATATATATATGCCATGAAGGAAGAGCTTTCTATGATCAACTTCTTCCTTTTCTCTTCTATATCAGAGATAGGGGTCAATGAACCAAAAGTACATACATACTTATTCTGGACTTAACATGAACATTATTGGCAACCATTGACTCCTGAACGAACATGGGAGTGACTAAGTAAACTAAATAGTTAGACGGAGCATAGTTGGTATTATTATAATAATGATGATAATAAATATTATTAATAATAACATCCTTAGGCTAATAGCAAGGTACATATTTCTCATGGACTAGTCTGAGTAGTACAATGTAGTGCAAATGCAACCGAATCACGGTCTCGATGCATGACTATTCGTTCCCTTCAGCTGCAATCTGGCCTTTTCAGAGCAAAATTGTGGGGGTCCAAACCGAGGGATGCAGGACATTGCAGGAGATGACATCGATGGGGCACGCCCGTTGCCGGGATTATCGAACGTAAAAAGGCCGGTAAGGGACTCCGTCAATATATTAGAGAATCCTGTGACAAGTGGTGGGTCAAGCGATGAAACTATGAATCCACAATTGTTCCAATGGAGTAATTCTCAGGAACATTTGTGACGAAGGGGAATCATCAAACTGAAGCCGATCCGCGCCCCCTGAAACCGCTGCCTCAGGCCCTTCACCCTCCACATCCCCCCCGTTGCTAGGCCACTTTCTTCTTTCTTCTCTCCCCTCTTCTCTCTTTCTCTCTTTCCTCTCCCCTCCCTTTCCTTTTCTCGTCTCTCACCTTTTGCTAATTTGGATTTTCCTCCGCAGAACTGATCATTTACATGTCTGACTCATATTCATTCCTTATTGACATTCCCATTATGCTTGAATCTAACGTTGTCTCGTTAACTTGTTGATTCTAATTGTGTTTATATCAACGTCACCGGCTCTCCTACCCGAGGCGCGCGTCCAACCCCATTGCCAACCTATTGGCATCCGCAGTTCTGCTGTCTTTTATTCGTATATTTGAGTCTGATACAGCAAAAGGAAGAGAAAAAAAGACCTTCGCAATCGTTCATCACTTCGGCTCGCGCCAACAGTCAGCCACGGTTACTCCAGCCCTCGCTTCGAATATTGCCGCGCCTGTCCCCCCTGCCCTGAATCGCGACCCTCAACCTCCCCTCACAAGACGCCATGGCGGACAAGGGCGCTCATCCAGGCGTGAGGAGCTTGCTCGCTAGGTTCGAAAACAACAACAGCAACAGCAACTACCAGAACAACCAGAACAACACGTCTCCACCTTCCCGCGGTCGATCTCCCGTCGGTTCTGAGCATTCGGGTTCTAGGCCTATGTCCAAAGTGCGGGCGAGCTTCATAGCTGTTGATGGAGCCACTCAATCTGGCACCGTTCCCGCGCTGAGGAGTGTAAGTAGTCGCAGTGACAGCCCAGTTGCTCCCCCATCGAGGGTGAGAAGCTTCAATTCAGATGACCTGAACGCCCCCTTGAAAAGCTCTTTGTCCCCCGTCAGCAATGATAATGAGCGGCCTCCAAATGAGGCCAAGTCAAGTGAGATGGTGGAAACCCCAATTGCACAATTGACCCCCCCTGACAAGGGCACTGGGTCCCAGGCCAAGAAAGGAATGTCGTCGTATAACAAGGAAAACGAACCCGCCCTGGCAGTCCCCGCTGCGCTATCACCGAGCAAGATGCAGACAGTTACCAAACGACCGTCCACAATCCAGGTAGATAAGACTGCATCGGCCAATCAGTCAATGCCCAAGTCAAAGTCTTCAACGGGCCTGAAGTCCTCAGCGCATCCACGAACTCCAACATCTCCTGCCAAACCTGACCATGGGAAAACCTCTAAACCAGCACGTCCCCCCAGACTTCCTGCCACTAGGGACTCGCCCAAAGCTCCAACCACCAAACCAAGCCGGCCATCTTTGAACACAGCGGCCAAGACCCCCACATGGCCTGCTCGCTCTTCCATGTCGGTACGTGAGGCAGTCAAATCAACCGCTTCGAACGCAACCTGCACTAGCAAGGCCGAACCGAGACCACCAACTAAGTCGGCTCGCTTGCCAGCTTCGGCAACCACGCCAACTCTTTCATCGACCACCAGAGGGGGAGCTACCGGCGCAACCGCCTCGAGCCTGTCCCGAAAGCCGTCCACTTTGAGAAGTGCGACTAGTGGAGCCCACCGCACGACTACGCCCGCTGCCTCCAGTGTCCGCAAACAGGCTTCTCATCCCTCTCTCTCGCTCCAAGCAGTAAATGAGCGTCCGCATTCCCGAGTGAGCAACAGCTCCAAAGCGGTTGACGAGGGATTTCTGGCTAGAATGATGCGTCCCACTGCTAGTTCTGCTAGCAAAGCCCATGACAAGGTTGAAGTGAAGAGTCCACCTCGATCTTCTCGGGCGAGCCGGGCTCCAGTAAGACCAGTTGCCCCGAAGACAGAGGCGTATAAACAACGCCTAACGAAGGAAAAAAGCGTGGCCAAGAAGCCCCAGGAGAAGTCGCAGCTAGTGTCTACTAAAAAAGAAGAGCCTGAGGCAAAAACAGTGGATTCCAATGAGGATGCTGTCCATATGAACGCTACTGAGACTCCTACTGAGATTGCAGATGAGCCTGCCGAAGCGGTTGTTGACTCGTCGGTTGAGGTAACGGCCCAGGAACTTCCTTGTGAGAAGCAGCTCGAGGGTGTGCCCATCGAGCCCTCAATGACTTCCATCGGGGAACCAATTGAGCCTTCTGCTACTTTGGAGGGACCTATCCAAGCCACAGAGACCGTTGAAGAGCATACTGCTGCTACTCCGTCAGCTCAAGCGCCCGCCACTTACGCCGATTCAGTAAATGCCCAGAGCATTGAGCCATCTTCAGACCTCCCCAACACCGAAGAGACTAATGAACATGCCGGCGTCGAATCTCCAGCTGCCACCGCTGAGGTAAAGCCTGCTGAGAACGTTACTGAGATGGAAACTAAGGCAGACGACGCTGATGCCGACATCGGCAAGTTAACTCTCAACTAGAGAACGACTATAGCGAGGACAGCCACTTGTGTTGCTCACCTGAAATGTCTATGCTTACCTTTATCTTTCGCTTCTTGTGACTTACATTCTTCATACCCTTCTTATTCGTGATGTGATAAGACACATGTTATCGTCTACGCGGACCGTTTTTACTCTTTAGTTGATTTACTTAGGCTGTCATTTGGTTTTCTTTTTTGGTTTCGGAAGCATCTTGTTCACAACATAAGCAGGGCCGACGATGTATGCATGTCGGAGCATTTTCTGGCGGAGTTCTAGATTCCAGTTGCTTTTAGCGTTAGGGGACTGCATATTATCCCAATTGCATGTGTACTTTGGAGGAGTCTAATAAGGTTCTTGTTTCTTTCACGCTTCTCACGCTTGTTTATTTACCCTTCTCATATAACCTTTTTTTCTCTCTTGTTATTATATTGTCCCGGGTTTCCTAGTTGTTTAATCCTTTACTTGGCATCATTGCTAGAACTATGACAGTGCAAGTTTACTTTGTAGTTGTAGATCGCTGTCGGAACCATTATCTTGATTCTTTTACTATTTCTCTTGGGGTTTTGCTTAACACTTCCTGTCTTCGGTAGCACGAGAACAAGCCTCGGATCTTCTAGCTTATAAAATCCAAAATCCAAAATAAACTCCCACATTGAGAGCCATTGCGATAAATTCATATCTCGTAAGGGTAAGCTAGTGGGAAGCTCCTGAAAAGCAAATAAATGCTATAATCTGCTCGTGTACAAAGAAGCAACTAAGATAGATAAGCTGCAGAACGCTAACTCGAAGTCGGCATGGATCAAATCTTTTTTTCCAGCTTCTTTAAGAACCTGTTTACGCTACTCTCCATCCGGTGGGCTCTTTGCTCCAAGTTTCGGGGCCTGCTGGTATCTTGTATAGACTTCTGAGCTATTTTCTGGGAATGCGAATTGACTTCTGCTTCGGTGGGCCGATACAGTTGCCTGTGGATGTCGTAATCAGTTGCTGATCCTTGCTGCACAGCGGTCTTGTCATACGAATAGTTCGAATAGCCACCAATTGGTGGCGGTGGTGGAGAGGCCGGCTGGGGTTGGACCTGGCTGCCGTAGATGTTCTGGGGTTGACTGTAGAGATGAGCATTGGGGTCCTTGGGGGGCGGAGCAAACGACATCGTCACCGGTGGGTTAGGGCTGGGTTGGTATCCCCCACCTCCGGCAAGGAATGATGGCGTATAGGACGGTACGCCAGGCGGGCTCTGGATAGATGACCGAGACGAGAATGACCCGGAATGGGTTAGACCGGCACTTGGCGGTGGTGATGCGTAACTTCCAGGTACGGTGTATAGTAGCCCCTGACTAGTTGGGGGCGGTGCAAAGCCTCCTCCGCCGGTGATCTGGGAAGGTGGTGTGTACGGAGCTCCGTTGTCTACCGCCGCCGCCGCAAGTCCGGTTCCATCCGCGCCATCAATTGGAGGCGGGGTCTTCTCCCGATGCTGGATCGGTTCAGGTGCGGCTGGTGCTGCAGGGTTATATGGTAGTGGCGTAAATTGAACAGGGTCTTTTCGTTCGTCCGCAGAAGGCTGAAGATCACTGGCCATCTGCTGAGCCGATGTGGGTGTGCTACCAAGTGGAGGTGGCGGGGGAAGACTGCTTGGTATTGAGAAAGTCTGGGCAAAGGGTGGAGAGCTGGGCATAGCTTCTGCCTGAGAGTTACGAGTCTGTCCATTCTGATACGCGGGATCTGTGATGGCCACGTTTTCCAGCTGCTGTACGACTGTACTAACTGAAGCCTGGGGTGGAGGCGGAAATGGATGTCTGTCTGTCTCGATCTGCGAGGGGGACAAGTAATTTTCCACTAGGTCAAGGAATTTATCTGCGTCATCCGAAGTCCAGAAATAGATGTCTAGCGTGTGCAGACGCAATTCTCTGTTCTCGTCGCGTAGGTCACCACTCGGCAATAGCCACTCAATAGAACTGCCATTCGATGGTGGAGAAAATGCCTGCGCGTCCTGTGATAGTGGATTACCATCTACCGTCAATGTACATAGCGTCGGAAAATTGGTGGAATGACGGAGGTAGGCCTGACTTAGAGCTGTACATCAGTCAGCAAGGTATGCATCATACCCGGAGAACGGGTGGAATGACCCACCGCCATTGAATGCATCTTGATCTGGAGTACCCGGATTATTTGCTACTTCAATCCTCGTCTTGTGCTGGGCCCTATTGTAATAGAGGTATAGATAGGAGCCTTTATCGAACCTATGATGGAGAGGCTTGGGTGTCGGCGGTGTGAAGTAATAATGGATGTCGGCAAAGCTATGAGCGAGTTAGATTCAATGTTCACATTGTAAAGGAATGAGAGAAGTAACAGAAACATTTTGTGGGGTAATAGTAGAACTTACACCGTCAGCACACGCTCTTCACCCGGCAATGGAGGCATTATGTCTTATTAGTAGTACTATACTAAAAGAGGTTGCGAACGGGGGTAATAGAAATGGGAGAAAGAGAATGCAAAGAGGCAAGTTAAGGAAGCCTTGGGACATCATTATATATGGAACTACCACCGAGGGGAAGCAATGGACTGGCCTGTAAGCTGCAAGTGTTAAGAAGGCCGGCGGCTACAAAGGCGCTTGGAGATGCATTGTGATTAGTTGATGCCGTAGATGCCTGTCCGCCTATAGGAGGACGCCATCGGAGCCGTTACATCGTTTATCCGAAAATTTCATTTGAGCTTCCGCATCATCACGACTTCGCTGCCCCCATCGGCAACATTATTCCAGGGGTCTTTTTGTCACTTGGGACCGGCATTCGTTTGATCTCATTTCATTCCATTCTTCTCCCGAGCAATTTCCATTCTGGTAGGTCTACTTGTCTCCTTGACTTACTATGGGAATGTAGTGCTTATACTCTTCCCTTCCGTAACCAGTCATTTATCAGGTCTCCCGCACACCTTTCCCCAACTCTCAAAGGTCCCTTCAATTGGGCCAATCTACGCTCAAAATGTCTCTTGTCAATCTCGCCCACGTCTGCTCCCACCTAAATAACGCCACCAAGGCCCGATTGGGTCTCACATCTATCCCGAACACACAGCTACACCTGAAGTTATGTCTTGCACTTCAGAACTCTGGCTACATCTCCTCCGTCGTCCGTGGAGGCCTAACTCCTCCCCCCCAACATAACCTCCTGGGCGTTCCCACGGCAAACGATGAAATCGAAGGCGTAAAATCGTTGACCCAAAGCAATGTCGCCTCAAGGCGTCTTTGGCTCGGATTGAAGTATTGGCAGAGCGACCCGGTCCTGGGAAACATGAGCATGGTTAGCAAGCCCAAGAGAAGGATCACAATAGATGTCACAGGCCTCCGACAGGTAATTCGCGGAGAAAAGAGTGGATATGTGGAAGGCTTGCGGTCTCCCGGTGAAAGTTTATACTTATCGACGGATCGGGGTATCATGGAGGCGCGAGAATGTGTTGAGAAGCAAGTGGGAGGCTTGGTTCTCTGTAGGGTGCTCTAAATTGTCGGGGTGGATATGGAAAGGCAAAACAAGATAGAGCGTTTCTTTGATGTGTTGGATGCCGTGGGTTTTGCATTTGAACCGGAGTTTGGTCAGTCGCAATGCCTCCGCCCGTGATTTGTATCTTCTTTTTATGTTTGCGACAGCTGGGATGGATACCTTGTACAGTAACATAGGATCGACTTCATGTATTACTTAGTTTCCCTTCATTTTGCGCTTTCGCTCCGTTGCCCGGCCGGGTTCTCAATCATTTATTCTCTTACAGCAATCTGTGGCTTGGAACTGGATGAAGACCGACTAGATCAAACGGGAAAAGGGCAAGTCATGCAATAACAAAGAACCTCGATCAGTAGGTATGCGGTGGAAATTCCTGGTGTTTTGATACATACCAACAGAGGAAAGATTACCCCGAACTTGATGGGATTCTAGGCCCTGTCATGTGGTGTGGTATGTATGAACGTAGGTTGAATTGTTTACATTGTCATCTCCTAAACACATTTGTTTTGCTGTTAGGGATGGTCTTGTTAGTAAACCTCACCCACCTTTTTTTCTTTCCTTTCCTTCTCTTCTTTCTTCTCTTCTTTCTTCTCTTCTTTTTCTCTTCTTTTTTCTCTTCTTTTTTCTTTAATTTTCTCTTCATTTTTCTTATATTCTATCTTAGTATCACGCCTGTAGCATGTTCTTAAGCCTCCATTATGGAGAACGTCCTCATATCTGGTGGAACCGGGTTTGTGGGCACAGCCATCGCTAGAGCTCTCGCAGAAAAACATCCTAAGTGTGCCATCACTGTTCTAGATCTAAAACCGCCTGGGCCGCTTCCTATGGTTCTGGACGGTATTGTCTTCATCCAGGTCGATATTACCATCCAAGAAGATGTCAGCAAAGTAATGCAGCAGGTCAAGCCGGATGTCGTTATCCACACAGCTGGGATTGTTCCAGCCCTGAGTGAACGGTTCGGAAGGAGGCTGGAAGAGCATGTTAGGAAAATTAATGTTGAAGGAACTAGACATATGTTGCTGGCTGCTAAACAGAATGGAGTGAAGAGCTTTATTTACACCAGCTCCTGCTGCGTTGTGACGGATCATATGGATGTACCCTATCACAATGTCGATGAGCGATGGCCTACGCCTCCCTTTTCACTCATTTACGGCGAGTCTAAGGTTGATACCCCATTTGATACGCCATTCTGTGTTTCGCGGGGTTAGTTTCTGGCATGCTGATGTATATCCTCCGCTACTTTTAGGCTGCTGCAGAAGCCATGGTCCTGAAGGAATCGAGCGACACAATGGCTACATGTGCTCTCCGGCCTTCTGTGCTATGCGGGCCTGGTGACTATCAACTAGTCCCTGCAATACACGCATGTATAGCCAAGGGTGAAACTCCATTCATCGTCGGTGATGGCCAAAACTTGTGGGACGTGACATATGTTACTAATGTTGCCGATGCCCATGTCCTAGCCGCTGAGAATTTGATGTCTTCGAAAACTGCAGCAGGTGAAGTCTTCTTTATTCAGAACAACGAACCTATCACCTTCAGGGACTTTTGTCTCGCCATCTGGGCCCATTTTGGCCACATACCCCCTTTTGAGATCCGTGTCCCCGAAGCACTGGCGTACCTTGTTGGCTTGATCTGTGAGTTTTTGACATGGGTCTTTGGGACGGCAACCACCTTGAGTCGCGGCAGTGTGAGGGATGCATGCTCAGTTCGTTATGCCAGCGGCGAAAAGGCAAAGCGGATACTGGGGTACCAACCTCGAGTCGGAATTGAGCACGGCATTCGGCTAAGTTGTGAGGTAAGTGGGCATGCCACAAGATCTACCGACCTTATACATTTCTGACGTCCTTATTCACTCGGATTCCAAGGAGTATGCTCGCCGTATGGGCATTGAGTTACCAATGCAGAAGGCATATAAGAAGGATGAATGATCTTCGCGTGCATCTCAGCCAAGAAATACTGCATCAACAGTGTGACCCTCCCAGCAATCAGGAGGTGGGTATGTGTTGCTCTGACGTGACCAGATACATTAGCCATTGTAATCCACGAATCATTCCCAGCTTCAAACTCGCCAGGTAGTCTTCTGGATAATTTATTGGCTGCAAACGATTGTCGACGTACGCGGTCTCTCCCGGTCTGCGCCGCAAAGGACTGACTCGGCATTTTTTTTTTAACCCTGACTGCCTGCTCTAATGATGCCCTTGTCTTCATCATAGCCAACAATATAAGTTTGATTCCAAGAACGACTGATCCACATAGTCATTTTTGTCTTATTAGTTGGCAAAACTTGAAGTAAGCATCCAATAATTGAATTGATCTCGGCCTTCTTCTAGTGGCCAAATTGGTTCACCCCGCAAATACATGCGATGAGGGCTGGTCACTGCGATGGCCCGCAGCTTGGGCAACAAAACCTGCAGCCAGGTGTATGCCCAACTTGTGTCAAGAAGCATCAGGATCCTAACAGGAATGACAAAGATTCGTGTGCTCCACTATGGAATCCCAATTTCGGGCCGCCATCTGTTCGAATCTTGATCCATTGAGGTTGTTCAACCTCGTACCACTATAATGGTAGACACTATTGCGCTTCGGACTTCTGTGGCCCCATCCTGTTAGTACTCCCGGCGACGGATCCATCAGTGATCAACACGAGTTTTAAGTCAGCATCGGTACATAAGTGCAGCGGCAGTTGCTTCGATGGTGAAAGCATAGACCAGTCCAATCCATAGAAAGCGGAAGCGGGATTGGAGATTGGAAAATACATTCCGTAGCACCTACTTCCCTGCGTCCTGGCGCCCTCAACCCGAACGATAAATGGCACTGTTCTTTGACACCCAACAAACCAAACTATTATACGTCTACTACCATGGATTCTTTCTCGCAGCCATATCCACACCGGGATCTGTGGGGAAAACCCACTCAGCACTGGAAACTCTAACCAGGAGCTTCCTGTGATATAATTGATGAATGATCTCCGATGGAGCCAAGTCCTGAGACAACCTGTCACTCTGCCCTAGCGGATGCATGCGCCCTGCGCAATCCTGATGTTGCTGCCCAAAACCCAGCGCAGGCGGTCGTTTCTCCTCTTCCATCCCCATGTCCTATGGTCCTATCTCCTTTCAGGGTAGGATCAGCACCCGGAAGGTTGCTTTCCATCTTTTCCGGGCTGATCCCACGGGAGGTGCACCCCCTAAAGGCAGTGCAGCACCTGATTGAATGTGAGACAAACGACGGTCATCGAAGCTGGGTCAGGCACCTTCCTGGTCCATCGCTCCCTTTTTGCGATGGCCGTTATTTATCCTCGTCCAGTCGTTCTTGACGCCCTTGTCTAATCTTTTTCCGTGAACCTTGTCAAACGGGGCCCTGCTGTTAAGAGAATTTGATTGGCGTTCTGGTCCTGTTGTATATCTTGGTCTTTCTCCGCAAGACTTGCTCTACACAGGAACGGAGGTCTCTTTGTGAGTAGCCCTTAGCCGTTGCAGCGTGGAGTTCTTCATGCCCTGCCTATCTTTATCTAAGATATCGTAGGACGGAAAAAGCAACGACTCGTCTCGGCCCACAACGATTGGGCCCATATCCTTACCTTCGCTTACCTTGATATCTATATTAGACCAGAAGCTCCCTGGTTCAGGGTAAGACATTGCTCGGAAACAATCTGGTTCAGCACTTCGAGAATATCCTATTAGTCTTTTTGTTTTGTGCTTAAATACAACCTCATGCGTCGACCCCATCAGCCCAAGTAACAGCAATGTCTTCAACCTTTAGCTACTTTTCGGGGACATCAGGCAGTGGATCTTGTACACACTCGATTAGTAGCGAATCCGACTCGTGGTCCCGGCACAGGTCAGCGCCAACTGGCATATCCCTTCGTCCCTTTCTAGTTCCCAATCGGTCTCTAGATATTTGAAAGAGGCTCACCGTTTCCAGCGGCATCATGCCTCAACAACCACCAAACTATGGGCCGGCTAGCGAGCCTCCATTGATATATCATCCCCATCCAAGGTATCTAATCATGTCGTGTCGCTTCACTTCCCATTGGGAAGAGATGTATCGTGCTGAGATGAACTTGTCTAGCGCCAAACGGTTTTCCCCCCCACATCGTGATTGTGGTCCACAAGACAGTCAAGCTGCTACTGCAAGGCTATCAAAGCAAGTATCGCCGGATTTTGAGTTTCCCATGCCATATGGCTGTCTTCCGGTGACTTCTCACGCCTCTGTTGGGATAACTGTCTCTCCCGTGGGGCCGTTGCCGCGTCCAGTTACTCGAGAGTGGGAACACCCTGCCCACCTACCTCCGGAGACACTTAGGCGCGATTGCAACTTTGTTAAGCCAGCAGAGAATCTGGAATACCTGGTCGAAAGGCCTGGCCGGCGTAATTCTGAAAAGATCAAGGGCACTGTCCGTTACCACTCACAGAGACGGCCGTCTAACCGGGACGAATTTGATGGACCCCATCAGTTGCTAGATATTCCCTCCCCGCGTATTATAGCGGCTCAAGGAAGGGATCTCCCTCATCTTCCTACTAATCTTGATGTTTCAGAGCAAGATCGAATCTTGAGCGCAGTGAATGACCGGCTGTCGCAATGTGCATTTGACTTTGTTGCAAAGTATCAATTTCCGATTCCCTTGGAACCAGACAAGAGACAGGTGAGGATTCCCTCAGACCGTGAATGGACTGAGTGGGTATATCTCCTTAAGAGACTGGCCACCAAGCGCCGCATTCCCGCCCGGGTCTTGTATAATGGACAAATCAAGCAATTAGTCACGGTGCTGGAAAACTCCCTGGAAATGAGACATGCTGCCAAGCATCAGTCTAGACCTATCAAGGATGATCGGAATGTTCTCCAGCTGATTTCAGCTGGGACCCAAGTGGCAAAGATCCTTAAAGATGCGAGTGCCATGGAGTACTTAGACCGTCTTTATGTTGACACGGAGAAGCGCATCCAGGATCGACGTACTCGCCGGGTCAAGTTCGCCAATCCATGAATAAGTCCTGGTTCTTTCAAGTTTGAATGTGATATTCCCATACATTATGGCCATTTTCTCTCTTTGCTGCAAACCAGACCCCGTTGGAAACCATCGTGTCCTAAGTCCTGTGGTACATTTCCGTTTTCCCATAATAGGCTATTACCAGGAATGCCTCCTTGCGGAAGCCAACCTTTTGGCTTTGGATCACCCGGACTTCTAATTTCTCTCCACTTGGTCGGAATATATAACCCTTTCTCGGATCCCGATGGTTGATGGATAATACAGCATTCCAAGTTTTGGCCCGTGAGAATCTAAGCCCGGAAATCATCCTTCTGGAGAACCCATGGATAACGAAATATACTGAGGTCCCTTCCTGAGCTGCCCTTGGTCACCACTAGGGTACATGTCGCACTCGTTATTGTGCTTTAACTCAAATTGTGATGTCATGGTTCTTTTTTGCCCTCTCTTCTGGTCGTGCTGTTTGGTTCTGCGTTTTGTTCTGGCTTTTTGAGTACACTTGTTTACTGCATAATCAAACCAGGAGGATGTCTATTCACCTTGCCTACTTCTATGTTTAATGTCCGCTTATTTTGACCATACTGAACTGTATGTATTTGTGGTGTGGGTACTTCCAAGTTTTGTCATTCCCCCGTTCCGACCTGCTCGATGGACGACGATGGAGTAAGCTACTGGTTGGCCTCCCCGATGCCCGTTTGATTATACACAACTGGATGATTGAATGTCTGTTATGTCTCCGCTTGTCTTGTTCATAATCTCTCCTGGCTACAATGGTCTGGCTTTTTGAATCCGATGTGCTATTTCCATGGTGGCCTAAACCGCAGATGTGTCCCTAGTCATCCAAAGGACGGGAGTGACAATGCACTATCCCACAGCTGGAACTTCTGTGGAAGGTATTTTTCATGAGCTCTCTTACACCCCATATCCCCTTGCCGAACGGGGAATGAGTGGTTAGGATACCTTTGCAGCTCAAGGTTGCCGACATTGCGTTTGGCTATGCCGCTCACACGCTACCAAAGAATAAAGAGACAAAGGAGGCAGAAGCAAGAAATAGCCATCCAAGGGTCTGGTAGGGTTACTAGGGATATGTTGATAATTTGATAGCTGCACTTGCAGCTAATCCATATTCTTCAATTTGTAAATCTCGCATCCCCAGGGTTTCCAGATGCCATGATCCTTCTTCAATTGTTCAACTTGTGCCTGTGGCTCGCTTCGAACATCTGCTTATTGCCTATGGTTACTAACAATAATATGCTCTCAGCATGATGATTTGATGGAAACGAGTCGAAAAGGAAGGAACATTCGATGAACTGACTACAGAGGCGTTGAATTCTACGTTCTATGAAATATCTACCGTCTGTGCAAAACACCTAGGTTCAACTATATCCATGGTTTATCTCTGTCTCTATAAACAAGACATGCGTTTACTCGCGAAGTGAAAAATAAAAGGGGAGAAAAGGAGGGGGGGCACGAGTTCACATAACAGGCCACGAATATCGATCAACAAGGATCTATGCATCATTAAGATCTTTTAGGCAAAATCTGTGTCCAAGTTTCACTCAAAAGCCCAATTGTCATCTGTAGTATAGGCAGGGGTGAAAACCGGCTGGGTGTCTTCCACACCAGTACTCCAGCGACCGCTATACTTGATATGAATGCAGAGGCGAGTCCATAGCCGAGTATCCTGCCTTGTCTGCGGGCCACCTTGACGACGTCGGAGTACCGCTGAGTACTGAAGCTGACCCGAGCATACTGTGTCTTCCAGCCCAAGCTAGGCACATGGAGATCCAACATTTCCTCGATTGACTTGCGGATTTTGTATAGTGGGGTCTTCACTCCCCAGCGCATCTCTAGATAATTTTGCTTGGATAAGTCGTTGATGGCGTGCGCATCAGCCGTACGTTGATCAGTGTATGCCTGGAAAGCTGTTCGGCGAGATTCTCGACGAGCTTCGAGGCTTGCGTTCAAATCATATGCGCTGTGCTTGTCCAAGAACTCGAAGAGGACACGAACATCTTCAAGCCCTGCGTTGAGGCCTTGTCCATAGAAGGGAAGGATGGCGTGGGCGGCATCTCCGACAATAACGACATTGGAGTCATAATGGTGGGGTCTGCTTTTGATGCTGATCAAGGGGAGGTGAGGGTTCTCTTTGAATTGCTCCTGCAGAGCTTCCGGGGTAATTAGATCCGGGCATACACCGGGAAAGTTAGTATCAAAGGATTCGACCAGTTTCTGTGACGAACTCTCTAGCTGTACATAGTGGGCTGCAGGGGCAAACAGAGTACACGTAAAAGATTTGTCCGGGGACGGGAGGGCGATGAACATGAACTCCTTCCCAGGCCAAATATGCAGATGGTTTGGGGAGATACGAAAGCCCCCACTGTCCGATGGTGGAATTCGAAATTCGCACCACAACGTATCAATGTACTCCTGTTGGTAGTCTACTCGAGAATATTTCATCATATGGTACCTCGAGGCGGAATGGGCACCGTCTGCACCGATCAAGTAGTCAAAGCTTACTTCAATCTCAGGGACACGGTTGGAGGAGCCGGGAAGGGGTGTATCCCCTGGAGCTCGCCGCTCAAACCATGCTCTGTTTGAATGAAAATCCGCACCAGTCAGTTTGTGATTGAAGAATAGTTTGACGTTCGGTGTCCGCTCCAGCTCATCAAGGAACGCATTGTTCAACGTGCCTCTGTCTACTGAGTTGATGGCCTGGGAACCTGTTAAGTATTGCTCTCCTCAAAAACAAGTTGGTAAACACTAACCTGGCCATGCACGTCGTATGCTTGTGCGGCTTCCCAGAGCTTTCCATCGTCTCTCCCGTGGATCATACGACCATGCATCGGAATGGCATCTTTCAGGATATTTTCGATCATGCAATGGCGATTTGACCCTTTCAGGGATGAGATCCCCCGTTCGGAGAGAGCGAGATTGATTGACTTGGTGAAATTTAATGGGATCGTGGTAGGATCGCGGAGGTCTGCGTGTTACCCCACGACGTGAGAAAAAGGCCCAAATAGACAGACATTACAAGTGATATATATCAGATCATGGTGTCACTCAAAACCGAAAGGAAATCAATTCCGCAAGGATAAGCCTTCCCAGAATGTAGGACCTTATACGGTCTAGCATGGATGTTGACTCACCTCCACGCAACTCATATAGTTCGACCTCATCGCCTCTGGCGGCAGCGTATAGGGCTGCTAAAGATCCGACCGGTCCGGCACCTACGATGACTACCTTTTGCTTCCTTGGAGCCTCCTGTGCCATGGTGACCGTAAAATCGAAGGAAGTTTATCACGTCAAGTGTACCTTGTTACTGAATATTTCCCCCCCTTAGAAAATCCCCTCCTATATCATCAACTACTATGGCTCATGGAAATGACTGATCGAACCTTCCCCCACGTGACCAACACGTGAGTGGCATCGAATGATTTTCTCCCAATTAAGGTAAGCGTTGGTTGCGCCATCCTCTTCAAATTCGATTGCTCCAAGCCCGGTCACATGATTATTAGCCGTGCGCCTAAGGGCGTTTAAGCATGACCGACATATATCCTACATGAAGAGGATGCACTATCCCTATTCTGGATAGATATGTCAGCATTTTGGGTATAGTCGCTCTTGGACCGAGACTGCATCCGTGGGGGATTTTCGCCAATTTTTCCTACTTTTCGCAACTTTTCATCCTTTCAGTGGACTTGACCTTTTGTCGCACTTGTTGTTTGTTTCTCATTCCTTTAGTATATAATTTTCTGCCTTTACGTCATAACATGGCAGTGGAAACTGCGACCCGGAAATGTATTGGGGTGGATTGCGACAAGATCGCGGGAACTTTACAGTGTCCGACATGCCTTAAACAGGGCACGGATAGCTTTTTCTGTTCACAGGAATGTTTCAAACGGAGTTGGGTAGGCTTCCTTGTGTGGCCCATAGGGTCCACGCGTCTCGCAATCTTTTCTCGTGATCTTTCTCATATACTAATGCTGTTGTAGAGCGAGCACAAGGGCATTCATAAAGCAAAGAGTAATATCCTCACCAGCCTGTTTCCGCCAAAAGTAGTTTCTGAACCAGATCCAGCCACCGGCCTATTCAACCCTTTCCCGGCCTACCAGTTTACCGGTTCTTTGAAACCCGTCTATCCGCTGTCACCCCGGAGAACAATTCCCAAATCGATCCCTCATCCCGATTATGCCAAAGACGGCATTCCTCGATCAGAGCAGAAGTTCATTGGCCGACATAACATTACCATCCTGAACAAGGAACAACAAGAGGGTATGAGGAAAGTTTGCCGCCTGGCCCGTGAGGTGTTGGATATTGCCGCACGGGAGCTGAAGCCTGGTATTACAACCGATTACCTTGATGAGGTGGTTCACAAGGCCTGTATAGAACGCGATGTAAGTTGCCAGTGTACCCTGGGGGGACCCAGCGAGCTTAGCCGAGTCGCTTGATACTGAGTCAGGTATAGTCCTACCCATCGCCGCTGAACTATATGCACTTCCCCAAGTCCGTTTGCACGTCGATTAACGAGACCATCTGTCACGGTATCCCCGACCAGCGCCCGCTTGAAGACGGTGACATCATCAACATTGATGTGACACTGTATCATAATGGCTTCCATGGTGATCTTAACGAAACCTACTATGTCGGAGAAAAAGCTCGGTCAAATCCAGATGCCGTCCGAGTCGTGGAGACGTCTCGGGAGTGTTTGGAAAAGTCCATTGAGCTGGTGAAGCCCGGCATGCTGTTCAGAGACCCAGGAAATGTCATTGAAAAGCACGCAAAGAGTCGGAACTGCAGTGTGGTCAAGAGCTACTGCGGTCATGGCATCAACCAGCTGTTTCACTGTGCTCCTAATGTTCCTCACTATGCTAAGAACAAGGCGGTGGGGACTGCAAAGCCTGGAATGTGCTTTACAATTGAGCCCATGATTAACATCGGTACCCACAGGGACCGCACATGGCCTGATGACTGGACTAGCACCACCGCCGATGGATCTTTGTCTGCCCAATTCGAGCACACTCTGCTGGTGACAGAAGACGGTGTTGAGGTATTGACGGCTCGCCTACCAGATTCTCCGGGTGGACCTATCCCTATGCCAACAGCTGAAGCTAAAACCGAGGCATGAACTAAAATGTTAGAAAGGTCTATTAGAGTGAAGATGATTAGAGAATACGACCAAAACTATATAATGTCGTAATATCTAACTGGGCACGACGCTTATATGTGTATGGTATAATACATCTTTTTGAGTCATCTTTTGACCAAATATCTAGTCGTCCATAGTAAGTAGTAGTAACTTTATCGGCTATCCATGGCTCTGGATCTACTAGTAGGAGGGCCGATAGCCGATTTGTCCAATGAAAAGGGCTTGTTTTACGATCCAATTTGTAAGCCTAGTGGGGTCGCTTATCAGCACGTGATTTGGTGATGACCCGAAACCGGCAATATATGTACTTGCGGGCGGGATCGATCACCTTTCCTTCGTATTTGCCTCGATTGGTTAGTATTTAGCTCTTGAGCCGTGGAAGTGGTGAGGTGAGCATCATGCCCTCTGAAAGGATACCCACGGAGACATCCCCATTGCTAGGGTCGCGAGTAAACGGCAATCCTGCCCGTCCTCCCTCAAACGGCTCCATCTCTGGCTTGCGCGACACAGAGTCTCTAGAACAGAATGGCGAATCACAGGAAACACAAAATAAGAATACGAAGGAGGCAACGCCAAGGCTAAGTCTTATATTTCCTGCGATCTCAATTGGCGTATGAAGTCATCTTTTGGAGCATGTAAGCCTATGCTAATCTATCAATATCAGGTCTTCTTATCTGCAGCCGACCAAACTATTATCATGGCTAGTTATGGGCAGATTGGCAGTGACCTCCACGCGCTGAATCTGACAAGTTGGATTGCCACCTCTTACTTCCTAACCTTGACATCGTTCCAGCCGCTATACGGAAAGTTGAGTGATATTTTTGGCCGGAAGGCATGCTTGCTGTGGGCGTATGCGGTCTTCGGCATTGGTTGCTTGTTTTGCGGTCTAGCACAGAACATTCATCAGCTGATTGCTGCACGTGTATGTGTATACTGAATATAAAATGTGGTTACGCAGTGGCTCATGGATGATATAGGTTTTCCAGGGCATTGGAGGAGGCGGTATGACAACGGTTGTCAGCATCCTATTGAGCGATATCGTTCCACTCCGAGATCGAGGTGTTTGGCAAGGGATTATCAACATTATATATGCCACTGGATCTGGAATTGGGGCACCATTTGGTAAGAAAAACATTGTCAGTGTTTGGTTCGCTCCATTAACGCTGTTCCACGTGCAGGTGGTATATTGGCTGATTATATTGGCTGGCGCTGGTATATGTCTTATCCAATGTGAAACGTTGCATATCTCTGACTCCTTATAGGGCTTTCATTGCTCAGGCCCCTATCTGCGTCCTTGCGTTTCTGGCGGTCTTTATCACGCTGGAATTGCCACCCCAAGAAGATAGTCATTGGAAAGATAAGCTCCGTCGCATCGACTTTCCAGGTGCGATTATTCTCGTTGGGGCAGTCTTTGGCTTCCTCCTCGGTCTTGATCGCGGCAGCAATGTATCCTGGACTATACCAATCACTGTGATCTCGCTGAGTGTATCGGCTATCTTATTCGTGCTCTTCGTTGTGGTCGAAGTCTTCTACGCAGCGGAACCATTTGCACCTGGTCATATTATTTTTGACCGAACTTTCTTTTCCACCTATGGTTGTAACTTTTTCAGTTTCGGGGGCTGGCTCGCAGCCCTCTTCTACATACCACTTTATTTCCAGGCTGTAGACGGTGTGTCTGCTACTGTCGCTGGGCTGCGTCTTCTTCCTAGCATCGTTGCCGGCGTTTCTGGGTCTCTTTTTGCCGGATTCGTTATGAAATGGACTGGCAAATTTTATTGGCTAACAGTAGTGGGGTATTCATTACTTACACTGGGAGTCACAATGATCTTCCTTTTCTCTGGCGGTGCAACCGAAAGCCTTGTGCCGATGGTTATGGGAATGGTGCTCTCGGGGTTTGGCAATGGGATTGGTGTCACGTCGACCTTAATCTGCCTTAGTAAGTTTCACTAGGTTCAGTTTTCGAGCATCAGACTTCTGACCTCGCTTGCAGTCTCCAATTCGACACCCGAAGATCAGGCAGTGGTGACGGCCTGTTCTTACCTCTTCCGGTCACTCGGCTCAGTAATTGGCCTGTCCCTATCTTCGACGGTGGTCCAGCAAATTCTACGAAGCCGGCTGAGGACTGCATTGCGCGACAGCAAAGATATCGACAGTATCGTGGACGGCGTGCGACAGAGCCTCGATTTTATCAAGACCCTTAACCCGAGTGTTGCAAAAGTAGTTCGAGGGTGCTATGGATGGGCCATGAACAAAGGCTTTGCATTTATGATTGCCATTGTGTTCTTTGCCCTAGTCAGCAGCTTCTTCATGCGTGAGAAGAAGCTGGGTCGTTGATTTGATCGGAGCTTAAAAAGAATCCTTCGGCAAACGTTATTCTGGGTTATGTAGATTTGACAAGAGAACGTTCCAAAGCATACGAGTACATTGCAACCTTTAAAAGAGAAGGACGATGAATTGAGATAGAGCACATCACATATGGGACGACTGATCATGTACAAACGAAGTTATCGAGCGTCTGTTAACCTTTTTGTGATCTAGTAGTAGTATACCACCTAGAGAGGCGGGTAGTGAGCGGAGCAATCACCATTAAATACTAGTGACAGTACAGTCCAAGAAAACTTGGTCATATTAGTGGCCCTCCGACCACCCACTGGCGAAAGGCGGTGGGTGGTCGGAGGGCCACTAATACCTACTACTACTACTGATGAGTAGACTTAATCTGTTACAAACTCCGAAGGCGGTCAGTTAATAGACAACCGCCTCCAACTCTTCCCCAACCACTACTTATACTACACTTCTCACCGTTGTTGTCTTCTCCGTTTGAGAGCCTTGTTTGTTATAAGCTTTTTTTTTCTAACTTCACCCGTGCCTCCTACAAAAATGATGGACCCATTTAATAAACCATAGACCATACGCTGTTGCAAACACCGCTATGTCGGGACCTCAACCACGGCTCGCCTTGTCACGATACCGTCCTGTTCTCTACCTACTCACCGGTGTCGCAGCAGCCTACGCTCTTGTCTATATCAACAATCTCATCATCTCCTCCTCGTCCCAACAATCTCTTCGTCGCCGAAGAACTATTCGGCGCCCGCGCGGTCTACGGAGACATTCGGAAAGTGTGCCCATCGAAACTCCTTCGTCTCGAGCCATCGCCCACCTTGAGCAACTAGAGCGCCAGAACGGAGTATATGGCACATTTCGTATAGAAACAGAAGATGGTCGACGTGTGGAAAGCGGGTTGCTCCCATCGCTACTCGCGACTCGAGACCAGCTCATGGAGGAAGTCGGTGTTCCTCAGGCTCATGCGGAACGGATGCGTGAGATGATGGAGGATACGTTTCTGGAGTCGTTCCTCGCTTTGGACTTTCCGCCGGCGCATATTCTGGAACAGGGCAGTGCGGAAAGAAACTATTTAACTGAGCAGCTTCAGCGGCGTGGGATCTCGCGCGCGGGGATCGAGAGGGCGTTGGCTCGGTTTAATGAGGACAACAATTACGGGGAAGAATTACGTCGCCGACGGCAGAATGGTGAGAGGGTTACCTTGTCGACCTCCACTTTCCCTGATGAATCTTCGCCCGTGCAGAATCCGGATGGCGGGGAGACAGTGGTCGATGACCAGAGTGTCTTTTCCTGGCGCGAGGGGAACAATGACACGTCTCCGACAAGGGAAGGCCAGAACCTCCTCAATCTTCTTTATCATATTGCAGAGGACCAAGCAAGGAGAGATGGCTATATTCATAGGGGGGTGACGTGTAATAGCTGCGGTGCTATGCCTATCCAAGGCATTCGGTACCGGTGCGCAAACTGCATTGATTATGATCTCTGTGAGACGTGCGAGGCGATGCAGGTCCATATCAAGACCCATTTGTTTTACAAAGTACGGATCCCGGCTCCGTTCCTAGGAAACCCTCGGCAGTCCCAGCCTGTCTGGTATCCTGGGAAACCCTCTATGCTTCCACGCAGTCTGGCTCGATCCTTAGCCAAACGTTTGATGAAGGACACTAACTTCGAGAACACGGAGCTGGACGCTCTTTGGGATCAATTCCGTTGCTTGGCAAATCACGAATGGGCAGATGACCCTAACAAGCTGTATATGGCGATCGACCGGAAAACATTTGACCGATGCTTTGTGCCTAACACTTCTGTCCGCCCACCGCCTCCTAGCCTCATTTACGACCGAATGTTTGCTTTCTATGATACGAACGGTGACGGCTTAATTGGATTTGAAGAGTTCCTGAAAGGCCTCGCAAGCCTCAATAATAAGAGCAATGATGAAAGGCTGCGCCGTGTTTTCCGTGGCTACGATATTGATGGCGACGGTTACGTGGAACGGAAGGACTTTTTACGAGTATTCCGAGCATATTATGCTCTCAGTAGAGAACTCACTCGAGACATGGTTGCGGGTATGGAAGACGATTTCTTAGAGGGTGGTGCGCGAGATGTCGTTCTTGGGAGTCAGCCAATCAGCTCTGCATTCCCTGGAAGCATTCCTACAGGAGAGGTCTCTAGAACTGGAGAAGGCAAACGGGTCAATCATGAAGGAGACATGGAGATCGTGGACAACGAAGGCATCTTGCGCCCCGATGGGACTGACACCGGTGATCGGCATGCCGTCGTTGGTGACGCTGCTGTTAGAAGCCGATACGGAAGTATCCGACCACTGTTTCCATCCGTCCGGCTACCTAATCAAGGAAGGCGAAGCCTAGGAGGTGAGAATGCAGATGATGCTAGCAGTTCTGATGGCTCCAGCTCGTCGATTGCCACAGATCGCTGGCCTCCGGCTGAACATATTCGCGATGAAGATATTGTGACAGCTCTTGGGGCCTATGTTCCTTTATCAGAGGTCACCGATCCAGTTGACAGAGCTCGGATTGGCACGGCTGTATACCACAGAATGTTTGATGATGATGATAGACGAGTGGATGCAGCTCGCAGGCACGGGATCGATGAACGGTGGCGTCGTAGGGCATTCTATACCGATGAAGAAGATGGCGCCAATGCTCCTGCAGGCTACGAGACTGACTCAAATGTGGATGATGTGTCGATTGAGGATGAACTTCATAATCAACACTCAGAGTTTGAGTCACACCCGCCATCTCCTCGTTCTCGTTCTTCGTCCAAAGTGCGATTCCAGGACGATGTTACTGATGACTATGATGTGAGGTCGAACCCATCGACATCCTCTCGCAGTATACTCGTTGGTGAGCGGTGGGGAGGCTTCGAAGTCCCGGAAGTTGAAAAGGATGTTGGAAAAGAAATCCTTTACCAAGTCACGCAACAAGGGTTCAACGAACTACTTGACATTCTGTTCAAGCCGAAGGAAGACCTACTCATGGAAGTCTATCGAACTCGCACTGAGCGCAAGATCTGGGCTCGAGAGATTGAACTGGCAGAACAAAGGGATACTCAAAGTGATACTCAAAGTGATACTGGGAAGCATTTCGACCGACCGGAGGAGCGGAATGTGGACGGTGAGATTGAAGAGGAGCAGAGGCCTTCCTTGCATAACCCCTTCAGTGACAGGCCGCTTGAAGAGCTTCTTGACCGGGCGGGATATTCCATCCAGAGCCCACCTCTAGAGCCCGTTCGGGACGGCCCTGTTCTTGCTACTCCATCTCCTGTACTGCGACTTCCTGACGACGCCGTACGACCAACTCACAATGCTGACCCTGAAGAGGACCTAGCAGAGTCTGCTGTACCCGAAACCCACCAAGAAGAGCTTGGCTTTGCGCCGGCTGCTCCGTCACCAGAATCCCCAGTATCGGAACGGAGTCGACCAGTCTCTATTGATTCCGAGTTTGACCCTACATTACCTCACCATCGTCCTAATGAAGATACTCAAGACAGCTCCGTACCACACATTATCTCTTACAACGCCTCCTCAACACACTCGACCTTCCAGCAATCCCTCCCCGCCGAACTCCGTCTCCAACCCAACGGCACAACTTCCTTCCCTGTGCCTCCTTCTATAGCCGCCTCCTCCCCCGAAGCAGAAGCAACAGCCCCTAAACCCTCTCCCTCATCAATTCAACCCCTGCCTCCCGTATCCACTTCCACCCTTCCATCTCGAGATGGCCCCACCATACCCCCGTCGCCCTTAATCCTCTCGCGCTGGGCCTACCTTAATCATGTCGAGCGTGAGGCAAAGGAACGGGGAGGCACAGGCGCCAAACTTAGTTTCGAGGAATTCTCGCGCCGTATGGCAGCAGACCGTGGACGGAGGCTGGCCTTTGTAGCCAGTTGGATTGAGATGGCTAGCTTTTAACTGTGACATCTATTTCTTGACTCTTACCTTTTACTTTCATGTTTGTCATCGATGGAGGATGGGTGTGTGTGTGTGTGTGTGTGTGTGTGTGTGTGGACGAATATACGTAGCTTCAATTCATGTATATTAATAGCGAACAATGCGAGGAAACTTAAGGTAACAAAAATCTACAATTTAATCGATCTTCTAACATAATCCTGTGCTCTCCAAAGTTCACTTGGCTATTATAAGTCTAATCATTATAGATAGCCTCAGGTTATTCCAGGTCACCATTCCCATGATCCGGGCCCGTAGTTGAGTATATGTATGCTCATGCAATATAGGATGGTATAGAAAGTAGAAAGTGTTGAAGAAGGCATAGCGATCACCTTGGTATATCAATTTTAACAGAGCAAAGAACAGAAAGAAAACCAAAAAAAAAAAACTAAGTCTAATCCCAATACCGAATCACACCATCCAATCCGCCAGTAGCAACCTTACTCGTCTCCTGAGGATGCCAGTCAAGACAGGTCGTCGCACCACCTTCCTTACCGCTCGCCATGATTTTGTGGTACATTTTCCCGGTCTTCCAATCCCAGAAGCACACGTATCCGGCGCTATCACCGGAACAAATGAACTGGCCATCTGGAGAGATCTTGAGGTCGATGGCATAGCCGGCGTTATTGTGACCGCGGAAACTCTTCTTCCGGTTTTGGCGGAATTTGTCCGTGGCACCGTAGACGACGATCTGGTTATCGCCGGATTGGAAGGCGACGTATTTGCCGTTTGGATGGGGTGCTGCTCGTGTGAGGGCGAACATGTATGGTTCCGCGATGAATTTGATCGGCACGGGGATGCCGTATTCCCAGGCGCGGAGGGATTTGTCGTCGGATGTGGAGATGAAGCGGCGGTTTTCGTCAACGAAGGTGATGGTGTTGATTGCTGCGAGATGGTGGTCGTATTCTTGGACCAGCTCGCCGGAGCGGGTGTCAAATTGGACGATCTTCTTGTCTGACATACCGGCCAGGAACTCGTGGGAGTGTTCCGCGCCGGGGTTGAATCGAACAACGTGAGGTGTCTTGCCGGTAGAGAAACGACCGAGGCATTTGCCGTATTCTGTGTCCCAGAGTTTGATCTGGCGGTCGTAGGATGCTGTGAGGAACGTCTTTCCGGTGGGGTCGAAATCCGTGTCGGTGATAGCTTTGGAATGGCCGGAAAAGGTGCGAAGAAGCTCACGCGAATGATAAACGTCCCAAATCTTCGCCTTGCCATCCGCTGCAGACGAGAGTAAGAGATGGCCGGATTGAGGGAAAAAACGAAGCGATGTGATGGCTTTGGTATGTGACTTCCAGGTGTGAATGAGCTTCTTGGGGATGAAGTTCTTGACACTGCCAACATCCTTCTTGAGATCGACGTCCAGATCTTGAGGTACATGCATGTACGTCCGTCCCATGTAGTCGAACTGTTCGGACCCGTGAAATTCGGTGGTTTCCACTTTGGACGAATCAGCCTGGTAGTCCGTCGCCTGCTTGCTCATGGCAGGCATATGAGCTGCGGCGATCTCCTCTTCCTCTTCTTCAACATATTCCTCATCACTGGCAAGTTCACGATCCTCAGCAGCCTCTGTTTCCTCGTATACATGATCATCATCCTTATATTTCGCCCACGGTCCTAGATACGCGCCCTCGCCCTCAACAATGCTTGAATCGCCCTTCCTTTGCCGCTTTGCCCGTAATGCTGCCGATACCTCCTTCGAGGGCTTCATCTGCACGATATCCCGGCCTCCAAGCTGCGCTGCCCGGTCTAAATCGCCTACGATCTGGCCCGGTAGGCCGGGATTGCGCGTGTACCCTAAGCTCTGGAAAGTGCGGTGTTGCGCGGCGAAGGTGGCTGCACTGATTGCTGCTTCCTCTGCGTATCCGGTTGGCACATTTTTGCGCTTGAGCCCATTTGCGGGACCATCTGGTTTGAAAGGGTTCGCCGGGCCTTGGTTGGGGCGAGAGAGGTCGTCGTATGTTGCATTGTAAGTGAGAGCTTGGGAGGACGTGTTAGCGAGCATCATTTGCATGTGAGCTTGATCCTGTACAATTGTTAGATATCACATGGCTATGACAAGCAACGTCTGGAAGGGCATAAATAAGATAAGGAAAGAAAAGAAAAGAAAGATGTTGGAGAGGCAAAGAGAAGGGAAGATAAAGGACGAGAGTTTCTAGGGACCAAACCTCTGTATTCACTTCTGGCGCCGCGACGATCTTAGTTGCCGTTGGTGCGGTAATTTGAATCTGGGGGCGCGTTGTCTCATCATCGCTGGATTCATAGCTTGTACCTAATAACGACGCCATGGTATACTGTGAGACTGTACCTCCACCAAAGAAATTCGCTGGTAAGGTAGAAGGGCAAGGGCAAAGTGGTTGGATTTATGAGCGGAAGTTTAAGTTCTAGGCGGAAATTTTTCGGGCGGCGAGAGAGTCCCACTGCGAAGACTGCACTCTCTAGACAACAAACCAGCTTCTCTCATTCCTATACACAACCGAGTTGCTCTTTAATTATATACTATTACATAGACACAGAAAGGGTATCGTACGCTCTTCATTGACACACTGCTTGAGTGGTGGTATATACAGCACATCAGACATCAAGGAATACATTCGCAACGTCAAACAATACACGCAAATTATCTCAATTAACCTGCATCACAGCGATGCAGTTGTTACTCACCATCCCAGTCTAAGTCGTTATACCAAAATGATTGGTCATCACCCCTACCCGTCGTCAAAATCCTCATCATAGGCATATCCTACATTTCATCCATCTCCCGACATAGCATCGAAATCGATAACCTGGGCAAACCCAGCTTGGCGACTTTAAAGCGTCCATGTACTCTGCCGGAGAGTATTATCATGCGTATCCAGCCTCACTCATTGCAAGTCAGGAAGCGCACCACGCGATGCTTTTGCCAGAACGGCCACGGCGCATCGCATGTTCCACCTTGCGGCAACCTTAATGGGACTCATCGCGGATCAAAGCAACAATCATGCTGTACAGGTAGAAGAAAAACATCAAAAGATGGAAACCCAACTTAATGAAAGATTCCTGAAATCGAGGTCAGCCGAGTAACTAATGACGTAGATCCCGAGCAACCGACCTTCTTGTGTACGTTGAGCTTGCGGAAGATCTCGGTCGCATCCAGAAGGTGCGCATTATCGTAGATCCTAAACGTACGATATCTGGTTAGTGTGGCCTGTCCACGAAACACGCCCGTTGGCAAGTCTGAGTTGAGAGAGACGTACTTCTTGGCATTGAATGCCAACAGAGGCAGGTTCAACACGATCGCAAGCCAGTAGCCATTGATCACGAACAAGAAAGTGAGGAAGGCATGAACGGCGGCTTCGGGGATAATGTAGGCATTGAGGCGGTTGCAGAGATCGATAGGGTTGATGTAGTCGCTGCGGGAACGGAACGCGGGTTAGCTCCGTCATTTGGTCGCAATTGCTTACCGATATGGAAAAAAGGTTGGAGCTCCTCCCACAATCCTAAAGCAAAAATAGGAGCAACATACCATTCCAGATCGCTATACATGATGGTAAAGAACACCTGCAGGAACAGGTTGACGGCGTTGATCAACACCGCTAACAGGTAGAGCCACGCTTCGCCGGACATGCTGGGCAGACTCGAGAGACTATGCTCGGGGGAATGGCTTCGGAGGAGTAAAGGGGGAAGAAAGAGAGGTGGATGGGAAGAGCCGCTCTCGGGGGTAGAGAAAAGAAGTTGGGCTACGCGGAGAGGAGGGGAATCAGGAGAAGACAGCCGGTAGCAGACGACGTGAAGATAAATTGGAGGTGGAAAGTTGAGGCTGGAGAGCGATTGATGGGGTGTGGGCGGTGAGTCTAGAGATTACCTACAATTACAGTATTGGTACATAAACTCATCCATACCAGTATACGTACTTGTAGTATGTACATACATTATCTCCACAAACAAGTAGGTGAATGATTTAATATGCAATTATTCTTGGAAAGGCAAAATGAAAGGGAAGTAAAATCTTGCAGATAAGGTCTCTATTATTAATATAATCCGTAAACCCCAGGACAAGAATGCTGCTATCGTGGTACGATTCAAATGCGATATCGCTGTGGGATGCCTCAGTCCAAAAGTGGAGTCTCCCATCACCACACCGCACCTACTCGTCTACGGAGTACTGTATGTAGGAAAATGCACAGTGTGTTGCTGGAGGAAACAGTCCCTGGGTCTCTTACGAATGATAATTCCCGAATCTCGATCACGGGAAAGGGAAAGAAAAGAGAAAGGGAAAAAAGAATGAGGGTAAAAGACGATGACGTTTGGGGGGAGGAAGGGAACACGTGCTTCCATCCGCTTCCTACTTGTACTGTTGTGTTTCTTATCGCTTCAATAAATCTCATTCCTCATACGGGCGTATATACATTTCTACTGGATCATCTTCCCCCCTTGAAAAATTTAGAGAGGAGCTAAATGAACATAATGTCAAAGGTGAGGGGAGGCAAAATAAGAGAAAGAGAAAATTAAATGAAAAGAAATCAACCCAGTTAAGAGAGACTGAAATAAAAAAGGAATATGGAGAACATGATACAGGACCTGTCGGGGATAGCCCCAGTCTCACTGAGTGTAGATGAAAGGATGTGTAGGAGTTCCGGAGAGGTTACCGTTTCTCAACAAGGAAAACATGCATCGCTCCGTAGGCAATCACAATGAACGCCCCAGATATTATACCTAATCCAATGACATCCTTCCAAAATGCCAACGTATCAAACCCAAAGGCGCTCAAAATGGAAGCCCCCGGAACCTCAATATCCAGTCCATACTTGTGATCGATCAACGTAAGGAACGTCACTTCATTGACAATCAAGGCCTCAAAGCCGTAGTGGAATATGGACAGCTGGAAAAAAGGGAAAAAGAAGAAATTGGTTAGCCTTGTGCATTCTACCTTCTCGAATTGGGAGTGTTGAAGAACTTACGGTTTGTAACCACAAAGCGGACTTGGGGATTGCGTCGTGATTGAGGAGCAGACCGGCGAATAACAGACTGAACAGCATCACCAAGCTGCCAATCAAGTTGGCCACTCCTCCGTCGCGGAAGACGATGCCAATGAAAAGGCAGATGTTGGCAGCTGCCAGGTTGAAGAGGACAAGCACCAAGATAAATCGGAGAAACTCCGGCCATGCCGGGATCAGTCCGGTCATGGGATACACGATGATTCCCATTATCACCGGGGGAAGTAGTCGCAGAGGCACGATGTCGAATACCACCTTGGCCGCGAAGTACGTAACGGGGTGGTAGTAGCCATTGGCCCGTTCACGGACAAACAAGAGTCGCTCCGCTGAGAAAACCGTAAGACTAGTAAGTGTACTGAACCCGAACAAGGCGAGAACGAAGAAGAATAGACCAAGGCGGTTTTGAAAACCCTTGATATCGTCTGTTAATCCATAAAATAGGTATCCGCACAGCACAGCGAGCAGAATAGAGATAGCATAGTGAGTTAACATCAACATAGGATTCCGGTACAGGTTCCGCCAAGTTCGCTGAGACAGAATAAGAAACTGCCGGAACAAGCCAACCCGGGCATAGCTCTTGGCCGTTCCAGTATGAGGATCGGAGAGAACATCCGTGTTGGCCGAACCATTTGCGGTACGAGCATGTTGGACGGCTGCCACAATTTCGTCGTGGACGGAACGAGCAACATCTGAAATGGAGTAATTCGCAACCAGTATGTCAAGGTCAGTCTGACCTGGTGCAACTGGCGGTAACTCGTCAGGGTCATCAAGGATCTGGGGTGGAACATGGGCCGGCTGTCGAGAAAGGCGCAACCATTGCTGAGGGTTCTCCACCACGTCACCTACATCCTCCTCATCTGTTCTAGGGGTAGCAGGACGCTCACGATCTTTCTTCCGAGAATAGAGCTGTTTATCTTGGCGTTGTTTGAGCGAAACTCGGCGGTTATTCTTCGGTCTTCGATTTGCTTCCAGCGTGCTACTAGAGTTGTCCTCGATACTCGCGTTTGACGCACTAGCAACTGACTTGACGGCCCGCAAGCTGCTAGATGCAGTCCTAGGTGGATCGGAACGCACATCTAACAGAGGAGATACGACTTCACCACTATGAGACCGGGTAACGCTGGCGTGCATCGTAAGATCCACGAGGTAGTCCGCGATATTGAATCCAGGAGGGCAAGAATATCCGGAGTTGTCAAAGTACTGCTGGCATGTCGAAAAGAGGCCCGAGTATACAGTCTTTCCCTGTGCTAGGAGAACAAGCCGGTCGAATAAAGCGACGATGTTGGATCGTGGCTGATGGATAGTGAAGATGACCGTCCGGTTGTAGGTCTTCGCTAGGGTCACCAAGCACTCTACTACGTTAAAAGCGTTAAAGGCGTCCTACTTAGACATATTAGCGATTTCCGAGTGTTTAGAAGTCGGGTTACTTCTCGTATCTTACCAATCCGCTAGTAGGCTCGTCCAAGAAGAGAATGCTAGGGCTAGTGACTAGTTCGCAGGCAATTCCTACTCGGCGTTTCTCGCCACCAGAGATACCCCGGCCTTTGCCCTCCTCTGACCCGATTAACTGGTCCCTGATATGATAGATCCCAAGCTGCTTTTCAACCTCAAATACTCGCTGTTCTTTAGAGGCTCGGCTCATGTCCCGGGGAAGTCGTAATAGCGCGCTCGTCAGGATGGTCTCATGTACAGTCAAGGTAGGAAGCATAGTGTCTTCCTGATCAACAAAGCCTATCATGCTTCTAAAATTATGATCATTCACCTTTTCGCCGTTGACATAGAAGTCACCGCGGACGGCACCCCGCTTGTTCTTTCGGGCAAGGATATCTAGGAATGTTGTTTTCCCCGCACCTGAAGCGCCCATAATGGCTGTTATCTGACCCGGCTCTGAGACACCCTGAATCCCAGATAGGATTTCCTTTCCGTTCAAGTAATAAGACACGTTATCCCAATACAAGGCTGCCGGCTTGTGGTCTGCCAAGAGCTTGGCAGCTTCATCGTCAGAGTCATCGGAGAGAGGCAACTGAATACGACCCCGATACGATCTGCGCGACAGATACCACACGGTCAGAATCACCGCCACGACAAAGAGTGCACATCCAGCAATTACACCGGCGATAAGAGGTGTGTTTATTTGTTTCACAGGACGTGTGTATCCAGGAACATCTGTTTTGTATAAGCATTCCCCGGAATGGCACTTAAGAGAGATACTTTCGTCCCCGAACACGCTCTTGATCAGGTTATCCATGGCCGGTTCCTGGAATTTGCTGCCATCTTCCACACTACCGCCAACGGTAGATACTGACGTGAAAGAAGCAGGACCTTGGATGGACTGGTCGAGAAAATCTCCGATATCAATCGAGCCCTCTTCACCACATAGCATTCGACCCGGAATGCACTTGCATTTGATATTGTCGCATCGATAATGAGTCTTGTTTCGATCGTGTGTGGTTTCCAGTCCCCATTCACAGGTGTCCAAACCGCAATAAAATGATTCCATCTGGTCTACCCAAAACTGGAAATTACAGGTATTATCCTCCACCTTACAGGAGAACGTCACCTGAGGCTTCTTCTCCTTGAGTTGATCGAGGATTTTGCGATTAGTCACATCGCACATCTGGAAGTTTTCCTTGACGGTGACACCTTGCGTATAACAGACGCCCCCTTCACCTTCAGGCATCATGGCGTTGCAAACATCATCCCTCTGACAAACGTTGCAGTTAACTCCACCCCAGCCATCTTTGCAATTGCAGTATTTGTCTGTCCGGGGGGTCCTCTCGTGGCCGTCGGCCAACGATCCACACGTCGGCTTCGAGCAATCCTCACCAGCAAACCCAGGGGGGCACACGCATTTCCCCGACAGGTTATCGCAGGAAGAAAATTGAGCACACTGAAAAGCATCTAATTGACAGTTGAAGCATGGTGGACAATCGTCTGGGCGCTTATCAAAGGCACTGTAGAGTGGAGATACAACATGGGAGTCAGAATAGTTGCTCTGTGCTACAGCAGTAGACGCCGACAACGAGATCAGGAAAGCTAGATAGAGCTGAGATGGTGATTTTAATCGCATTGTGATCGGTGTGTGCGACGGTCGGACAACAATCGCCTCGCTTGCTCGCAATCTGGCTCTCGGGCCAAGCAGTGCGGAGTAACTAAATGACAGATGGAATCAGTCGGTAAGGCGACATTGATAAGCGCTCCTGGCCGATACTCGAGCGCACTTTCTATAGAAGGAAGAGAGATGCAGAAATTTCGCGCCAAAGACAAGACTAAAGAGAAGCAGAAACAAGGCACAGAAGGAACGGTGGTAAGACGCAGAGAGAGCAGTTGAGAGGTTGAGACGGTTGGCGCAAGTCACCGATGACGCGGGCGGAGAACAAGGAGATGCATGGCTGGCGGGTGCCTGGCAGCCTGGGGCATAAATCCCTTCTCACCGTAAATCAGCGGTTTAAATCCGAGGGGCCGACCCTTCGTTCACGTGACCCGTATTGAACGATTTGAGAAGCAAGTCACTATTGTGTGAGAGCGAAAAAATATAATCAATCAACAAAATTGAGATCCCTGAAGATTGCTCTACGAAGGCTTACCATCATGGTTCAGGTAAAAGAATTTGCTGTGGAACAAGTATGTACAATTTCTTCCTTTATTTCACCCCTTAATGACCCCGCATAATTTCAAGTTCTCTTGCTAACCCCATATTAAGTGGATGGATAAATATGAACACAGTGCTAAGTACAACATAGCAGAGACGTGTTGTGCCTCAATCTCACTGAAGGATCTGCAAGAGCTGTCTGAGGATAAATCTCTGAGTCCTTTGGACCTCGCTACCAAGCTCACATACGGGGCCATTCGAGGTTCAGAGCGGCTTCGAGGGACCTTGGCTAACCTCTACTCGGTCAAGACACCGACCCCTTTACCTTCTGATCACGTCTTGATCACCCCAGGTGCTATTCAGGCTAACTTCCTTCTGCTCTATTCATTGGTTGGGCCCGGTGACCATGTCATCTGTCACTACCCTACGTATCAGCAGCTCTACTCGGTCCCAACTTCGCTTGGAGCCGAAGTGAGCCTGTGGAAATCCAAGGAGAATAATGGGTGGAAATTAGATATTGACGAATTAAAGCAGATGATTCGCCCCAATACCAAGCTAATTATCCTTAAGTATACCACCACTCCTGTGCCTCATCGCTATGTTTCTTTGCCCAGCACGACTAACCCAAGCTCCGGGTGATAGTAATCCGCAGAATCCTACTGGGGCTGTGATCCCTCAAGCTACTCTGGAGGAGATCGTGGAGATTGCACGTAGCTCATCGATCTTTATCCATGCAGATGAGGTCTACCGGCCTATTTTCCACTCCATTAACCCCATGGAGCCTGATTTCCCCTCATCTATCCTATCGCTGGGGTATGACCGTACGATCGCAACTGGCTCAATGTCCAAAGCGTACAGCCTAGCGGGCATTCGCGTGGGATGGATTGCCTCTCGTGATCGGTCTGTTATAGAGACGTGCGCTGCCGCACGGCATTACACTACCATCTCAGTGAGCCAATTAGATGATGCCATTGCCAGCTATGCCCTAGATGCGAGCTGCATCCATAATCTCTTGAAGCGGAATATTCAGTTAGCAAAAACGAATCTGGCGATCCTGGAAAAATTCATCGAATCCTATCGGTGGGCATGCGAATGGGTCAAGCCACGCGCGGGAACGACGGCGTTCGTGCGATTCAGTAAAATGGGCAAACCAGTAAATGATGTTGCCTTTTGTGAAATGCTGCTCGATCGCACTGGCGTCATGTTTGTCCCAGGAAGTCAGTGTTTTGGTGAAGGGGAGGATTTCAGAGGCTATGTCCGGATCGGAGTTGTCCAAGAAACACATGTGTTAGAGGAGGGGTTAGAGGCATTGACAAAATTTATGGAGGATGGGTATGAAGAGGTTCCCGTCGTCAAGAAGAAATGATGGTAAGAGGTCCGAGAGCCATAACACAGGAGCTTATAGACTAAGTAGACTAAAATATGACAACTTCCTTAGTAGCATGTGAGATAGTTGGTATTGTCGATCAAAAAAGTTGTGGGGTAAACAAAGAAGAAAGGAAACTCTTTCGCAGTAGTGCTCTGTATTGTACCATCGGAAACTCCAGAATTGAGTGGAACCTAATGAGTGGACCCAAGGAAAAGTGGATCAAAGAAAAAATGTATAGTATGTCTTTCAAGAGAGAGCCGGGTCGGACTAAGAGTCACTGGACCCATAAATTGAGCCGAGGCAACCCCAATCGTCTTTGAACACCCTTGATCACCCACCTTTCCTCCCATGGAGGCGTCCATTTAAGTCCATTACTGTGCCATTGAGAGCGCCTACTATTCCTCCTACCGCTTGCTCACTTAGTCAATTTCAACTCATTCCCCTCGTGTATTCTTTTCTCGAGTATATACACATTAATCCCTACACCCTCCTAAGATGCCTTCAATCCCTCTGCCTGGTATGTCGAGTTAGCCGGAGTGCCAAAGGTCATCGATTACATACAATGCTAACCATATGTTTGGGGCTTAGATATTCCCCTTTCTATCGTTACGCCTGCGGTTGCCACCACACTTGCATACCTGAACGCCAAGTTCTCGTTATTCTATGATGTAACATTGATCGGAGGCTTAACCAAAGCCATTCTCAGATCACGCTTGGCACTACGCCGTGACCACCTGAACTTTTTTTATATACTAGAGCAGTACGCCCTAGCTCCGGCGACAAAGAATAACCAATTTATCGTCTACAATGGTCGTGTCTGGACCTTCTACGAAACTTACCTAATGGCATTGCGATATGGCGCCTGGTTCAAAAAAGTGCATGGTGTTCAACCCAAGGAGATTGTGGCTATGGACTTTATGAACTCTTCAACCTTCGTTTTCCTCTTGCTAGGCCTCTGGAGTATCGGCGCAATACCCGCATTTATTAATTACAACTTAGCAGGGAAGCCTCTTACACACTGCATCAGAACGTCAACTGCTAGATTATTGGTGGTTGACGATGAAATCCGTCAGCAATTTACACCCGAGCAAAAGGAGACATTGGCGTCGCCAGAGTTCCACGAAAATGGGGGCTCAGTCGATGTAGTCTTCTTCACACCCGAAGTGGAAGCCCAAATCATGCAGATGGAAGCCACACGTGAGGATGACAGCGTGCGTGGTGGTTCTGCCCTGCGTGACTTGGCTATGCTTATCTATACGAGCGGCACTACCGGTCTCCCGAAACCCGCTATCGTCAGCTGGAAGAAGTGCTGGAACGGTGCTGTATTTGTTACCAATTGGCTGGGGTTAACTAAGGATGACCGCTTTTTCACGGTATGCTTCATTCCGAGCTTTGCCAAAATTTTCATTTTCTTCATTCCGAGATATGCTGATACCCATCCAGTGCATGCCACTCTACCACTCCTCAGCTGCTATCCTGGGATTCGCAACTTGCCTAATGAGCGGATCAACCCTGATCATTGGCCGCAAGTTCTCCGCTAGAAATTTCTGGAAAGAAGCTCGCGAGAATAACGCAACTATTGTACAATACGTAGGAGAGACTCTGCGGTACTTGATGGCCATTCCCCCTGAAATCGATGCTGTCTCTGGAGAGGATTTGGACAAGAAGCACAATGTTCGCGCAGTTTTTGGAAACGGCTTGCGGCCCGATATCTGGGCTCGCTTCAAAGAGCGTTTCAATGTACCCACAGTTGCCGAGTTCTATTCGGCAACTGAAGGCACCTCTGGGTCTTGGAATCTCTCATCCAACGACTTCACAACTGGGGCAATTGGGCGAAACGGCTCGCTCAGCAGGCTGATTCTGGGAGGCGGCCTTACCGTTGTCCAGATTGATCATGAGACTCAGCAACCTTGGCGGGACCCTCAGACAGGTTTCTGCAAAGCAGTGCCACGAGGCGACCCCGGTGAGCTCCTGTATGCCATCAACCCGGCGGATCCTGCCGAAAGTTTCCAAGGATATTTCAAGAACTCCAATGCCACTGAAAGCAAAATCGTCCGCGACGTGTTTCGGAAGGGCGATGCATACTTCCGCTCTGGCGACATAGTGCGATGGGATACTGAAGGTAGATGGTACTTCAATGACAGACTCGGCGACACCTTCCGGTGGAAAAGTGAGAACGTGTCTACCAGTGAAGTGGCCGAGGTATTGGGCACACACCCAGACGTGCATGAAGCTAACGTCTATGGTGTGGCGCTGCCCAATCATGATGGGCGTGCTGGCTGCGCCGCCATCATCTTGAAGCAACAGCACCAAGCAGCTGACCCATCGGTGCTTGTTCATCCAACTCAAGAGATACTCAGCAGCCTTGCGGCCCATGTTCTAAAGAACTTACCTCGTTTCGCGGTCCCCCTTTTCCTCCGGTTCGCGCCGGAAATGCAAGGGACAGGAAACAACAAGCAACAGAAGCATGTGTTGCGAACTGAAGGCGTAGACCCGTCTCTAGTCAATAGTTCAGACAAGCTGTATTGGCTCCAAGGGGACAAGTACGAGCCATTTGAGCAGAAAGACTGGAGTCGATTGCAGGGTGGGCAAGTGAAGTTGTAGTGGTCTCTTGTATTATATAACCGCTCTATACAACCTATCTACTCTGCTAGGCCCTCTTTTGGTATATATGCAGTGAACATAATCCCCTGACTGACTCTGATACCCTCTACACCCATTACTTCGGATTGTCTTCGATATCCGAGACATATGCATTTTTGACGTCACTAGCGATTGGATGGTGTTAATCTCAGCGCATTTTATATGCTGAATGTTCCCATGTGGACCCGTTAACGTCCCATGATACGGAGCTCTACAGATCGGAAAGGCGGGTATACCACCGCTGTAAAACCAAATGCAAGCCACATGCCAAGATCACAATTCTGAGGCAAGCCTTTGGCAATAGGTCCGACAAAATACGACTGGGACTGCAACCCGTCATGTTAGTGGTTGTACGTGTGAAGCAAAAACATCGCATACATAATTGAAAATGATAATCTCAATGCTAGCACTTACCATTCCGAGGACGGCACCCAAAATCCCGAAGGCAAAACTGGCCCCTGTAGCGAGACCCATCGGCAAACAGCGCGCATCATTCCAAACCGTCCAGTCGTAGTCTCGTCCTCCTCGGAAGATCCACTCTTCCTCGACACAAACAGCCAGCCATGCAACAATCCAATAAGACATGAGTGGGAGGAAGTTCTCCATGATCTCGCGAAGATACCTGTGCGCTGCAATTGCGCAGACGGTGTAGATCACGACTTCTAGTGTCGTCAGGAGAGGACGTGGGATACGTGGGCCGTAGCGACCTAGCATTTGGAGGTTGAGACCAGCTGAGTATGTGCATGGGATATTGTTCGAGACTGTGCCCAGGAGGAGGATGACGGCGCAAAAGCGGCCGAACCCGTGTAAGTTGCTAAAGGAGGCCGCGAGCAAACTGCCCGGGGAGGCAAGTGAGGCGTCAACCCAAGCGGGATTCGAGTCAATGCCTGTTGCTAGGCCAATACCCAGCAGTGTAGTTAAGGTCATTGCCAAGCCCATGCCTGTGCTACTGGCAAGGAACATTCGCCCGGGTTTGGTTGATGATGGGAAGTAGACGAAGTAATCTGCACTTGCTGGGGCCCATGTGATAGCGGAGGCAAAACAGAGAGAGAAGAATGCAAGGCGATTTGAGGCAGTTGCTTCAGGGATCTCATGCGGTATAGAAGGTGAGGTGTCAAAACTTGGTCCGGCCGAGCCTATCATGACGGATAGGGTTAAAATTTGTATGATCCAGGCGTATCTATACTTGGATGTCAGTTGGAAGGAAGCCCAGGAAGTAACGGTCTATGGCAAGACTTCTTTTTACCTAGTATAGAATTGGAAAAGATGCACACCAAGGGTAGCAATGAACCAAGTCAGGGTTGACACTACGATTATACCAACAGGAACGGCTGTCCGGCCTCCCGAGACTGTGTAGATGACCTGGCCTCCAAGAATGCAGTTCACCATTCCATAGCCCAGCATAGTAAGGATATTTAGTAGACAGCAAGCCTTGCTGATGTAATATCCAAGGAAATATCGAGTCACAACCTAGGTGCAATATTAGCTAGGTAACCCCGTGTTCCTCCTGAATTTCCTTACCAAGGTTCGATTCCCACTCTGAGGACCATAGGTACTCATGTATCCTACACACATACCTCCTAGGACAACTCCCAAGGTGGCGCATATGGTGGCCTGGGTCCAATCAAGCCCATACAAAGAAGGGCCATAGAGTCCAACGATGATGTTGTTTCCAGTCAAAGCCGAACTCAGCCACAGGAGAAATATGCGAGTGTAAGTATCTGGTAATGGGGACTGGCGTTCATCATCTGCTACACGTTCAATCCCTCGAGCTTCCACACCAGATACTCGGCTGAACATCGCTATGCCTTTCTGAAAACTTGACACCTTCAATCCTGTGTCGGTAGAAAGCAGCTCTAGTGTATGAACATTGGGTCCAGACTCCTTGACCTGGACGTGTGGGTTGTAACCCTGTTCAAGGTCCGCCATGACAAAGGCCAGCGCCGTTTAATCAGGTGTTGAAAGGTGAGGAAATGAAAAGAGAAAGAATCAAAGACACTAAGGACAGTATTTCTACGCTCTGTAGCTATTGGAATAGTTTATTATCAGTCCATTGGATTCTGGTCTTCTCAGTGACAGGAGTGACCAGCCGACCCTCACTACATATATACATTTTCCCGACCTGGAAGAAGTGTTGAGTGGCGTCCATAATGCGGCAGAGGTACCATGCGGTGGACAGAGGGAACACCATAAAATGTGGATGCCTAAACCGAGACATGTAACAATCGGCGAAGTAGCAATAGGGGTGCATTCTCATGCTCGTCCTGGCTCCTCCGTTAAACGTGGAATGGAATTGAGTCCAGAGCCCGAAATCGATGCAGCTTCAGGAATGCTCAAGATCCCCTTGCTTATTTGTAGAACCGCAAGCAAGGACTTTGCCATGAGTAGCGATGTCATCGTTACTCTTGATGCGATGCTACTGTCGCTTTCTATCACTGCAGACCTGACGTAAGGGAGAAACGGCTTTTGGGTTGCTGAAGGACGTTCCAGTGTCGCCGCGGCTTCCAGCCGAAGAATCTCAATTAGCAAACATGAGAGACAACATGGTGTCCCCTTTTGATCAAGGGGGCTGGTCAGCCTAGACCTAGATTGTTCAGCCACATTGTAAGCCATTTAATGTGGTGGCGCTTCAATCTAGTAGATACGTCTTATCAAGTGAACATCGATCGAGAATGCTCTATATGAGCTCTGAAAATTGATCGGCAGCCATGTGAAGGCCATTTGCCACGTTGTAAAATAATTCTTGGATTTCGATGGCCTTTTATCTGGAAACAATACTTGGTTCTTACTAGGATCGACCCGGAGAGGCATGAAGGTATGCTGATAAGATAGTAAATCTTGCAGGCACATTGTTTGAACTGCCGCTTGCAGTATGCACGAGAGCGATATTAACCAACATATTTGTTTTGAGCACAGGAGTAAGAGAGGCCTATTATTCCCTTAGGATACGTGATAAGTATCACTGTAAGTCATCAATTAGCATCACTATTGATCAACTTATCAAGCTCTGAACCCCCTTCCAATCCAGCATACTAAGTTTTCGATCTCACGATCTACTCATTTAATCTTCCTCTGTTTCCTATAAGCGAGGTTGTGCATAATGAGAGTAACATTTAAAAGAGGTGCGAACTGATCCACTTTTTAGAACCTAGTAAACAGTGACTTTGTCGCCGGCTCCAATAGCGTTTCGAACATCCGGTCTGTTCCGATAGTGTCAATTTATGCATGAGAGAGGGGAAGAGATTCGAAACTTTTTCAGACGCCCATCAGATTGGAAAAAGGGTCGTTGTTCTTGCAGATGTCGATGTCAAGACGTTTAGGGAGAAGACCGAGAGGAGGTCGGTAGGAAGTCAAATCCCCCGAGGATTTGTTTCTTGATGACCAAATCAAATCACCTGCCGAATCATTTCCACATTTCAGGCTCGGCGAAACTGAAAGTTGCCGACAAGATAATTATAGTACTCCATATAGGTACAGTATATGTGTCCAAGAGGGTTAATACCTCGGAAACGTCCCTTCCAAGGAATTCCGAGACCGAGAGTCACTTCGGAAACCGCTTCAACCCCAACTCTCGAGATGTTTTCTTTACCCGACTCTCAACCTTCTCAGCATCAGTAAGAAGAAAACCAAAGAAAGGGAAGAATAGAACGAAATCAAGACCTAGGTAGCTCTATCAACCCACAATGTCCCTTTCTTCGGTCATACAATGGTCAAATCTGTCCGCCCAGATCATATCTCGATCCTCCTCTTCAATTCGTCGCTTCTCTGTACGTCACCATTGTCGACAATCTGCCGCCGATGCTTCTGCCACCTCCATTGCAGCATCATTCTTGTCTCGGTTTCGGTCTCTGGGCCCGCAGACTCGCTCCCAAGTTCTTGATGCCAATCAGCTACAGCTTCTGTCCCTCACATTGAATCGTCCATCTCTATACCCTAACTCCCCATCGCTATCCAATACTTCAACCTCGTTACCTACCGGCACCCCCCTTCCGCCGGGGTATCATCTGGCCTACTTCACTCCTGCATTCTTGGAGAATGAGTTAGGTGCGGATGGCACGGATGTCTCCTACAATCCGGAGGCTCCATTTACTCGGCGCATGTGGGCAGGCGGCGAGGTGCACTGGCCGCGTGCCGCAGATGGAAACCCTAATCCGTTGCGGGTGGGACAAGAAGTCCAGGAAACTACTAAAGTGCTCAGTTCCGAGCCAAAGATTGTGCGTAAGACCGGAGAAGAAATGATTGTCGTGGGCGTGGAGAAGGAGTTCCGTAACGAACATGGCGTGGCGGTCATTGATCGCCGGTAAGTTTTTCATCTTACAATTTATACATGTCCAGAACATCTAACTGTTAAACATTCCTACTAGGAACTGGGTCTTCCGTAAAGCACTGGCTGTGCCATATATATCTTCTACAACAAGAGTTCCGGCGCCATTATCTACAGCTCCAGCCTTCTCGTCCACTTCCTCGACCGAGAAGACTCACACTCGCACCTTAAGACAGACAGCTATTACTCTTTTCCGCTTTTCAGCTTTGACTTTTAATCCCCACAAGATCCACTATTCGACCCCATGGGCTCAGCAGGTGGAGGGACATAGAGATATTGTCGTCCACGGCCCTCTGAATTTGATCTCCATCTTGGACCTCTGGAGGGATACACGCCCAATGAAGGGTGACGATCCGGCCCTGATGCTTCCAGAAAGCATTACATACAGGGCGACGAGTCCACTATTCGCTGAGGATGAGTATCAGGTTGTGCTCAACGAGGAGGAGGGGAGTGGTACAGGGCTAGTGCGGATTTTTGCTCCTGGTGGAAAGGTTGCGATGAAGGCTGAGGTCAGGTCAGCCAAGTGAATCCTTACGCTCTGATTTTTCTTGTCCATAGTTGTCGTCTAAGGAATATAAAACGGGGGAGACGGGCCAAACCCCTTTCAAATTCCTGAACTACTGTAATGTAATGTGGTGTACCTTTAAACACTGCTTAAAAAACCCTGGGTGTGTAGTGTGTCAGGCAGTTGGAAATGGTATTTGCTAAGCATCATTAACCACCAGAATCTTGCTAAAAGGTAGCTGAAATAGAGAAGCTGCATACATGTTTATCAAAGTCGACGGGCTCGGACTTTTCTCCATTGATCAAAGGTATTACCTGCGGTGCATGGGTCCATGTATCTGGCAGAGTTGGATGTTTGGTGTATAAATCTTGCGTAAGGTATTCGTATGAGTTGACAAAAATGGGCAGGTATAGTTCCGTGGCAGGCGTTCTGTTGAATAACAGCTCATAGACACCATCCGATATTGGAATAAATCTTGCGCCCACGGCCGGATGAAATCGAAAGTAGTTCCAGTCGTATCTGAAATCATGTCCATGCCGATATATCGTGGGAAGGAGCCCCGTTTCAGGAGAATGTGGTGAGGGCATAAGCCTAATCTTGGAAGCGATCACGTCGCCGTATCTTTTAGCAAGACACCCCCCGGCAAAGACTAGAAATTTGAGATGGCTCGCAACTCGCTCTAGGAGAGCCATTTCATTTGTCATAACTTCCAAAGCCGGTGGAGATAGAGCTGCCCAATCCGCCTCAACATGTCGAAATGTTTGAGCCAGAAGTCGGCTAGTCAGAGGTATGTCGGGTAGTGGAAGGATGACTGTCGTGTTATTGAAGATAGCGTTCAAAATACCGAAGTATACGCCAGCCGGCTTGATATTCGTCAGCGACATTGTCTTAAAATAGTTCAGCTGCCGGGACTTACATCGCTCAGAGGACAAAGCAAAAGGCATCTATTATTCCCAAGCATAGAGCTCTGTGTTTCATAGCCTTCTGGGGCAGAGAGGCCAATATTACGTGCTACATTGGCAATGAAACTGTGGGATAGCAACTTGGGTTTGGGAGAACCTAGAACCAATAAGCTGACGCACACTTGATATTGACTGTGTTGTCAACCTGCCTGTGAAACCTGGGGTGTGAATGATAACAGCTGTTTCGTAGTACAGGCACTTCAATTCCTTGTTATATTCATATCTTCGCTGGGTCTCATGTAGGAGCTGGTCAAACAGAGGCAGCTCTATAACGGAGATAGATCTTCCGCGTAGAGTGGCCCCAACCTTCGGAAAGGCCGCATTCGTCGTTATTATGGTAGAACATTCGACATCTTCAAACAACATGTGATTTTGAGCCACAGTGTTTCTTTCAGAAACCAAAAACAACTAGAGCTCTCTGTGATCAGCGACAAGGGTACGGCTTTATATACATGTCCATGACTTGCACACCTTGAAGCCAGCTTTCATGGCCGCAATAAGCGTGATGGAGCACAGGGGACTATTTGGCGCTAACCAGGCCAGCGGCTCTCCTGTATTATCTCTCCCCAAAGCACTGGTTATACAATTGGCAACACCGTTCACCGCATTTGCAAGTTCGGCGTAAGTAATTTGACTATACCCGGCATCAAAGCTTGTCGGGGATGTAGGATATTCAATCCATAGACCATCAGGATCATCACGAGCCAGCTCGTCAATGATAGTTGGTAAAAGCTTTCCCTGTGAAGCAGCGTCAATTCTAGGGTTGTCCATCTTGATGGGTGGGGAGGAGCACTCGATAAAGGGCATGGTGGGTAATTGGTTTGGTGTAAAATTGCTCGAGAAGTAGTCTTTTGTAAGTAAATCAGGAAGAAAGAGAAAAGTCAATGAGAGGAAAACCACAGGCGAAAAGATCTATCTATATATATATGTATGTATATATAAATGAAGAGCATTCAATGTCACGTTGGAGTCACGGGAGTGTTAAGTGGATTTTCAGTGTCTGCAGAATTTGTCAACTGCAATTAAACCGAGCCATTTATATCGTTTCACTTACCCCGCGTTGGCTGAAGGGTGTTATTATTATTATTATTATTATTTAAAAAAATTTAATTGCTAGAATGTTTTTCTTTCCCCCTTATCCCTGCAGGTACAATCACTATACTACTACATACTTGCAGGTGCTGCCGTTTGATGGGCTTGGGTTACATGCGATTTTCAGTCAAATAAACAATTGAATACTGGTGGTGGCACCACACCACGATTTTGAGGGTAGAAGAAACCTTGGGTGATGGTTCCAGGATCTACAAGCGAAAACTACGAATTGCTAGTACAGCCGGTCAGGTTGCAATGGACTTGCCTAATGGTGGAGACATATGATGCTTCTTGCTGGCAAGAACCCCTGTCGTGCAAGGCAACACAGATCCACACAGCTTTCTTATCACCTTTTGCAGAGAATCCTGAATAATGAGAGGAGGGGAAAAAGGAAGAAGTAAAAAAGTACCAACATTAACCACAAGGGGTATTCGCTTTCATCTAACTCTCGCATTATAGATTAAAGTGGACCCTGATTCTTGCTTGGTGTCCATTCTTGATTATTTTCTTTGAAATTTCCCTGTTGCAAATCACCTCTATAAGGCATTCAAGTGGATGTACTTGCAGCTGTCACTCGCATACTGTGCTCTACCCACTTTCTGGAGATTCCGACCTGAGTTGTCCAAATTGGTGCCGATACACAAATGGAAACCTAGACGGATTATGCACCCGAGAAGATGGTGTTTAATAAATGACCCACGACGATAGCAAGGTCGACCTATACTAGGCACTATTTTGCAAATTTCAGAATATTTCGGGCAGGTCTTGCAGACATTCATGTTACCACTCGGTAGTAATGGAGGGGCCAAAGTGCTGTTCCAGCCCACATTATATCGTATTTATTGAAGTCCGCTTATTATTATGCTTTGACCGATCTCAAGTGTGTGGCGAGTTGTTTGCATCCTTATCAGTTTCGCTATAGTGGCTAGCACGATTAAACCTGGCCCTGTTGCAACCCAGTGAAGGCGGGATTGAAACACCCCCGACACAACCCCAGAAATCCTTGTGATGTGCTGCTTTCCACTGTTCCTATTTCAATTATTCCCACCGCTAATGGACCTGTATAGTACCATGGAAAGCTGGGCTTAATGGAGAGTAGCAGTGACAACGTAATGTACTTCTTTTGCTTGCGTTATTCCCAGCTACTTTTCACACCTCTTGTCGGTCCTTGGAGGCGAGGGAGACTGTTGATTACTTTGTGGCTTGCAGAACGAGACCCTTCGAAACAGCTCTGGAACCAGGTCAGAAGGCTCTCAGGCGACAAAGATGTACCACGGTTCACCAGTTCCTTGTCAGATCGCCAGAAAACACCGCCGACCAGAGTGTACTTGGACAGCATGTGAAGCCAATCATAGGGTGCCGCCGGTATGTCGCTGTTGTACAATGTCTACCTCGTCTTTCCGGTTGGGGATTGGGTCAGGTTTTCCCGAAAGGTCTGATCACAGGCGCTTGCACTCCCGAGTTTCCATACTCTAGTCCAGAAATCTTCCACGCGGTCAGCACAAGGGCGGGCGCAGTGGGATGTGTAATATTGATGGCAGAGAGCTTGCATATAACATACGACTAGAAGCAACCTGGTTTGAGCAGGGGGTGGGGGGTCATCAAAGAGGATAACGCACTTCAATCTCCATATATGTCCAATGACTAGAACAGTAAGTGACTTCACGTCATTCTTGATGCCTGATGGCCCGGATGCACATGCGTATGGATGTCCTTTGCACCTATCATCTTTCAGATACTGACATTCTACGCAGGTGCAGAGAACCCCGCGCAAGAAAGATAACAAGAAACCAAAAGGAGCATGACAAGGATCGAATGGTGGAGAGGGCGGAAGACAAAGCTATATATAGTAGAAAGCTCTATAGGATTATGATATGATAGTTTGGAACTTAAGGGTCAAGGAAGGTGGGTAAATTCCTAGGTCTTCCCACCCCTAGCAGCAAAGGCTGACCATGAATGCGCGATAATGCAGCAAATCCCCCAGAGTTGGCATGTATGACCAACAGGAGACATTTTCACTTCATGTCAGTGGAATCCTTTTCTAAGGCTATCCTATAAGAATCCACGAACCCACCCCCCAACGAGTCTTAAAAGTGGCAGCACATAATATATCGCGGCGCGTAACGCTGATATCACATTGAATTAATTTATCAGGGTCATGGGGCGTGGGGCTTGAGAAATCCTCATAGGTCCAGATCCTTGCCTATATAATAGCCATAGCTAATGACTAATTTCTCTAATCGGCCGAAGAGGGTGCCTCGGTCCCGACAGCCCATCTTGCCACGGAATTTAGCTCAGGCTGTCACCTGCATCTTCACCCAAGGGTTGAATCCTGAGACGTTAGATAGGAGAGTCGAGGTCGTGGCGGCGGACCATTTGGGGCCGGTAAGGAACACAAAGCTTACTTCCTTAATAACTCGTAATTGGATTGTGATGCCTGTCAGGGAAGTTCGAACAGTTAGTAGTCTCCATCTAGTACCTGTGAAGATGCGCAAAAACTGTGGGACAATGCTACCGATGAGTATTCGTTTAAAACTTGCGAATAGGAAAATCCCATCGATTAGTTCACTGCCCCTTCGCATGAGAGCTAGTAAGCATTGATTTTATACGATTTGGGGTGGCGTGTTAGTTATCTGACGGAGACGGAGTTAAAACACGAAGACCGAAGTCGCGCCCCGTTCTTCAATTTCTACCTCTAGCATCTCAGCTCCCTCCATATCAACTCTCTGGACAACCTACTTCTATATTGTACTGAAATGGCGGATACCGTTGTCAGAGACAGTCGCACAACATTGTCATCAACGGAGAAAAGGAGAACCAGAGTCCAGCTATCTTGTACAGCCTGCAGAACTCGAAAGTAAGCCTGCCTCGCTGTTCAATTCAATCCGAAACTCGTAATGATCAAATGTTGATGGCGTAATTTAGACTCAAATGCTGCCGCACATATCCGTGCACAAACTGCAAAAAGAGAGGCGAAGCCCTCTCTTGCACTTTCGTCGGTCGGGGTCCTCGTATGAGGACTTCACAGGGGCGGACGAGTCCAACTCTTGTTCAGGATCGCCTACAGCACCTCGAGAATCTGATCTTATCCTTGGCTCAGAAGAAGAGCTTGGCAAAGAACCACGAGTTTCAGAAACCAGAGGAACATGAAGAGCTGGCTACGGACCTGAAAACTGATGCTCGAGTAACGTCTGGAACATCGTCCACTAGCGCGGAATTCGCGCCTAAGGAACCCCCTCTTGAGCCGTCTAGCAAGTTGGTTGTTGAAAATGCTGGAACAAGCTATATTGACGGTGCTCACTGGACGGCTATTCTTGAGGAGGTCAGTGAACATTAATCCCACTGCATTATCTCTCTTGCTCTAACTTGATACTCGTAGATCAGCGGGGTTAGGGAGTACCTCCAAGAAGGCGATGATGCTACAGACGAAGAGACAATTGACGAGGATCGCCACGACTCACCTTCACCAACCCTCCTGTTAGGATTGAATAAGCCAGTAAGCAAAGAAGATTTACTCGCTAACATTCCTCCACGACCAGTGACAGATCGACTCATAGCCCAGTTCATCAATAGCAAAGAGCCCGTGTTAAGTATGCACTTAACTCTGCCTTCTATCCAAACCTTCTACATATACTTATACAGGCAACAAATTCATAGGCACAATCCATATTCCTACCTTTCAAAAAAAGGTTTTATGCCTTACCAGGAGCAAGAGAAGCTAGGAAGTTAACTTATGTACAGTATACCCTATTTTGGTCGACACCACAAGATGCGTCTCTCTCGTGGCTAGCGTACCTGTATGCTATCCTCACTTTATCAATTACGATCCATCAACGCCTAGGCGAACCATTGCCGGTCTATTTAGAGGGCTCTGCGAACATCATTACTACCTTCAGGAAGCGAGCCGCGCAGTGTCTCGTCCAATCAAACTATACACAGCCTGGAAAGTATAAAGTTGAGGCACTTTTCTATTATACCTTGGGAGAGTTTTACCGAAGTAATGATGCTCAGGTTAGCGTTTCTTTCCTCCTTGGAATCACCATTAGATTAGCGATGCGGACAGGGTACCATCGAGATCCGCGACATTTTCCCAGCATCTCCGCTTATGAAGGGGAAATGAGGAGGCGCGTGTGGGCAACTATACGCCAACTAGACACGTTGATCTCGTTTCAGGTTGGCCTTCCTCGGACGATACAAGACTGGCAGGGTGATGTCGAGCTACCACGCAACATCGGTGACGAAGACTTCAATGAAGACACCAAGCATCTACCCCAATCCCGACCGGAATCAGAGCTTACTACGGCGTCCTATGTTCGGGCGAAATCAAGGATCATGGCCGTGTTTGGCAAAATATCCGATCTTGCGTATTCACGTGAACCCGTGACATATGACGAAACTCTTGAGATTGACCGCCGGCTGGAGGAAGTGTACGGTCTTGTTCCTCTGAACTTTCGGATCCGACCAATTGATCAATCATTTGCAGACCCCTCGGAGCTGATCCTCCGGCGGTACACATTAGAGTTATTGTATCAAAAAGCTCGCTGCGTGCTTCACCGGCGGTACCTCAGTGAAGTTCACACTAACCTCCGGTATGCATATTCTAGATGGGTATGCATGAGTGCATCGAAGGAGATACTCCGCCATCAAGCAGACTTGCACCACGAGACTCAGCCTGGAGGAATTTTGTATCGGGATAGACAGTTCCCGAATTCTCTTCAGAATGCCGACTATCTACTTGCGGCTATGATCATTTGTCTAGAGTTGTCCCATGACCCTCCCACAGAGCCGATCATGGATGGACCCAACAATGATGTCACGGTCGTCATTAAGGGGCGCGAAGATCTCCTGGCTAGCCTAGAAATGTCCCATCAAATCTTCGAGCAAAGCCGCCGACGATCAACAGATGCACAAAAAGCGTATGCTGCGTTGACAGTCATGCTTCGCAGGGTTAAGAAAGGCGTGTTGGGCATAGGACAACCGGCTCAACGACAGGCGACTGGCAACGCAGGTGACCGGCCTTTTGATACATGCATCAGTAAGAAGCCTCACATTCACGTCAGCTTAAAGCTTATAGCTAATAGTATTCACAGCCCAACCCCCGCCGTATGAGAGCCTAGGTTCTGCAGAGGACGTACCATATCCCCTTGCTACTCTGAGCGAAATGCTAAGCCCGGCTATGGTAGAATCACCTTTTACAACGTTGGGCGTAATCGAAGGAATGCTAGAGACGCCTGCTAATCTTGATTGGGTAAGCTCAAGGAATCACCTATACCTCTACTCTATTTTATAGTACTCGGCGCTGATCCGCATAGCATCTGTGGGATCAACAAGTTCAAGGCCCGGAACAGCCTTCGTCAAACATTTGGTATCCGGGTGCTCCTTTTGATGATATCGTAGATAATCACCTGCAACAGTGATATGAGATAGTTAATAATATTACATTGAGTCCTACATGACGAAAGAAAGTCCCCATAAAAATTCAATATCTAAATCTCTTAAATTACCAGAGTGAAGCTTCCTATTAAAGATCCTCGGCACGTCCCGAGCCCATGTAGATAAAACCCCCGAATGGGCTCCGGAAGTCCTCCGTAGGGGAAAAAAAGACCCAAAGAAAACCAGCCGTTGCGATAATTTATCTCTAAGCCTTTGATCGACTCAACACCACCGTCATTGATTCTCACCCCAAAACTCAAAATGAGGCCTTGCATACTCCCGCGGCATCTCAGCCGTCGTATAAACCTCTTATCACCATCTCGTGCCCTTCCAGTCCCATCGCAATATCTCCCACGACCAATAACGCCGTACCACCCAAACCCCCAAACACTCCGATCGTTCCACCTTCCATCCCTCTCGTCGTTACTCTCAAACAATGGCAGCAACAACAACAACGGCAATGGCCGCAGTCTAACCGCCACCCGCGTCCTCCCTTACGCCCCGGAGTCCCTATATAAGGTGATCTCCTCGGTGGAATCCTACTCCCAGTTCCTCCCCTTCCTCACGGCCTCAACGGTGACTCACCGCGACCCAGAAACAGGGTATCCGACGCGCGCTTTCTTGACCGTCGGGTACGGACCTTTAAGTGAAACGTTCACGTCTCGGGTCGATTGCGATCGGAACCGGTGGATTGTTGAAGCACGCAGCGGGGCCAAGTTCGGGATTGATTCGAAGGATGGACAGGCTGGTGGGAACTTTCCTGGAGCGAATGAGGGGATCTTTGAGTATTTGAGTACCAAGTGGGAGTTGACACCGATGGAGAATGGCCCGGTGGGTAGATCGATGACGAAGGTGGATTTGGAGATCCGGTTTGAGTTTCGGAATCAATTGCACGCTGCCATGATGAGTGCTATGGAGGGGCAAATGGCAGGGATTATGATTGAGGCTTTTGAGAAGAGGATTGGGGATATTGAGAGGAGATAAGGCAGTTTGTGTCTGGATTACCTGAGAGATTGGGGGTGCATGGGCTTTGCATTTACACATATTCTCTGCTTTTTGGAGTTCGGTGCATGGTTACGACCAGACATAGATCGTTACAGCGTCGTGGAGGCTCACTTTTCTTTGAAACCTCATTCTATTTTTATGCTGCGATCAATCGCTGTACAATTAGACCCACTTATAAAGATATCCTGAACAGCCAACCCATGTAGTATATAATACAATTATCAAGACATGAAAGGGGGAAAACCACATATGCACCCGCTTTGAAGACAACTTTTCATAGCATGCTCAGGCTGCGGTTCCGGTTGGCCGCATGCCGTGTGCCCTTCATCGAGCTGACTGCGTTGTAATTGTCGAACACAACTTCCCAGTTGATGCGATCCCACCAGCGCTCAAGATATTCAGCTTTACCGCCAATGCCGTAGTCCATCATCCATACATGTTCCCATGTGTTGACACAAAGGATAGGCTGAACATCAACAGCACCAGGTGCCAGGCTCTTCTGGTTTGCGGAGTGAGCACCCATCGCGCCGGCGAACTGGTTACCTAATGGAGCTTCAGGGGAGTGAGTAGCCATGTCAACGGGCTGCCGGCGAGAGTGAGCGGCCGGGTACGGGGAGCCTGCGTTATAGGTACAGAAGATGTGCATCAATCCTTCTCTCTCCAGGTTCTTAGCCAACCACACAAATCCGGGGCCGAACATAGCATTGGCAGTAGCAAGAAAGTCGAGCTTCAGGGATTCAATCGAGGAGCAGGTGTCAACAATGTCTTTGGCGAACTTGTCCGGGATCTGAGTAGGGGCGGGCGACTATTTGAAATGTAGATATTAGGTGGTTGCCCATGGGTTACATATGTCAATTGGATAAACCAACCAAGCAGTTGAAGAAGAAATGGTTGTTATGAGCCATGGAGGCGTAGTTGAACACGGAGGCCATCTCCGGGCGCCGGGAGTACTTGACCAGCAGTTCTCCAGGTTTCGCATCCGCATCGACGGTATCTGTAACATGGCCATGTCAGAATACAATCCGTACACATGTAGCCTTCCGTGACCAGGAATGGCTGGAGTGCCGTGCTCTATCGGCCGCTCGGAGGATGAGGCTCACCCTGTGTAAGAAGGTTCAACTTGTCAATCAGGAGTGTCTGATATTGGGTCCAGGCGAAATCAAACGCCTCCGGTGATAACAGCTCCGGAATTCCAGTATTTTTAAAGTAGGTATCGTGAGTCAACTGAGGCACACGATGCAATCCGCGAGTTTGAGAGCGTGGGAGGGCGGAGGCGGGTTTCTAGAGCGTATCAAGCGATCAGTAATCGGAGCGACATGGCCGTTGATAAGGCGGAGAAAGCTCACCTGTGTGAGGGAAGAGACAGTACGCAGCATGCTCTGCGGCCGGAAGAGTCGGGGAAGCATGATGACGGTTGGGAATTGACGAGTTTAGATGCTCATTAAGAAGCAGCAACAAAACCGCAGAATTTCCATCGCGAGATTGGACATTGCTCCTTCGGGACTAGTGTGGATGAAGTAAGCCAGTCCCCGCACCAGCCAATCAGACACCAGGGATCTACTCATAACTTCAAAAACATCCTCCATCGTCTCTTCAGCTTTTCTTACATGCTTACTTAGGTTGGACGAATCCGACTGTTATACAGGGGGTCTTCGGCTGTTCCATGATTAACTCTCTCATGATGTCTTGCCTTCGGCGCCTATCTCAGCCACTCCCAGCAAGCCAGCTGCAACGAGACCCATGCCTAGTCTCTATTCTAGGATCACGGCGCTTGCAGACCAAGTGGTTTTGCAGAAGAAGCAGAAGAGGTATTTTAGGCACTACCTAGTGCTTAAAGACTAAATAGAACCTTGATTGTCTCGTATATCTCAGTCTCTGGAAGTCAAGTAAGAGTCCTTTGTCTGTATCTCGTTGTTCTAACTCTTCCTCCCAGCCATCTCTGGAATCACCCCTCACTGATGATTCCCCTTTGTTATCAGATCTCCTCCTTCTTGCTACAGCTGCTTTGGTCTAACACTGCCCATACTTTTGCTTATCCCTTACTTTCCTTTAAGGATTACCGACCTAAGACTTGCATACACGGAGAACCGTTAACATATAGCATAAGTCAATATGGCGAGATCAACGTTCACCGATCTTGTCTCTGGAAGACCCCCAATACTGTCCATCATCCTGATGGTATTTGCAATGATCACATCAAGTCATGCTTTTAATTTAGCATTACGCGATTCAGACGGCTGCCCCAGCTCTTACCAAAAGTGTGAAGCCGCTGGTCTACCAGAAGCATTCTGCTGTCCTTCTTCGTCAACCTGCGTCAGTTTAGACAATGCTAGTTCGGTTATATGTTGCCCCAAGGGACAAGCATGCACATACATAGAACCAATCAATTGCAACGTACAACTGCAGAATGCTACTCTGCACCCAAGGAATCCAATCAAAACTACAAGGCTCGATGACCAGCTGCCCAAGTGTGGCAATTTGTGCTGTCCGTTTGGATACGTCTGCAAAGGAAACCAGCTGTGCGAGATGGACAGCTCTACTTCTTCCACTACAACACTTGGTGGAAGTCCTACATCCACGATCACAGGTACATCTTCAAGCGAGTCGACTACATACACGGCAACAGATTCTTTATCCAAAACTGATCAGGGGAAACCAACCACACTATCACCCTCCGATACACACCCCCCAGCTTCCAACTCCCTCATGACCGATTCCAACCCGACTTCTGCCTCAATGGCAGCAGCATGTCCTCCGTTTCCAACCACAGCCGTTATAGCCGGATTTTTCCCTGGCGCTGTGTTTGGAGCTGTACTAGCCTCAATGGCACTATTCTGCTATAGAAAACGGCGAAAGGGGTGCAAGGACCCTCGCATAAAGTTTTCTCAACACAGCGCATATAATAGGTCCCCGTTCAGCATATCCCACCCTATACCATCTGAAGAAAGCTCCTACCGCACAGACTTCCTCCTTCGTCGTTCCCAACGAAGCTCCTCTCGTTCGATTCTACAGCGGACAGGGACCAGAGTGAAAAGTCTATTCGGCTCGAATCCCAAATTCGCTGTTCACGACTTGGATAAAGTGCCCCAGGTACCCGTCACCCCGCCGCAGCAGGTCAGACGGCAACCTAGTACTGAGAGTATCAGGGTATATACCCCTCCGGGTGGACTTGCGAATACACGCACACCGAAACAGGGACACTACCTTTCTGTGGGGCCGCATCCGACATTCACGGATATGATTGATGAAGTTGGGTTCAAGGATAAGAAAGGTGATCCGTGCTACAAGGTGGCAGAGTCCCCTGAAGCGAGCAGAACTAATTTGCAAGTTCCACGGGACGTTTATTGATCATGTTTCTTTGTCTGTCCCATTCACGTATGCCTTCGTCTAGCATATAGACAAGGCGTGGTGGGCTTCTAAACTTATCGTGTATCTATGTGTTGGCCTACTTTAGCACTTTGTTTGCTTCGTTATGTGCCCACTTTACTTGAAACTATAGCCACTCCTACTTAATATACACCTTGGTCCCATCGAGCCTCGTTTGATATAATGATCCATGATTGGCTATAACTGAATAAACGTTTATATTGGAAGAGAAGATGATGCTATTTATGATACAATTAACAATGAAGTAAAAAGTTATGGCCGTCGCTTTTTGGCCTTCAGGCCGGTAACAACCCTTTTTAGTTCCTTTAGAAGCCCTACAAGAAGAGGGACACCAATCGGGCCCAACAAGGGTAGATAAACCGCAACCTTATGTTCATCAGGGAAGTAAACCTGGCCCACCATGCTCTTTTCAAAGAAGCTACGCTCTGCTTCTTTCTCGGCCACCCGGGCGTCCACTAACGCCGCTTGAAAGCGGCCCTCGCGAAGATGTTCACATGCGGTCGCGAGATGGGAAAGAGTAGTGGATACGGACGTCGCTACATTAGCTGGGATAGGAATGGAGGGGAGTGACTCGGTGAGACGGGCAAGGGAGCCCATGGTTGACGAGGCGGAGAGAAGAAGGGCGGCAGCACGGATCCGGATGAGTGTTTGAAGACGGAAGGGAAGGGACGTGGGTGTGGCGGGGGCGCCAAGGAGTATGAGAAGTTGATGAGAGAAGGTTAGAAATGCAGGACGGAGAGCCTCCTGAGACAGGTGTGGTGGGTTTGATGGATGATCGGCGGCCGACAGTGGAGGGTTCAAGAGGAAGACACCACCCCACTGGGGGATAATCCAGCTGGTTGAACCGCTCTCCTTCACAACCATGGGCGATTGGGATGGCGCAGGAACGTAGAGAATGAAGTTGATGGTCGGTCCATTCCCGATACTTGGACTAAGAGGCCATTCAGCCGCGTTGATGAATGCGCTGAGATCTTCCTTCTTCAGCGTCCATGCAGCTTGTGCTTCATCGTATTCTGGTAGGGGCGCAGTGGGAGCAAAAGTCGCATAGAGCTGAACTTGGGTGTCAACCGTGAAATTACTTATAGGTGCAAAGGCCTCCAAGAGCGGTGATATGTATTCCTCGACGGCAGCCTTGACATCCCACGAGGAAGGTTCGGCTCCAGGTGTAAATAGGGAAAAGGCTAAGTGATACGTTTCCGCATATTTCATAGACCGCCGCAAACGCCTGGTGATCCGCTCCGCGAGCTGTGGGGTGATGGAATTGATAGTAGCGGATGGTTGCTGCTGGTTATTCGACGAGGGCGGAATGTTGGTATTTGCGCCCCCGGTATTGCTGTCGGATAAGATCTGCCCAATGATTGCCTTCTCTTCCGTAAACAAATTTTGCAATTCCCCTGCGATATAGGTTGACAAGGGCGGGTTGGACGCCGAAGGGGGCGGGATCTGACTTGGAGGGTAATAAACGTCGAGCTGGGTTGTGCCTGGATGAAGCTTAGATCGGGGGGCCGCCAAATCTTCCTGGGGTAGCAATCGGACTGTTAACGTAGTATCGGCCTTTCCCGACGCGACAGACTGCGATTGCCCTAGTATCTCTTCATGGCTAGCGGCGGTATTGTTGTCTGAGAGTTTCAGGCGAAGGTGATGGGCGGAGAATTCGTTGAGATCATCGAGAGTGTGCTGAGTGGTCCGTAAGAGATGGTTCGCCTCCGACTCTGGCAGAGACGGTGTTTCAAAGCGAATCTGAAGGGGAAATACTGGACGACAGGTCTGTATGAAAATAATCAATCAATCAGGAGAGGTATACTGAGAGTGGAGCTACGGGGACTACCTTTCCATCCGCCCACTCGACCATATCTTGGATGGGCAGGCTAGCTCGATAGATAGATGTCGTCTTCCACCATATCGGCAACCCTAGGAATATAATGACGGCCCAGAATGCAGCAATGACTTTGAATCTAGTCTGGATAGCCTCGGGTCTCTCAGGCGGAGGGAGACGCCGCGCGCCGGTCTTGGAGCTCATGGCGTCGTTCGCGGGCGTGGGGGTAGTCTGTGAAGACCCCGGGTCTTCATTCTTGCCAGTCATGACCAGAACATGCTTTTCTTGCAGGCAAAGGTATCGGAGGAAAGAAACGGACACCGAGATACAACCGAGATACAGGTGGTGAGAGTGGGGACGGGAGGTGAAAGTAAAGGCGGAGGACAAGTGGTTGTCGGGGAAGGTTTAATAAATCAAACCAAATTATATTTATATAAATTAAGCCGCTTTGAAATCCAAACCCAATGTAGGAGCTCATTCCTCTTCTCTTTTCTTTTTTATTTATATCCATTGGGCTTTGATACTTTCATACGAATAGAACTATTACCGCGTTTACAACAAGAAAATCACCCAGATCAATTGCATAGTAATACAGTTAAAAGAAAGAAAAACCCTGTCGAATAGAACTATGGGGGTATCTCAACCAAGGCGCCAGATGCCACGGACTGAATTCAAAAGTAAAGGATAACCGATTATTGTTCTGCGTTTTTCGTTTAATACTCTTTCTCGAAAATCTTCTGGATAGGTTTTGCGGCCTATTGAGAATGATTGAATTAGCAAACCACTAGTAGGAAGACAGTGGGAAGAGGAAACATACGTCAATAAACCTCTCCAGATCTTGGTCCAAACTGGCCAAATCTTCCTTGCGTTTGTTGTTTTCCGCGATCAAAGCCTGCTTCCGCTTCAAAAGCTCCTGTCGCGCCTGTTCTAATTTTTCCCGCTCAGCATGTTCATAGTTGATACGAGCAATCATGAGCTCATGGGCGTCCGAGTCATTGTGTTCTGGGAAGAGAGCGAGGAACTCTTCGACCGGGATTAAAGGAAGAGAAAGGTACTTGTGGCTAATAGACGAACAGTCCCCGTTAGCAAGACCCCGCGTACACGATAGAAATTCACCTACTCGTAAGACTCGCAAGCCGCAATTTCCCCGGTCAAATGTCTTTGCTCATAGTATAGATTCTGCAGCTGAAGGTGTAACCGATCGATTTCCTGGCGAGCCTCCGCCGTCGATTGTTTAGTTTCGCGAACGCGAAAGATAGCTTCTCGATTCAGACCGCGGAGTTGAGCGAGAAGGGCAAATAATTGTTTTTGCTCTCTTGACGCCGCTAGAATGGTCTCCTGGAGATTTGACGATGCAGGCTCACCGGTTGGGTCTAGTAAAGCGAGGAGCTTCTCACATTGTTCACGAGTCTCCGCGCTACTATTCAGGACTGGTAAGAGAGACTGATCTGCAACGATGTCGCGAACCGCCATAGCAGCCATTTATATCGGTTTTTTTTTTAGGTTTTTTAGGAAGGAGAGGCGAACTAAGAGGTGATTAATTAATTGGTGGTGGCGATTGGGGGAGGGGGGATGAAGTGGGAGAAGAAGTGGGAAGAAAGAGCGATATGAATCAATAAAACGTGGGGACAATGCGAATCGCTGAATGGAAATCTTGATTAAATTATTATTATTACTTATATTGTTGGGGGAGAAATTTCACTAATTGAATTAGAGAATAAAAAGAATCTCCTTTTTTTCATTTAGACTCTTTTCATTTCTTTCTTTCTCTATTTCTTTTCTTTTATTTCTGACTTATAGGAAATATTGAATTAATTAATTAATTAGTTGATTGATTTGAAAAATAATTGGGTAGACATCTCATCTTATTGATTGGGGCCTTTCAGCTCAACTCTTTCTTCTTTTCCCCACTTCCCTCTTAATTCCCTCTTACTCTCTTATACTCTTCCTCAGTCACTCCTTTGATTCTTTCCCTCCCAACCCCCTCCATTCTTCTCTCTCCATATCGTTCCTTCATTTCTAATAAAGAAATCTAAAGGCTAGTTTTTTAATTTCGTCCCATCAGGAGAATCTCCACTCTCCAACCTCTCCCAAGTAAGTCAGTCCTTAAATCAATGCCGAGATTCCGATACCCGCAAAAACATCTACTTCTGATGAACTAACACGCCCCTGTGTACCTTTTCCAGGTGATGCTGGATTTCTTTTAACAAAATTCGAAAGAGCTGTGAGAAGAAAATAAAATAAAAAAAATAACTATTCCCCACCATGACTTGCTCGGCTCAGTCTATGACCATCGAGTCATATCCCGATCAAGCTGCGGTCTCCAGCGCTTATGCCACTCCGTCTGAGGAGACAGCCCTGCTCCGAGATCGTCGGCGGAGGCATTCTTTCCATGCGGCAAGGAAACTTTCATGCGACTACGATGCTGATGCAGTCTTTTTAAGGGTAACAATTCTTAACTGAAATGGCCCTCCACATGTCCTAACACTTCTTTAGGTGGAACTGTTCCTGGCCGAACTAGAGAGACGACTGCATTGGCTGGAACAATATCGCCGATCACATATGGTGCAAATCGATACCAGCTTGCGCAGAGGATACGCAACGCTGGAGGCCGTTAGAGACTCCTGCTCCTATGCCTCCGGGGAACTCATGGGCGGTGGCAAGAAGAGAGCCAAGATCTTGGTGGAGACGCTCGAGGACGGCTATAAGGATGCCCTCGCGACTAAAGAGACCCTGGAGCAAAAAGCACAAGCAGGAGTTCGCTTGATGGAGTCGTTCTTGACGGAGTTGGAAGCCCGAGCTCATGCGGTTCGAGACCGTGGATTCTACGGCACCCTGGACGATGGGTGGAAAGCCGTTGATTCCAAGTTGGTCCACGCCCGTGAAGTGGTCGATGAGGGAATGGAACGGGCCCGGAAAGCCAAGGATGCCCTTCGTGAGAGTATCGATGAAGCTATTATGTTAGCCCAGGAGAAGCGGTTAATTGCCTATGCGGACCTTCCTCATCCATGGCGGGTGAACCCGCATATTCTGCAAGGATATCGGTTCACGCATTCGAAAGTAGAGTGCTTCACGTCTATGTTTGCCTTCTCGAATGAACTGGTCAACATCTGGTCTCACCTGATTGGCCTGTTCATCGTCCTTTCCGTCGCCTTTTACTTCTATCCCCTGAACCCAAACTTCCACTTGAGCACAAAGACCGACGTGTTGATTGCGGCGGTGTTCTTCTTCGCTGCATGCAAGTGTCTGGTCTGCAGTACCCTCTGGCACACCATGAACAGCATTGCTAACCAGGGCCTGATGGAGCGCTTCGCTTGTGTGGACTATACCGGCATTTCGATGCTAGTGGCTGCGTCGATCGTGACCACAGAATATACTGCCTTCTATTGCGAACCCGTATCGCGATGGACATATATCCTTCTCACGATGTCACTCGGGATCGGCGGGGTTATCCTCCCCTGGCACCCGACCTTCAACCGGGCGGATTTCGCCTGGGCTCGTGTGGCATTTTACGTGACACTTGCTCTGACGGGTTTCGCGCCGCTGGCACAACTTACCTACACCCGAGGCCTTGCCTGGTGCCTATACTTCTATGCACCCGTCGTGAAGAGTATTCTTGTGTACTTCGTCGGGGCTTGCATCTACGCTTCTCAGGTACCCGAACGCTGGCGTCCCGGTCTCTTTGACTATGTGGGTGGAAGCCACAATATTTGGCATTTCGCCGTCCTAGGCGGCATCCTGTTCCACTATTGCGCCATGCAGGATTTGTTCGCGGGCGCTTTTCAGCGAGCCAAGGGGGAGTGCCCACATTTGGCTTCCTGAACCGCGTGTGCTCCTTGCTTTCTCTATCGTTATGGCTGTATATGACGGGATTGATCTTCACTAGCACATAGACCTTGGCTATCGGGTTAGATATGTTGGATGCCCAGCCACCCGTTAACAATAGATTCCCGCAGGATCTCATCGTCGAATTCGGCGGTTGCCTATATAGATGGAGTACATCCAATTATTCTTACCGTTCTTGTACATAATTTTATTTGGGATCTTGCAGCTTGTACTAGCTGCCCTCACGGTCAACCATTCGCCACTAGATTCATTGCATGTCTATCTACTGCATCTGTTTCAACCAGCTTGGAGGTACGATTGATAACCACGCATTGCTTCAACGCGTATATGCCGATTCAGGGGTACATATGCATAATACGCAGAACATCTGCAGAATAATCTTGGATACTAGGTTTCGTGACAAGGGGTGCATTACGCATCACATCTGAGACACTCCCCGATAACCAAAGCGTGCGATACTCTCACATGGAGAATCGATATGGAAAGAATACGTAATAATCTATGTATCTTGGCGGCTGGCTATCATCACACTTCTTTTTCCGCTCAGATTTAGCACACTTGACAGCAGCAAGTTGTAGGTAATCGTATAAATCACTTCAGCACAGCATATAGCAGCACCCTCCTACTAGTCTTGCTTGCACACTTTATCTGCCAGATATAGTCACGAACCAACAATAACACTATCTTTGAGTTCGCGCGCCGATTCCCATCAACTGTGTGCCTGTAAAATACGCCAGAAAAACTGTACATGATCAAGAGCCATAAAACAGATCGTTTAGTTAGCCCTCGCTCCCCCTGAAACGACGAGCGGACCGCTCTTGTTGTTCGGATGGGGGTTTCCCGGGTAAAGGTGAGTAGTGGCGGCTCCAGTTCGATGTTTCAAATCAAAGTCGGAAAGAACTTCGGACGGCGGTGGTTTGGGTGGAAGATGGGACGGCGTCCCCCATTTTGCGATAGAGTCCCTACCACCCACAGATGGCCCACGAGGAGCGTTGGTTGCCACGGCCACTGCTGCTTCAAGATTCTTGTTGGTTTCTTGATACCCAGCCCACTGGGGCTGAACACTAGCTTGCATGGTAGGGTATGATTTCATACCATGGCCCCCACTCTTGCTTGGATGCCGTGCCAGGGATGTACCGCCTGGTACAAATGAGCGTGTCTGGGGGTTGAATGGGGATCGATTGAAGTTCCCAGCCAAAGGATGAACAGCCACATTGCCTGTACTCATAGGTTGCCCGGGATATTGAGCATATGGATATGATGTAGGGTTGACCGGCTGAGACGGATAGTTTGACCAGGGCATTGGGGGTTGATTCCTATGCGCGGATTGTTGGTAGCCCCCGTGAAATGATGGGGAGGACCACCCTGGAGGCGTGTGCTGAAACGGTACAGCATTGGGCACAGGATAACTATTCAAAGCAGGGGAAGATTTCGTGGACGTCATTGCCGGTGATTGGTTGATAGAGACATATCCAGAATAGGGAGATTGTTGAGGTGCCATTGCGTTCTGCCACGGGCCACTCGGGGTCATTTGAGGAGATACAGGCATTGAATAATGAGGCATGGAGCCTAAGTTGACGTGACTAGGGTACATGGCCCCGTTTTGACCATTTTGTGTATAACCCATGCCTGGAGGGTTCACACCAGGTCCCACCATACAAGGCTGACTAGGGAGCGAAGAGTCGTTCATGGCCGCAGTGTAGGACCCGGGGCCTTGTGAATAATGCATTCCAGGATAATAAACATTGAACTGAGACCTGACCTCGAAGCTGTCATCGTGTGGTGTCTTTTGCCTCTGTGCTTTTTTGCGTCCATTGGTTGAGCTTGAGCGAGACATGTCGGTACCTTGGTCACCATTTGTGCTTTCTGACGACTTTGCCTCTGGAAAATCACGGAAAATCCGTTCACGAGCTTCTTGATACTTGGCCTCCCGTTCCTCCCTAGTGAGTGTCAACCGGTCCTTAGCCGGAGTAGCTCCCGCTGAAGAGCCGCCACGCTCGCCATCGTTTGCACTGTCGCCAGCTTCTGATCCGGATTTTGAAGCAAAAGTGGAGCTCGCCGCCGCGCTTCCTTCGGTAGAAGGTCGTTCACTATCAGTACGGCGCATGATTTTCATGGCAGGCATAGCAGGGGGCGGGGGGGTGTTGTTTGTCGCGGAGTGTATGGTAGAGAGGGGCGTAGGCCTAAACTAGTCAGCATGGCTATATTATTCGTACATACAAAGGGAGGTCCTACAGCCGAGTAAAGGGGGTCCGATGAAGTCGAACTGACGTGACATTGTTGTCCACGAAATGAGTTAGATGGTAATAATCGCCCAATTTATGGGCAAGCAGTCGCCCGAAGGCATTGGAAGGTGGTAATTCTAGGGATTGCTCCCTACGATGCTGTGTCAGCAAAATCGAGACACAAGACCAAGTGATAGCGAGCCAACTCACTTAGAATGCTGAATGAAATGTCTGACTTTCTCCTCTAGTTGCAATATCAAAAGACGATCTTTCGGGGACTTCATTGCCTCAATGAGTTTCTCGTCCGGTTCCAAAGGGAATGGGTGCATGGATATGGGCTGTCCACTTCGAAAAGCTTCTTGGTTGGTGATGACGAAATTATTGGACATGGAGTCCGGCATTATAGCACCATTTGGCCGCTGACTACCATCAGTGAAGATAGGGCCTGTGGAGTGCAGTACTGCACGAGCTCTCTGTATATCTCTGAACCCGCGAGCACCTGACTCAGACCCAGTCAGCGAGTTCGGTGCACCAGATGCTATTCCAGAGAGGGATTCCTCTTCATCAATAGCTTGGACACTGGCGCTGTCATCAGGTCGCAAGGAGTCTTTCTCGTCCATTGCGAATGTAGTGACCGAGGCCATACTCTTTGAGTCGAAACTTGTCGGTTTAGTTGACGAGTTCGACAGATGCGTACGATCATCTTCGAATGAAGTTTCCCGTTTCAGAGACCCGTTTTCTTGGACTTCAGCGGGAAAGTCGAGGCTCTCTTGACCCTTCTTCTCTGTGATATGAACATCTTGTACGGTGCGCGAGAGGCTATCGAGACTTCTATCGATGGCGCTGACCTCATCGTCCTTATTTGGGAACACTTGGCTCGACAGGACCCCTTTCGACCCTTGTGAGTCTGAGGGTAGAGGCTCTTCAGGAGACTGTGAACCATTCTTTTCGTTAGATGTTACGTTAACTTGAAATCTTGAGAATGGGGCCATAGCAGCGATCTTATGCGCAGGTCAGAAGGGGCGACACCATCCTCTACTTCGCGAGAGTGGTTCATGTCATAAGTCAACGTACCTTTGCAAACGAGAGACAATGTTCTCCTTCTGGGGAGCTTTTTGATGCCATAACTAACAATCAACACCTTGCACTGTTTCGAAACTTTCTTTTCAGACCTTCCTTCGAATGGTGGCTATCGAAGATGAATTGAAGAATGGTAGGTAACCCGACGAGAAGAATTGAATGGCTGGACTTCACACGTGCGGGTTCACTCAAAGACGAAACCGAAATTTAAGACGACAATAAGCCACTCAAATATCCCACTTCACACAAGCCCAAAAAGAACGACGTCATATCTCTTAAAAACGTAATTCGCCATAGGGAAAGCTGTTCGAAGTTAGGACCAGAGGATGGGTATATCGAAGAGGACCGCGCCCGTCCAGGAGTGGTGATGAGTATGCAAAGTGTCCAACACCGAATACAGGCGTCAAAGAACAGTGGGCAGATCCAAAAAGAGGTGACTGATCTTACACGATGGTCAGAGCGACTTGTTCATGGTTTTTCCCATTTATTGTTTTATAAAGAGGGGAATGGGGTTCCTCCTACTCAGTAAATTCAAACAAAAAGATGAAAAATTTCAAGAAATTTGGTTCCAGCCGAACTGGAAGGAGTCGTATTGGAAAATACGACTCTGGTTCTGGTCCAAGTAGCGCTTGTAGGTGGAGATCGATGATGGTGGTCTTTTTTCGTTCTTTTGGGCTGAGAAGGAACGAAACAGAACTGATCGGGTTTGGTTTCGCTTGTTCTGCTGGTGGGAGATTAGCCGCGCGTTTAACGATCTCGGCCTGACCCACAGTTTGCCTCAACAGCCGCGACAGTGAGAGGTTTGATATTCATAGAAGTCGGGTTTTATATCGGTTCTACAAGTTGAGCCGAAGCGGGTTTGAACTTTTGTGCTGCAAATTTTGTTCCCAGTATACACATAGGGCTCGATGAATCGTTACCGGAATGCGCCCGGCCTTAGAGGCCCTTCCAAGGCTACTGCCAGCACTCTCTGTCAGAAATGCTTGAAACGAGATATGTGCCTTCCTCCGATCGCATCGCAAGTAGCTGACCTTTTGTACGGCACTATAGCTATGAATGTACAGTTACCGCTCAGGAACGGCCATACCAATATCGCCCTTCGCGTACACAGCAGTTACAGAACCCGAAATTACGACCGCAGCTTTCAACGGACGTTCCGAATTATCTATTGGGCTCGTAAGCACTGGAGATACATAATGCATATTTGTCCAATAGACTGAATTCTTCCCAGGGAAGGTGTGGCCGATGACCTTCTGGCAAAACGAGAAGAAGAGAGGGGCCGTAAAAGAGACATAGATGAATCAGACCCTCTTGATAATCCAGGCAAGACATCAAAGAGGGCTAGATCAGCGTCTTCGCATTCTGTGAGCTCGGTGTCTACGATATCTACCAGCCAGTCTCATTCACAGTCCCCACCTCGCCGTAGAGGGTACGCTACAAGAGGTGACTTAGATGGGACGAAGTCAACCACCTCTCATAATGCAAAGTTGAGAAAGAGACAATACAGCGATTCGTCTTCTGGTCATTCTGTCCATTCTCATTCATATGACGAAAGAGACCGCGCTCGCTCTAGATCACGTGAATGGGTAGGTGACAGGAACACCAGACGGAGGCGTCGAGAGTCTAGCCCCGAGGAGCGAGGGCGAGCTAGAAACCTGTCAAGAGGTGGCAGCCGAAGAGGTAGGACTCGAAGCCGGAGCTTTAACCAGAGTCGAGTCGCAAGAGCGAGACGGTCCGTAACGCCAGATACAATGCATAACCTGAACCGCCCTGGAAGACCTCCGAGAGACGCTCCCAGTCATTCAGGCCATTCCGATGGACGACACAGTCGAGCCGGTAATGGACAGTCTGGACGCGGTCAAAACCAGCCTGCACCTCCGCCTCGGAGAGAGCGAAGTCTCAGCCCATACAGTAAACGCCTTGCATTGACCCAGGCCATGAATATCGGCCGTTAGAGCATATGAGAAATCGGCAAAGGCAAAAAGAAAGAAAAAAAAAAAGAACAAAAAAGGCTCCTATCACCACGATACTGTATTATACTAATATGAATCATATATAAGTTGGTATCGGTGCCCATATAGTAATAGACCGCAAAATGCCCTCGACGCCTTTTCGATTCGTATTTCCAGACCCCAACAACGAGCGCCTTAAAGCCAGATTTAGAAGGAACAAAAGATCGTTAGTAAATTACTTATAATCACACCTTTTCTAGGGTATCAAAATTATGCCAGGTCGTCATCCTCCATTTCCCGCCGTTCATTTTCATTTTCTCTCTCGCGTACACGTATTCCTTCGACCAACAGTTCACCCTCTATACCTACATCCTCTCCGTTCTGTTCTGTAGTGGAACCCGTGCCTTTGTCCTTAGCCACATGTGCGTTTTCTATCCTCTGTCGCACCAGCCTTGCTATTGCGTTTTGTGTCCTCACGTTCAAAGTATTCAGTTTCTCGTCTAAATCCCGTTTTAAATCCCAATTGGGCTTCTTCGGTTGAAGCTTGAAAAGATCAATTGGTTGATCCGCCTCTTCATCCTTCTTAGCTCGTTCTGCAGTGGCCTTAGCGATCTCGGCAGCTTGTGCTTCCACAGTTATCTGTCCGTCTGCGGGGGCCTGATCAAAGCCTAACTTCGGGCCACGAGTTTCGGCATCATAGTTCCTTCCGGAGAGATATTTGGTAGTAACATTGGGGAAAGCATCTTTCGGCTCGTCGTCTTGGGTATGAGATTCTGTTAGGGGCTCTGGCTCTGGCTGTTTCCTTTTGAGCGCGGCGAGCTTTGCGAGGCGGGCTTTGCGTTCTGCTGCCGCCGCATCGAGAGTGGCGTGGTTGGACGACATATTTGGGAAGACTTTTTTTGCCAATAGACAGATAGTTTAATGAAAAGAGAATGTCAGTTGGGAGGAAATAATGGGCTCCCCTGGTTCAAGGTTGAAGATATAAATGAGACAATTTTAAGATAAATCTTTCCTGTTACTGGTATCGGAGGCGGTGCGCCACACTCCGGGAGCATGAGCCACAGATAAATGGAGCAAAATAGGGCGGCCGCGATAAAATCGGAAAAATGGTTTCTTCCCATGAAGTGTCCGACATCTCGCTTCGCTCCACAGATCGCTTCTACTGCTAATCTACTAGCATCTATGTTCAATGCACGAGACCACGAAATCCTGAATGTCATTTTGTCCACATCACCTCCTGCGTTCCCGCTTCAGCGCCGGACTACCGTGCCGTGTTCCGCATTATAGGCTGCGTTTAGGACACTGGTATCGGCGGACTGCGAACCTTCCAGCGGCAAGACATGTCACGAATTATGTGTCTAGATCGAATATCACACAGCCCTGTGCGTATGACACTGTAGGCAATGATCTGAACACACCTTCCTCTCAACCTGCTTCTAGTCCAGTTTCTATTCAAGAAACAAGGGACAACCATATTGAGGATCAGCCACAGGGCCTTCAAGATGTAGCCGACTCATCTCTGGTTCAGATATATCAAAGCGATATCGCAGGGGACTCTGATCCATATGACATTCTTCTCCCACCCGTATCGACATCTTTGAACGACATGCGCCCTGTCAATCGAGAGTATAAGAGTACCTTCCGTACCCCTTCATTGGTGAACGGACAGATAAAATATAAATACAGTACGAGATATGTGAGCCAGGAGACGTTCGATTTTATGGAGAGTATGAGATTGAGGTCTCTACACTACGACCGCGAAGAAATTCACGCATGGAAACTCGCCTGTGCTAAATTATATCAGGCTGTGTTGAACAATACAGATGTACAAGAATTCCCGCCGTCTTTGATGCTGAATGATGATGATCTGAATCTCCTCGAAAAAATCAAAACAGACTGCCAGGGTAGTTTCCGTGGGGTTTGGGAGGTATTAGACAAACCTGCCAAGGCTTCACACTGGAAGCGACTATCATTATGGCTGTTACAAAATTCCCCAGATTTGGCCTTGGAATTTCTCCTCGTTACCTGTCAGAGTGCGGATATGCCTTTGTTTGTCATGGTTTCGGAATGCTTTCTCTTCCTGGATAAGCTGCATGGTGGCAAATTGCAGCACTGGAAAAAGGGAGACCATACATATGTTTCTCTTTTACTTAGTTGCTTAGACCCAAGCAGTTGGCCTGTTCTGAACCTATATCAAAAAGGTGTTCGGCTCTACTTGCGAAAAGCTGGTTTAGATGAAGTCTACTATGCCTGGGCAACTGTGGGCAGAAGGAAGAATTACATAGTATCCGAGACGTTGCTTTGCTTCATGCGTCGGTTTACAGAATTTGGAGATGTCCCTAAATCGCTAGATGCGCTCGAGCAGGTGCGGAACCGAGAGCAGGAAAATTTTCTGATGCATTCTATAGGAGTTATGCGTCACTGTTGCAAGCTTCTACTACTCGACTCTGTTCGGGATACTCCGGACGGGCGCAATTTCTATATTTTACCGAAACTACTCAACATGGGAGTGCGACCAGATCGTGACATGATGAACATAGTTCTATCCAATGCTTTTAAGACCGGAGATCCGCAGGTGGGATTCGACATGTTTCGTTTCATGAAAAGGCAGAGCTTCGAGCCTGATTCATTCACTTATTTAACATTACTTAGCGATGCCGTGGCTCGGGGGGATCGGGAGCGTGTTCAGTCGCTGATACAGGATATTAGAACGCGCAATCTTGAGAAAAACCAATTTATTGCGAGCAAAATCTTCCACGCTCATTTCACTTTCAACGCCAAGCATCATGATCCAGATGACGATCCCAGTGGCGTCTTTTACTCACTTCTGGATATGTATAACCAGTTGTATGATATCACGCCATTGAAGGACCTCTCTATCATTCCACCTGAATACACTCCTCCCCCAGGAGGCGACAACGCCCAGCCATCTATCATTGCTCTGTACCTCATGGTCGCGACCTATCTGCGGTGCCAGAAACGCATATCCCACACTCAACGCGTTTACACCAAATTCAGAGCCCTAGTGTCACAAGCTCACCCAGTTATAGCTCCGTTGGCCTCCACCGACCATACTTACAATGAATTCCTGGTTGCTTTTCGGGATGACCCTCGCGGGCTACGACCGGCCGTGCGACTAGTGGAGGATATGTTGCACTCCTCCAATGAAGAGGAGGAACTTGAAGACGGGACTCTTGTCCATGCTAAGCCGTCAGTTCGGACTTGGACGATCTTAATGAGCGCCTTCACCTTCAACAAACAGCCGCTTGCCGCGGAGAAAGTCCGAGATATGATGGTCAAACACGGAGTTGAGTACAACAAAGTTACCTGGAATACGATCATCAATACCTATGCAAACGCCCAAAATATTCCTGAAGTTGCAAAGTCAATCAAGGCTATGGAGGATCAGGGCTATTCCATGGATTCATATACAATGAAATGCCTCCGCTACCTTCAGGATCCGGAGCGCTTATGGATTGCGGTAGAAGAATTGGATAAGGTGACTGATGCTCGCCACGATATGGTGACCTCCCTGGGCCAGAGGCCTCTAGAGGAGAACGAACTAGATGAAGATGAGCTTCTACTAGAGCAAGGCTTGCGGCGTCTTTGCGAGAAAAAGGAGTCTACCCGTTAAGATACCCTGAATCATTTCTTTTCTACCACCTTACTATTTTCTTGCATCTGGGGCGTGGGTTCGTGAAAAAGGTTGTCATTTTCAGGGGTTATACAGAGCACAGGTGCATGATATATATCAGGATCTCAATGCTGTAGATTATCGCTTTTGTACAATAACATGTGTAAATAACCATGAGAACTCACTGCAATATAATTTTATGTACAAACCAACATGAGAAATTACGTAATGCCGATCGCTGGTAAAAGAACCATGCTATCTTCATTTATGAATTGATATGAGAATTATTTAGAAGGGAAGAAAAAGATCCGGTAAACTGTGAAAGAATTCATTTAACCCCCAAAGAAGATTGAGACCTACTCAGTATCATTAGTCTCGCTGGTTTTTCCTCCCACCATGCATACAATACTCACAGCCATCAAGATGCAGCAGATACTGACGTACGGACTCAGCCGTTCGCCGATTCGAGCACATTTCCAAAATATCCCGAAGAAACTTCGAATGAGGAGGGCATGAGTCTCATCTCTTTCATTGACATCACAAAGGAAAACAGAAAGTAGCACCTACCCGTGCTGATTTCGGTCCATGATTCCGGGCATTATGGAGTGAGCATAAGTACTTGTGCAGATGATGAGCAAGATCACTAGAAGTAGTGATTGAAAATTGAATAAGGCAGACTACCACACGTATCTCTGTTAGCTGGTTGTCATCTTATCAACGTCGAGCCTGTGGCAGGGCTTAGATAGTGGGCACCGTCTAGAGAGGTAGGCAATATTCACAGTGAATTCACTCACCATTTTGCTTGGATTTCCCGTTCAGAAACTGTTCTACTCTTTAACCTCAAATCTCCAACCCAAACTCAATGAAGTCTAAAGATATCTGTCTCCAAGTTCCGTCCTGTGAATCCGAGATTCTGCCCATAATATCCGCCAACCACTCTCACCGCCCAGGTCACCTCCCCAATGTGCAGCCTCCAACAGCTCCAACAGCAAGAACTCGGCCAATCGCTTCTGCCTCTTCGTCATCGTCCAGCCCATCCGCTTCACCCCGACAACCCAGCTCTGGCCATGTGCCGAGCCAACTTGCTCCACCTTGGCCATTTAATCCTCAGGAGACAGCTCTAATCCGCGCCGGTTATCGCCCTGCATTCAAACCGAACATTGCGAAGAACGAGGATCCTACCCCGCAAGCCATTTCTAAGGCAAGAAGCACTCTTCCGCCATGGCCGAACCAAGAGCCCGTGCCGCTAGGCACAAGGGCCAGATGAACTTTGCCGCCGAATGTAAACCCTCTGGTCCTTCCTTCGTTATAATCTCGTTGCTCACATTACATGCCTCGAATTGATAGTGCGCCTCCTCCTTCTAGCATATGGTGACCCAAGCCCGCACCCATCTTTCCCTTCGGAGCCCCTTCCTGAAACGGTCCGTGTACTCGATGAGATTGTTACCGACTTTGTTCTGGAGATGTGCCACGGCGCAGCTCAGTATGCCGCCTACTCGCGCCGTCAGAAGATCAAGGTTGATGACTTCCGGTTTGCGCTGCGCCGCGATCCTAATAAACTCGGTCGTGTCCAGGAGCTCTTGCGTATGGAGCGTGAATTGAAAGAGGCTCGAAAGGCGTTCGATCAGAATGATGACCAGGTTGGAAACTTGAAGGATGCTAGCAAGAAGGAGCTTGAGGACCTGGGCGATGGTGCCGATAGCAAGAAGAGCAAGGGAAAAGGAAAGAGAACTGCTAGAAGAGATTCAGATGCTACGGAAGATACGACTGTTTCGAAGAAGAGGAAGACCGGTTAAGTTGGTAACCGATGTCTCTCAACTATTTTCGATATCTTTCTGCTCTCCAATTTCTTTTACTTCTCAGGCGTTCTAGTTCCGGTCACGGCTTTTAAACAAATTTAGGATACCACTTGTGTCAGGGCAGGGCGTTATTGGGAAATTGATCCGGGCTCCTTCCTAAACTTGGGATTGAAAGGCAAGGCTTCTTATACCAGGTAAGTTTCACGAGCTAAGTGCAATCAAGATAAAACCAATGCTCATGATTTGTCATTTTATCAGCTAGAAGTGCAGATACTCGTTGCTTCAGTACATATATCCATTCATCATGATTAACACGCCGCTATGAAAAGCAGCTTCGTAACCATCAAGTCTACACTATATCATCAAAGTAAAGAGGCCCCTGTCATAAAGGGTCTCAAGCCCTTACTCTTCCCAACTTGCACAACTCCCTCTTTAATCACTCTGAACAAAGCCAGATTGACTCCCGTACGCCATGCTCTTCTGGTTCCTTTTTTTCTTTTTCTTTTTTTTGGCCTTTTGCTTTCGCTCGCCAATTTGATTTGATAATGCCCCCGGCAGCCGAGATTGTAATGCCACAGCAGAGAGACAATGGGAGCAGAACTGAAAACAAGCTTTTTCCACAAGAAAGATAACCCTGGACGAGATAGAACCCTAGACACATATCAAGGAAAGATTGGGGTAAACAGAGTGGTGGGAAAATAGATGCGAGAAGAAAAATGGATGGGACAAGAGATGTCAAGAGAAAAGAACTGTGTCTTTATAGATGGTCATTTATTTTGTTTTTCCCTCTTTACGCGCGAGCCTCCTCTCCACCCCGGTCTTGAGTCCGCTGCTGCCCTCCACGGCCTCCTTTGCCGCCCCTCTGGCCTCCGCGTTGACCGGACTCTGCATGGCCGGACTCGCCGCCAAGAGTGAGCTGAGCGGTTGCTAGGCGGTTGGACAGTTCCATCTGTGTACGGATGGTGTTGGCCAAGTAGGAGACAACCAGTACGTCCTGGATGTGGTTGTTGCTGTATGATTCGTTAGCATTCAGGGATGCATTACCCAGCCCCAGCAGGGCATAGGATTGAGGTTAATAAGAAAGGGGAAAACATACAAATCCCGCTCAATATCAGCGGGCTCAACCTTCGGTGCCAAGGCGAGAGCGTTGAGAAGGAACTGGCCTAATGCTGTCGACGCGGGAGCCTCCTCATCGATAACAGACTCGACATATCGAGAAACACGGTCGATCATACCAAGAACCTCCTCGATCGCACGCTCGAGAGCCTCAATATCAGTAAAGATGTTTGCGGCACGGTTTTCAGAATCGCGAGCGGCAGCAATAGACTCCAGGCCACTCTTTTCGGTCTCACCATAGCGGATCTCGTAAGGGACGGGGATGAAGGCAGCGCTGTCGGCGGCTCTCTCTGCAGTCACACCAACAGGAGCAGAAATGTAGGCACGAGTCTCAACATCTTTGCCAGGTTCGGTAGAGACAGTCAAGTGGACGGCGGGGTGAGGGAAAGTTCCATCACCCTGGCCGCTGTAGAAGTTCTGGATCAAAGCGGAGAAGGTGTTCAACTCGGACGAAGTGGCGTACCAACCGACCAGGACTTCCTTAGGGTTTGCCTTGAGATGCAATGCAAGCATTTGCTTTTGGTATTCCATGTCGACCTCAACCTGGTCCGTCGTCTCGGTGTGTCCAACAGCGAAAGTCGTGCGAATTTCCACTTCAGTTCCATCCTCTGACCTGGTTCCTAGCAGGGTTCCGATGACACGTTCCTGGTCGGCATTGCGACGAAGGGAATGATCAAGGATCGAGAAGAGTGCCTGCCAGATGTATCAATAACGTCGTCCTTTAGCTATCAGCCCTGATATAGCAAACGTACCTGAGGATGAATGACAACATTCAGAGGGGCGGTAGTCGGTGCAGACCCCACTGCCACCGGGCCCAGAGGGCGAGCAAGATGAAGGTAAGAATCAGTTTCAGCCATGATGGATAGAAAATATAAGATGCGCAGATGGCTTTTCTCTCTCACACAACTCTTCACTTGGTATCTTCCTCAGCGTGGTAGAGAGTAGCACTCTTTTTTATTAGTTCTTCCGCCCGCTAGACTCTGCGCCGACGGAGGTTCTGCGAGGCTCAAATTGTGTGTGCGCAAATGGAATTTCGCGCTAAGATAAGATAAGCATTTCCACCCCAAAAAGAAAAGTAAAAAAACCACCCCAAGGAAAAAAAATAAGTTCGGCGACTTAAGAGCTAGAACACAACCCCTTCTAGGTACATTGAATCTTTACCCAAATGGTTCCCCCTCGAAATAGAGGTTCCAGAGGTCGCGGAGGCCGTGGTGGCCGTGGTGGCCGTGCCAATGCCACCGTAAAGAAGAGAAACGCCTTCACAACGTCACGAGTAGATGAGATAGAGTGAGCTTCTCCCGTTAGGTCTCTGGGCCTAGCTAACCAGTTCACTCAGGGCGGAAGATTCTTCTAGTGGGGAGGATAGCCAATTTGAAGACCATCTTGGTGATGAAATGGACTACGGAGAACCTATAGACAAGGCATCGTCAGACAGCGAGGAGGACAAAGAAGACGAAAAGTCGTCACGCCCATATAACGAATTACTTCAGTTACTCAATACAACCGCTGACTCTAAGGGACCGGCACGAAAAAAGAGAAAGACTGAACAGAAGGATGATAAAAGAGAGGCGACTCGGAAACACATTGTTGCAACCGCAATCGGAGAGGAGGACGAGGAATTATTGGAAGACGAGCAGCAGGATCCTTCCGATGAAGAGGGCGAAGAGGACGAAGATCGCGTAAATGTGGCAGATGTTGATGGTCAAGCAGACAGTGATGATGAAGATGGTGAAGCTTTCCGGGATATCGCGATGGGTTCGATCTACTTACTAACAACTAGCAGACAGTGACCCCTTCGAAGCGCATTTCGCGGCTCTAAAAGAAGACGAACTTTCTCGACAAATTACGGCTGTAGGGGAGAAAAGGTGGAAATCTATGAAGAGAGAGCTCTCCGAAGACTTGAAATTAGTCCGCGCTGTACCGGATACTGGAAGCGAATCGTCGTTTCTGCCTACCCTGAAGACTATCACGAGTTTAAAGGTAGGAAATGGCTGTCCTGCGAACAGTTGATATGCGGAATGTTACTTATCATATTACAGCTCAAGAAGAAGTTGAAAGCGCCCGCCATGGAGCATATCCCTCAGATCGACGACTATGCCCAACACCTGGCTCCCTATATCTTTGATTACCAAGACGTCTTATATGGCGCCAGAACAACATACAACTCGGCTCAGCTGCGGGACCTTCTGGCTGTTCATGCTGTCAACCATGTGTTGAAGACCCGAGACCGTGTGCTTAAGAACAACGCTCGTGTCGCAAAGGAACAAGACGTCGACCTCGACTTGCGCGATCAAGGTTTCACCCGGCCTAAGGTGCTGTACCTCCTCCCGACCAAACAAGCTTGTGTACGAGTAGTAGAGTCCATCACCCAGCTCTTCCAACCTGAACAGCAAGAGAACAAAAAGCGGTTCACGGATACCTTCTCTGCAACAGATGACCGGTCCTGGGAGAGCAAACCCGAGGACTTTCGAGAATTGTTCGGTGGAAATGATGACGACATGTTCCGGCTGGGCCTCAAATTCACGAGGAAATCTGTCAAGTTCTTTTCACAGTTCTACGCTTCAGATGTGATCCTTGCCAGTCCACTGGGGTTGCGCACAATTATGGACCAAGCAGAGTAGGTTTCCCAATGCGCTAGAAGCTCGAACTTCATGCTAACTTCATATAGCGCAAAGAAACGTGATCATGACTTTTTATCTTCCATAGAGGTCGTTATAGCAGATCATGCCGATGCGCTTCTCATGCAGAATTGGGACCACGTCGACTATATCTTCAAGCATCTTAACCTTCAGCCGAGGGAGGCGCACGGCTGTGACTTTAGCCGCGTGCGGACATGGTACTTGGACAACAACGCACGATATGTCCGCCAAATGATCATACTAGCTTCATTTATTACCCCAGAGATAAACTCGATCTTTTCTACGCATATGCAAAACGTCTCCGGCAAGGTCAAAATAATACCAGCCTATGCCGGGGCGATCTCTGAGATCCCACTTCCCGTATCTGTGAAGCAGACCTTCTCCCGGTTCGATACTCTCTCGCCGGCGAAAGACCCAGATGCGCGATTCAAACACTTCACCACCACGGTATTATCATCCTTAGTCCGCAATATCACGTCTGGTCGGAATACCAATAGTGGTGGGATCTTAATCTTCATTCCATCGTACTTGGATTTCGTCCGTGTACGAAATTACTTTGCCACCTCTGCGCAGACCACCAACGTCTCCTTTGGCGCGATCTCGGAATACTCGGACACTCGAGACATTTCACGTGCCCGCACGCATTTTATGAATGGCCGGCACTCGGTATTGCTATATACAGAAAGATTTCATCATTTCCGGCGGTACCAGATCCGAGGAGTCAAGCGGATCATCATGTATGGAGTACCAGAAAACCCGACTTTCTGGGGCGAAATTGTTGGATTTTTGGGAATAGATCCAGCGGCGATTGATCAGGCGGCCGAGGGAGGCGTACGTGCCCTGTTCTCCAAGTGGGATGCACTAAAATTGGAGAGGATCGTTGGAACCAAACGAGTCGGCAACATGCTGCGCGAAACGGGAGGCGATACATTTACCTTTGTATAAAACCGAGTCCGTTGATCGTACTAACTCATATCAATGTATTTGTTACTCCTTGCCCTACTGCCTTCTATTGATAGACAGATATAACCCTACAACCCACACAATGGTCACTCCGCAAATGTCTCCATGAGCCAAGCAGGGTAAGTGAAGCCATTATTGTCAGAACCGTCGGCTTGAAACTTTCCCCAGGGGCACAGCATGTTAGGTAATAGGAACCCTCCACAACACTAAAGGCTGAGGGAACCAATTAAAGATCGTGTCCTTTTGTATATAGTGATGTAACCATATAACGTACATGCAGCCCTCATTTCACATATAAAGGTATAAGATAAATACACTAATATAGATATAGATATAGATATAGATATATATACAACAGGAGAAAACGGAAAAGGAAAAGGAAACGGATTAGTTGTGCGACGAAAGGGGGGGCATCCCATCATGGACTAATCCTTGATATTAAATGCAAAAGGCTTGCAATTTACTTAATAAGATGAAAGTAGAAAAAAATAGAAAGAAAGAAAATAAAAGAGTTGAATAAATTAGCTTTTCTTTTTCCGTCCTGAATTATTTAATATTTTAATACTAGTAGTTTGTTGTTTATACTAGCCATGATTTTCTCAATATGAAATTCAATTAATATCAACAAAGTGGGTCTTTTAAGGCGATCCACCCACGTTTTTATTTGGACCTTATTTGACGCCGATAGCGCTCTAAAGTCACACGGCTGCTGCACATTGAACAAAAAAGTTTTGTTTCTTTTTTCTTTTGCTATTTCTCTTTTTCTCTCTTGCTGTGCAGCTTCTGAAAGGGTTCAGCTGACAATTGAACTTCCATTAGTCTTTGAAGTTAATCTTTCGCATGATCTACTATTCTCAAGTCTACCTACATTTGTTTTGGACTTCCTCCTCTTCTACTTCTAGATCTTTACCTGGGACCCAAGGAAAGGAGTCACATATCGGTCCACGCCTAATATGACGCGGTCTTCGTCAACCAGTCAGGATGGTAATCGACCTCCCATCGGCTCAGAATCGACAGCCAAAGCCGACACCAATAGCCCATTTTCTGCGCTGTTTTGTTGGAGAAAACCGCGCCCAGTCAACGCCCATGTAGATGAGCGGACCCCCTTACTGGGATCGAACCCACCGGTATCACCATCAACGTCATCATGGTGGAAAACGGTGCAGGATTCAGGGCGCGAACTCTGGCTCCAGGGTAAGGGGATGATCCTTGTCCTGCTGGCGCAGTTCTTCGGCGCTTCCATGAATGTCATGACTCAAATTCTGGAGATCAAAGGGAGAAATGGGGAAGGATTTCATCCCTTTCAGGTATGATGATTTGACTTTAGGGCCAGCTTTGAGGGGTTCTATTGGTTCCTTCTCTCTCTTTCACTCTCATATGTCCAATACTAAAAGCTCATCCCAGATCTTGTTCGCCCGCATGTCCATCACGGTGGTAGTCAGTTATCTGTACATGTGGTATACCAAAGTCCCTCATCCCTTGGGCACCCGCCCTGTACTTCATCTGCTGCTGCTTCGCGCAGCCGGTGGCTTTTTTGGCGTTTATGGGCTGTATTATTCTGTCCAATACCTACCACTGTCCGAGGCGACAGTGTTAACTTTCTTAGCGCCTATCCTTACCTGCTACGCCTGCTCTCTCTTCATCCCCAACGAAACTTTCACCCGCAAGCAACAACTTGCCGGCGTAGTATCGCTAGTGGGAGTGGTGCTGATCGCACGGCCTCTCTCGGTTTTCTCAACATCCCCCGAGGCGGGCAATGGTAAACAGCCCCATTCTGCAGACGAATACCAACATATCCTGGCTATTGCCACGGCGCTCATGGGCGTCATGGGGGCATCTTGCGCGTACTCGTCCATCCGAATGATCGGACAGCGCTGCCACCCGCTTGTGTCGGTTACCTATTTTTCCTTGTTCACGACCATAGTGTCGACCGTAGCCATTCTGGCGATGCCTTCCATTGCTCTGGAGCTACCAGGGACCCTATTAGAATGGACCCTGCTCTTGGGTTTGGGAGTTTGTGGGTTTCTCCTCCAATTCCTCTTGACTGCAGGCCTGTCCTATGCTCCTCCACCGAGGAGATCATACACATCAACGGGTAACGAGAGCGATGAGCCTAAGGCATCATCGCACAGCTCGTCCGGATCGCGGGCCACGTCCATGATTTACATGCAGATGGTCTTTGCGTTGATTTATGACCGCGTTATTTGGGGGAGCACCCTTTCTCTCTTGAGTTGGATGGGATCCGGTCTGATCTTAGGAAGCGCCATCTATGTGGCAGTCGTCCGGGAGGCGCCCGCTGCTGCTAGGGACGATGACGAGGAAACCGAGTAAATAAGGACGAAGGTTATGAAATTGGTCGCACGACGACGTCACGACTTGCATGAGCGGAGGAATGAATGCCTGGAGTAAGGGCGAGGGGGAGGGAAAAGAAAGAAAAAACGACTAATGCATGATGGAGCCGACGAGGCAAGAGACACGACGATCTGAGGGATTTGACAGCAAGCGAAGATTCCTTCTCTGCGACAACAGCGCGAATTTCCTAGTAAATTTGATTTTGATATATACTACTGTAGTAGACTATATACTACTCTCGTAGATGGACATGATTGATCTATTTGAACTAAATTGAATCATAGGTTGTGGTTGTGTCTGCGATTGTAAACATAGTAGAAGAATTCAAGGTGGAAAGAAAAGCGCGCTTAGGTCAAGTTGCAGGCAGTGCGTGGAGATCCCGACAAGTGGTGTTGGTCCGTGCTTTCCTGGAGAACAGTGCTCCGTAGTTTTTGCCCCTGGGGTACCTTGGTTCCTTTTTTTTTTTATTTTTCCCCTTTCTCTCTGGTTCCGTAGGGTCTCGCCATATATCAGCGTCTATATGTATAGATTCTATATCCTTTGATCCTTCATATAATCCGAGCATCACAGTATACTACGTATATATATATATATATATTTTTTCAATATCAATTTAGCAAATGAAAGCGGAAGGGGTAAAAAAAAAACAAGCCAACACGTCATAGGGTTACAAAACTGCCACCGAAAAGTCCCGACGGCTGCGGCACTTCCCGAGACACATCATTGGTGGAATGAACCCATTCTTGCAGTGGCGTTGATTCGACAGAAGTTTTAGGTACAGTACCTCTTAAATGTATATATATATATCCATACTACTAGTCGACTCTAACGGTTCTCCACTGTTACTCCGTCCTTTTCTCCTCCCCACCCCTCTCTACCGGCCAGGCTTCTCTCTATGCATACAAATATACCTATATATATATATATATACAGACAGACAGACATATACATTTTTCTCAATTATACATCCATCTTCTAAATTGTTAATCTTTCCCGGCTCATTATAATCCTCCTAACCTCCCACTCTCTTATATAGATTGCTAAATTGAGAGCTAACCTCTTGAGGTAAATTATCTCAAGTAAAGCATCAACATCTGCTCGAACAATGCGTCACTTCGATGCCTGGCTACTACGAGATCCCTACTCCATCTTTCACTACTACTCCACCGGACGAAGATGGCAAGAGACGGTTCGTGATCTGATCCAGGAACGCAAGATCTGTGCCCCCTCCGTTGATCTTTCCTCCAATGCCTCCTCCAAACCAGTCGACCCGTATGCCCGACCCATGGCATCCCAATCCAACAGCTTATTGTTCCGCAAGCTGCCCGCTGAGATCCGTCTTATGATCTACAATTATGCCTTCGGCGACGAGGCCGTCCATTTAGTTCAGTTGAAGGACAAGATCCGCCATGTCCGGTGTAAAAATCTTTCTTCGTCTCTCGACCGCAACCGCAGCTGCTGCCCCGTTACTCCCGCCCGCTGGCGGGCCCAGGAGAACCGCATGCCAGGCCACTCTGACAGCATGCTGTACCCACACACCCACACTTCCCTCCCCGAGTTCCTGAGCAACTCGTCCGTGGCATTGCTGCGCACCTGCCGCGCCATCTATGCTGAAGCGGCCGACATCCTCTATTCTCACGCCGTCTTCGACGTAGACGACCTTCACACCTTCATCGCCTTCTCTCTGACTGTCTGTCCAGATCGTCTCCGCGCGATCAAACGTCTCACTGTCCAATGGATGCCCATCTGGCAGCCGATGGCCGGACAAGAGCACAAATCCTCCATCTATTCCCACACCCACAACGATCGCCTCTGGGCTCTGTTCTGGACCCGGATCGCCGCCCTCCGCGGCCTCGAGCAGCTGCATCTCAGTCTGGATCTCGGCCGCTTCAGCGGGAACGCTAATGGTGGAATTCTGGGCAGCAAACGCTTTCGTCTGGCGGTCGATGAGTCCTGGGTTTCCCCGATGTTATGTGTGCGGGGTCTCAAATCGTTCGAATTGGGTATCACCGCCCGTTGTGATGCTTACGCCAAGAGAGTGATGGAACAGGACCTGTGTCGGGATGCTGTGGCTTTGCGTGACGCTCTGCGTGAGATCATGTGTTCGCCGCATGGTCAGATACCCATTATTCCAACTCTCCAGACGAGGATGGCCTGTGGCTTGGAGGAGGAAGTGCATGACGTCCTGGAGAGGAAAACGCGGCCGCGACTTGCTATCACAGCAGCTTGATCGATGTATTTCCCCCCTATGTTGACCGCTACAAAAATATTGCAGAGTATAAAAAGACCTGCAAAAGGCGAAAGGGGAGGGGGAAGAAAATGCAAAACAAGGGAGCCATTGCAATTTGGAAAGAGATACCCCATTTTATCCTTTTACTTGTCTTTTATCTTTTTCTTTTTACTTCTTCTCGAACCTCTCTATACTTCCTGGTTGTCCATGTGTCCTGGCATTTTGATACCTGGAAGAGACTTTTTTATTTTCATTTTATTGTCTCATTTCTTGCTTTGTTTCTGCATCTGGTAGATTAGATGAATAAACAAGTTCATCAATTTGTCTCGATCAATCCTTTATCCGAATATCTTCATCTTCTCGTATATACTCCGCAGGTGTCTAGCCCACCATTCTTGCCCAGTAACAGTGCACCGGGTACAACCTCGTAGAGAAGGATCCTGGCTCTGAATCAAAGTGGTCAACCCACAGAACGCCCTGATTGATTCCATCAGATATCTATCTAAATCTATCTACAGATCAAGGCAACCTATTAAAGATAGTATCCTGCAATCAGAAGGAATGAGGGAAAGAAAAGGAGTAGTAAAACCTCCAGCCCTCACAAATTTGACACAAGTACAGATTAAAAAAGCAACAGCAGATAAAAAAAAACCACAACGACGCATGAGCCCTTGGCCGTTCCCTTGATTTCCATACAATTCAACCCAAAATCGGAGGCATGCGATCTCTTTCTTCCACCCGCCAGAAGAAATGATTCTGTTGGCAAATGCCATAATAATAATATCAACCAGAAGATAAGAAAAAGTATCGATAAGAAAACATTATCTCGTATCAACCCATCTGATGTAAGATCATTTGATAATGGAAGGAGAAAAAGAGCAGTAGATATTGGTTGGTTTGATGTCTCTTTTTCTCGTCCTTGTTTCCTTTGCTTTTCCAAATTACCATGAGATAAATGTCAAACTGTCAATTATTTTGTTCTTGCTTTTGTTCTTGTTTCGTTTTGTTTTGAAATTTTTTTTGTCTTGTGTTTAGATCACTTGCTTAGTGAGACATGAAAAGCGGCAGTCCTCTGATACTCTTGACAGACAGACAGCAGACAATTGAGAATAGGGCTAAAGCAACCTGATAAGGTTACACTATGTATGTCCTTTGGTTTAATTTGTCACTGCACTGGCTTGCGCTTTCGATGGTTCAACATGGCCGTTGCTGCGTTCCTGTTCGGACTCATGCTCTTCTTCGCTGGTTGGTGAAGGAGCGCGACTTTCTAAGAGTGACCGACGGCTGCGCATCTGTGCGTTTGTCAGTCGATGGCAGCTCCATTCTCTGGAAAGGATCTCCTTACCCATGCCCTTACACCTCCAATTAATCCCAAGCTGTATCCAGTTGCAAAGTCTTCATTCCGTCCATTTCCAATGGGGCTTTCAGGGCGACCCATTGACTCCACTCGTGACAGATGGGTCTTCATGGTACCAGTGGTTGGGCTGACAACATTTCCGCGTGTACTGCCCATGTCAACACTGTTCCTCGCGCTCGGAGCTGGGCTGCCAGGCCGGCTGTTCTGCCAGAGTTGTCGTAATTCTCGGCCAAGCTCTTGGCCCGTGCTTGTCCAGTTGTTCCGAATATTGTCCCGAATCTCCGCTACATGTCGCTTGATTTCCAATTCGTTCTTCTTCAGCCATGACACGTTCAACTCCTGTCTCGAAGCGCCTCGCTTGAATTGGCGGGAGATGTACTGGTCGTAATCGCGGACAATTCTGCAACTGTCAGCCTTCGGCGCAATGCAAACAATAAGAGTCATGGGAAACTAACCTAGTGATGATTCCCGTAGTGCTGACACCCTCCGTCCTCTGGGTAACCAAAAACTTGCCTTGAGCCTTGATCGGAGCATAGATATCATCTCCCTCGGCTGCACCGTAGGGCAGGTCATCATGCGCAACGTAGTCAATCATGTGCTCCTCAATAAACTCGGGAGTGACCACCCAAGGACAGTTGGGGATCACTTCGTCTACCCATTTACAATGACGAACACTTTCTGCGCGCTCCGCCCCGCTCAGGACAGTGAGGCCCTTCCGATTATGAGTCTCCTCATCTCCAGTCACACCGACCATCAGATGCACGTCCGGGAAGGCCTTCTTCGCCTGTTCAAGTTGACGCATGTGGCTGTTACGCAAGAAACCCAATTAGCATCATTCCAAAATTGGAAAATCGACCGGACAACATACCCCACGTGAAACAAGTCAAAGACACCATCCGCATACACTCGGACTGGCCGCCCCACGGGCGGAGGGTTGGTATGATATCCGACCGGATCCTGCAACCCAGCCCGCTCAGGTGGCTGCATCAGGTCTTCCCTAGTTTCAACATCTGTCGTCTGGATCTGTAATCCCGACCGGCCCTTGCTGCGGCTTTCAATGTCGCTACTAGCGACTGTAGTTTCAGAAGGCTCGCCAGGATCCTCCTTGCTGAGCGCCGAAGGTTCTTCGGTGGCAGGGCCATTGGTCTGCTCACCAACCGTGGAACTCTTCCGAGCCCGTTTTGACGGTGGAACATTGCTCGCTGAAGTTACATCAATTGGCGCCTGCTTCTTATACTTGACCGATAACGGAGTATTAGGGCCGGTCGAATCGTCGCCATCTTCACCCGACGCATCGCGTGATGACGGTTGCAGAAGGTCAGCGGAGGTTACGTTGGATGGAAGATATTGAGAAGCACTGCGCTTGCGCTTTCCTGCCGAAGATGGAGAGGACATTATGATGGGAGAAGGATGACTGAGGGAGCCCTGCTCTACTTCTGTCGAAAGGTGGAGGGAAAAATCAAAGGATTAGATGAGAAGAAAATTCCCACGATGAAGTAAAGAGACGCGTTGGGAGCGCGAAAAGGACAGCGTAGAGTCGAAGAACGGAAGGGAAAGAAAGCGGGAGGAAAACACGGGACCCAGATGAATGAATGGTTTAGGGGTCTCTTACTAGTTTCCCTTCTAGCCCCTAGTTAATTCGCAATGAGGGTGGGGAGAAACAGAGAGAGAGGACTTGCTAATGTGTGAGAGCGATAATACCGTACTAAGATCCTCTCCGTATTGGAACGGGTGCGTATGTGTTTTTTCTTTACATTTCTCTCTCCCTCTTTTTTCTTGGTCATTTGATCGGCCTCAAACAAAAAGCGAGAAAAGAAAGAAGGGAGGAAAAGATACGAAACTACAAGAAGATTGCAGACGAAACAAAGAGAAAAAGAGAAAGAGTATAAAAGCTTCTATAGGAGCTGATTGAGACAGCGTGTACTGGTAACAATGATCTGGTAATACTGTACATACATATATCCGTATGTACATAAGTATGTAGCTAAGGTACCATCTTACCTCCATGAATACGGGTGGGCCTTTCTGTCTGTCTTTTCGGTATGCGTATTTCAATCCCCAACCATTCAGAACATGGGACTTGGTTCCTGTTACATGGAAATCATCCATTGTTTCTCTTCTGCACCCCCGGGAAACCAGGTATACTCGCCGCGTTTACTGGATCGCGCTCACCCAAGAGTCACTCCTGTGATGCGGTCTTCGGCACATTCCCTGGGCCAACGATTCTATATCCGTACGAGTAAAACTAACAGGACATGGGAAAGATCGCTTGCATCCATCACATTTCCAGAACTCCACTGCTGAAGCATTTGACTAAAAGGTCTTCATGCCACTGATTGCTTTCCGGATACGCCGTCACATGTGCAAGAGAATATCTTCGTTCCCATTCTTTACCGCCGCCCAACAACCCCTTCTGTCCAGTGTGACTCGGTGCGAATAAAAAAGAGAGAGGAGAGTGAGAGCGTAACAATCCTCCGACAAATAACGAAGGGGCCAACAACATAGGGGTGGTGAAAAACAGATAGAGGGATAGATGGGTGAAGGGGGAAAGGAAGTTAAGAAAAGGAAGAGGACGCAAGAAAACATACAAAAGAAAAGAAAAAGGGAATAAAATCATAGATATCAAGGTTCATCAATAGCGGTCGTTTGGCGCGGTATCTTGTAAAAAGGCATGAATCAAGACGTACTCTCGTGAGATCTGCCGCTCGCAGTTTGTAAAGGAAAACGAAGTAAAAACGTGCTATCCTAAGGGGAACCCCTATAACCCATTCTCAAGACATGAGAGATAACATGGCCAGCTGCGACACACAAAGCTTCCCACCGCTTGCTCCGCCTCGTTCGATGCCACGGGTTACCAATATCATTGGGGGGGGGGGAAGAAAACTATTGTGGGAAACCGAGACAACAAGGCGCTTCGGGGAAAAGGGAGGGTGGGGATGCAAGGCGGAATAATCATAAGATCACAATCGTTTTTCAAAACCCAAAATAAAGAAGAAGGGGGTAAACAGAGGTAAAGAGTCCATCGTAACTACGATGTAGGATTTTCCGGGGTTTCGGAGGTAGAAGTTGACTCGGATGAACTACCAGACAATCCTTCTTCCGACTTGGAGGCCGCGTCAGTTTTAGATTGGGGTCCCGGAGTTCCTTCACGTTCATTCCTGGCAGCATCAGGCGATTCGCGTTGCACTTGACTAGGCAAATCCCGGTCTTCCTCGGTTTGGTCAAAGAGCTCCTCGTCGTTTTGATCAGGGACCAGTTCGGTACCGTCTCCTAGAAGAATAATACGGCCGGAACGGACGCTAAAGCCACGAGCGCGATCATTCTCCATATCGTAGTCATCTGGGTTCTCTTCAAACTGATTACGGATACCAGGGCCGCGGAATTCAGCTGCATCCCCGCTCAGTCAGTAGGGGTTGGAGGCCGTAGAATCCTCAAGAGACTTGCCGTATTCGGGAGGAGCGCAAGGGCCGTCGCCTTTGGCTACCCGCTCAGCTATCTGATTATACCACTCCTCTTTGGTCCTGCCGTTTAGGAGACCGATGATGGTCATGGTCATGTTGTCACATCCAACCCCACCTGTTTCGCTGTTGGAAGCCAAGCAGTTGTCCATCATGTTCTCACAGATCCGGTAAAGCTCTTGCTTCGCGGCAATACCGCGACGGACAAACTCAACAACAGCCTGGGAAGACTGGCAGTCCCAGATACCTAAAGTTCGACATTAGGAATCTGAAGATGAAAGAGGCAACCGCTAGGGGACGTACCATCACAGGCTATGACCAAGAATTCATCGTCATCACTGAGCTCATGGACCGTCACATCCGGATAAGCAGTCACAATTTGTTGTTCGGGCGCCAGCTCCGGGCTCTTCTTAAACTCAAAATCACCAATGGCGCGCGACAGCGCCAAGTTCCCGTTGACACGGCCGAAATCGACAAAGCCACCTGCGGCGCTAATACGAGCCTTCTCGCCTATAATAGTTTATCAGAATATGAGGCCGCAGATGGGAGATCAAATCAACCAGGTTTGAGCCACTCACCTTCGTTCTGTGGTTTGTGATCGAAAGAGAGGGGCTTTGCGCGGCCCTTGACTCCGAGCACCGAGCGAGAATCACCTGCATTGGCCTATTTCCAGTTAACGATTGATCCGAGTGTTTATAGCCACCTATGCACGGAACCTGTTGGGGGAATGGTCCACATACCACCCAGATTTTATGTTTCGAGATGATACTGACAGCTGCCGTGCAGCCGGAGACTTCCTCTTCATATTTCGGGTCTAGCCGGGTCAGTCTCTCAAGGCCTCGGCGGAAAGAGAAACGGGAGAGAGAAGGGAACCCGGAAACCCTTGAGAACAACGCTCACGAACCTTCCAAGATAGCCCGATCGGTGGCCAAGAAGCCGTCCTTCAGTGCCTGTTCGATATCGCCCTTAGCGAAGGAATCCTGCTTTGCGACGATCTTGTGCACATTTTCTCCGGCAAATAGTGCAACTTTGTCTCCACCATGTCCATCATATACCCCAAAGAAAGCTAGGCGGTTGGCCGGATCTGTAGGTGTTCCTTGAGGATTCGTGTATTTCGCGTGGAGATCGAGGATAGCAGCATGGGCATCCTCCATGCTGATTCGCCAGCCTTGCATGGCTGAGACGCCGTAGATACAGCAATCATCTTCACCTTCGGACGAAGTCTAGAGACAGTAAGAACAATATTAGAAATGATGAAGATCATTCATCGCGCAATGATAGCTGGACATCCGCTCGTAGATAGTCTGCGGGAAATTTTCTTCTTCGTGGGGAGGACCCCGCAGGTTATGTGATCACCAGACCAACCCGGATGAATTACAGAGATATCCCCAGTATGAAGGAGAGCAATCAGGCATTGGCTTGAGAAAGAAAAAGAGACATCATTGATATTAAAGAGGGTTGCCGCTGGCGGGCGGGCCTCAACACGGAAGGGAAGAAATTGCGTAAGGACGGGCATTGCAGTGTGGGGGGTTTTCAAAAAGGAAGAGCAACGCTCAGTGTCACATACCTTATCAACTACTGGCTCTGACAGAGTCTGACCCATGATTTCAAAGGATCACAATTAGAGGTTCTGGGGAGACTGCAGGCCAGGAATGCACATGCACGACAGGAGGCAAAGAGGGAAGGGAAGAAAAAAAATTCTGGGGCGAGTTGATCTTGAAAGAGAGGGGAAGAAGGAAGACAAGAATCAGGTGGGCGAGAAAGGGTAAGGGCAGAATCGATAGGCGGCGTGCGGGAATGGCCCCAGTGGTCAATATCACTGGAGGTTTCCGAGGCGGCGGGCGAAAAATGAGTATCAATTGGGGGGTGGGGAACGGACCAATTTCTGCTGGTGATAGACTACCGAACTACGGAGTATGTGAACACCACCAAATCACGAGAACAGGATTTTCTGTTTCTTTCCTTGAAGGGAATAAGAGAAAAGAGGAAAAAATGAAATAGAGAGGAAGAGAGAGGGAAAATAACAATAGTAATATTAAGAATACAGGGGGAACTGAAGGGAAAGAAATGGAAACAGTATTTTTGAGAAAATTGGAAAATTTCTGGGGTGTCACGGGTTTGTATGTATGTACCTACATACCTCAGAAGAGATTTTTTTTTCTTTTTTAAAACTCTTCCTTAACATAAATCTCATCATTTGATTGGAAAAGGACTAGGCAAGCAGGGGAGCAATTCTTACTAGGTAGGTTCCTTGACGCTCCATGTTGAAGAACATGAAGATGACAAATTAAATTAACTAAGGTAGAATGCAGTAATTTAAAAAAAAATTCATTCATACATAAAATATATATGAGTATGAAAATAAATCAGAAAAAGGGAGCGATTCCAAGGAAAATATGGGAAAGAGAAAAATACTTAACGCCCGGTGACCACTGATTTCAGTACCTTGAAGTAATGACATTCGTCTTATCCTACTAACTAATATTTGTAATTTGCTCTACACGAAGTAGACTTAGGGGACATGCAAATTAAAGAAACGTTCTTTTTGGGAATGAAAGGGGAAAAAAGTTATACCTTGCTTTACCTCTGCTAGGCAACTCCAACTGTCTAAGTTCTAGGTACATATAAAGTACATATGTACTACATACCTATTACTAGTAAGTAGTATCGCCGGATGCAGCAAGAGGTCAGGTGTCTGCCGGTCCCAATCTAATTTCGGCAAGGCAATGAAAAGGCCTTGCTTCAAATTAAATATATACATCCATTGTATGTATGTATATATATATGTATGTGTACAGTAAGTACTACTTACTGGCGAAGTTCAGTACCGAGGTAAGGTGACTAAATATTGATCGATCGGAATTCGTGCCCCTTGCTCATGCTCCAATCCTCCGAAAATCCACAAGCATAACCTTAATGTCATTCCAGTGACCATGTGCACTTGGGTGACAGGTCATTAACTGAAGTGTTCTATAAAAGCGGATTGAGATGTTTCCATATGGCCGCAAGTCACCCTTGGTGCTGGAAAAGAGAGAAAGGAAATGAAAAACACCGGCAAACCATAACCTAGATGTCGGGGCAGGAGCCAGATGATTACGCCCACCGAATACCGTTTCAGGTTCCCACTCATCCGATGACATTGGCAGAGTCTCTGGGATAAGTATAGCTGCCAGTAAGCCACAACTTTCGCAGAGCCCGCCGAGCATGAATGGCAGCCATGGTGACCAGGGCATCAGCCAAGCACTCAGATGAGTGGCCAGGATCTCGGCCAGCAAACCGCTGCCGAGAGCACGAAGAATATGTTTGCGCTGAAGTACGAACAAAGATTAGTATCAAAATCAAATAGGCGGATGACGGCTCCATACCGCATCTCGGGTGGAAAGATATCTGTGACGTTGGTGAAAGCCACCGAGGCGGCTATTTGAGAACCGCTGCCACACAATTGGAATAAAGGTGTAAACCAGATAGCTCGTAGAGGAATTGCTTCACTATAGAAGCCTTAGGTAGTCAGCACTCACAGCATGGTCAGTTATTGTCGCAAAACGCACAAATGATGCGGATTGTGATCACCTCCATCAAAAGTCCGCTCATTCTGAGTAGTGCGATCCGTTTGCGGCCCATACTATCCATCAGAAAGCCCGATAGAAGAGCGCGGAGAATCCTGGGGATCTGATCCAATGTGTCTCTTCAACTCTTGATTAACGCTAACTCCTGTACATCCACTAATATACAGAGCGTATCATCCGAGAACTGACCAGTTAGGAACAGGTCTGGATGAATGCGGTAAATGATTGACTCCATGATCTGGGACTGTGGAGGGAGGTAAAGAAAGGTACCGAAATCAATGTTGATGATCACGATGCACAAAAGAAACAAGATCCATCACCTACGCTTGGAGTTGGCAGATGAATGGGATTCCAAGAGTGGTGTTGCCTCTACATCGAGACCCAGTTCGGATATCATCCTTCTTTATATATTAACACGATATACTATAAATCAGAGACTTATTGTCGGATGAAATTCATTATTAGATCTTTTAAAAACAATATGGAAGGGAAAATTTTCCACATCAATTGAGCCAATTGATGACTATATTCATATTTATTTTCTTTCTTGCGTGATTTCGAGCTAAGATTTTGTCATTTTCAATTAAACGAGAGCCAAAAGAGAAGAGAAGGAAAGTCTCCTACTATGAATATATGTACATCCTGTCCTTTTGACACCATGTATACAGATACAGACGTAGTATATATATACTATTATTAGTAGTTTCTTTTCAAACTTAGAAGTCAAACTCCCCTTATTGCTAGGATTCTCCTCGTTGAATTGTCTTCATTGCACTTTTTGCAGGTGAGGTCGTCTAGGGTTAGCATCCTTCTCTGTTACCATGTACATCCATCTATCCACACATACACACTATCTCGGTGTCATAGTAGAGAAGCTATCTATCCTTTCTAGTATTTATTCATAGTCGAAGAATTTCCTCCCACAACGACGCCAACTAAAATCTTCTGTGCCTACATTAACAGCCCAAAAAAGAAAAGAAAGAAAAAAAAATGACAACATCAATGACCGTTTCTAGTAAGAGCGCCCTTCTCTTTGGGTGCAGTGTTTGCCTGTGAGCTGGCCATGCAAACTCTGTCTGAAGCCGGAGTCACTGTCACAATTGCTTGCCGCACTCCACGCCGCGCAAGCTCTCGCAGGAAAGTACATAAATCAGCGCAATTGCCCTGGATATTTCTAACGCTGTGGGCGTTGCACAACCAGGTCAAAGCCGCCGGCGTGATTATCCCCAGCGAGATTGGGCAGGACCCGGGAATTGACCCCCTCTACGCCGTCAAGACCACAGAGATGAGGTTCACCATGCGGGTGGTTGCATTGCTGCTTCCACCAGCTACTGCGGTGCTCTGCCTGTCCCAAGAACTCTGACAATCCTCTCGGTTATAAGTTCTCCTGGAGCCCACGTAGCAGGCTTCTTGCTCTTCTCAACCCAGCCCAATGGTATCTCGATGGTAACCTTGTTACCGTTGAGGGTAGTGACTTACTGTAATGGCCATCGCCAAACCGCGTCGCATCTTCCCAGGATTTAATCTAGTCGGCTACGCGAACCGTGACACAGTTGGCTTCCTTGGAGTTCTACCGTATCCTCGAAGCCAGGTCTGTTTTCCGTGGTACCCTGCGATACGCCGGATCCCCGAGATCATCCGTGCCCTAATAGCGATCGGATATTTTACGCAAGTGGATCTGCCCGAGTTGGACCTCAAGGCGGCCCTTGACTTGGGCGCAGCTCGCACCGCAGCTTCTCAGGTTGCCACAGTCCACCTCGGAGGCATTACTGCAGGAGATCGTGGCGCAAAGGGTTGCGTCTCTTTTATCTGGCGAGGAGCGGGATCGTATCCTGACGAATCTGCGTTGGGTGAGACTGTTCACTGTTCAGCTCAACAACTCTCGTGGAGGCGCGTGGAACGCCACTTGATACTTCCTGTGCTTTGTTTGAGCGCAAGATGGCCTACAGCCCTGGCGAGAGGGACATGATTATCCTGCAGAACGTTTTTACATTGGAAATGCCGAAGGGTCCAAGGAGACGCGATCGAGTACTCTCGTAGGGTATGGGGAGCCTTCTGCCTCGGGCTCTCTGAGCGCCATGGCCAAACTCGTGGGCCTGCCGTGTGCAGTAAGAGTCCTAGCAGTACTCGAAGGACGTATTGAGGAGAAGGGGATGGTGGCACCATGGACAAGTCCGGAAATTGCCGCTTCACTACGAGAGGCATTGGAAACGTGCTTTGGGATTAAGTTGAAGGAGAGCGTATTTGGATAACCCAGGATTACGCATGACTGATAGGATATAGCAGCTATATAATACTTCTAACTTACAAACTTGCAAAGGAGATCATATCAATGGAGCATAAACGTCTGCTCCGTGATTTTGGTAGACCCAATTTTTGATAGCCCTCTAATTGGAAGAATACATGCATCTCCTGACACCTGAATAGATATTACTTACTGTCCTTGAACCAGGCTTCGTGCTTCCCATAAAATAGCTAAAGGCGATTTGCTTCCTAGACAATAGGATTAATGGAGTAGCCCTAGCCCAAGTCTATACTTATGCTCCCCTGCGTGTAACGCAGTCGCGGAGGATGAGGTAAGAGTGATTGAGTAATTAGTAGCTATATAAGATACACCTAGATCTAATTTGAGAAGGCACTCATTATCCAGTATCGCTCAAATTATGCTACTGATTGTTATCGCAAGACGTAGCGAGCACCCGTCATTACCACCAAGGCCAACAATAAAAAAAAGCCCCTATGGAAGCCGTGATTTAGTCGTCAGCATCAACCCATACTAAGGGCCCATTCTTGTCTGACCGCATGTCCTCTGTAGGGAGCACACGAAGGGTTTTGTTGAAGTATGTATCCACGACGAGCAGCTGTGGCTGTATCCACAGCCCCCGTTTGGATGCCAGTAGATTGTACCGAACTGCGTGCCGGCTCAGAGGCACCAGCTGAACGACCATCGTCTTCGGACCACTAAAGGCGAAATTTTCGCTTGCTTCCATGGTCAAATTGAAGGTAAGGAAGTGCATCGACGGATTTTCTATGGTGTAGTCTAAATGGATTAGCCCAGAACGTATCTTAGAGGCCATTGCCGAGGCAAGAACGCGTGGTTCCCCCCAGGGGACAACAAAACGAGGGACCGCAAGTGTAGATGTCGTGGTACTGTTACCGCCCAGAGTCGGCTCACTTTCGTCGGTTGCGCTCCGACGCCATTGGATCTCAAGAGCTAGGTTCAAAGCTGCGGGTCGCCGGTCACCTAGAATTGCCTTTTGGATATCCACCGTAAAGTCGGATTCGCGAAGCTCCTCCAAATGGATCTCCGATCCGCCTGGACTAGCCATCACTTCAGGGCTAATGTTGCAGGTGGTGCCCCCACCAAGTCCAAGGAGCACTAACGACATCTTTTCGATAACAAGCGGCCTCGATGAGAAAGAGACAACTTTGGAGTTAAGGCACCACCGCTGCTGTAAGCCCCGGGATTTCGGTGTTGTGTCATTCTCTAGCAATTCGTCATCGACGGTAAAGAAACCCGGCCATGGTTGCGGGTGGAGACGTGGTATAAATTCATAGTTGGCCTCGAACGGTCGTACAATTGGTAGATTCACTCTCAGGGTCGCGATGATCGGTGTTTGAGTATCAGATACGAGGTTATATACGGATGATATCTCAAGCTCATACTCTGAAGCGTCGCGCGTGTCTGTGAGAACAATCTCTAGTTCCCGATGGGAAGCAGTCTCCATAACACCAACAGGCCTCTTGATAAAATGAGAAACGCCTTCCACTGGGGTGCTCCTCTCGGAGCCCTGTGCCTCTGGTAAGTCTTCCTCATCGAGCCATAGAATCTTGGCTGCAGAATCCGATCGACCAAAAAGTCTAGCCTCGGCCACAACATCTGCAGTCTCATCTTCCCCATTATGAATGGCAATCTTGAGGATAATTCGTTCATTCGTGTAGTAAGTATCCATAAGGTTGGGCATTGTGATTCGTATCTTGGGTGGTTTAGGCATTATTTTACATCGGCCAGTGTCACGATTCTTGCCTACCCGCCTTCGGACCACACTATTCTTGGTTTGTTGCCACCAAAAAGATTCATGCTGGGCCAAGTCCGTCATGACACAAGTGAGGTCGAATTTCTCTTCTTCAATCAGAAGAGTTATCGATGCAACCCGAGACTCTCCGGCTTCCCGAGGGATGCAAGCCAGATTGAAGACCTTCGTTTGAGAAGGGCTGATGGTCAAATCGACAGCTCCAATGAGTGGTGTTAAGAAAGTAATGGGAGACTGGAGGGACGCTGTATCACCTGAGGCGCTCGGTTCTCGTAAGGACGGCGACGCTATTGTACAAGGCGCTGTTGCATCCGTTTCAGCCGCGTGGTTAGATTGTAACTTCATAGGACGTAGGCAGCCTTCAAATGCGATCTTAACTTCAGAAAGTCTAATGGGGCTTGATGATCTCTGGGCGCATGATGCTATAACAAGCTGGCCACGTAATGACTCGCCAACATTTCCTTCGGGCTTTTCGAAAACAAAAGACGCCGTAACTAATGAAAAGAGAAAAACGGCACCATCGTAAGCCATCGTCGAGAAACGCCACTCTGGGCACACTTACCACTTGACAGTATATCCTCCGCTTTAAGAACAATAGATGGTTTAGGTGTGACTAAGGGCAGACCTTCAAGACTTCTATGGATGTCGTATTGCCAGTCGGGTTTTGGTTGAAATGCTAGAGAGGGGCAAGTGTCAGACAGTCCCAGCGATCAAAGGTACCAATTCAAGTTACGATGCAAAAGATATACGGTTGAGAACCTTACCCTTATTGAGTAGTTCCCAGTCCACCCGTAGAACTGTTTCGCTGTCTTGCACTCGTACAGCACACTCTCTCAATGCCCATCCAAGCTTTTCCATGAGCGGCCACCAGCCCGAATGGCGCCAGGTGATAGTTGACCACAGCGGTTGAAGGATACCATAAGCTTCAGTCCAGGAACCCATCCGCATATGTTCTTCCGCTATCTCCAACCTCAGGCTTTCAGTCTTCCGTACCTGGCCACGCTTCGAAAACTCATCTAGTGCAGCTTCTAAAGCAGTCAAGATTAGCGATGAATGGTTAACCCCCGCCGCTCCTGCTTGGGGTGCTTCAACATGAGCCTCCGGTGCTAAGTATGTGTCATAGAGGTAGGACTTGCTCGCTATCTGGGAAGCAGGAGACTGTCCAGGCGGGATCCTGTCTTCATCCGGGATTTGCTCTACTAGGTTTCGTCGATGCATTGTATGCTTTGCTGCTCGATACAGCCAATAACCCTCATGGTGTAATTGCTCCCACGGATATAACGCATCTCCAGGGGGGACTGTCTTTTCTCGAGGAATAAAAATCGAATACTGTTCGTTGAACTGATCCTGTGTGATGCCGACTGAGGTGAAGTAAGGAATAGTAGCTTGGCGGATCAACTGTGCCATTACCGTTGACCATCTGGCTTCCCAAGCCTCCCATCCATAGTTCCTTGTTCCTTTACCTCTACGATTGATAATGTCCTGTGAGCGACTCCGATGTTCAACCCATGACCGCACCGCTGCAGCGGTTTGTCCCATCCATAGCAAACAGCGAATAATGCGCACGGCTATGGTATCTGCTAGAAGACGTGCGTCATTGAACCTTGGGCTCCAGCCAGCAATATTCTCGAAGACCTCTTGCCCGAACAAAGTCTCGTATGCGCTTTCGTAATTCCTAAGGGCTGCATCTATCTCTTGCCTGAACTCCGCGAATATTCCCATCTTGAATTCGTACCTGACATTCCATCCCTGGAGAGACAATGTTTGGGACGTTCCTGTTGTCGGTGGAGCCGTTGGGGGCGGGATACTGCTTCGATTTCGCTTCCTTCTGGCGTGCTTAGACAAATCTCGATAGTACTCCGTCAGCGACGGTTGGAGCAGTGACAGGAGGGACTTTCCAAACTCTTTGAGTTCGCCAGACGTTGCGTCAGGTGGGAGGAGAAAGATAGATTTCTGGTCCAGATTTGTCGCTCTGCGGATGCCGGTCACCCGGTCATCGACGTCCTCAGTAAAGGCACCATGACTTTCTTCCGAAAGGAAGACGACTATGAATCGGGTCTTATAGCCCGAGGATGACCACTCCTTCTTCAGGCCATTGACTTCTATCTTCAGCTGGTTGTCTCGCAAGGAACTCATATTAGGATCTAGGCAAAAGGGAAAGAAATTTATCACGGCGGCTGGGACCAGATTTTGGTGTTTTGTAACCCATAGCGGGGTGAGTAGACCATCTGAAAATGTTGGAGAGCCCGGTGATAGCGGAGATATTGGGGAGTGCAGCACAAAGTATGGCGCATGCGGCATGTCATTATCCTGTCCGGTTGGGCTCAGGGGAGGGGATACAGGTGGGGGGTCAGCTTTACGCGGGGGAAGTCTGTAAGACTGCCGACATGTCAGCAAAAGAACTCTCAAGCTTCAAAGGTGCCAGGTCAAAGATTCCCTCTGACATCTAGGCCCTAAGCTGATACTAAAGGCCAATATGCAGCAAGGGGACAATTTCCACGGGGTAGTGTGAATCAACATACCCGTCCAACACTCTTTATTTTGTACTCAAACCCGGCGAATTTGGCAAGGATGTCATCACTAGGTTCCCACGGAGCTCGCGACGCATCTTCCGCCAGAAGTATCTTCCGCAATTCTTCCGCGGTTGAGCCGCTTAGCGGCGGGAAGTCTGAGTATATATGGACACCCCTCTCGTGAAGAAGGGGATAATTAGGGCAGCTCGATCCCAAGTCATTTTCGGAGTCTGTTTCAAGGCCAGAGAGTAGGACGAAGGGAAGGTTGTGGACAACATAATCTTCAGGGTAGGCGTCCATCGCGGACAGAAAATTGCTTAGTGGGACGTGAGGTCACCGCATATCTAACTAGGTTGGGGAGATGAGACACGACGTTTTCGGGGTCACCAGAGGTGGTTTGAGAACGGGCGTCAATTCAATTAAACAAGAGCTGTTAGCGCAAAAAGCCAATGTGCTATGTTCTCTTAGAAATTCGCGGGTGGTAGCGGTGCATTTTCCTGCCAAGCCACAGTTGTGTTAAAGACTGACTGGCTTAATTGTTGTTCGTTGGACAAAAGTTTGCTATCACCAAAATACGCCAAGCCTACCTTCAGTGGATCCTTCGGGGTAATTGCCAACGCTTCATTGTTAAAATTTCTCCTTCCATTTTACTATCTTTATTATTTATGTCTAGTGGACAAGTCAACAATAGGTTTAGTGTTTTCTCAGATTCTGTCTATTTCTTTTACCATGCTACATGCATGTATGTATGTATGGTCATACTACGGTAGTATGTTCCATTCAAGGACCATAGTAATGAATTACATTTCAGCACGAGTATAAAAGTTCAAAGGCGGAAGCTACATGGCTTCTAATCAGTAAGGTAGTCTTAACCTCCAGGCTTGATGATCAACTGAGATAGACAGCACGTGCATCTGATTCACTTCATCTCGTAAGGTTCAATAGTGGGATCTCTCGGTGGAAATGATATATATACATGCAACAGGAAGAACTTGTCCTACAATGTGTCTCATCTTTTGTAGCCATGACTTAGTATCTTGCTGGTGTATGGATGTGCAGTATAGTACGTTTACTTTAAATATGTGTCCCAAATAGATACCTTGGAGCTTTCGCGGATTCCTGTCGAGTAATGCCATCACTGTACTCACACCTGCAAGTATCTTCATATAAAGATAATTGGTGCAGATATATATTTCAGTATGCATGTGTGATGTTAGAGATGGAACTTAAATATATTTTTTTAAACCTCATCAAAGGATGTATGGGATATGTAGTCTAAATTGGAGGAGTGAATTGGTGTTTATGAAGCAGTCCTAGTATTTTGGCCTGGCTCGACTATTATAGTACTACATAGAGAGAGAGATACTAGTATACTAATATCTAATGGAAACAGTCAATGCGGGAAGGTCTCCTGTGGAGAATTCAAACTGGGTCGGGAGCAGCTTCCATCAGGAATCTCTTACGATCTCTGGAACCAACCATAATTATCTAGGGTAATTGAATATTGTTCATGCTCCAGAAAGTCCCAAACATGACGATGATAGGTGGATACTCCATTGGATAGATTAGTCCCTCGGTTCTCTTGAAACAAGTCGATGCCACAATAAGATCACCATGTACATGATTAATTAAAAATCGACCATCATTGAGAAATCAACTATAAAATCATTCGGGTGGGTTTTTGATATATGAAACCACCCATTTCATTCAACTCTATTCTAGGTTATGTATGTATGTACAGTACATCTGTATGTATATAGATAGCTACTAAGATACTACTACTAGACTATAAAGTTCAACATCGAGCGCCCAATCCCTTCCAACGAGAAAAGATCCCTGAAATTTGGATCTGCGAACCGTGCGGAGGAAGTTTCTCAGGTTTTGATGCACTGATTCTGAAGAGAAAATTGAGAGAAACCCACTACGACGGATCTGGACATGGGGCAATATCACCAAGCAAATAAGAATAGAGTGGAGATGGGAAACTATCCCGCTTCTAGATAGTCGGAGGGGCCGCTAAGATTCTTTTTAAGGAGTGTATCCAAGACGGTAAGGTAAATTAGTATTATTTTTATTATTCTTATTATTATTCCTTATGCTGTCCAGGAGGTCAAAAAATCATGCCTCAACCACTAAGCCTATGATGGATGGCTTTCCAACAGGGGCGATTGTCCCTTTTTGCGCTTCGTCTCTCCTTCTATCTTGAGCTTGTATTCGATTTTTTTACTTTTATAATTTAAAGTCTTCTTTCCCTCCCCTCCTCCCTTTTGCCCCTCCTCACTCGGTTCTCTATCTATTCCTTCTCCAATTTTTTTTTTTTTTCATTTTCCTTTATTTTCTTCGTATGTATACATATATCCACCTCTCTGGCAGCTGGATATATAGTATCTCTCTTCCCTTTGTCAATCTTTAACTAATCTAAATACTCGCCATGGTGATTCTCCTCTTAATCTTCTAATCTATCCTCTGAACGTTCATCCTCCCTTCAAGTTTCCCCTTTTCTGTTGGTTATTATTTTCGATCGGCATCCTCCACCCACCTTTTTTTTTTTTTAATTTTTTTTTTGGCCCTAGATAAACACCAGCCCTGCAAGGGGTGTGCATGTCGCAAGGGTGTCGAAAGGATTGGTCTGAAGCCGGGGTTGGTTTGGAATTGGGCTTATTTTACTTTTTTTTTGACTGGCCGATGCATGGAGTGCCCAGTAGTAATCTAGAGTCATAGATTGACGCCGTTAGACTAACTTGCAGACGCCAATCCCTCCTTCGCCCACAGGATCATGCAAGTGCTCGTCAAGGCCGCCTGCATATATCGCTTTTGATTGACCTGACTCGGACCCGGGAACAAGGTTGAGGTCTTATATACCTTGTCGATGCTCAACATGGAACGCCCCGAGGACTCTGCGGCGTCTATACTCGGCGCCCCTTTCCAAGCTTCATCGTCCCTCTTATCACGCCGTCGCAAATCACGCTCACGTTCTATCAATCGTCCTCCAGTCGATCCGGCATCCCCTGAAGTAATCACCTCCCTAATCTCGTCACTCTCGACCATCTCGGTACCCCTCCAGACACACTTCGACAACGTACCCTGCCTCGGATCCGACATCGATCTCGTCTTAACATCGGAACAACGAACCCGTGGGCATGGTCTCCAAGTGAGAAACGTGTCGCCTCAAGCCTCCGAGGAGGCCTCACATAGTCCCTTCCTGCACCCAGATGATGCAGCCACTGCGCCTGTCATTCGCATGGCTCGGGCTCCTCCATCCCTAAGGTCAAAGACGACGATCGCCGACGCTTCCCCCTCTCTAGCAAGACCTACATCTAAGGGATCATACTCGTCCTCTAGAGCGGCGTACGAAGACAGCGCATTTGGCATGATTACGGCGGAACCTGGCCCACGGGTCTCGACTGCGCCTAGTATTGCCTCGACCAGTTCCAGGAAGAGTTTGAAGAGTCAATTTGGCCTGTTGAAGAAATCGTCCCGGGAGTTCACATACGACAAGGATAGACGCGCAGAACGCTTGCGGAAGACGAGTAGTTACAACGACTGTTTGAGACATAATCTTCCTCGAAGTAGAACCAGTGTACGCTCGATGCATTCTATCGCTGATGGGACTGAAAAAGGCCGATATAGCCGCCCTCCTAGAGAGACCTCCTGGGAGCACGGGGTTAGCTCTCATACCGAAGAATGCACTTCGTTGCACAGCGCGCGCGAGAGCGCACCCAGTACCCCTGGAGGCATTGGAGGTGGCAGAATTATTCCTGTTCGCGAGTCTTCCCTGCGGCATAGCTTCTCTTCCAGCTCCAGGCAACGGAGATCTACTCGCCACAGCCGATATTCTTCCATTGGAAGTAAAGATATAAAAGTGGATAATGACACTGGAACCGAAGCGGAGCATGTGGCAAGAAGGATACAAGAATTGAAGGATCAACAACAGAAGATTAAGAACGAGTTGGAAATAGACGATAGTCCCGATAAAGTCACGCGAGAGCTGCCCGCAAAACAAACTCAATCACCGCAGAAGCCTAGCGAAATCGGCCATGGTGATGAACAAAGTGCCAATGGAAGCAGTGGGATCAGTGAGCTTGATGAGAGTGCTCCAGCTCCAGCTGTTATGACGGGAAGAGGTAGATCAACGACTGGTAACAATCCGCAGTTTACATCCAAAGCGACCAATGGCCCGATACAGACGTTTGCGAGACAATCTTTTGACAAGTCCGATCAAATCGAAAGGCTACGTTATCGACGTTCAGTGGAACAGCCAACTTCGCCCCAACATCACAAACGTTCCCCGTCTGGGCCAGTTTCTCCAGGCTGTGCTTCGGTTGTGGATGAACGCCCATCCAGTGCCGATTCAATTGATCTTGCAGTTCTAGACTACGTATCTGCTCGTAGGCTTACGCAAAAGGTTATCCATCCTACCACTGGCCGCGAGATTGCGTTTTCGGAGGTTGGAGACCCTAAAGGGCACGTTGTTTTATGTTGCCTTGGAATGGGCTTAACTAGATACCTCATGGCGTTCTACGATGAGCTGGCACGGTCGCTTCATCTGCGACTTGTCACGTTGGACCGCCCCGGGGTTGGTGAGAGCGGGCCTTACGTAGAAGAGGCTGGAACTCCTCTCGCGTGGCCAGGTAAGGACGTCACGTTTGGTGCTTACGAGGATCAGATTTACTGACACATCGTAGATGACGTTGCAATTGTGTGTAACCATATCAAAGTTACAAAATTCTCGATTCTCGCGCACTCGGCAGGTGCTATCTATGCACTGGCGACTGCTTTAAGGATTCCCCAGCATATCAGGGGCCGCATCCATCTTCTGGCCCCATGGATTCCACCATCTCAACTCTCTAGCATAGGCTCACAGAGAGCCCCGGTTCCTACGAAAGCTGTTCCGTACTCTCAGCGAATTCTCCGTGCCCTGCCGACATCCATTCTGAAGGTCGCTAATTCGAGCTTCATGAGTGCAACAAGTGCGAGTTTGACCACTAGTCTCCCTAAATCCTCTCGGCGCGCTAGGCGAAAGGCAATAACAAGAGACTCATCCAGCTCGGCTTTCAGCGAAGCCAATGGTATTCAAAATCCACACAAAGTACACCAACAAGGAGCTGGCCTTCAAGCACTACAAGTCAAGCCCCCGCAAATGTACAACGGGGCTGGAGTTCAAGAAATAGACATCGCAACAAGCAAAGCAGCAGAAGCAGCAGCAGCTTCAGAGGAACGCGAACGCCAGTCTGATTATGATAACCGCCTGACTCATAAGATCTGGGAACTGGCCACCATGAATGCAAATCCAGCGGTAGACCTCGTAGTTTGCCTGGAACGCCGCCAGCCGATTGGGTTTCGCTATGTTGATATCACTCGCAATGTAGTTATTCACCACGGAAGCAGAGACACCCGTGTTCCCGTTGACAACGTCAGGTGGCTGGGCCAAACCATGCGACGCTGTGAGGTCCGGATCCTCGAGGGCGAGGGCCATGGGCTGATGGCCTCAGCAACCGTAATGGGTAATGTGTTGATGGAAATTGGCAAGGAATGGGAGGATTGGATGACAGTAGTCCAAGGGAAGCGTCGAGCCACCATAGGGACGCGGGCAGGTATCGCCATCCAAGCCTAATTGGGCTGAACAGAAATGTCATAGATTGTTGCCTCTCGAGAAGAAAGATAAGACGAAGAGGTGGGGACAGAAGAAAGATAGAAACAAGAGAGGAAGGAAAGAGGATGCCCGTTTCAAATCAACGGAGATACTCTGGGTTCTGGTGCTGCTCAAGCCATTGCTGTCATCCTACCTGCTGAGCTGTACTGCTGTCGGATTTGCAGTCATTGGCTTTCGCGCGTAGCTTGACAAGATGGTCCAACCCTCACCTGCCGTTCGACCGTGAGAGACTTGCATTCGTATGCCTATAGGTACGTCTTCACTGTGACATGCCCTTGTGTTCGATATGATACCATTGGTGCTTTTCGATTGTTGTTTGTTCCTTTAGCCTAATACCCAATCGTACTATATATATAAATAGCTCTTTAATGTAATATATAATGGAGAATTCTTATGATGTACTGGATCCAAGGCCTTGACGCTGGGCCATGACAGACATAGCGATATACAGTCGTATCGTGTACATACGTAGGTAACATTCTGATCAGTTAACTAGCAAAGCCGTGACGTAATAAATAAGCGCGCGGCTCCCAACTCTTATTGGTTTCTGCCCCACGCGCGCTTTCTTCATTGACACTTGAAACGTGCAAGTCACATTACTAGGTATCATCTTCTAAATACCTGATCTAACACGTCTTGAGAGACTTCTTCCTTTCTTCGTCTTATTTTAAACTAGGAGATATTCTCTACCCCTTTCCCTACCCCTTGTTTTTCTTGTATAAGGTGTCGTCGCTAGACGTTCTATTACCCTTGATGTTGGAGCTACACCTATGATCTGTCGACTCGGGTAACCTGCTGAAAGATTATTTTTGAATTACAGAAAATACGCAAGCTTCGAGGCATTGGAGAAAACAGACGTGACTGAGCGATTACGGTAGCAACGCCTGCGAAACATCTCCATATGCTCATGATGCTACCTCAACGGCGCATCAAGCTACTGGCTATTGCTGTTGTAGCCTTGACTATCGTAGCCATTTATTATTCGGTAAATAGTTCCCCGATTATTAGTTGACCAGTCAGAATTGACGCAATGCGCACCCATTGCCTAGAGTGATGCACGGAGGGTACAGAACCAGAAGTTCTACCAGTCCACTGTCGCCGCGATAGAATCTCACAAACAAGGGAAGGAACCTGGGGCAGATGCAGACAAATCCTCGGGTAAAGAATCGTTGAGTGGGAACCCAATATATGAAGACGCAGGGGTAAAGCCCGCGGAAGACATGATGGAGCCAGCGATTCCGAAAAACGACGATAGAGAAACGGAAGAGATATCGATTGCGGGACGGACGAAGATGACAGTCCCCAAAGACCGCAACAATCCAGAGAAGCAAGGTCAGGCATCGGGTCCCGATGAGCATATGGAGGTGAAAACCGAGCTCAACAGAATACTTAAAAAATCGCCGAGTAAGTACTTTCGTCCATTGTCACTTCCTGATATACCTATCGGTCGGTTGCTGAGGTATGCGCCCATATGCAGTTATTGTCTTTTCCAAGTCCTATTGCCCCCATAGTGCCAGGGCCAAGTCTATCCTCCTAGACAAGTACTTAATTGTCCCGGTGCCTTATGTGGTAGAACTTGACCAACATCCATTGGGCCAGCCATTGCAGGCACTCCTGGCGGAGAACACTGGTCGGCGCACTGTCCCTAATGTACTGGTCAGTGGAAGAAGCATTGGAGGCGGTGATGACGTGACCGCCCTTGACGAGAAGAACGAGTTGGCCTCAATATTGAAAAAGCTGGGAGGCCAGTGGGTCCAGGAGGTTAGTCGTAAGGAAGCCGGTCACTAAGACCTCTTGTTTAGCCGCCGGAGTTCTTATGATGATGATGAATAACAAAATTTATAGTAAGATAATGATAATCATAAAGGAAATAAATATGTGCATTAGGTTTCGGCGCTCTATAACGAAAGAAAAGACGGTTGTCGTTTGCTACTACAGTATTAACCAAGTAGTAGGGTAGCATACATAAGTACACCCACAGTCAATTGACCATGTTATCACGTGACGCATATCTCAAGAGACTCGTTGCTCAAGGAAAATAATCCAGCCTGGATCAAGGAGATGGTTGAGGGAGGATTTCTGATAGCAAGGCAATACAGCAAATTGAATATCATCAAAAATACTCCCATGTATGTATGTATGTATCTACATCACAGCGTCCGGGGGAGAGTTGAATATTACATACAAGAACTGGGTCTCAGTAGAATTCCGGAACAACCCTAGGCGGAAAACGCTAAACCTAAACTGGTCTTAAGCGACGCACAACTCGTGATTTTCACTCCACCAAAGAAAGCGACCGGTTGCCTTTGAGGAATTTCGATCCTTTCGAACGACCGACCGCACGACGACATCGACAATTCTCCCTCGGACATTCCACAGCCCACGCAGTCAAGATGCGGTACATTCAATCCGAGGAACGGCTGCCCATCCCCGAGAATGGTGAGCAATGGATCGTCCCTGAATGTTCTTGTGTTTCGGTTTTTGGGAGGAGGGGAACCGTGATAGGCGAACGTCGACAAGGAAAAGCCTAGGATAGTGATGCGCCAGCGCCAGCAGGATAGGCTCAAGAGGAGGGATTATCTACTCAATGGCCGTCGAGGAGAAATACGACGACTATGATCTTGTTCATCGCTTTTGAAAGTCTGGAAACTGATTCGAATTTTGTCGTTTAGTGAAGGTTCACATTCGCTCCCGGGTTGTGACCGTTGAGGGCCCCCGAGGTAGGCAAAACCCCTTTATCTGAGGAGATATCCTGCACCTAGAGATTATCGAGGATCGTCGGCGTCGTGCCAACCGTCCTGAACGACCTATTTTAGTTTTTCAGCTCGGTCAAATTCACTAACGGGTCTCTAAATTCATCAGGCAAGCTTGTCAAGGACCTCTCTCACATCGCTGTCACTTTCGGCCGCCCTGAGAAGGATGTAATCTCCATCGAGATGCACCACGGTGTCCGCAAGGGTATTGCTAGCCTGCGTACCGTCCGTACCATCATCAACAACTTGATCATCGGTGTCACCAAGGGCTTCAAGTACAAGATGCGCTACGTCTATGCTCACTTTCCCATCAACGTCAACATTGATAAGAACGCTGAGACTGGCCTCTACGATATTGAGATCAGGTACGCCAATACACCATCGTGCATGAATCCGATACCTGTTTCTTAGAGCTAGGACGGGGACAGGGTTTTTCCCGCACTTTTTCTTTTTCCCCCTGGTGTTTCTTATGTTATGGCCTCATGAGCTATATCTCTATGGAATAAAAAGGGATTATCGCTGATGGAATGTTCTTGTAAATAGAAACTTCTTGGGTGAGAAGTACGTTCGCCGTGTGACTGCCCAGCCCGGTGTTGAGGTCATCACTTCCCCCAACGTCAAGGACGAGCTCCAGCTCTCCGGCAACTCCCTCGAGGGTGTCTCCCAGAGCGCTGCCGACATCCAGCAGATCTGCAGAGTCCGCAACAAGGATATCCGAAAGGTGGGGTTTCCCTACAGAGATGAATTATCAGGGCAAAGCGGTTGCTGACAGTTTTCTCACAGTTCCTTGACGGTCTGTATGTGTCGGAGAAGGGTAACATTGTTGAGGAATAAATGATGACGGGGATTGTCCGCCTTGATGGGTAGTTTAGGATGTCTGGAGAATTTAATTTTCGCCTATTTGCATAGGGAAGCAAAGCGGAATTAAAGGAAAAATCATGGACCATGGAATTCAAATGCCCCCTTTACGTGTCCACGGGTATGGCCTTTCTCGGATTGGGTGTAGAAAAAAACAATCGGCCCCTATGAGCAATCCAATTTCCTTTTCTCTCTTCAACAGTTCATGTTGGCTTTTTTTTGAAAAAAAAAAAAAGGATTTGGTCTGAATGTCTTATGGTAGATACTGTACTGTACATGTATTACGGGGTTGGAGGCGCGGGAAGTTGTAGGCAAATATCGAACCAGATCATGTGAGCGAATCTTCCTAATTGGAAATGTGCGGAAAGAGAATTTCAGCAAGTCCTCGAACTCTTGACGTGTATTGCGCTACACTTCTCCATTCGTATCTCTTGTTGATACGAAACTTGGCGACATCCACACCTCCAGCTCCATTTAATCAATCTATCTATTTATTTATCCCGCTAGCGAGCATGTGAAAGGATCACCCGCGTAGTCTTCCCCGACATGTGCCATTTACCCCATTTCACCCCACAAAAGGTCCAATTTGCCTGCTGTAGGAATGGAGTCTTGGATGGCCATTTGCGGATTATTCGCCGCGGTCGTTAACATGATACTAGACGTCGCTCAATTTTGGAAAGAAGTACGTTTGGGCCACATCCCCTCACCTTGTCGGTTGTTAAGTTAGCAGGAGGCTAATGTATACTGACTTGCAACGATTCAGAGGTTACTATCATGGTGGAGATCGAAATCTCCACGAAACAGATTGCGACATCGTCTTGCGAACGCCCAAACGTATGAAGAATGGGAGGAAGCGGCTTTCGAGTTGGATGAGCTTCTGAGTATGGATCTGTGGTGAGTTGACACACAGGCTTTTGTTTTGGCTGAAGTGTAGCATAGTCTCACTGAAGACAGGCGCCAAAACCCAACAAGTCGTCATTATGATTATCGACTCATCCTGGGTAGACTAGAGGCTTTGATGAGCGCCCGAGAGGATGAGGATGTCCTGACCCTGGTCAACCTCCTTCGATCTGGGCTTGTTCGCAACTTAGGCAACATCACCTCTCCTAGACTGTCTCTCCACGCCTATGCCGGGACGAAGCTCCTAATAGACGATTATATTACCCAGGTTGCTCTTTCTATCCAGCATGTGACAGCTCTACAAACAGCCACAGTTTCTGATGGTAGGTTTGACTCTCAAGCGAAGTTGGAGCTTCTGCACGATACCCGTCAGGCCTTTGGCAGAACAACACTACTTCTCCAAGGCGGGTCGATCTTCGGGCTATGCCATTTGGGCGTGGTGAAAGCCTTGCATCTCCAAGGTCTCTTGCCTAGGATCATCACAGGGACCGCTACTGGGGCACTCATTGCAGCCCTCGTTGGCGTCCATACAGAAGATGAATTGTTGACTTTCCTTAATGGTGATGGTATTGATTTAACTGCCTTTGATCGACAACGGAAGATGAGATTCGACGCTGGAAATAACCAGTGGCTACCATATGCTTCGGGGAACAGCTGGCTGCGGACCTTACTTCGGCGGGTTAAACGGTATATTCAGAAAGGCTACTTTCTCGATGCTGAGGTCCTTGAAGAATGTGTGCGGGCAAATCTTGGTGACCTGACTTTTGAAGAAGCATACGCGCGATCGAAACGCATCCTCAATATTACAGTTGCGACGTCAGACAAGGGCGGTACCCCCAACCTTCTGAATTACTTGACCGCACCGAATGTGGTATGTGCATTGCAGCTCATAATTCCAGCTTTAGGTCGTCAGTACTGACAAATGCACTAGTTGATCTGGTCGGCCGCAGTAGCTTCAAACGCCTCTTCCAATTCTCTTTATAAGCCTGTCCCAATCTACTGTAAAGATGAAACCGGCTCAATTGTCCCATGGGGACTTTCGCGACATGCTTCCGCCCAGTCGAGACGTCGCACGGAGTACACAGAGGGAGAATCGCCGCTATCCCGTATTGCTGAGCTGTTCAATGTGAATCACTTCATAGTTTCGCAAGCTCGGCCATATCTCGTACCCTTCCTCCGGTCTGATGTGAACCTTCTAGATCGTCGTCCAACAGGCCAGTGGAGTATCACTCGATCAACGATGCGCTTGGTTGCTGCTGAGATCCGCCACCGACTGAGACAGCTCGATTATGTTGGTTTTCTGCCCCAAGCGCTTGCCCGACTACTCATCGAGGAGACCATTCCCGGCCCCAATCTCACTCTGGTTCCTGATCTCTCGTTGAAGGACTTTACCAAATTATTCCAGAACCCAGACAAGGAGAGTCTCGCTCATTGGATCCTGAAGGGCGAGAGAGGTACGTGGCCTGCAATCAGTGCCTTGAAGGTTCGCTGTGTCATCGAAATCGAACTGGACAAGGGCTACCAAGTCGTTCGCCGGCGACGACCAGCCGGGAACCAGTCTTCCTCTGTGCAGCATACTTCAGCTCAGCGTCGAATACCCAATGAGGGAATCCCGAGAAAATGGAGAGGTTGCGCTATTGATCACGAAAGAGATATGGCAGGGTTATTGGGAAATTTTGATCATCAGCAGGATGGTGCCAATTTGTGACAAATTCTGCATCAAGCTAATCTACCTGTCTGTATATTCTTTGCGTCTTTGTCTAAGAAAGAACGGAGAAACATACTTGGTTGACGATATGTGTGCTATTGAGAGGAAGAGTTTTCTTATGAAAGTCAAAGAATTATCATTTCATACCTGACCCTCTGTAGCATAGTTAGATGCCTGGTGAATTCCGTGAGTTTGAAGAAATTTTCAGTTTTTCTCCAGTCCAAGCCCCTTCCTCTCTGCTAATCTTGATCTTACTCAGCATACATGACCTGCAACCTGCTTCTTCTAGCATAAGCACCCAGCTTCAGTGGTAAAAAAAAAAAGAGAAAAGACGGTCAGCATGACCGTACTGTTTACAGTCCAACGGCAATGCACGGGAATGGTATACATAGTTTCGCGCGTAGAATATATACCAAAGGGCCGACAAAACCATAAATCCCATAAATATTACAGAAGCATAGTTCATGGAGATGCTCGTTACAGGCAGCGCCGTTGGCATACTGAAAAGAACGACCTCGAAGCCAATCCAGCACAATGTGATAAATTCACAATGGGGCCTACGATGGGGCCACAGTTCCAACGTGCCTTGGACACCTCGCAGGATGGAGTAGACTTAGAGCAATGGGGGTCGAATATGCGACAGCGAAAGCAATTACCCCCACGAAGACAAAGGCCGTGATGGCACTGCTGCTTCCGAGGTTGATTAGACCAAGGAGCATTTGAATTACTGTCACAAGCACGAGCGACCACACGGGTACTCCAAGATGGGGGTTAACGTGGGACCAAATATTTGCCAGTGGGATGGCATCGTCATGGGCGAAGGCCCAGGTGGCTCGAGAAGCGGCTACGGTGATGTTGATGGAACAGAAAAGGGTGATTTAGCACGGTGAGCCCCAAGCCGCCTTCAGGACCTCCCATGACGATGTAGAAAATGTATGGAAGAGCCTGTCCGGCGGGGGCGTTAAGGATTTCGTGTAATGATGGCAAGGTGAAGCATATGGGGAGGACAAAAAATAGGCCAGTAATTCCCCCAACTGGTACGCCTAGACTGATTGCCTGCGAAAGCCTGATGGTAGGGTTTGCGCATTCCTCTGCCATTGAGGCGATCATTCCAACAGCGGAGAGCGTGTATGCGGCGAGAAGAAGCCCGATGAAGAAGATAAAACCGTGCCATCTGGAAAGACTGGAATCATAGTAACCTAGTGCATAATGGGCACTATGCCTACCTGTACCTGCTTTGACGGACAATGCTATGAAGATAATGAAAATGGTGATTGTAGCCCACATATCAAAACAATGTCGACCTTTGGTAGGTACCTATTGCCGAATGTGCAGATGAAGAATGAGGCCAAACATATATGCCATAGAACATGAGTAGAAGCTGCCAACTAGTGGCATTCCAACCTGGACGGTACACCGAGATTGTGGCGGCGACCATTGATGCAAAACCAAAATTAACTAATAGCTTGACTGATAACGTGATTGTCCAGCTCCCAATGAGCCAGACCCAGCCATTGATAGAAAAAAATCAACTTGGCCGGAACTTCTCGCAACCAGGAAGGACCAGTAGTAAGGGCCGACCTACGTTGGATATCAGGATGCAAGCTCAGCTTAAGACAGAGCAACGCACACATCGAAGATACAGACGATGATCCAGCCGACAAAGACGGACAGTGGACCTCCGCCATAGATTGCATTCATCAACGGCATACCGTCTTCCACTAGAAAGCGCATTTTTCGAAATCCGAAACAAAACCAGAGTAGAGGAGGGTCAGAACTTATCCAGCCGAAAGGTGAGACTAGAGCAGCAAGGGACATTTTCCAACCCTCATGCCTGTATAAAAACATACCTCGCGTGTGATACGTCGGGCGCTGTGCTGGGATAAAAATGAAGAGAACTCACGTGTTTATCGTCTCAGATCCGTATTGAAATACACAAGATTACCAACGTACACAGCATCATCAAGAGGTAGATCGATTAAATAGATGTATATGAACAGGTACGGATATATATATATATACATATATACATATACACACTGGCTATATCATAACAAAGGTGTATCTCAGCCGGCAGTCCGATTTCTAACGTACTGAAGGGTCCCAGACCAAATCAATTAATTGACAGCGGTCTGAGGACGAGCAGTTTGCGGAGGCGACTCCACTCGCTGGGATCCTGAACGTACAGAATGGCCTTGTGAAGTTGGGCGTGCATTGTCTTTCGTTGGGTCATATGCCAATGGAGGAACTAAGCCATGCGTTAGTTACAGTTATACTAAGATGCTTGGGGACGAAGAAAAGAACTTACTGCTAAATCCATACCCTTCGGTGGCAGCTTCATGGTTTTGCGGGTCGATTTCTACTCGAATGGCGATATCAAGACCGCCATACATACCACTCCTGTTACTGAAGCCATCAGCCGCAGGGTGTTTTGTACCAGCATTAGTCTCTCCCTTATGGAGGGGAAAGTGACCGTCTTTGGGCAGCAGTACTACTGCGCTATCATTTTCCAGCGTTGGGCCATCGCCGTTGGCCAGTGGAGTATCAACTTCAGTGATGCATGCGTAGTTACGTGACGGCATAGTTACCTTATTCCAGGAAGCGCTCTTCTCCTGACCTCCTGGCTGCTGATCAAACATGTCCATCAGGGTCTCATCGGTATTTGGGTCGAGATGATGGAGCTTGTTTCTTCGGGCTAATAGATTTGCAACTGCCTTCGGAGGTGGCTTGTTGGTGATCGCACTGCTGATAACATTGACCATATATCGGGGGTCGTTCACACTCTGGAGGCCGAGCTTGGGGTTCGAATAAAAACGACCTATAGCGGCCAAGTGCACATCTCCACCAAGGATCGTTACGCGAACGGAATGAACCTTAGCGAACTCTTGAAGGCGTTGGATAAAGATCCTTCGTTCGCGCTTGTGCTGACGAGCCGTGTAATGGTCATCTAGATCATCAAGCAGATCTACTTGGCCGTCAAATTGGTTAAACAAGCCACCCGCAAATCCAAATCGCTTATTGAGCAAGCGAATCGGCGCAATGACGGGGGAGCTGAGAATATTTTCCAGCCACGCAAGACGTGGATAAGCAATCGGGACCCCCAGGAGCAGAATCAGGTGCTTGATATCGCCATTGGCCGCAGCCACTTCGTGTTCAAGACGGGCAAAGATGAGATCGTACGTATCATGGTAGTTCACTTGATGGCGGGTACGCTCCGTGCGAGCATCAATCCCGATGAAGGCAATACGCTTACCCAGGCGCATGTACAAGTTCCTACTCTTCTCCTCTACATAAGGCCCGGGTCGCTTTCCAACAATCCAGCTATCGTCCTCGGTCTGATTTTCCAAAACAAATGTGCCATCCAACTGCCGAGGATCCGCTCCTGCTGTTCCATTAACTGCATGCATGGTCTGCGGAGCATCCGTCGTGTAGGTCGACTTGGGCGGCGCGACATGATGCTGGAACAAACAATAATATTTGAAGGCCACACCTCCAATACCGCGAAAGACGGAACAACGCATGAAATGGTCTGTGTAGGAGCCGAAACCGTCGATGATGTCGTGGTCGTCCCAGATATTGATCTGAGGTATCCGTCCGTTTGCCGCCTTGAATGGCTCGGTAGAATACCATCTTACATAGTTTTTATAGTAGTACTCATCGCACCTGGCTCGCAAGTCGTTATTAAAATTGTGCGCACGTCTCTTGTGGGGGTTGGAGATAGAGGTCCATTCTTTCAAAGGGCCGTCGACCCGAATTCCATCATTGTAGAGCTGGTCACCGCCCCCAATCATCACATGGAAGGGCTTTTGCGCATGCACGCGCAAGACGTCGTTCCACAGATTCGGGCCGACCCAGGCATTCATGTCTGTGCCAACAGAGAAGCCATTACAGGAATGAAACATGAGACGCATGGATTGGTCTACAGACGGGACGACGAAATCCCAAGGCGATTTGACTTCTTGTCCCTCCACAAAGTGGAAGCCGGGGATGTCATATTCCCAGAGCGCTTCATACGACTCGAGAGGCAGGGAGATAGAGAACCGCCAGAACGCTTTCAGGGGATCTTCGAAAAGGCGGAGACCGCCAATCGTGATGCCTTGGCCACTGGGTAAGCTCCCGTTGACCGAGGTATTGCCTCCGACAGGGCCAGCCTGGCGTAAGACGAGTTGCGGCTGCGTTTGACCGGGTTTTGTCACAATTAGGACACTCCCACGCCAGACGGAGGAGGATGGAGTGACATCCATATTTTTGAAATTGATTAAGGGCCCGCAAATTACATCTACCTGCGCATTGGAGTCGTGTGATTGGCCCGTAAAGGCTGCATCTTCCATAGATCAACCACGGACCAAGTCAGCGACATGATCCGCTTTTAACAAGTCGCATAACAGGAAAACTCCAGATATTAGTAGAATGCTTACCCGGCTGGATTTGTTCGACCATTGCAGAACGGTTTCACAGGAACGTGAACTTCTCGCAGCGAGTATAGAAATACAGGGAAAAAAAAGGTATTGGAAGAAAAGCGATAACAAAAGAGATATACTAGATGCGTTGTCGCCGGGAGGATTAATTGAAGGGAATGAAGCCGCCAACGGAAGGGTATCAGAACACAAGGGGTCCTCCAAAAAAGAAAAGAAGAGAAAAGAAAAGAAAAGGAGTAAGGAATTATTTCTATTAGATTTCAGGCGATCCAGGAGAGATCGGGATTATCTGGTTCACCCAATATAAGCGTGTGGGAAAGTGGATTAGGGCGCTTGATCATGGGTCGGTTGAGATCAAGGGGTGGGAAGGTGAAGGGGTCAAAACAGAGGTAGCAATGAACTGGCAAAAAGGAAGGTTAAGTATAGAAAAGAACAATATGTACGTCGCACGGCGAATCCGCAGTAGGGCTGAGAGAGAGGAGAGGAAAAGAGGAAAGATTAAAAATTAGGTGGAATAGAGTAAGCTGTACTGCTTGGCACAGGTACCATCATCATAGGTAGTACTAGTAGTTGTGTAGTTCCTTGGCAAGAGTAGTAATCTCCTTTAGATACATACATTGGTAGATACGTAACACCTACTCCATAGTACTAACTATGGAAGGATCTTACTTACTGGAGCTGTCCAATCATCGCGTAGTCCATTAGAAGCTCAAAGACCCACGAGTCCCAATCAATTTTTTTTTTTTAATAATTTAAACTGTGTGTGGCTGTGGAACATCCATCTAGTGTGGCTAAGCATTTCTCCTGCGGTTAATTTGCTGCCTGGCCATATACCGTATTGTATGTAACATTCCAGTTTGACATTCTGTATGTATGTATGTATGTTATGTATGTACAGTACATATGTACTGTATATCACATCATTGCTTCATCCGTTTCTCCCACTCAATCTCCATCTTCCTTCCCTTGATCCAATTGCTTCGAAAAATCCCTTCCCCCTCTCCAAACCATACAACTCCACAAAATGCCAATTCATACAGTTCCTACTCCGACCAAATGACAGTAATCGTCGTAGAAGAAAAGTGTCAAGACTTTAGGTGCCAAGAGACCAGACCAACCTCCTGTCCAGCTCTTGTCCCAACATTGATTGTAGTCACAAAAAGCGATGCAAACAAAGTGCCGATGATATGTCAGCCCAGTGACAAATTCATGTTGTGCGAGGGATTGAAAATAAGATCCCCTATCCTGAAAATAAATTTCAAGAAAGGAGCTAGGGGACCTATAGGTACTCCTGCATCCTAGCTTTTTCTTCTTTTCGTTTTTCCCTTTCCCTTTTTCTTTTTTTGTAAAAATTTTATTTTATTTTATTTTTTTTGCTTTTCCTCGTGGTTGAGAAAAGCAACGGAACGAAGATGGAAAGGGGCTCGAAACCCACCATACTCTAACAAAGTTTAGAATAACAATCATGATGGGGTGTGATATCAAGTAACCTAGTCAAGAGCCAATCTGGAACGTAGATGATGGGTGAGCAGCGCCTTTGGCTGTATCATCGAGTATACTTCTAACTTCAGACTGTCATTTCCAGACCCTAATTTGGGAGGGACTGAAGGATCGTCCATGGATCTTTGTTTGACGCCAAGTCCGAGTTCATTAAGCAGCTCTCCAAAACAAGCACGATTCTCGGGGGAGTCCAACTCTGGCCGGGTCTCAATGAGATCCATGATGCGCTTCAATAGGAGAGAAAGTGGGATTCCGTGGTGTTCCGTCACTTCAAGCTCTTCATCCTTGAATTTGAGAGTTTTGGAGGACATTGAGCTCCAAGGGTGTAGAGGGAAGGACTCATATTGACACGAAGGTCGAGTTCTGTGAGTTTCAGCAGGGCGAAACGCAGCTAGGCTCTCTTTCGTCTTGATTACCATCCTCTCCAGGACTTCCTGGGGTCTTCCTGGAGGGGTGTAATTGTCTGGAATGGTGAAGAGACTTTCAAGTCGTTGCTCCGTCTTCGCCCTTCTCTGAACTCGGTCCTTATGGCGAAGCAAGTTGCAAGTCTCCAAGCTTGGTGCACGCCAAGACTGATTCTTCAAGCTGCCACTCTCTATGGACTTACTAAAAGTGAAAAGGTCGCTAGTAAACTTGTCGATAAACGAGTTCCGCTGGCATGCCGCCTTTCTATAGCCGTCCCGTAAAGCGAACCATGCTCTGTACGAAGCTCGTGCTAGAATGACACGGCACTCTTCCATGTAGTGGGCGATCCGCCTCTTGAATATATCCAAAGTATTCACATCCTGCTCGAAAAAGGCTTCGGCAAAATCCAAGATCCACTGGCAAAAGAGAATGGTAATGACAATCTCCATCCCTGGATCATCATTTGACCCCATAGCTATGCAATAGGGACTTGAACTAAGGAGACCCAGACCAACGTGCATATCCTCCGAGAGGCCGGAGTCCAGAAGGATGACGAGGTCCGGAATGGTGACACTATACATGGTGAACCCAAGGTCCCACACACACCAGAGATCATCAGTCTTGTCAGGGATCCAATCAAAATGGCGAGCAAATAGGGTTCTGCTGTTGTAGTCAAATCCCAGGACATAGTGCCTGCCATTGAAGGAAGGACCTAAGTCGGCAATGGGCAAGTCCCAAAATAGGAACCGAGGTATTTCTCCAATATTGCATCGCTCAAAACCACCTTCCAAAAGCTCACTGTAGTACACAGGACGACAATCAATGCCATCATACACAAGCATCCCATTGCGCCTTGTATGTGTATCTTTCCCCCCTTCCACGGAGCAAAGGTACAGATGGTAATCCACGACCTCCCAAGGATGACTCACGATATAAGTGGGGGAGCCATCCCTTGGCTTTTGGATTTCCAGCTCGGTAGAGTCTTCAGAGTGCATTGACTCAGTCTCGGATAGATCGCTGGAATACCCCTCTAGGGTCTCTAGTCCTGAGGCTTGATGCAGTGACCCTTCATCGGGGAGTGATATAGGGTCATTTCCCAAGAAGGGTTGTGCACAGTTTATCGCCTCCCAGCTCCTCCTTAGTTTGAAGACAGTAGAAATTGACTTCTTGCTGGTTGTAGTGCAGTGAATGCTGTAAGGCATGCTTGGAACCGAATGTTGAGCTTCGTTTGAGAGATCAAGGCAAGGAATATGGGCAAGAGGGGCAGAAAGGAGCAAAAAGCAAAAAGGACTTTGCAAAATTGGTTTATAGCACAGTAGATAGAAGTAGCAAATGACTTCCAACAAGTGTTACCAACTCACAAGAAGTACAGACCAAAGCAAGCAGGAGTGAATAGGAGATAAGAGGCTTGGAGGGTGGAGATGAAATGGATTTTGGAAAGCAAAAAAGAAATATAGAGACATGGTGCATTAAGGGAGAAGCAGGAGAGTGAAAGTACGGCACTTAGCGAACAGGGGTTCATGGATTGTCATAGTCTTTTTGGGTATGACTAGAACTAGGCCATCAAATTGGTGAATTATGATACCTCTATACATATAAGCTGCATATGAGAGTGATTTGTTAAATCCACTCATATATCCTCCAATTCAAACTAGAGAGATCTCATACATGACGCAATGATATGAACGACAAGATCTAAAACCACTGATCTGATCTGTAGTGGAGTCCCAAGCATTTCTTCATTCATCATTCACTACTTGGTCACCAATTATCTCAAGCAAGGAAGAAAGAAGGGGAGGCACTCTCAAAATAGTAGCTCTTAAGCCATTACATTTAAATTTCAACCATGGATCTGAGACGCGGCCTAGATCTACAATATTTACTGTCTATTCAAATGGCAGGTCGTCTCATACAGATGGAGGTTGTGGCTGTTCTAAAAAGGTTAATAACACATAAGAATATGAGTAACGTTAGATATACAAGGAGAGAAGTAAAAAGAACTCTATTGTAGGTTTCAAACCTATGGCTGAGTGGCAGTCATACAGCTCCACCCTTGCTTTCGAACATCAACCCCGAAAGGTTCGCTCAAACCAGGACTTATCCGACTGTTGTTCTTTTAATTTCTTCTTGTATGCTGTTGACCATAGGGCTCCTGCCAGAAATCCTCCGAGGTGCGCCCAGTAATCGATCAATGCCCGGCGTGTAAACATATTAACGAATTCCAAGACAACAAGACCAGACAGGACCATCCATCCTTTTGCTGAGGCAACATCCTGCCATTCAGGTGGGAGAAAGAAGAAAGTGAACTTCTCACTGTTGGGTGGAGATGAGTCATTAGCTTGTATGATCGACGTTATATCAAAACAATACGTACTTAGCATGGAGCATACACCAGGCAGCAACCAGAGCTGAAATGGCTCCACTGGCTCCAAGGGCAGTAAGGGCCAAATTCCCTCTCAAGATATTGGCTGTCAAAGACGTGAAAGACCCAAACACGCCAGAAGCCATATATAGAGCCAGGAAGTTCCCACGGCCGATTTCATCGTGTACTAGAAATCAGTTGGTGACGGTGGCCAGCAGATGGAATATTCGTGGACACTCACGTTTTGTTCCAACGAACCATAAGACTACCATGTTAATTAGGAGATGTTTCACCGTTTGATGGCTGAAGACGTTCCCAATCAAGCTAAGCGGGCGAGGGTAGGCAGCAACAGTTATGAAGTGGCGATTAAGAAGCCGCCAAGCCGGTGGACACAGCTTCCATAGAAGAAAAACACCGACATTCGTGCCTATAATAGTCATAATGGTAGCTGCTGCTGGAGGGACATCAGGCCACAGCCGGTCGCTTTTTGCTGGGGCTTGGTAATTGTCTGCAAAAAGGTAACAAAGGCCAGTGGTGACGAGTGTGATGCTAAGGATGCGGAGAATCCGACCACCCTGCCAGCAGAGAGGTTAGCCCAGGTATTCACGTACAGGATTTGGTACCGCTAGGCATACGTTCGTCAACTTAGACACATCCAGGTCCCAATCAGTGGCGCGTAAATGGTGCTTTTGTATCCATGCCAGGAGTGGACGCTGGTTGGGATCCGCACGTTCCCGCACTGTATGACTCGTTAACAACTTCTCATCCTGCAACGACTAGAGGCAAGAAGCATACCCTCCAAGGCTGCCGAATCCTCGAATTTCTGAAGCGCCGTATTCTTCTGCCTCATGTGCTCCAGCTTTTCGCGCTCCTTCTGTTCACCGTCGAGCCATTCTTGGCGTTTCTTGTCTTGCTCGGCCAAGAGCCGTGCTTCGTTTCGTTTCCTCGCCTCTTTCAGAACACTTTTCCCATATGGATCGTTTGAGTCGCCCAGCTCAGCGCCATAAGAGCCACTCTGGGGTTTGTAGAGGCCTAGTTCCTCGGCGCGTCGGGTTAATTTCTCCTCCTGCTGCTGCTCTTCCTGCTCGATTCGTGCAATGATGGCAGCGTCTTCGTCCAGTGGGTAATTTTTGCGAAGCCATTGCAAAGCCGCATCGAGACTAGAGGGTCGGGCAGAGCGAGCTATATCGGAAGGAAGTTCGAGGTCAAGAGTGCCATCAAGACGCCTACCCTGTAGAACGGCGAGAATCCGGTTTCCCAATCGAGGAGATATTCTTGCGCGGGTCCCGAAAATGGCATTTATTTCAGCGGACGAAAAGGGTTGTGGGCGAATTTGGACACCATGATCATTTCTGGGAACCAGTAAACAACTCGAAACCGTGAACGGCCGGACGGGGGTTGGAAGCCGTACTATCCTCCGGTGGAAAGTCGCAGGAGGAAAAGGATTCAGAGAGCCAAGAAACCGTCTAGATAGCATATCTAGACGCCATGGCGGGGACACGCTACAGACGGGACGTGGATTAGATTGAAGCAAGCTCAAGGAACGGGGTCCCGAGCATGGGATCCTCCATGCTATGCAGGACACATTGCTCATATCCTGCGACTGGCAGTCACACCCTGCCTGGGATGACCTTGTCAACTTCGAGGTGGGGTATGAAGAAGTTGTTTATCCCTGAAAGTGGAATATCGAAGAGGAGGTTTGAAGATGAAAACGCGCGGATTTCTCCGGACCGCCCGAACAAATTGTTCCGGAACGACCATGATCTTGTAAAGAGAGGCATCCAGTGGACTGAGACTTGCACAGTATCGCTTCGTATTGCGAAACTAGAGTATACTGCCATACTGTCCTTTTTTGGTGGGGACTGATTATGCTACCATATCATGGATAGAGCACTAGTATATCAGCACAACGCTGTTAATAAGTATACAACATACGTGAATATCAATTAGTAGTAGCACGGGAACCCAAGAGTGGACGATTTTAGCATATGTTAAGACATTCAATCCTTTCCCCAACCCATCCATTTATACTAAAGATCAAGAAGGAACCTACAAATGGTTTGGAAAGCCTGTGCGACATCCATTCCGAGAAATGCGACTATACAACTACTCAGCACGAATTCCCTTATGTCTGTGATCACGTGAAGATAGGGGTGAGCTAATCGAAGATAGACGTAAAATGGATTAATCGATTTAATATATCCTTGCATTCCACAACTTCCGAGACAAAAGAGCAGGAGACACGCCGCCAAGTATAATGTCAACAGAATCCCTCCCGATCACCCTCGCTGCTTTCGCTGAAGCTATCAAAGAGCTTCCGCTCTCCACCGTTTACGCCAAAGCCTCAGAGCTTAGGAACTCTATCGCACATCTGCGGCGCTCAAATGAGGAACTAAGGGCGTTCGTAAATGAGTCATGCGATACTGAGGGTGAGGCACGCGAGTTGGAAACGTACATAACCGAGAACGAGCAAGTGATGGGATCCATGAATGAAAGGATCTCACTATTAAAGTCGGAGATAGAGGGCCGGGGTCAGCAATGGATCGAGATGGAGGATACCGCAGCAAATGAAGACCAACAGTCATCATCTGTATTTGCGCCTGGTACCAATGGAGTAGCTGGAGAACGAAGAAATTCTGTTCAACATGAATCGTCCACGGTGGACACCCAGAACGACCAGGGACAAAACGGGGTCTATCTATGAATCTGCCCACGCAAGCCAACATAGACTTGCATTCATTCGGCGTCCAAATGGGCTAAATATTTTCCCCCTTTCAAGCGACATATACAAGACTCCTGCATTGAAACATGCATGTGCAGCTAGTCAGTGTTCAGATCGAATTAAACCCGATAAGTTCTCGCTGACTCAAGCGTCTTGGTCATTGGACAACTTTGTTCTCGCAACCCGTCGTGGTCACTAGGCCCAGCAAGTGGTCTTTTTTGGTCTTACGATATGACGGGTACGTACGCATCAGTTAACGCGCTGAGGCCAAATTAAGTCTTTTAGAATGTCTAAGTTGCTCGAATGGCTGCGACAAGACCCTGTATCTGATATTTATTTCCATATGCTCATTTGGGGTTTTTGATAAAGGTCATTTGCACATCACGTTTGTCCCAGAAAAATCAAGAACATTGCATCCAACCATATGTGCTTGCCCAGGAGTTATGCGCTCTGTTTACTTAGACTAAAAGCAACGGCGTTGATGATTAAATCTCAACACTATCGAAAACCGAGGGGTATGCAGAGATAACAAGAAAGAGATATTCACATCACATTCTAAATGCACAAACTCTCAACTTAGGCGGTGCCATCCGCTATTTCACGCTTTTACGACTCGAAGCATTGAAAACGAAACAGAAAGAGAAGGAAGCCAGGAAAGGGATGCAAGACTTGATCGTAAGGTTAACAACTTTCTAACACCAGGTTAGAAGACGATCAACTGCTAGTAAACATAGGAAGATGACGACCTCTAGCTCAGCTAGAGGTTGGTTGACCCCAGTGACCACCCGAGAGTGCCTCCGGAGGGATTCTCTGCTGCTTGATAAAGAGATCGATCAGTGGTTGCATGGGTTCCATCTCTTTGTCGGAAACAAGCTTGTAGTATTTGGCAACAGTAACAAAATGTACGAAGCACATGTTGAGGATGTCGTGTTTGTTAATGTGCCAGAAAGGGTGCAGCCAATGCGCATGGTACAGATGGGCGTAGCAACGGAACATCTGCTTCATAATTCCTTGGCAGTCCTTGTAGAATGTCTGGGGAAAACCACTGGATTTGCCAATCCATTCCTCGGTAGGCGTATTCGCACTAGGACTGGAGGGGCTGGTTCCCGAGATTTCGTGGAGTGCAAAAGTATCGGGTAGGCCGTTGACCTTGTCTGTGGGGAACATGACGGGGTCGTGGATCTTGCTGATGATCCATTTCTCAACGCGATTGATAAACTTTGGGGCAGAGATCTTAGCAGCGCGACCATCCACGAGCCAGGTATAGGTTAGGCTGGAGAACAGAATCGTTAGCTGGTGCCAGATGATCCAGATACAGCGTATATATTATAGGGGTGATCATCATCCAAACTTACCGGCCAGCGGACATGGTCGGGCAGGTGGTCTCATTGCATATCGGGACGCCGGTAACACCATTGACTTCCTGGATAACCTGGAGCATACCATGGAGCAAACGATACTGTTCAACGACTGTATATGAAACGCAATCAGTACATAGAGTTTCGGGAGGGTTTATCGATTTCCGCTTACTCTGATGCGCTAACCATTCTCCAAGCTCCACATTCTTAGGACAGGCGCATAATGTCAAAAAATTACCTTTTACATTTAATGGGGCATACTTTTCCTGGAAAAAGTATTTGGGGGCGTCAGGGTCGTATGCGGGACCTTCCAGGGGCATGTTTGAGGCGATAGATGGTGAGTTGGGGACAGGGCTCGCCTGAGGAACCTGAGGAGCTGGCGACTGGGCTGGGCTTCCATTGTTAATCTTAGGAGCGGTATTATTGCCGTTCTTGTTATTCCCGCCTCTGCCAAACCCTTGGCGGCTATAAAGTAAATCGAGTCACAAGTCAGCACCAGCGGTTCGGTAGAGACGTGGGGAAGATTGAGTGCAGGATTTATATCAGGGGGAAATAGGAAAAGAGCCAAAAGGAAAAGCTTCCATCCATGTATAAGGGAAAAATGCTGACTTGTCTTGGGGGACGACTTGATAGAGCCATTTGTTTTACTTTAGGGGCGCACGATGCTGCGGCTGCTCTAGGGGTTCAAGGGGACGGACAGACAATGTGAAAGACTCTCGGGGGGAAACAGATGAGACAGTTGATGTTGGTGAACAGAGTAATGACTTACACACTTTGAAAGAAGGTCGCCATTGCTTATACCACAGTGCTAGAAGTCTAGCTAATCTTCTCAGGGGCAAAGAAAGAAATAAAAGAACAAGAGTACAGGAGAGCAGTTAAGGAGAAAGCATCCGTTGATTATTCCGTGATCTCTCCTCTATCGGTCTGGCCCGTGGAGCTGCCGCATATGCTAAACTACATCAGGTACGGAACGGATCATCTCTGATTCCACTACCAGTATCAATCAACTAACCCAAAGCTCCGCGGATATCGCAATTGGTGTTCCTTGTACAGATACTTCGAGAGAGGAATCGCCTTTCAATCCTTCCAATTCGGTGATAAGGAAATATTTCACCGTTGAGCTACTTATTCCATTTCTCAGATTTACCATCCGCATTCTTTTTCTCTCTCTTCCCCCTCTTCCTTTTCCCTCCTCTTCATTTTGGGCTGCCTATCCTACAATCCATACAGTTCCTCTACCATGTCTTCATCCGATGAGGACTTAGTCCGTCGTCCTGGTCGTGGCATAGCTGTTGGTCAACATGCAAGCTCGTCCGGTAGCGACCATAGCAACCCTATCACTAGAAGAAATGGCAGTCCGGTTAGGTCTGACCCTGACATTATCAACGACGACGATGACGCCGACCTCTTTGGCTCAGATGGATCGGACGGTGGGTTTGGGAATGATAATGAGTATAGCATACCTTTTATTTCCTACTGAAATAGCTATATTAACCTGCTGGTAGCCAACCGCAGCGAACGCTCGATGATGAAGAGCTAGATTCGGGCGATGATGAATATCGCTATGACCGAGCAGAGGGTCGCATGGATTATGAAGATGGTGGGGAGGGGCAGTACCAAGAAACGGTCAACATCATGGATTTGAGCTTAGGTCGAGCACCCGAACCCGTAACTTCCAACGGCGAGGTTTGTGATCTTCCACAACCTCATTATTCGAGAGGCTCACCGAGTCATTTAGATCTACACCATGCCGATTCCCAATTTTTTGTCCGTCGAGACTGAAGAATTCAACCCTGAAACTTATGTGGCGCCTCCATACAGTACTGCGGCAACATCTCTTTGTTGGCGCCATGACCCTACTGATGACTCCCTTATACAGTCTAACGCTCGCATCATTCAATGGGAAGATGGCTCTATGACACTTCAGCTGGCTTCTGCGCCCAAGGAACAGTACCGGATAACAACCAAGCCCCTTGCACCCCTCAACAAATCCGGCGACTACGAGACGAAATTGGATTCCCATGTGTACCTGGGCGCAGCTGCAGAGACATCTTCCGTGTTTAGACTGACCTCTCATTTAACCCATGGGCTCACAGTTCACCCCACAACCGTGGAAACAGACGATGCTGTACAACGTCTCCAAGAATCGCTGGCCGCGGCCACTCGCGGCACTAAGAAGACAGTAGATGGCTCTGCACCTGTCATTGAAGTGAAGGAAGATCCTGAACTTGCTAAGCGGCAAGCGGAGCTTGCAGAACGCGAGAAGTTGAAGGCTGCTCGCCGGCGCCAGCAGCTCGCAGACAGGGAGCTTGATCGCGGCCGTCGCGTCGGTGTTCCTCACCGCACTGGAGGTGCTGGTCTCACTATCGGTGGCCTGGAGGACGATGATGGGTTGCTTACCACGCGGCCCCGCGCTAAGAAATCTCGCAGACCAAACCGCCGTGGCGAAATTTACACTGATGATGAGGAAGATTATGATCGGCGGGGCCGGACAAGGGAGGATGAGTATGACGAAGATGATGGTTTCCTTGTCGGAAGTGACGAAGAACCGGAAGAAGTCGAGGATGACGAGGAAGAGGACATTCTAGAGGATGACAACATGGATGCTGAAGGCGAGGACGAAGAGGTGCCAGCCGCGAGACCCAGGGAGGCAAAAGGCCGTGAAACAGAAGTTGAGTCCGGCGCTACTGGAACCCCGCCTACGAGGAAGAAGAATCGCTACATCGTGGATGATGATGAAGAGGAGTAGAGTCTCGCTGACTGCAAGATCTTTTCATTATTCAACTCCTCACGCCTTCTATGAATAGTACATTCTTATGTTAACGACATTTGTATCTGTATCAATGTTTTTTCTTACCCTTTTCGGGAAGGTAGAAAATGGCGAATGAATGGAATTTACAAAGCACATGGTTTTACGTGACATGAAACACCTGGGGAATGTGTCCACTCAACTTGCTAGTAACTTTACTGAGTACTACTTGTAGCACCTTGTATTGTTTGTTACCTTGCAAACCATCGGGCTAATAATATCAACCTCAATTATTTACTACGAAGGCAAAAATTCTTTCATGTACTGAGTGCATATGTACGCTTGAAACATCAACAGGGGCGAAAAGGAGAAGAGACGAGAATAAGGAAAGGGACACCGATATGCTCAGTTGGACGTGGAACCTCCATATATTCCAAAACGCCTATTAACGCATAGAGTGTCCCAAGTAGAATGCTGACTAACTGCATATTCACATCAAGTTATCCAACTTGAAAACGCTAAACCGGTCATAACATGTATCGTCGTAAGAACTGTCATTTGCTTGTGGTCAACAAATCACGCCATCTGGGTATTCGTGTGGCTCGAATTCGAACCTAGCAATGACATCCCTGGCACTTTTAGCCACTCGAACACAGAGCCAGCCTTGTTCATCACGTGGATCAACGCCAGTTTCAATAGATTGCTCGGATCTAGCGTTAGGATCGCCAAGACGGGCCTGTGGATGCCGCTCCAGATGCCACTTTCGTTGACGTGCTTCCAATTCTTGGACTAAAGAGAGGAGACTGGGCGAATCTGAGCAAGCTACAGAGCCAGCCGGATCGGCTGGTCCGCCTATAACGCCACTTCGAACTATCTGTCGAAGCCAGTCCTTCCAGGCTGCTGTAGAGTCTAGTGAGTTTTTGTTTACTACAGCCACATAGGCCGGTGGTGCCGCCTGTTTCCCAAGTTCTTCAGCATCAGTTTTTGACACTCGCAGCCAGGCATCGGCGACGACGTTCAGCAGTGTCCCAGTGAACATAACGTTCTGCATAGCCGTAGCGAATTTTGTCGGACAGGTTTGGCAACGGATCACCGCCCGTGCAGTTTTCGCAGCAATGAATAATGAGCATAGTGTATGTTGAGAGATCGGAAAAGGGGCCAGGGAAGACAAATGGCTAAGGCATAGATACATATATGATAGGCATGTGCACTGAGTCTCTGAAGAGTCTGAGTCCGAAGGAGTTACGGGAGGCGAATGCATGTGCGATAGCCCTGGTGGCATTGTAAACGGAGTAGACGCTGCTGCAGATACACTAGAGAAGTCTGGCCAAGGTCCAGTTGTTGCAGGAACTGGTTCCGTGAACTTTCCCTGATTCAGCTGCCATGAATGCTTATGGTTGTCATCTGTAGACAGACGATGAGAGATTTGCGAAATGCTAAACGGAGCACTGTAAACTGGAGCGCAAACACGGAGGGCGTCTGATGCAGCCGTCGCTTCCGGACAAAGATTTGACGATGTAAATTGGGAGCTATCCGTATCAAGCCATGTTTCATCGCTTGTGAGGCCAAACAGAGAGAGACTATCATTGTCCTCTCGTACACGCTTTTTAGGTGGCCGCCCCATTTGTTTCTGTACCGAATAATGACAGACAAGAGATTGTTTTAGACAACGGCTACAGCCCGTTGCTTCCCCCGAGCATTTCAACTTCCGTTTCCCTGTTCCGTAAATTAATTGTTAGTTTGTTTAGTGCGTAGCCTTCCATTTGAAACGAATGGGACATACTACACTCGTCACAAGCCGCATGCCTCTTCAGTGACAGGGCAGGAGTGGCGGTAGAGTCACGATTGCCAGAATCACCAACCGCAAGGGCGTGAATCTGACCCCAGTCGTACTGCATCCTATAATTGGCAAAATGAGTCAAAAATCAAAGGCGATAGTAGTAGAACAGCCCGTAAGGTCCCCCAGCAAAGGCTGGTATTACTTTTAACACCCGCCTATCTGAATCTTAGGACCTAGGGGATCAAAGGCACGATGAGAGCGGTCATGAAGGCGGTGCATCACGTGGGCGGTCAGACAAAAAAAAATCTCGGGTAAAAGATTACAAGAAGAGAAGAAAAAAAAAAGAGTGAAGTAATGTCTACATCCGGTTGGCTGGGCTGAAGCTGTCGCAGACTTACACAATAATGGATGCCTCTAAGTCTTCAAAGAAGCGTAAGGCAGTTACTCGAGATATTGAGGAGGCAGCAGGTGTGTTCTCTGGGGATGAATTGCAGGCTGGCGACCTAAACGGCGCGCTTTCAGATATTGCACACGATCTGTCCAGCGACGAGGACGTCAGCGATTCGGAAATCGAATTGGTGGACGATTTTAGCGACGAAGAAGGTGGAGATGAAGAGGAGGAGCTCAATAGCGACGAAATCCCTTCTGACGGGGAGGAACCTCCTAAGAAGACTTCGACCGCCATTGATGGTGAAAGCTCCAGCGAAGAGGGCCAGTTGAACTACCGCATTGAAAAGGATGCCAATGGAAATGACCGCTACGTTTATGATGAGATAAACCCGGACGACAATTCAGAATATTCCGATGTGGAAGAGAATGCCAACACAATCGGCAACATTCCCTTGTCTTTCTACGATCAGTATCCCCATATCGGCTACGATATCAATGGAAAGAAAATCATGCGGCCTGCTACAGGCGAAGCCCTGGATGCGCTGCTTGATAGTATTGAAATTCCCAAGGGCTGGACTGGTCTTACTGATCCCTCGACCGGCAAGCCACTAGAATTGAGCCAGGATGAGCTGGAGTTGTTGCGCAAAGTCCAGATGAACGAAATACCTGAAGAAGGCTATAATCCCTATGAGCCTACGGTGGAATGGTTCACCAGCAAGGAGGAGATTATGCCTTTAAGTGCTGCCCCCGAGCCAAAGCGTCGATTTGTGCCATCGAAGCACGAGGCTAAGCGGGTCATGAAGATTGTTAAGGCGATCAGGGAAGGTCGCATTCTACCTTACAAGCCCCCGATAGAGGAGAGCAAGGATCAGGATACGATCAACTATGACTTGTGGGCCGATGAATTAGAGCGTCCAGATCATCCTATGCATATCCCTCCTCCTAAACTTCCACCGCCTGGCTATGAGGAAAGTTACCATCCACCCCCTGAGTATTTGCCCGACAAGAAGGAACGGAAGGCTTGGGAGGAAACTGATCCTGAAGATCGGGAGCGAGAATATCTTCCAAATGATTTCGGGTCACTCCGGAAGGTTCCTGGGTATGAAAGTTTTGTCAAAGAGAAGTTTGAGCGCTGCCTGGACCTTTACTTAGCCCCCAGAGTCCGGAGAAGCAAGTTGAATATCGATCCTGAAAGCCTTCTCCCCAAGCTCCCTAGTCCCGAGGAATTGAAACCATTCCCAACCACCTGCGCCACGGTATTTAGAGGACACAAGGGTCGTGTTCGCGCATTGGCTGTTGACCCATCTGGCGTTTGGCTCGCTACTGGTGGTGATGATGGAACTGTCCGCGTCTGGGAGTTGCTTACTGGTCGTCAATTATGGAATGTGAAGTTGAGTGAAGAGGATCCGGTGAACGTGGTCCGCTGGAGGCCCGGGAACGACGCTATTGTACTTGCAGCCGCGGCAGGCGATGATATCTTCCTTGCGGTACCCCCCATCGCTGATCCAGAAATTGAAAAGTCCAGTCTGGACATCATCGACGCAGGTTGGGGATATGCAGCATCGAAGCCTCCGCCGAGCGCCGCAGAAGAAAACAAGCAAAACACCCCTCCACAATGGATTCGCCCATCATCATCGCTCGCGGAATCCGGGGTGTGTGCTGTCATTCCTCTCCGATATGTGATCAAGTCTCTCTCGTGGCACCGCCGCGGTGATTACTTCGTTACTGTTTGCCCCGGTTCCTCGACCCCAGCCTCTGTTGCCGTCTCTATTCACACACTTTCGAAACATTTGACTCAGTTCCCCTTCCGCCGGCGTATCAAGGGTGGCGGTCCACCTCAGACAGCCCACTTCCACCCCTCAAAGCCTATCCTTTTCGTTGCAAATCAACGAACAATCCGTGCCTACGATCTATCCCGTCAACTTCTCGTAAAGATCATTCAACCTGGAGCTCGCTGGATTTCTTCTTTCGACATCCACCCGACATCTTCCACTACCTCCGGTGGTGACAATCTCATTGTTGGATCTTACGACCGTCGTCTATTGTGGCATGATCTCGAACTTTCCCAGCGTCCATACAAAACATTACGGTACCACCGCAAGGCTATCCGCTCTGTACGGTTTCACCCAAGTGGGCGCTATCCTTTGTTTGCTGATGCAAGTGATGATGGTTCCCTTCAAATCTTCCACGGCAGCGTTACGGGTGACATGCTCAGCAATGCCAGTATTGTACCTCTCAAGGTTCTCAAGGGCCACAAGATTACCGGAGAATTGGGTGTCTTGGATGTTGATTGGCACCCTCGGGAAGCTTGGTGTGTCAGTGCAGGCGCGGATGGAACCTGTCGGTTGTGGATGTGATTGCACTTTAACTGCTAAGTATATATTGACAGTCAACGCTGCCATCGTTTTGCCTAGCTATATCTACATGAGGCGTTTGGTGTGTATAATATTAGTCTTAGATATCCATCGCAAAAGTTTTGTCTACTGTATCCCACCTTTACGTCTCCAAGACGTAGCATATTATAAGATATAGAAGACGTCTAATTGTTTACTTTTCTCTTCTCTCCTTTTCATCTTTCTCGTTGTCTTTCTTTTATTTTCTTTCCCGGTCATTAGACGAAGGCATTTGATCACTCGGCAAGCGACAGAGTTGTATCATTGGCATGATCACTGCATGTCCCTAACTTTTCCAAAGTCTCATAGCAGTGTATAAGTATGCATAGAAACTACCTCAACTAGTGAATTAATTACACAATACCTCCACTCCAATCCCTCCGCAGCTTCTCATACTTTCTCAGATCTGTAACACTAGGCCGAATGAACGCCTTCGCGGCCGCAAAGTCCTCAAGTTTAATCACATCTCTCCTCTTGATGGCAGCGTATCCAGCACGACGAAGTAAGCTACCCAGGTCCGCACCGCTGAAGCCTTCACATTCTTCGGCCAACTTTCTGAGGTCATCGTTAAACTCGACGGGAATATTGCGAACCAGCGTACGTAGAATTTCGGCCCGCTCCAAGGGACTAGGTAAATTGACGAAGAGAAGTGTCTCCAGCCGTCCTGGACGAAGCATAGCTGGATCGATAATATCTGGTCGATTTGTGGCTGCTATTATGTAGATTCCTTGGCGATTATTGCCCAGACCATCTAGTTCCGTAAGTAGCGTATTGACTACGCGTGCGGAGGCCTCGGAGACAGTGTCGTCTCGCCGTGGTACTAGGGCGTCAAGCTCGTCAAAGAATATGACACATGGGACTGACGATCGAGCGCGAACGAATACTTGCCGGACCGCACGTTCGGATTCACCAACATACTTATTGAGCAACTCAGGGCCTTTAACGCTAATAAAGTTGGCATGCGACTCATTAGCTACAGCCTTAGCGAGTAGTGTTTTACCGCACCCGGGAGGACCCCAGAGGAGAACCCCGGTGGGGGCTGTAATGCCGACACTGGCGTAAAGACCCGGGTTTTGGATTGGCTCAACAATTGCAGTAGTAAGCTCCTCACGAACACCTCCGAGAGCGCCGACGTCCTCCCAGGTCGTGTCTGGTATGGTGGCGAAGCCTTCACGTTTAGAGGAAGGTTGAATCTTGGGAAGCGCATTGATGAAGTCTGCATTTGAAACAAGAACCACTTGCACTTCCTCTCCGATTGGTGTTTCTTTGGCATGCGTGATCAAACGCCGTAGTTCCTTGACCTTTGGGCTGAGGTCGTCTGCCTCTTCAATATCCATCTCCTCCCCACTGTTGGCCTTCAATATCTCTAAATATCGTTTAATGGCAGCAGAGCCGGCAGTAGAAACTAAATCATTAAGATCAGCACCCACAAATCCTGCTGTCCTATTGGCCAGGTACTTGAAGTCTATATCGTCGGCTAGGCGCATCTTGCGAGTAAGAGCCCGTAGGATCTGTTCTCGGACGGGTTCCGAAGGTACAGTCATGTTAATTTCCTTGTCGAATCTGCCTCCTCTACGTAAAGCCGCATCCAGGCTGTCCGGTCGATTCGTAGCCGCAAGGACAATCACCGGCTTTCCATCGGTTTTCTCCAATGCCAGATCGTCCATGCATGTTAAAAGCTGGGCAACAATCCGCTTTTCCATTTCACGTTGTGCACTCTCTCTTTTGGGTGTGATGGCGTCTATTTCATCGATGAAAATGAGACAAGGGGCTATCCTTTTGGCCTCCTCGAAATGTTCTCGTAGGGCTTTTTCAGATTCTCCTGACATACCAGAGACAATAGAAGGTGCAGATATAGAAATAAATGGAACACCCAGCTCAGCCGCAAACGCATTTGCAATCATAGTCTTTCCGCATCCTGGTGGACCATGTAACAATACACCTCGGGGAGGCTGTACGTTCGACGACATATAAACCTGCGGGCGAGTCATCGGCAGGATGACAAGGTCGCCAAGCTCCTGAACCACATCGTCCAATCCACCTAGATCCGAGAGACAGACATGTGTAGGCGGTGATCGATCAATAGCGCTCTCGGCTTTGCGGCGCTTGGAAAAATGTGATTCACCTCCATTTTGTCGCCTCTTGCTTGACTTAGGTGCAGCAGTCGCAGCTTCTGTACCATTGGTATCAGACGGCTTTTGTGGCGCTGAAGTTGTGTTATTCCACATGCCTACGATGCTCTTATTCAGGGTATTGGATTCCTACGACAGTTAGTCGCATTGCACACAAATGAGAAGTGGAAACCGTACCATAGCAGGCGGCTGTTGTTGCTCCTCCAACCCTTCAAAATCCCCGTCTACGGAGTCACCCTCATCCTCACCAAGTAAATCCGTTTTTATGACTTCCACAACCCGTTCGATACTGTCTTCTAGAATTCTCTTTGGCTTTCTGTTCAAGCTAGAATTCGACCTTTTAATGGTATCGTAAATGTTCGGTACCGAAAGGCGGACCTTATCGTTTTCTGTCTGATCATCAATGATTTTGCGCACGACCTGATAGACCTGTAGGCGGGCGCGCGAAAGAAATTAGCGATAAGGAATAGGCATTGAATGCATGCGATATGTGGTTCGTACCTCCCGATCTAGGCCTTGCCTGAGATTGGGTCTACCTCCACGACGCATGGCTTTTAATCCCAGCGAGCAATTCGCTCTGCAATAGGTGCCGGGAAAAAGTTATGCTTATAGCAATACAAACACTGATTGATAACGACGGGGGGTGGTATAAGTATAGATATATAGGTAGATAGATAGATACAGATATAGATATGTAAACATGTATAATTTAATTTTTTTTTTCTGCCTCCAAGTAGGTCTCGGGGAATAACAGATTTGCCGGGAGTGAGTTTTTATTTAGTTGATTGGGTAAATTATCTCGGTACTGTATTTATCGATTTCTTACCGTAGCTAATACTGCTACGGAGGTATCGGCCGCGTATTGATCGATATGGCCCACACGTCATTCCTATCACTGATTACTAGATTACTACTTGCTAGTATTTCCCCGGCCATGATAAAACTTATCAGTGGCCGCTCACTTATCGAGCGCAAGAGCGGCAGTAGACAATATGTGTTGACAATGGGCAACACGAACAGCTCCCATAAGGTTTCCGCTCAAGATAGGTGAGCAGAACCTTGTACCTCTCTTATCACTACCTACCTCTTCAAAGGTTTGGTCGTGTTAACTGCATGATGCCTTTATGACTCTTAACCATCCCCTCTTTCATCAGACTCCCCCTTTAGAAGCTACTCACACCTAAACTTTTAAATTCTTAGGGCCATTCTCGATCTGAAAATACAGCGAGATAAGCTCCGTCAGTATCGGAAGCGTATTACGGTTCTCACCGATCGCGAAACTGAGATTGCAAAGGAATGCCTTGCTCAAGATGATCGCAAGCGCGCTCTCCTCGCTTTGCGCCGTAAGAAATACCAAGAGTCACTTCTGATCAGATCCGAAAAGGAGCTTGATCAACTGGAACAACTGATCAACCAAGTCGAGTTCTCACTCGTCCAAAAGGATGTCCTGTTTGGTTTACAGCAGGGCACGCACGTACTACAAGCTATCAACAAAGAAATGGGGGGTATCGAAAGTATTGAGAAATTAATGGGCGAGTCGGAGGAAGCGCGAGCTTATCAGGAGGTAAGGATATCCGAACTGGTCAGGATGGCACGCATGCATGCTAATGAGGCGGCGGCGGGATAGGAGATCAGCCAGATGCTCTCCGGGAATTTATCAAACCAGGACGAAGATGAAGTCGAGGATGAGTTGGTTGCATTAGAGCGAGAAGCGCAGGGACTGCAGAACTTGCCAGCTGCTCCAAAGTCCAAGCTCCCAGGAAGGCCAAACCAGGAGGGACAGAGGACACAAGATCAAGAAGACAAACACCGGACAGCAGACAGGAACAAGGAACAATCCGCAATCCCGGCTTGAAAGATGATTTCATGCCACCATGCACCTTCTACAAACTGGAGACATGCGTTGAAGAGTTGGAAGCATTTCTGGCGTTGGTGGAACATTCGGATTCATGCAATTCACTACGTCTCTGGTTATCTTGCGTTGCCAATTATAGAGCTAAATTTGAGATGGAATAGCGCTTTGAGCCCGACTCTGATTACGAAAAGTTTCCGCGTCTCTTTCTTCACCGTGCTTTGTAGGGGCAGAACGTCTTTCGCTTAACATGTATATCACCATGTCTCTCGCTTAAAGTAGTATTTTCCCCGGACGAATCATACAAGGGTCATGTAACTCACTGGCCGGGCATAATCCTACCTCCCACGTCATTTACGCCTTGAATCACGACGTGGTCACTGGGGTTCGCTGCTGCTTCGTAGAGAAAGCTGACAGGCTCTCGGTTCAAAGCCATAAACTGACCCTTGAATCCAACATAACCAACCTTGGTCACATCCTCCTCCCCATCACTCCAGTTGTCTTCGAAGAATAGGGTGATGGAGGTGGTAGCGTTCCAATGAGCGCGATTCAATGGTAATTCGAACACGTCGGCACCCGGAACTGGCCGCGGTATCTCTACCAACTGTGTCGGTTTGAGCTCCGAAGCAGTGGCAAAGTCTAGATCGTCACGATTCTTGAACAGTTTCAAAGTTTTGGGGGCGGACGGTGTGGGTGCCGTGTGGATGAGTAAAGAGTGAACCTTAACTTGGCCAGTGAAACTATTAAACGATCAGATTTCTGAAAACATGACTTGCAAGATGGTAGCATTCGAAAGACGATCTTGGTGCGGGTTGGTTTGAGGTTGTCCTACAGTCGTTGATTGAAGAAGGTTATATAGCGGGGTAAAGCAAGTAGTAGAGTATTTATCACTTACGGGATATACATAAGGAGTTGCTCATCCGCATCGCTGTCGAGTTCTGGCTGGTCATTCAGCCTTTCGGACCATGTCTTCTGGACAATCGCTGCCCCGGAGTCGGGGGCCGCTTCTATAGGTAGCTTCGGTTCAGTACCAGACACAGTATTATATAGTGATACAATGAACATCTGTAAGCGTGTCCCTCTTACCATTTAGTGTAATGATTGAATCAAATTGAATTTGAGAGTAGAGGAGGGACTGAATGGCCGGGGTGATATCATTTGAATGATCATGACCATCCTCTCCATGGCAATGATTGTGGTGATGGTGACCAGACATGTCGAAATTCAGATTAATAAGAAAAGTAATTGGACCAGTTATTACGTTACCTATAGTGGTAGTAGTAGTAGTAGTAGTAGTAGTAGTAGTAGAAGGGTGAGAAGACAATTAATTATCGTTTGGAACATTTAAAGGTGAGGGAGGTGGGTGGATGTGGATCTTTTTTTGTTACGCTCCGATTGTCAAACATACATACGAACATTTATGGTAAATTTCATAAATTTCATTTGAATCGACTTTTAGAAAAGGGAGCGTTCTCTGTCTCGCCTTCTCTCTTTCTTAATTTTTTTTTCTTTTCTTCTAGAGAAAAAAAAGAAAATTTCTATGTAAGTTATGCCGAGTCCATTACATCTCTCCCTCTGACATTACAATATCCTCACACTAAGTTCGAGCACAGCAATGGAGCCTCTGCCTCTGCAAGCAGTGTTGTGTAGAAATTATAGAAATTATTGGCTTAACCTATAGTAGCTAGGGGCGTACTCAAGAAGATAGCCCTTCTCAATTTTCGTGATATCTCGGATAAATGTCTTTTCCCCTGTCTGCAATATTTCATGGAAAATGACCCAGTCTGCTTTTCGATTCTAGACCAGCGTCAGCATCAGCGATAAAGAACCAGAATGATTTAAGATCTAGTAATACATACGAACATCAATGAACTGGGATGAGCATGCAGAGTAAGGTCACCACTAACAGTCTTGAATGTGCCGTCAGGTTGCATCTTCGCAGCATGCGCAAAATAGCCAGTTGTGAGACACCTTTGAATTACCTCAGGTGGCCTGTTTGCTTCTGCTTCTTTACGATGCACTGAAGGAAGAGACTCATCTACCCGAATACCAAACCGTTCGAGGTATCGCTTCAGCTGGGTTCTTATGCTCACTGCCCGCTGCAACGACCGGTAATTCAGAAGGTTGTCCCGGCACCACTTGGGATCTTTCTTTCCTTTCGTGACAAAAGCCTGGTATACGTTTAGATACGTTAGATGGTCGCCTTCCTCAACAGCGAATCTTCGGCGAGTGCTCTCTGCCGACTTTTTGTCACCCTCATGCGCGATCCACACTGATCCCTGCAAGCTGACCATAGCGGCAATTGAAAGGATCTCACTTAGGCAGTGGAACGACTGCGCAGATAGAAGGACTTTCGCCATCATAGGATCAACCGCTAGTTCTGCCATTCGCATACCCAGAGGCTTGGTGAGCTTGGCATAATCATCAACGGCCCCAAGTGAGTACAGAAGTTCAAATGCACGTATGACAAGTTCTGCGGGAGGAGGCGTCAAGAAATCAAAGCGAACTATGTTATCTATACCTAATGCCTTGAGCTGCATCACCACAGGGGCAAGATTTGACCGCTGGATTTCCGGAACCGTGGCTTCTGGAAGTTGTTCATATGTCTGCTGAGTGTAGAGACGGAAGCATTTTCCAGGCTTTGTTCTTCCAGCTCGACCTGCGCGTTGAATCGCCGCAGCCTTCGATATTGGCACTGCTGTCAATGTTTCGATGTTAGTGGTAGGATTATAGGCCCTTAACTTCGCGAAGCCACAATCGACAACAAATACAATGCCGTTGATAGTAACAGAGGCTTCTGCAATATTCGTGGAAACGATGACTTTCCGCGTATTTTCAGGTGCTGGTTCGAAAACGTACATCTGTTGATCTGTTGTGAGACCAGAATATAGAGGTAGAGGGAATAATGCCTGCGCTTTGGGATGAAGCATAGCAGCACGTTCAGAGATCAGCTGCACCGTCGAATCAATCTCTTCACGGCCTGTCAAAAACACCAGAATGTCGCCTTCCGTTTCTTGTAGATGTATGTCAAAAACAGTCTTTACAGCCCGTTCAAGGTAGTCTTCCGTAGGCGATTCAAGGAAGAGCATATCCACAGGGTACATTCGACCCTCCAAACTGATGATCCTTCCAATATCTCCCCCCTTTTCAACCGAGTGCGTTTCATTCTGGAATTGATCTCCGGCGAAAAAGCGCAGGATATCTTCTGCTTGCAAAGTCGCACTACTAATGACGATTCTAAGCTCAGGTCGCCGCCTCATGATTTTCTTAAGGATTCCCAGGAGAATGTCAGTACTGAGAGACCTTTCATGCGCTTCATCCACCATGATTACTGAATACCGTGACAGCAGTGGATCTACAAGGGCCTCTCTAAGTAGCATTCCATCTGTTAGGAACTTTATCCTTGTTGACGCAGAGGTCACGTCCTCAAAGCGAATAGAATAGCCCACCTCTTCGCCAACCCTGCAACGCATTTCTTCAGCTACTCGGGCTGCGACCGTCGTGGCTGCGACGCGGCGCGGCTGCAAAGTCTTAGCTTTCTTCCTCTCTCTCTCTTTATATAAAGATAACAGTGAAATGAGAAAGAGTTGCAAGTACCTGGGTTACCGCGATTGATTTCCCATCTGCGCACCATCCTGCCTGATCTAGATATTGGGGTAACTGTGTTGTCTTCCCACTTCCCGTTTGCCCAACAACAATTGTAACGGGATATGTGTCAACAAGGTACAGCAAACTCTGCTTATGCCTTGTAATTGGCAGTAATGCAGCGGGTTTGTATAGTGATGGAATGAAGGTAGATGTGAGGTCCAGCTCAGAAGCCATTTTTGATAACTGGTAGTGGCATGAACCCGGAACGATACTGTCGCGACACAAAAGGTTTCAACTGGAAAGTATTTCGGCCTTTTCAGATGCATGCAATTGAGGCATAGTTACTGCACACAGATGCTTCCTTGAACACAATGCTTTGAGAAAGTAAGGCATATCTACTAATTAATGTCTCAAGCTTTATTCCTCCGCACCTGTAAAATGATTAGATAAGCGGAACTTTCATCACGTGGCTCAACGTCACTACTCATCGGAGTTAGCCAGGAGTGGCTGAGCTTTCAATAGCGATGACCTTCATTACTTTCTGCCTGTAAGGTTCAGTGGCATACTTTCTTTCGTACAGTACCTAAAGGCAACCTACCTGCCATTCCGGTCAGCCTATAGCTCACTGGTAAAGGAACTGGTCATTTACGCGATGGCCGAAGAAGACAGAGCTGTGGGTCCCAGATCTGTCACTCATGCATTCTCAACCACCTGTACTGACTCGATGCTAGAATACCAATAAGATTTCCCTGGGTCCATATAGTCCAAAACCAGAGTCTCCTACTACCGCACGCCCTCTGGACTTCGATGATGAACCTCAAGAGTCTGGTGTCATCTCCGTCTCCGCAGCCGCAACCCAGCAGAATGCGATAGATGTTGCCCCGCCAAAGCCGCCGCGTCCATTGAGCCCGCAACAACAGGCCGAAAACACTCTCAAAGAAGCTTTCCCTACCGTTGAATTGTCTGTAATCAAAGCAGTGTTGGTAGCGAGCAACTGCGATGTCGAACGTGCTTTCCATGCTCTTCTTGGTTCGTGAATATTCACAGCCCCCAGTGTTATTTTCTAGTATTAACATCCTATAGGCATGACTGATCCCAGCGCTGCAGAGCAAGATGTTCCGCCTTCGAAGCCACCTCGTCCATCTGCAGCACAGAGGCAGCTTGAAGCAGATGAACAGTATGCTCGTCAGCTTGCAGAGCACTACAATCGCCGTGCGCCCCAATCCCGCTGGGAGGGCGGGCCCCCATATGATCGGCCGAGGAGAGACAGCGAGCTGTCGGAGGACAGGGAATATAGTTTCTTCGAAGGTATAGCCTTCGTGATGTGGATCTATTTGCTTGGTTACTAATGGACATCTGTGTAGACGATCTTCCGGTAATCCGTGAAAACATCCGCAAAGGTTTTCTAGACACCCAGACAAAAGTCAACTCATGGGTCCAAAATTTAAAGAAGCGACTAGATGGCGAAGATCAAGAGGGGGCACCAACTAATCAGGCTTATCGCGATGAAAGTTATGCTCAAGCGAGGAGAAGCGGAGAACTAGGCCGTCGCAGTGGAGATCGCGAACGCTACGACGCAGACCCCCAGGTTCTAAGTGATGACTTTTCGGTCCTCGAAATGAAAGATACAGAAGGTATGCTCTGTCATTGTCCCCCTTGATTTGCGATAGTCGTTCACTGACATCTGGCATAGCCCCTCCACCACGACCACCAAGACCGCTTGCCAATCTCAACCTCTACAAGACCTCGTCAACTTCGCCAGATAGACGTAAGGTGTCTTTCCAAGAGGGCCCACCCACCGAAATCGGAAGCAATCTCTATGATGCATCTGAACCGCCTAAACACTCGCCTTCTACAGGAGGCAAACCGAGCAAATGGCAACCATTGTCTACCGTTGAGCCTTCTCCCGTTGGAGAGCACGATCCGTTTAGTCTAGGTGATAGTGAGGATGAAAAGGATATCAAACACAAGGATCAAAGTTCCACTGATGAGGGGGACCGCATCAAGATAGCTACAGCCCAGGCGATGGCTGGTGAGCGTGGTTCTGCATCAAAAGTAAATAAGGTAGATGGTGGAAAGTCTTGACGTTGTGTTAACAACATTATTCTTATGTCATTCCATATGCGGTCTTATTATGTGTTTTTATAGCTAAGCTACCATTTGCACCTGGAGTTTATAATGATACCAGAGTCTGCAACATCTGGAATTGAGCTGTCATTCAATTCAAATATGTCAGTGCGTTTGCGCACAGCGTGAGACTGTCCCAAATGGGTTCATTGTAGCTGTACTGTCAATATTCGGGGAGAGGGTATCGCTGACTTGGGGCTGTGCAAATAATATAAGAGACGAGAAAGATGAAAGGGCAAGACTAAGATTGCATCTTTGCATCTATCCACCGAAATCATGCTCATCCGCAACAGCCCGTGGAGCAGCTGTAGCTTCTTTCCTCAAGTCCTTTATAATTTTCTGGCCATTTACGTCAAAGATATTAGCATCCTATTGGTTAGATATGTTGCATTGAAACTCACGGCAAGTGCATCAGGATTGACCCCGTTCTCAATGAGGGAGACGCAAAGCGAAAGATCCGTTCTGTCCAAAGTTGTGTTCTACGTACTTAGTGCGTTAGATCATATGGAAAGAGGGGGATAAAAGAGACGGAAAAGCTTAATTGAGCATTACAAGAGATAATGCCACATGTAAAAAGAATGGAGCGCTTAACGTACAAGAAGGGTAGAGATCTCGTGAAGAATGTCAATGACTTCACGCGCTGCCTGGCGCTTGTCATCAGATTGCGAAGGCATTTTGAATTCAATTTGTAAAGAAAAGAAACACTACTAGTTTCAGATGGACTGGAAAGAATGTCAGATAGGTCCTTCCGTTTGAATGGTACTCAAGACTGTTTACCTAGTAGACTCGTGGTCACTTCGAATAGTCCAAGGTAACTTAAGTACCCAATGGAGGCTAGGAAACGTTAAGACTATTTTTCTAGCAGTACTCCCAGTATAATATACATAACTTACTTCCAACTTACAATTATTATGTAAAGCTAGGTAAGTAGGTACTACTAACATAACTAACTTAACTTAGATATCTGACTTACTAAGCATCCTATATGGATTAAGTAGAACTAGGTCAGTGCCTGTAAAGCTATTTTAAATATTATCTACTGTAAAAGTACTTTTGTGAGCTTCTGGAAAGATTCTCAGAAAATCAAGCTTGTTAATATAGCTAATTCCGAAGTATATTTTCTTCTTTACTAAGGTACTGTACGTATGTAAAGGTCTCTTGGTATGATGTGTGTATTCGTCAGAAGGAAGATCTGTAAGACCTAGTAAATACATGTGGAGTGGTAAAGCCTGGTCATGTGACAACGTGGGCTGACCATTAGGATGGGATGGGATGGGATGGGAATTTCCCATCCCATCCCATCCTATTCTTGGCATCCCATTTCCCATCCCATTTCCCATCTTGTTTTCCCTCTTGGCATCCCGTTTCCCATCCCATCCCGAAATCCCTGGGATTATCCCGTCCCAACGGTCAGCCTAACTGTACACGCCTTTTAGAGACTGAAAATAGCCTATATCTAGAGACTGGAGCTTATTAGAAGAGTGTACAGGCATATAGATAGGAATAATATTATTTTTACTACAGATTTAGTTAAATTAAGATATAAGATAGCTAGTAGTCACAGTAATAAAGAGATTTTTAAGCTAGTGAAGGTCTATCTTATTAGTGGTCTATTCATTAGAACTAACTTCAATCCTGCTTTTAGGTAGAAGCTCCAATTCTTGATACTAACTGTCACGGTGCCAGCCCGAACCGCTCGTTCTGCCTGACCCCACCGCTCTATCATGTGATCTTGACTGTTTATCTTCCTGCCTGATCGTGATCCTGTTGTAGCTTCTCAAGCTACGTCTTGTCTATCTGCCTGTACATAGCCTGACCAGTAGCCTGCCTGCGTATTAGCTCTGTTAGCCTGCCCGCCGGAAACCGCACCCTGACAGTAACTCTCTATATAGACCTTTTCTTTAAAGATAATGCATGGAGAAAGTGCCTAACCAGTAGAGTTAATATATTTGATTGAAGTAATCTATTCCTGATTGCCTGGCTGTACAAGTGCTTTCCAATAATAATCAGCTCTAGTAACTACTCGGGCAGTAGCTACTAGGCCCATAGCAAAGCCAGTTTCATCAAAATTATAGATATCTTCCTGTATGATCCTATATTACATTATAGTGATTTATACGCAATCAAACTATTCTTTAATAACTTTAAAATCTTTATATTTAACGCGTCGGTAATTATATTATTGAGAATAGCAGGATTTCACTTTATTACAGCATCTAATAAAGTTGATAATCTAGTTTACTCTAACTGATTAAATAGATATAGAACCGCGATCAGCAAGAAGAATATTAGCCATTTCTTATATGTCTAATGGCCTAGAAGGCGCTCCACATCAATCTAGCGATAGAATCCATTGTATAAGTAATCTCTCTTTATTTTGAGTTAATTTATAGTTGTTGGCGCGTGTTTCATTGTGATATTTACTACCATGAAGTCGGTCGCGTAAAGTTGAACGCGGTACATAGACCCGCGCAGCTTTAGCAATTTGGGTAATTTGCTTGCTTTCTATAGCGGAAATCGCTAATAGAATCTTGCCCTCTTGCTCAGCTTGATTTCTTAAATTTTGACGCGATTTTGGAGGCATGGTGGATGGTTGAATTGAGCGAGGTTTTCGACCGCGGTCAAAACGCGTTGAGGTGGCGGCTCGTTTGTGGTGGCGGGTCACTAGTGAAATACGTTAAATCGACCCAGGTCCCACATAGGTAAGTGGTGGAGAACGTTATGACTGGTGGTACATACCTGTAGAACTATTCCTGAGAATCTCCCTTTTACCTAGAGTACTCTGTACGAATAACCTGTACCTGTACGTATTGTACCTGTAGTACAGTATCTTAGTATTCAGGAGATTTAGATTAGTAAAACTGAAAGCTTCAGCCCCTTAAGATTTGATGTCCTATGGCGTTACAGACACGCGCCGCATCAACACACCTCAGGATATCACCAACGGCCTTGAATGTAACCGAAGGGATTGTCGGGAATGCGGGACATGGAAGTAAACATATCAGGCATTCATTCCCTTGGTAGGGGCCAAGCATTCGAGATTCTCGCCCAAATTACACGCACGCATCGAAAAAAGATACTTCCCGCTAAAGAGGCTTTCAGCTTCAGTGAGGACCTCTGGAGGAAGAAGCGTAATGCCAGATTTCTGTATGCAATAAAGTACGACATCAGATATACGCTCCTCTTAAGTCGCGTATGCTGTCTACGTTCGACACAAAGGCGTGGCATTGCTACATAAATTCTACATCGCAGAATCTTATCGCCGACAAGGTGTCGGGACGAGACTAATGAGTTATATCCGACAACGTTTGCAAAATAAGTATGTTCAATTATGGGTGGACAAGGCTAGAACTAGCCCGATGTCTATATTCCCAGCATGGGTTCGAAGAATGTGAGGAAATCGCCGATTACTACGCGACGGGGCGTCCGGGGATCCAAATGATACTCGATCTCAATCCTTGATGTGTATTTTTATTCTTAGCCCCTTCTAGAGGAGCTATTCCTTACAAAGGGCACATTCTCGCTCTATCTCTCTCCTTTAGGAAGAAAGGGCACGCGGAACACGTATGGTTATCAACATTCTTTCCCTGCCAACCCCTCAAGATCTGAAGGAGTTAAGAGCCCTACCGAACGTCGGGTCCTTGGTTCTCTATGGCTCCTGCAAGTCATCCCTTGCATGACAGTGCATTTCACAAGGTGTGCTTTATCGCGCGACATCTACTACCGTATGCTTCGCCAAATGTTTTTCATATTTTAGTGACGTCAAACATATCCAGGTATGGCTCGGCTGAAGGGGCCTCACGAACCGCGCCTCTCCTGTGCTTTGTCTAGCCCTTGGGCGCGATTGCCCTGGAGGATGGTGGTCTCTATTCGAAGGATAGCCAGGCCAATTGTTCCATGTCAATTTCAATTTCTTCGCACAACTCAGTCTCTGTCTCTTCAGCTATTTCTCGCGTCAATCAAATGGTCACCGGGTGATCTCCCAGATGAATAAGACGATAATTTGCTGTATTTTTGATCAGGTATCTGCCAGGACTGTTCTGTCTACCTCGAAAATATGGCGCTCATTTGGTTGATCCTCCTCGGTTTTATGTGGGTTATTGATGCAAAGCTGGCTTCGAACTACCCAGTGAACTCACAACTGCCTCCTGTGGCTCGGGTGTCACAGCCCTTCGAGTTTGTTTTCTCTCCTGGTACATTCGGCGGCAGTGACTCGTCAACGTCTTATTCGCTCTCAAACGCCCCGTTATGGCTTCGAGTGGAAAGTAAGAATCGCACTTTATTCGGCACACCCCAGAAGGAGGATGAGGGAACTGCGAAATTTGATCTTTTGGCATCGGGCGAATCAGGATCAGCAAGAATGGAGGTGACTCTAATTGTAACGGAGGATGATGGGCCAAGACCTGGGAAGCCGGTACTTCCCCAGCTCGAAGCGATTGCTGCGACATCCGCTCCTTTGACAATCTTGATTCACTCTGGGGACGCCTTTGATATAGCCTTCGACCAAGACACTTTCACCAATACCCGCCCATCCACAGTATACTATGGGACATCCCCTGGGAATGCCCCGCTACCTTCCTGGGTGGGATTTGACCAGTCGAACCTTCGTTTTTCTGGTGTTGCACCTAATATTGGACCTCAGACGTTTACTTTCAGTCTTGTTGCCTCAGACGTGGCTGGCTTCAGCGCAGCCGCTATGAATTTCGATATGACAGTCAGCCCGCATATCCTGTCATTCAACCAGAGTGTGCAGACATTCTTCATCAGTCGAGGAGAGCAGTTTACTAGTCCTCGGTTTAGAGAGATCCTGACTTTAGATGGGCGAGAACCATCAAATGCCGATTTAAGCGGTATCCAGATTGACTCGCCTTCCTGGCTTGAGTTTGATAATAGGACGATCTCATTTATTGGCACCCCACCAGTTGATGCGGCGGATTCAAATATCACCATCTCCGTAACAGACAAGTATCAAGATGTAGCAAGGCTTATCATCAGCCTACAGTACTCACAATTCTTTCATGGCATACAGGGATGTGAAGCGATTATCGGCCACTATTTTTACTTTGTTTTCGATGGTGCGGTCCTGACCAATGACTCCGTTCACCTTGAAGTCGACCTAGGAAACCAACTTTCTTGGCTGCACTACAACTCCGACAATAAGACGCTCTACGGCCATGTCCCATCTACTGTTAGCCCAAGGAACTATACACTCAAGCTTACTGCTCATGAGGGGACCGCGGAAGATACCAGACAGTTTACACTCAACATTTTAGAGGAAGGAGGTTCTTCAAGTCAGGACACAGACAATTCAGCGGGCTCCGCTGGGGGTATTCATGGAAAAAAAGCTGGAATAATTGCCATTTCAGTTGTGATCCCTTTTGCTTTTTTAACAAGCCTTTTGCTTATCTTCTGCTGCTGGCGCCGTAAACGCAGGACATCAACTCATGAAGAAGGGCAATTACCAAAGGAGAAAGTACCACACCCAGATGTCTCCGAGCTACCACACTGTCAGCCTTCCGAAGAAGCTACAGGGGATAATCTCCCCGAAATGGTCAGAAGTCCTCCGGAACCATCATCGAAACCGCCGAGATTAGAACTGGCGCCTTTCTGGGACACGAGCCCCTTGGACGAGCATGGACAGAGAGGACACTCCGAAGGTAGAAAAAATACGTTCTCTACTTCGACCATCGAGTGGGATTTGGGTCCGTTTAAAAAGCCTGGTTCAGAACAGGACAAAAAAATCGACGATGTATCCGTTCCACCCAAACGGCTGTCGTTCCAAAGCAGTCCACCCATGCGCAGACGAACAACGACTAATTCACGAAAGAGAGAACCTCTCAGGCCCATCCAGCCAAGGAGATCGCTAAAACGAAGCTCGGTCCAGTCGTCCAAATCAAAGAGGTATTCGAAGCGTTCCAGTGGAATATCATCTGTTGCATCCGGGCTCCCCGTAAGGCTTAGCGGTGCGGGACATGGTGCCGGCGGCTTTGGGCCCCCCGGGCATGGAGTAGTTCGAGTGTCGTGGCAAAATACGCATGCATCTCTGCAAAGTGACGAGAGCGGAGTTGGGAATCTAGCACCCTTGTTTCCTCGGCCCCCACCTCGAACAAGAGGTAGTCTAGAATTCCCAAACCGGATGAGCTTACGGACAGTGGAACCTGATTCACTGACAATTTCGGAGACCGATTCTTTGGAGGCCTTTGTTCACACTAGGGCGAAGAATAGAAACTCTTCCAATCCCATGTTCTCTGGGCAGTTCAGCCGCAGAACATCTTCTGGTCTCCGGGCTTTGGAGAGAGCTCGAAGCACAGCAAGCCGAACCGATACTATAAATAGCTCCAACTATTATGACGACTACAGACGATCTATACATGAACGTCCATGGTCTACGGCAATGTCTGCGTCTATTTATACGGATGACAACCGCCTGTCTACATACCTCGAATCGCTGTCAGAAGAATCTTTGAACGTACGACCAGTAGCTCCAATGGCTGGAGACCTGAGCCAATCTAGTCTGGCGCGGAACTATTCGGCGGCGATAGCACCGCTTCCCCGGTTCTTCAGCGAATTAAGCCTTAGTAGTGCACGGCGGGCTGAGTCGCGTGAGTTGAACGACAGCGCAGGTGGTTCACAGCACATGGGCGAGCGGCAACCCGAATTAAGTCAGCGTGTTAGGTCCAACACCAGTCCGTTTTCGCAGGCCGAAGTTTCTGGTACTGGTCCACACCCTCTGCGCAAAAGCCCGTCGACCTCGTCCATCCCATTCGATAGCAAGGTACGTCGGATAAGCCTGATCCGACTAGCAGATCCGGAAGCAAGGGAACAGCGGGGCCTGCAATAAGATGTAACTGGGAGTGTATGAAGTGATAAAGTTTTTGTGAGCAGTACTCTTGTACTATACATATTGCTGTCTTTCCTTTCGTGCTGTCTCATGATATCCTCGTTCTTGCTTTGCGGCTTGTGTACTTTTTCTGATTTGTATACATCTTACGCTAAAATCCAGAGGCCGGCCGAACAACATAATACTACAAATTATTTATAATAACAAAAACATCGTAATTAAATCAGGAATATGTGTTTGTCACGTGGCGGACACCCTTATCATCCCAAAGCAGGCTAGCGGGCGTCGAGCGGAGCGGCGCCCGCAAGCTCCCCATTCATTCCGTTGAGCGGAGAGACACCGACTGAGATTATTGAGAGCCGCGCATTCTAAGTTATTCAGTTATTCTATGACCCGTTCATTGGGCTACTGCTGAACGACTGTTACTTCATGGGATAAACCACTTGGTCATTTCCGTCACTCTTCCCCTTCCTCTTCACTTTCTGCACGGCGCTCCAATTACTCCGATTCAACCATAACCATGGCGGCGCAGGCGGCTCTCATCGCTGATACGATTGTTGGTATGAAAAGGGCGTTACGTAAAGAGAACGATTGTAAACTTTCCGATTTCTCCTTCACTTCGTCTTCCAAACGCGCTTTTCTAACTCAGTCATATGAATATAGTCTCAGGGCCTGATGATCCAATCGCTCAGCCAACTAATCGAGGCAACAAACTACGGGCAAACGCAAAACATGTGCGTGAGGGCGCGCTAGGGTATATCCAGCCGGGTAATCTTTACAAGCAGGTAGGCTCTATTCCGCGCGCAACGAAGGTCCCTAGGCTCACTTTTCCGTCTTGGGGGCGTTGGCCCAGCGGCTAACTCTCATTGCTGGTAGAAAATTGAACATGCTGGGTACACACGTTATATAATCCAGTCTAATCCCGTGCGCTATGACTCGGAGGGGGATGAGCTTGATGAGGATGATGAAGACTCCGAGGCAGATGCGGCTGCCGCGGATGAAAATCCGTTTTCTGAAATTGCTCTGGAAAGTGAGTCTTCTAATTTGCATGAAAATGTCGACCGATTGCTTTCTTCAGCGACTAATATAGAAACCCTTACTTCTAGATTCTCTATGCCCTTTAAAACATCCATCGGAATTACCTACTCACCCTTCCTTATCCCATGCCTATACCTCCCCCGCTCTTTTGAGTATGACCAAGGCAATTGAGGGCAAGCTACGCCAGGAGCGAGCTCTTCTGTGGCGCGCGCGGAATCTCCACAGGCTGTTCCTTGGTGACAGCTCTTGGATGCCATGTGGAACAGTAGAGACCCCCGAAGACAGATTGATTTTCGAGCCCCGGCTTTTTGCCACGGGCCACAGATTCCTAACTGGACAAAACGGCGTTGTCCGCCCCTCAACTGCAACAGAAATTAATGGTCAAAATCATACGATCCAGGAAGTCGGTCTGGTTGCTGATATATCGAAAGAAGTCCAGTCATTTGTAAATGAGGATGTTCCGGGTTATTTCGAGAGAGACGTTGAAAGGACCGGTATTCAAAACCAAGGGATAGAGAGTAGGGGTCATGCAAATGATGAAGAACAGACAGAAGAACAGACAAGAGAACCAAAATCAGAAGAAGTCGAGACACCCGTTGGAAACCTTCCACAGCATCCAGACACGACTGGAACACGAGCCAATGGCAACAACACAACAAATTCACACTTGGAACACAATCAAATGCCCGACTCGGACGGGCTCCGCAGAGGTAAGAAAGAGGATGTGAACGAGCAGACTATCGCGTGTAGCGGGAATACCGATAAGAACTGTGAGGGCTGCAACGATGCCCTGGGAGACGAAATGGATAGAGATGAAGGGATACAGGAGGGGTTCTCTCCTGAGCCACCCCGTCGGATGACGACTCGAGCTCAGGCCAATGCAGCGAACCCACAGGAGGACGAAGCAGGCAACCTCTCATCACCCCCTTCCTCTGACACCCTCAGCTCACTTCCTTTGCCACACCCTCTCTACCTCGTTCCTGACTCTATCCGTCCAGACCCCAATCTTGGTTTATCGCCCATAGAAGCTGAAGATACACGACGACTTCTGTGGTCATATGTGCAGAAACAGGAGGAGACTGTCCGGGGATTTGAGCACATGTTGGAATGCCTGCTCCGAGCTTGCCGTATGAAGGATGATGTGCTCGAATCATGCAAAGCAGAAGGACATGTGGGTGAGATGAGCGATGGAGAAGACTGGTATGATCGTGAAAAATGGGGACTTGCGGAAGGGGAGGACCTTAAAAAAGGTGCGGACGAGGATGAGATTGAGATGGTCGAGGAAAGCCGCGCATCGAATAAAAGGGGCAGGGGCAGGAGAGCATAAATTGGGAGAAATTTATTGTTTTTACGGCGCCTAGCCATCAACGACGCCCACACGGATCTGTATCCCGGAGTTTGCTGAGTATTCAAGATTTAAGCTGAGAGAAAGCTTTTTGGCAGTCAGCAGCTACTGCACGATCCCCTGGATTTGGATGAGATACGAAACATCAATTTCGTTTTTCTTTTTTTTTCATTATTTGTTTGATAGTTATCCCAGGAGTTCAAGGCGTCGCGAATGATATCCGTGCTTCATCTTATCGAGAATAGGTATAAAAAAGTAAATAGAAATGTACGATTTTTCTAGTCTAGGGATGTGTTCCACATTTGGTCTCATAACCTATCATTGATGTATTGCATCTTCCCAGGTTTCTCTTGATTGTTGAATTCCACTCTTTCATTTTGGTCACGTAGCTCAGTTAGCAGCGTCCATGCTCTCCTGGCCGACACGGATTGGTGGAGGTTGAAAGTCCAAAGACTCAATCATGTGGGCCTTAACGTCGAAGAGAAAGGTTCTAAGTTGTAGCTTGAACTGGACGTGATGACATGGTAAATTATTGGCTCTTGCCGCCTTGCTTGGTCTTTGCACGTTCACGCTCGCGCTTTGCATAGATCTCAGCGGTGAAAGGACTACAGAGTCGTGAGTCAGTTGACACGGCATGCATGCTCGGTAGAGATTTCAAAGGTATGTTGGCATGTTGCATCGGGGCAAATTTCGAAGGAAACCATATCAGACTTACTCTTCCCACTGAAGAGCAACCCAGTACAGAATGAAAACCTCGGCGGTCAGGAGGATTCCGGCGACCTTGCCCTTGTACAGGGCTACACCCAGAAAGTTCAGGGTACTGCCCCAATACATGGGGGAGCCAGTGACATTAAAAGGAAAGCCAGTAACCGGGGCGTCCATGAGAATACCGAAGTAGTCACCGAGGTAGGTTCCGGTGACGCCTAGGGCAAACATGCTGGAAAGAACGAGAACAGAACCGACAGCGAACAGGGCGCCTCCTAAAACCGGTTGGTGCACAGGGGCATAAAAGGGTTGGTCTTCCAGGGCCAACTGATACACATGGTCGCGCGCGATTCCCAGGGTGAAGATAGTGATTGCGAGGAAGTAACAGCCGTAATATGGATTACCGAATATACGAGTCAGGTAGTGTTTCCGATACTCTACAATATGAGGTAAAAATGGGTTAAATCCCATAAGCCTTTTATACTGAATAAAAGAGAAAGATCCGGCCATGGGTTTGGGATTTTAGCATTGGAAAGGGGGGAAGAGCTTTGACCAACCGGCACGGGCAACAATACTAATCGAAGAGAGCTAAGATTAGCAGTTGGTCGGTTAAGCAAGCAAGAAGAGCACCTACTTCCAGAAGATCGGGTTGAAAGCGATGGAGAGCGCCGCCCCTGTGGAATCAGCGGAGTTGAGAAATCACGTAGTAGTAGTATTTGTAAGCCGCTGGAGTCCGAAACATACATTGAAGGGACGATTGAGAGAGATCGAGAAAATCCGAAAGAGAAGCCATATCGGGAAAGGGTTTTCGATTCCAAGTGAACAGACGGAGGGATTGATGAAAGTGGGAGGAAGATGGAGATGTTGTTTGAGGAAAGTGGAGCAAGTAAGAGAGTGAGAGAAAGTGCAAACAAAACAAACCAAACTGTGATGATGTCTTCGTCTCTGTGGTGTGGTCACGGGATCAATTAGTTATATTACTGTATGTACGAAGTACTACGGAGTATGTACATACATCCAAAGATAGTGTCAGAAGTTCTCCAAACTCCTGAAGTTAAGTAAGTTAGCATACTACTGTGTAGCCTCGGTAACCTAAACACAGATAGAAAAGTCATGTATCTTCTCGCTTTCTCCTGTAAGTACAGTACGGAGTATGCTACAGTACGCACCGTCCTTACCATTATAGGAAACCTCGGAGTAACTTCAATACTTGTTGATCCTCTTCACCGCCCACCAACGCCAACCACCCACTTCTTCCCGCCGATCATTATCATTTCAATAGTTAGTATACCTATACTCATAGAAGTCTACCTCCTCCCAAGAACTCTATTACATGTCTACAACTGGTCTCTACTTTTCTTGACCGTCATGAGACGATCCCCATCTATGGTGCGCGTGCTCCGGGGAGAATGGCCCTGAAGCGTCATGACATCGTCCTCCTGGGCACTGGTGCATTCGTTGCTTGGGGTTTAGCTGTTCGCTGCTTGCCAGTGCTGCGATATCTTGGGTATGCTGTCACACTAGGCGCTCTACTTTCATCGCTCGCTTTCTTTGGCATTGTGCTCTTCACGATACGAAAACCTCATGGCGCACACGTCAGCCGTCCCCAATGCTTGCCTGTCACTTTCCTTACTCCCTACCATTGGCAAAACGAAACTCAGGATTTAGAGAGGCGCTCCATTTACAAACCTATCTCTCTCTACCCACACTCCTTTGTGGTGTCGGAAGGGTTGGACGAGCTTCTGTCGTTGTTAACGCGAGATTTTATAGCGTCATGGTACCGAAGTATCAGCCCGAACCCAATGTTTGTGAATGAGGTAGACCGAGTAATTCGAACAGCCGTCGGAAACCTACGCGATAGGTTACTCGCAGAGGACCTTATATCTTTCATAGTCTCCCGCATATTTCCCATTCTCACCACACATCTTAAGGAGTTCGACGTCGCAGAGCGATCAGTGCGGGGACGAAATTTGACACGAAATGTCACCGAATCCGATGAACTGGATATTGCAATTGCAAGCAAATATCGCGATGGCCACATACACCCGGCTGCAGCACTGTCACTTTCGGATCAAAAGGCAGTTGAGCAGGAATACCTTCGCAAAGTTGCAGTTGGATTACTACCTCGGCTGTTTCCTGAAAACGTTTTAAGCAGTCGAATAGTTTCCGTTTTGGTCAGGGAAATACTATCATGCGCTATACTATTCCCTATCGTATCTACTCTGTCAGACCCTGATACCTGGAACCAGTTGACGGAAGCTTATGGACGTACGGCTCTCCAGGATCGGAAAACGGTGCGCAAGCTCCGAGCGGCATTAGACGAGCATGCATCGCCGGTGCCCAAGTCAAAACATGGGAGTCCATTCCCCCGGCTCTCGCCGCATGATTCAGAGAGGGCTTTTGAGCGTTTTGTTAGAGCCATCCGGCGTTGTAGCAACCTTTCGGACGCTAGACGGTTTAGAGCTCTGGTTACAAGCCAGCTGAAACGGGAAACTATGGTAGAAGGGCAAGATCCTGTCTATCTTCGGCGGTTGGAGACAGGGAAGAGGGTTCTTGATCAAAAGGTGGCTAAGCTCTCAGCTCCGGCAAGTAGCTGCACATCGCACGCCACCGCAGCTGCGACGCACTTCCGCCGACAGATTTCCTCACCAGCCCAGGAAGCATCATTAGTGGACGTGATGCATGATGCTGCTGGTCTTTCATATTTCATGGAATTCATGGATCGTCAACAGCTTATGTTTCTCGTACAGTTCTGGATTGTGGTTGATGGCTTTCGCAACCCACTCGAGGATGACTTTGGGGACGAGACCTCCCCAAGTTCCACAACCTGGACGGAAACAGATAGGAATGATATGGCCTTGATCAGCGAGACGTATCTCTCAAAACCCGAACTTAAAGTAACGGGCGAGCTGCGTCGAGCGGTGAAAACTTTCTTGAGCGCCGGAAAGCGAGCTACTCCGGAACAGTACCGCGAAGCTCGGACAGTAATCTTAACTACTCAATCTGCGGTATTGGAGGACCTCCAAAATGTATACTACCCTAAGTTCAAACAGTCTGATTTATATTACAAATATCTAGCGTCAGATGAGACATCCCAGTTTGAATCCCGTACGGCGGCTGTGCCCCACGAGGATGTCTCCCCCACCATGAAGGTATCTGAAAGACGCCCACTGCCTCCATTGATGGGCCGCACAGCCTCCCATCCAGGTCCTAAATCAAAGGACCTGCGAAGGGCCGCTATTTCCTCAAGTGATGTACGCTCTATGGGGAAAGTATTAAACGATGACGAGTCACCGAGACGTTCTCTGGATTCCGAGAGGTCAGCCCCGTTATTCGATGACGACTATGATACAGACCCTCTTGCTATGTCCACACAAAGCCTTGGCCGAGAGTCGCAGAATGGCGAGAATGAGGCGAATCGGAATCAAGTGATTGAAACGATGGAGGCTGCGTTGAACGATATCATTACCAACGAGCCGAAAAACAACAGACTAGATGAACTCAAGAGTAATGATTCGCCATCCAGGTTGTCCAGCAATGAACGATATCCACAATCACCGCGTAGCTCTGCGGAATCCACGCGAGCGGACGACAAGGTCAAGCCGAACATCGCTTCTCTAGGGTTGGTGGACCAGTCTTCCCGACTCGGTGTCTTTGCCGATGATCTCTTTCCTGACCCACATAAATTCATTGAGGACGAATACGAAGAACATGCCGATATAGATGACAAAGATCCAGCAGATGAAGTCCATGAAGCCGCTCCTGGAGATCTTGGCTTGACGGAAGCAATTGAAGCACTCACGGCAGAGATAGAGAAACTTGGATCTCAGGAGTCAGTGGTGGATGCCTTAACGCGAAAAGCTGAGCTCACAAACAATACTGCCGAGTTGAGGATTCTGCGGAAGTCAAAAGCTAGCATTCAGCGCGAAATCCGTCGCAAGGAGATGCAACGGCAACAATACATGATCCAAGAAAGCGACAACAGCTTGTATGGACGGTCAACTGTTCGAATTAAGTCCATTGTTGTAGGTAAAGAAGAGGATGGCCGAGAATTTGCAATGTGTATGTGGAATATCCTCTCATTTCAGTCTCGCTCAGACGACGTTGGTTGGCTAATGTTTGTTCTAGATGTGGTCGAAGTGCAAAGGAATGCCGGAGAGCAAATGCCAGCGGCATCCTGGGTTGTTGCTCGCAGATATAGCGAATTTCACGAACTTCACCATAAGCTACGCATGCGGTATCCATCGGTGCGGCACTTGGAGTTCCCGCGACGGCGTATGGTCATGAAGCTGCAAAGAGAGTTTTTGCAAAAGCGGCGCTTAGCGCTGGAGGCGTATTTACAGAAATTGCTGCTCCTACCAGAAGTCTGCCGCAGCCGTGACCTACGAGCATTCCTCTCCCAGCGAGCCATCATTCCACCCGACGAATCCCCTCGTGATGGAGAGACTAAAGATCTGGTGACCCGGATCTATAATTCGGTTGCTGACGGTATGGATGACTTCCTAGGTAACTTTGGTGTACTCGATCAGCTCTCGACGGCCGGACAGAATCTCATCTCAGCGGCGACCAGCCAGCAAGGTAGCACTGCGCCTGACTCAGGGCTAGTGACTGAGGGTGCGGTGACTACAGCTGAAGCCGAGGCGGAATTGAATGCATTTGAGGACCGAGAGCTGGAACCATTTATCAAGCCGATCTGCGATCTGTTCCTAGAAACGTTCGAATTAAACAAAGGCAATAACTGGCTTCGGGGCCGTGCAGTTGTCGTTGTTCTCCATCAGTTGCTAGGCGGAACCATCGAACGTAAGGTCCGCGACGGTGCACGATCATTAGCCCAGGACGAGTCATTACTTCGGTACATTAGCGTAGCCAAGGAGACTCTGTGGCCAGGTGGCAGCCTACGTGAAAGTAAGATCAGAACAGCTTCAGAGCGGCTGAAGAGTCGCAGGGAAGCCAGTCTAGTACTAGCCACCTTGATCCCGGATATGGCGGGCAATGTCGTTGGGCGGGCTAATGCGCAAGGAGCAGCGCGGAGGATATTTGCAACGTTGAACAACCGGCGGCTTAACACACACTTAATGTATACTATCTTGGATGAAATTATTCTGGTATTGTTTGGTGGTGGGGAAACGGGGCGGATACGATAGAAGCATCTGTGCCTGATTCCTGGATAGATATGGGGTAGACTCTCTTTCTCCCCCCCTTATTGTGGCTGGGGTCGTAGCTGTTCTCTTCGTACCACCCCCAACCTTTCTTTCCTCTTCCTTACCCTTACGTTCAATCTTATGTTAAAAGGGTGTGGGGCAGATTATTACCTCATTGCCTTCTAAGAATAGAAGTCTCACACTGGGGTGTATATAGTAAATAGTATAATGATGATAAAGATGACAAAGAAGACGTGTGTCCTCACCATTCCATCTTAGAGCTTCTCTTCGTCTCGTATATTGAATCGCTTGACTAATCGTTGAGTAGAGGATAAAAGACATGCCAATTCCGACCATATGGCGAAAACAAGTAGAATCCCTATGAAGAGCGAGCGGCCAGTAAGACCCTTAACATGTAAATAGTGTAAATTACCATTGGCATCTGACGGTAAGGACTGAAAGGAGAGTCAATAAGATAGAAGAACATTTAAAAGAGAAAGCTACATAAAGTAACCACCCTCTAAATCAAGCTTTAACATTCCAAACAACTTTGCAGGGTAATGCTAAGAGGCAAGACGAGGAAAATAATTAAGTCGGTGAATACGTCCCGAGAGAGAGAGAAGGGTGTGTAACTATTTGCATTTGACATTACAGCAAATGCTCCGATTAGGTCTATGCCTCTTCCTTCTTCTTCTTAGACTTCTTATTGGAGGGCTGTTGGGGCGGGCCTTGCTTAGATTGATGAACGATTAGGCGTGTCCAGCACTCTTCTTTGTCCCACTCAAAACCAGCGAGGTAGGGCTCGGTCAGCACATCATCAGACTACATATTCGTCAACCCCTTACATTTTATGTAGAACGAAGGGTGTCCCGTCGAAGCCGTGAAGGATCCAACTAAGGCTGAAGATTTGACATACCTTCTTCTTGTACTGCTTGTAGATTGCTTCCAGCGCATCCTTGACTGTGACTCCCTTGAGATTACGAGCAGTCACCTCCAACCCCAACGGGAACCGCAAATCAATCTTCTTCACCGGAGGGTTTACGAGATAGAGTTTGAGGATATCTTTGTCCTCTATCGTGGATGGTGAGGTGTTGAGCTTCCTAGGGAAAGACTTAGCGGGGGACTTGCGGTGGATGGGCCTCGTACTTACCACCCTGTCTTTTGTGTCTCGATAGGAAGTGTCAGCTCGATCTTCTTCTCCTCTAGTGAGAACAGGACTGTTAGTATGATACACGGAGGGGAAGTGGTTTCCCTATGCTACAAAAGGGGAGATCTTACCCAGGTCTTTGATGTTCCAGACACCTTCCGACTGAGAGGAGTGGCGCTTGTGAGTCTTCTTCTCCGCCTTGTCGGGAGATATTGACAAGCCAGCAATGGCAGAGTCGACTTTTGTGAGTGGGACCGACATAGCTTTGAGGTCAAGGGTATAGGAAAGGGTAAGGATGGTAATCACTGATGACAGAGAGGGTGGTCCGGATTAGTATTGTACGTCACGATCGTGTTGATATTAACAAGCCTTAGTATTGGTGTAAGGATAAAGGGTGAAGGTGGGGGTACACAGAGTGGTTGGGACTGCAGGAACCAAGAGAACTTACCCGTATGTTAGATTGATGACAGAGTATGGTTGAGATCCGGATAGGATTAAGAGAAAGGAAGAGAAGACGAGAGGGGGACGAGGAGGAGAAAAGGAGAAGAAGGAAGAGGAGAGGGGGAATTGGGAATGCCAGAAGGAGGGAGGGCAGGTGACCTGACTGGCTCGTCCAAAGTACATCAATCCATTCATTGTACGATACTATACCTGACGACTGGGATTCCCATGATACATTAGTACGTCGTACGAGGCGGGGTCAATGGAACCTACGTCTCCATTTCGATCCTCTTCCCTCCGCTGAGATTGGAGGAACCATGAGAATGAGGTATGCACATCCCTTCCTGGTACATACTTACACACATACATATATACATACTAGACAGAATGGAGTAGAAATTCGCTAAGGAATATTCCAAAGGAAAGACCGAGAGAGTTATGTAGAAAAGGTTGATTAACTTGACCATAGTAATATACTCAATGGAGATTGATCTAATTATACATTTGAAAATTCGACGAGTACTATTTCTAGGTCTCTACGTAGTATTTCCTGTCTGTTTTACTCCCGCATTAGATTGATTACCCGGGAGTACCGGATCACACGACTAGAAGAGTTGACGTCGAGAGAGCTCTGGAAGTGGTCCACTAAGGCTGCACCCCGCATTTCCGCCCGCTCCACTGGCCCCATCACCTTATACGGAGTTAGGGGAGAATCATATTGTTCGATGAGACGATCAATCATAATCATTGACGACATCATTTTTTACAGTCCTTGGTTGAGCAAACCTAAATGAGGAGTTACATATTGATTAATCATTGATTCATGATTTTTGTTTCCCTTAAAGGAAAAGGAAAAAAGCAAAAACCAGAAACAAAATCCCTCCTTGTATAAGTAACATTTACTACTACCTTAGTTACCTTACCGTTGAGGTAAGTAAACCCCCAAAACCAAAAACTGTTAGACCTCACGTGTGGCTGGATATTCTCGCATCACCAATGCCGTACCACTTAAGGCCTAGATGTTTTCCTACAAAGTACAAACAATAGACGTTGGTCCTTATTTGCAACAACGCCCCGCACGTGAGACTACAGGGGGAGACATGTCATATACTCTCGTAGTTTCTCCACCACTGTTATTCTAGGTAAATGATGCATCTATTTCACCTTGTCGAGACCATGTCACCAGAGAAGGCCATTATACTGCCATCCATTGATATCCTTGATCGGAAGAAATGAGACTGTGTGGTCAGATCACTGCAGTGGGGTGATATACCCCCACGTAGGTAAGGTGGTAATTTTACAATGATCATATGGTTGGCGGCAGGGGTTACACTATAGTACTTAGTATCTTATACTTGGTACCTAGTATAGTATGGACTACTAGTAGTAATAAGAAAATCAACCCTCAAAGCGAGAAACAGTGAAGCGGGGGGTGGGTGAGTCCTGGTCGAGACACAGAAACGTATGGATATATTATATCCTTCCATGCATCCCTTGATCATGCGTACTTGTTCGGGGTACTGCAGGTCCAATATTGGTGAGGGTACAGGTGTTGGCTCACGATCCTAAATTTGGGTACGGGTACAAGATTCCAGGTGCCTGTTTACTTACCATCACTTAATCTACCCAAGGTTGATTCTTGTTGCATTAGACGAAACCCCTCCCACCCCAAGCGCGCGCCCCCCAAAATAAAATAAACCAAAAAGGTATACTTTCATTTAGATGTAGCATTTCAAGAAAGTGTTACCAATAGTAACTATGCTCTTTCGGCTAACAGTCCTTCTATATACATTTTCTATCTACGTCGGCTGCACATCTGTTTCATAGACCAAGGAGACATTTGAAGCTGTATCTCTCTAGGGGTGTGCGATTTAGGGGCAACACCCCCTCGATTCAAATGCTTTGTCGCCCTCTATACCTCCGACCAATGCATGATTAATAGAATTGAAGGATTGAATTTGAATAGCAAAAAGAATGTGCAATGATGTCATCTGCACAGTATCAACTCATGAAGGCGATAGTAGTTGTTGGGGAAAGTCCAACTAGTACATACATGCAGAGAAGTTAGTAAGAACAGCCTATAATGCAATTCTGAGATACTTTCAAGATATAGGAGGACGAAAATGAAATGCATTTTTTTCTCAACACCAAACCAAACAAGTATCCCCACCGGATGGGTTAGTTATCACCAAAGTTGACTGAATAAAGAAGTGTGTTTGTTCTGTTTGAAGGGCGGTGTAAAGGGGCCGTGAAGATACTGCCGTCCAAGACATTAAACATCTGAACACGGACCTTTTACGTTTACTCGGCTTACCTATAACGCCCTTTTTCCTTCTTCTCTCTTTTTCTTTTGCGATTAAGCTGCATTGAGACAAGCGGATTTGCCGCTAGTGCGCAATCCTTAATATTTCCACAGCCCGATCTTTAGTATTACTTTCCCGCCCTGCTTTCGCCAAACCTTGTAAAAAGCAAAAGTTCTCAATCGAATGTCGCTCTTCGGTTCTGTCGGCGCTACGTCGACTACAGCGGGTCAAACAAACACAACCGGCGATATATCCAAAGATGTTGCTCTCAATTCACCCCCTGAAGATAGCATCTCTGATCTTCAATTCTCTCCCACCAGTGAACACCTTGCTGTAGCTTCGTGGGACAAGAAGGTTCGCATCTACGAGATCAATGACCAGGGACAGAGCGAAGGGAAGGCTCTCTTTGAGCACGAAGCTCCAGTTTTAAGCTGCTGCTGGTCACCGGTAAGCTCAACAGATTCTCTTGCCAACCCATCCCCTCTGCGACTCTAAGGTATTTAACTGTTCTTTCTCGCTCGACAGGATGGAACTAAAGTGGTAGGCGCTGGTGCCGACAAAGCCGCTCGCATGCTCGATCTCGCCACAAATGCTACCACGTCTGTCCAAGTCGCAGCCCATGACGCTCCGATCAAATGCTGCCAGATGATTCCGAACCCTGCTGGAGGCACCCCCCTCTTAGTAACCGGTTCGTGGGACAAGACAGTTAAGTACTGGGATCTACGGCAATCGAACCCGATTGCCACAGTGGAGTGTCAGGAGCGTGTCTACACCATGGATGTCAAGAATAAGTTGCTAGTGGTTGGGACCGCAGACCGATACATCAACATCATCAATCTCGATAATCCCACCAAATTTTACAAGACTATGCAATCCCCTCTTAAGTGGCAGACGCGAGTAGTCAGCTGCTTTACGGATGCTACAGGTTTCGCTGTTGGTAGTATCGAGGGCCGCTGTGCTATCCAGTATGTGGAAGACAAGGACTCCAGCTCAAACTTTAGCTTCAAATGTCATCGAGAAACGCCTCCAAACCAACGCGATATCAATAACATCTATTCGGTCAATGCTATCTCTTTTCACCCGGTTCACGGGACGTTCAGCACCGCGGGTAGCGATGGAACCTTCCACTTCTGGGACAAAGACGCCAAACACCGCCTGAAGGGCTACCCATCCGTAGGTGGGACCATCTCTAGTACAGCATTCAATCGCAATGGCAATATATTTGCATACTCGGTGAGCTACGACTGGAGCAAAGGTTACTCGGCCAACACCCAACAGCTTCCCAATAAGGTGATGCTTCATCCGGTTGCTCAGGAAGAAGTGAAGCCCAGACCTGGTACCAGGAAGAGGTGATAGAATTATATGTGGGGTATGACGTTGGCGCATTGAGGGGTTTAGTGTGGTCGGCATCAGCCTTTGGGTTGATATCTCGCGATTTTTCAAGTCCACTTATTTACAATATAATGACATTGTCGGTAGCTCCTCCCCGCGATTCTCTAGGGTCGGCTGTTTATCTTCCATTTCACTGTCTCCGATTCAGACACCTTTTCTCTGTTTCCTGGGAATGCATATGAGCGTATTATTCTATGATGTCTTTGTGTGCTTTCAATTTCTCGTGGATGAATGCATTTTTGTTGCCATGTGAAGAAAATTTGTAGAGTGATCACTTTCTTGAAAATGCTTCGATTCAGTAGAGTTATAGGGTCACGATTATATCAAGAGTCTCCGGGAAACAAACAGATCCTGAGAAAAACTCCGGTCACGGGTGGGGTTGTTTTTATCGGAGGGGCACGCGGGAAAAAAAGAATTTAAGGTAAGAAAACCAACGTCTTATCTCTCATATGTTAAGTTTAAGTCACTCCTGAACCTCAGTCTTGGCCGGCTAGACTTATTACCCTTTCCTCTACCCTTCCCCTCGTTCTTTGATTCTTTTTAAGCCCTACGGTGCCCCTCGTTTTGTCCATTACCTGGAGGTCCTGCATTATGGAGAGCAATCTACTCGAAGGCCTGCTCGATCTGGAGGAAGAATTTTATAAGGAAGGCTATGACCTAGGAGCTGCCGATGGTGCTCAAGCCGGTTACACCGAGGGCAGTGTGTTCGCTGTCGAGAAAGGATTTGAAAAGTTCATCGAGCTGGGAAGGCTCTACGGCAAAGCCCTGGTCTGGTCTCAACGACTGGCCGAGCCAGGCCTGTCCAAAACTAGAGAACTTCTCCTGGTAGAATCTCAGTTATTTAGTGAGAAGGAAGATGCTCATTTGAAGCCGCCTACCTGCAAGGAGATGCCGAGCTTTCCACCTAGTTCCAGGCTAGCAAAGAATATCGACACGCTTCTTGAACTGGTTGACCCAGCATCTCTACTTATGCAGAATACAGAAGAAGCCGTCACCGATGTGGATGAGCGTGTGAAGGGTGCTATAATCAAGGCGAAGCTGATCCAGCGCGCACTGGGAGAACGGGAAGATCCTTCGGACATACACCCCGATGCAAGAGACTCCCAAACACAAAACTCCGGGGATGGAACTGGCAGTATTGAAGATATCAGTTCCCTGAAGATACACCATTGAATGTCTTTATTCACAACAACAGGGCCTCTCTGCCCCTACCTATCAGAGTATCTCCGATCGGCGGCTGAAGCTCGATCGAACAAGACAGGACCTGAAACTTGATCAGTCATTTTTCTCGAAATGTCTCTACTATGGGTGCCGTGTCTGCTTCTGCCAATACCAATGTCGCCAATGGCGCTACCCTAAAGGATGTCAGCTCGGTAAATTTTTTGGGTTTTTGATAAAGAAAGCGGTCTTGAGATTCTGGGCGCCAACCCCAGCTACAAGTTCATGCTTCTTGTCTCCGAAGCCGTCCACGAGACACCTGTTTATCTCGCATCACAGAACAAACTCCACCTGCCTCAGTTGGCTCCCCCTCCCGGCTATCTCCCTCAGCTCGTTATGGACCTGAATAAGGGCCCGCCTATACTGTCCGAGTACCTCTCCGACCCTCCTGTCTGTGCGCCCAACGGATGTACATTTCATAATGGCAAGGTCATCTAGGATGCATCAGGCAGTAATCGATCTATCCGTGGTGGAGAACAGCGTGTCTCTTTGAGAACTCTAGACCCGGAGACCAATAAGTCGGTTACCCTGGTAAACAATTATTTCGGCTATTACTTCAATACCATTGACGACCTGGTGGTGCATCCAAAGACGGGGTATATTTGGTTTACGGATCATTGTTCGTCCTCACTGCATTTGCTTTCATGTTCAACCCTCCGCTAACTTGTGAACAGAGAATTCGTAGTTTAATGCTCCCACCGGCTCTCCCCCGTAGCTTCCAAGTGTTAGTTACAGGTACAATACTTCATCCGGTGCGATTTTCGTGGTTGATGAGTCGATTGGCCAACCCAATGGTATTGCTTTCAACCAAGAGGGCTCCATCGTGTATATCACTGACAGTGCTGCCATGAGCACTCCACTTGATCCCCAATATGGTCATCCTGGTCGTACATTCAACGCCACTCAGCGCAGGTATGAGATACAGATCGGCCAAGTCAAAAAGCCAAGACATTAATAGACTTCCTCCAAATCAATATAGGACTGTTTACGCCTTTGACGTAAACGGAGATGGTACCCATGCTTACAACGAGCGACCTATTTATATGGCCTCTGGATTTGTCCCGGACGGCTTGGAAGTAGCTGCTAACGGATACATCATGGCAGGTGTTGGACAAGGTGTTGATATACTTGACCCCTCTGGGCAACTTCTCCTGACCATCCAGACCAACTACACCGTACAGAATTTCGCCTGGACGGGTCCCGAGCTCAAGGCACTCTGGCTTGTGGGTAGTGTTGGGAGGGGGGTTAGTAAAGTGGGAGCTTGTAGGCCAGGAGCTGAGGTGAATCTGAGGGCCAGGGAAATGTAACAGAAAAGGTGGATGAATTGTAAGGAATTACTTTGTTCGTGGCTGTCCCACACATGGTATAGTCTGGCCATCTTTACACTATGATTCCTTCAAGTAAAAAATTTTTAGACATCACCCATCATAGGGTCTGTCGAACCGTAGTATAGCACAGCGATATCTCAGAGTATGCTATAGGTTATCGACCGTACCACCGCCAGCATCACATTAGAAGGGGGAAATAAAATAAAGATAATCACTTATTGTTCCAAGGCTCGGACCGCCATGGCATATGCGCCTTCCTTGGTCTTATGGCCGCCGATGAAACCGCTCGCGTGGACAAAGACCGCACCCTCAGGGATCTTGGGCTTGCCGGTTTTCTCGGCTTCTGCAGTCATAACCCCGTCAAGGTCCGCATCGCGGACACCACGCCAGCTCTCTGGCAGTGGGTTCCGGGAAACAAAACTACTTTCATTCACCGACACGCACTGAACGCGCCATTTAGATCCTTCAGTAGCACTTTCGGGGTAAAGAACATAATAAGCCTCTTCCTCCGGCTTGGTCCCATTGGATCCCGACGCATCTTTTTCGAAGTTATACAGGTGCTCTTTCCATGGAATACCACCCTGGGGAAGAATAATGATACGGCCGGAAGGATGGACGTCACGGCGGGAACGGTAGGCATTTCCAACAGTAGTGCGTGCAGGTAGCCAGGATGTACTGGCGCGGTGTAATTTGCGGATGAAAACGTTTCCAATGAAAGTACTTGCTCGGCCAAAGAGACTGTCCTCGTCTTGAGGCTCCCCGGGCGGGCAAGTCGGGTCAGGGTCGTTCATGTCACCTACCACGGATGTGATGGTGACGGCACCATCCTTGAAGCGTTTCTCAATGTTGGCGGCGGAAATTTCGGCTGGGTCGTAGGCTGCGATACCATTGTCATTGGCGTCAATTGCTTCGATAAAATCCGTATAAAGTTTCTCGTACAACAAGTTCACGTCGTCGTGATCCACTGGCAAGGATGTATATTCAGCAATGATCGCTCGACCAAAATGCATATATACTAAGCCAGCCGAGGATAGCTTAGTATTGCGGTTGGGGAAGGTCGTCGAGAAGTCACGTTGGTGGTGATCATAGCGGTTGTTGGCAGGGTCATATTCTCCACCTACGTCAACAACAGTGTGGCAGGTTGCCAGTTGTGCCGGATCTCTGGTGCGGACGAGGGGAGAGGCAGAGTAGGTGGGGAGTTGTCGGAGAAGATAGACCGCGAGGGCCTCGTCGGCATGAAAATGGCCGCTAGGCAATGCATATCAGTAATGAGGCGACCATCATTAGAGCGAAAGGTTGAGATAAAATATAATAAATATATACATACCTATGGGTTCCAATCAATGGCGAGGTCTTGATTTTCTTTGCGATAGTTTCGTCGGCCATTTTGAATAGTTGCCGAAATCGTAGCATCCAACAATACAAGACTGGAAGGTCAAAAAAAAGTAGTCAAGGTATGGATATGGGTGGATGTACTATGTATGTACCTTTTTAGTAAGTAGTGATCAATTCAGATTGCCTACTGTTTGACTCGATACTAGTACTAGTCATACCCTGTAAAGTCTTACTAGGGAGATCTAAGATGGCTTCCGTATCCGGATACCAGTTAGGGCTTTGGCTGGAGGGCTTCCTAAAGCATGTGAGAACTACGAACTACTACTCTTACAGTATTGTAAGTACTCCTTGAAAAGGCATTAGGATAGAGGTTTCTCTTTACTTTGTCTCACTTAATTGCTCTTTGTACTTTTCTTCAAAGCTAGTTGGGTCAAGATCTGTCACGTAGACTATGATAATGTTGTAATGAAAGGTTGATCACGAGTGGTCGTAAATTAATAATCCACCGCCTTGAAACAAAGTCGACAACTACTTCGTACACATCTATATATTTATACGTATGGACATACTGTACATACGTAGGAGTAAAAGAACTAGGAAAACTAAACCTACTACCGTACAGCCCTCAATTACCCTTTCTCTTCTCTTCTCTCTCTCTGTCTCTCTCTCTTTCTTCTTATTTTTTTTCGACATCTAACTAGTAAGTGGGACAGAATAGATGCTCATTATTTATTTATTATATATTATTCCCATCATTACGAGTGCCACGTGAAAATCGTCCCGTCTGGAAAAGGAAAAGCGAGATAAGATCAAAACTTCCCCCCTCAAAAAAAAGGGAAAAAGATAAAAAAAAAGCAGTTCAAGGCCGGAAAGAGCAGAGAATTCATCAGCGGAGAAAAAAGAAAGAAGAAAACCTCAGTACTCTCCTTGACTTCATGTGTACCCACTGAGATTCTTCTTCTTTTTATTATCCTTTGTTTTCTGTTCTCTCCAAACGTGAGTTCTCCGGTCAGACTTGCCGTCGATCGCGTCAGTTTTCCCTCTATCCCTGCCTGCTACGGTATCTTTCTTGCGCATAACTCTCCCTCTCGTGCCATCGTCCCGACCGTCCGATGTGGCTCTTCCGGATCCTCTCCTCCGCCTTCTTCCTGTTCGTGACCGTTTCTTCTATCCCTTTAGCCTTCGATGTAGGTGGGAAGACTTGCGGTCTGGCCTTCTCTCTATCCCTAGCGACCTTCTATTGTCTATTTTCCCTCCTGAAACTCACTACACCGGATCGCTCGTGGCTGCGTGCTTCCCTTATCGCTGTGATCCGATCAACCCAATGGATCATCATTCCGGTCCTGTTGATTTGGTCCCTGAATCGCTTCTCGATCGATGCCGATAACACAACAGGATGGGTAGAACGGACTTTTACGGGAAAGCGGACGCAGAACACCTCTATCCAAGAATGGCTCTTCGGACCCGATGGGTTGATTGAGTCGGTGACTATAGGGAATTGGGATAAACTCTTGCGATGGTCGACACCAGTTTTCCAGCTGGTGGAAGGGTTTTGCAGCTTATTGGTGATACAGGCTGCAGGGCAGATCACTCGTTGGCTTGTCAACCGCGGTGGACGAAGCGATAGCTGGATGGTACGTAATCGTCATCGTTTCTTCGTCTCACGACTAATGATCTGGCAGATTGGCCTTCTGGTTTTGTCCGGGTCTATTATCTCAAGTGCGGTGTACTTCCTCTGGCGCGTTCTGCAGTTCCCTGAGATCTCTAATGTAGATGCTGCTTTGATCGGGGTGTCAATCACATGTGCGGTCATCCTGTGCGCATGGGGGATTGGTAGTGGCCGTGGAAATCCAGTGGAAAGCTCTCTCCTGTTCGCATATGTCGTACTGTGTATCTACCAGATATTCACAGACTACCAACCGTCTCATCCCGTCGAACAAAGTCCATACCCCTCGCAAGCTGGAGACTTTCCCCCACTTCCACCGATCATCATGGCCTCCTATACTACTTTGCTACACGCACTGTCTCTTTTGCCTTCTATTATTCATGCAACTTTCAATGTGATCACTGCTGTCTTTGGAGCCGTAACGCCATCCGTCTTGATTTCACTCGCATACCGCATCTGTGTGCTGTACGCATCAACTCGGATCATCCCCGCTGTCCGTGAATCAGGGGCACGTGCTCTCTCGCAAGAAGCTTCCTTGGATGACTCCGACGCCGCTGGCCAGTTCCTGGGTCTCCTTAGCTATTTTTCTCCGTCGATATTGATTGCCGTTTATACCAGCCTTTTGATGCAGCATTTCGCCTCGACCTCCCAAGCGATGGGTGGCAACGGGGAGTGGTGGAGCAGTCAAAGGGGCGGCGGAGGCAATCTTTGGCGATGGGTTAACTTAGCTTGCACAATGGCCCTGTACGCCGTGGAACTATGGCTGGGCGAGAATGATGATTTGGATTCAGGACTAGCAAGCCATTGGAAGACTGACTGAACATAGCGATGGACCGCTTCGTAGAGTTATATCCACTTTATATGCAAGACGCAGCACACCCTTCGGCGCAGCGGGCTTATCTCGTCAAATATCCTTTTCGAAATCAGGCTAGTATCGAGTGTTTCTGGGGCATCGACCATCGGTTTGGAAGTCTATTGAAGGAGATGGCAGGACCAAGGTGTGGCGTAGCTCTTGATACTTTGAAGTCACATCAAGGACGGGACCAGTACTTTTTGGTTCAGGTCTAGAGAGCACGCTTCGAGCCCATCATCGCCATCGTCATCACAACCCGGAACTTTTGATTTACCAAGACATCTCCAAGCACCGACACTTTTCCAGTAGTCTATCGCATCAAACCCCTGTCGAAGTGCTTGAAGAGCAAGTGGTTTTGTGGTCGGCCCTCACACCTGGGGTGCCAAAACCGTTCTTCGACTTATTGCAAAAACAAGAACGTGTGTTGGCAAAAACGGTTTGTATCCTAAAGAAGTTATGGCTTTTTAAAAGTGTATGCTGAGAGATATCAGGAACAATTTACACTAGAAGATGACTGGTATAATGAAATCGGATCTGCCTCGGCTTGCTTTTCGTGTTGTCTAATACCCCCGGGCTAATTTAGATTTACATTCTTTGTTAACCCTCTACATACTTGCGTCTCATTTCTGGTATATTCTTCGGTTATTCGCCGCTCCTCCCCTTTCCTCTTTGTAACTCTCCATACTTTGTACAATGTACTTTCGTGTAGATACTAGTTTTACACAATGGTTAACTTCACCTTCGCCGCATCCGTTCCCATGAAGCCTCACAGGGCGACCGTCCTGGGAATAACTCTATTCCTCTCTCACCCCTAAAAGATGTGCAGCTTGCATCGATTGATACATCTATGTAGCCGGGATCCATGTGTAGCTGATAGATCGTAGACAACCTGTTCGCGTTCTCACCACCAAATCAACGTGATACCTTCAGCAGGCCTAATTTACACAATGACGATTTGGACTTGCAAGGTACCGTACTATTCCAGTTGAGAGAAGCCCGATCCTGACTACTAAGCCATACAGCCGTACATGTGCAGATATATCATTAAAAGGAGATAAAGAGATGTGAGGTACCATATGTATGAGTATTTATATGGGCAAAAGGCATTTCCAAAGACCTCAAGCGTAGTGCTGAGCGTAAAATAATCAGATATGAACCAATTTCCAAATCATCGGGAAAGTGAAAATGAGTAGCCCTTAACACGAAAGAACTTCCAGATAATATGTGATGCGATATAAACAGAGAAGAATAATAGCACACATCGACCGCAGAAGACAACACATACAAAGCTAACCCACACGAGTCCAGCTAGTGGGATGGGAAATACATCTTGCTGCAAATCTCAAAGGGCATGGAAAGCCCAGTAAAAGTGGCTGTTTTCAAGTCGGACAATTGAAATCCATCAGACGTTTTCGTGCTTGCCTCAGTTTGGCCGTCAACTCTTCATCCTTCTAAATTGCACAGCGGTGAAGCGCAGACTACTTCAAAACAGAATCTCTGGTGCTCAGCCACCCCCAGGGTAAAACCCAAAAAAAAGAAAAGAGAAGAAAAACGGCTCAATATCATTGGAAACACAAAACCATAGCGCCGGGCTCTTTTAATATGACAATCATGAGACAGAGCAACAAACATGAGAAAAGTAAGTATTGGTAACGAACCAATGAATAGAGGGAGGGGATGATAGACCCAAAGCCAATTAACGCTGGATTGGAACACCACTGCGAGCGGGAGGTGGACTAACGCTGGGCTCTTTGGTGTCATTAAGCGTAGGCGTGTCACCCTCAGCTTCGTCCGCACTAGTTCCGCGTTGTAGATAGCTGCCTTCTTTTACTGGGCTGCGGCTTTGAAATCCAATGGATCCCGGGTGTCCACTTATGCTGCCAGGAATCTGCTGTCCTTGGGAATTGGTACTGCCACCATTGCTAGCAGCTGCTGTGTTGTTTGCTCCAGGAGAGGTAGCGGTCAAATGAGGGATATTTTCGGGGACAGGATGCTGAGAACCGATATTGGTGACACCCACATCCGAGGCCTTGCCGGCCTTACTGAGGGCGTAGTCACCTGAGTCGAAGTACTTCCGCTCCTTTGAAGCAGTTAGCCGAGGAGTGGGAATTTCGACAGGTTATCAGATTGACGTACTTTCAGTTTGTTCTGCAAGAGATCCTTCTTGGTGGGCATCTTCCCATAAAGACGCAGGAGGCGTTGCTCGTCGGGGGACAAGGACTGGAAGTATCATGTCAGGGTTTAGTGCAGACGAGAGGGGCGGTAGATAGACAGCTCACGCTAGTGTCGACTTTGTTCTGCTGATGGGGATTCATGTTGGATGGAAGGGAAACAAGGATGTTAGAAAGATTTTGGTTTGATCCGAGATAACAGAAGGGCGAGAGTGCGAGTTGATGCTAATCGGTGGGAGATGGTGTGTAGTAGGCAAAGTAAGGCGGGGAGGTTGGACGAGAAGGTATGGTGGGTGTGTCGTCAGAGAACCCCACCGAACTACGGGGAGGCGTTTTGTTGGCAAAGGAAATGTATTATTTGAAAAATCCACATGTGCTATCAGTTAAACTTGGAGGGTGAAGTTATTTTCTTTCTTTAAAGGCAAAAACAAACAAAAAAATTAGGTAAAGGGAAAGGAAGAGAGAGAGGAGATCAGTAGTAAGTAGTTGGTTGGGATAGTCTAGTACATACTATAGATAGTAAATCAGCGAGAGCCTCTGTATGGTATACGGTCACCGTCTTTTGTTACGATAGCATGTATGTACATACGGTATCGATGTATGAATGTATTAGTACATAGTGGTTCTGTTGAGGGAAAGGAAATAAAAAAGTTATTGCTAATAACGTTTACTACTTGTATTACGAAAGACAGAAGTATAATTTCTTTCCAGCTAGAAATATTTGTTCAGAGGATCATGATTTAAACATATTCAAATACTTCATGAATCGCTTTTTGCTGATACCCGTTGTCGATTGAGAGGTGGTTCGGGTTTGTATCAATAAGGATCCAATGATGCTCGATTCCCACATATATATAAGTACAGAACCAAATTCTCAAAGAGAGGGAGGGAGAGAAAGCGCGCGTACAGCTCTTGTCCTACCCAAAGTGAATACTGTATGTGAATGTATGTATAATGATACTTTCCCTACACTCCTAAGCTTAGGCCTATTTTATATGTACAGTACATACATGTATTTCTGTTTTCATCAATTTTCATCAATTAGGGCTATTTGTAACCAGGACCAGGATGGTTATGATAGATTTTGTTATTTATATAAATGGGCCGAGCTTTGTAGTTTTTCCTTTTTTTTTTTTAACTTTTCATAGATGGAGGGGGAAGGAAGAAACGGTTGCCCTCGGTTGCCCCAAAACTGCCGCTTGGTCATCGAAATTCAGGTCGGCCCACCGTCTCGCCATCAAATCAATCCCAACTGCGCGATACCACAGTCGCTTGTTGCAAATAATCGCTTTTCAAGTGGGATATCACAATGACAGACCAGTCTCCCTCAACAAACCCAGTGACTATCGTGGTCGAACATCTGGACCCTGAACTGGGTGCTTGGTCCGCATTAGAATATGCTTGTATCGCTCGCGAATCGCATGCGGTTGGGAGCCGATTTCTCCTCAGTTCAGTGCCCAACTCTCTGCAAATGCCGGAGGATTTAGCCGCGACAGGAGAACTCAAGGTCGAACACCGCAGTATCGAGGAGATTTTCGCGGACCGGAAGTCTAAGATTTGTCTGTTAGACCCCGCCGCTCAGGCTGAATTGAGCCCCGCCGATGGAGAAAACTTCGAAGTGTTCCTTTTTGGGGGCATTCTTGGTGCGAATCTTTGGTCCTTTCGTCGAAAGTCCGGACTCCCCGCTGACGTTTAGGCGGCTTTCGCGCCTATAGGGGATGATCCTCCTCGCGGTAAGTATTTTGTAGAACGAGGAAAGAGACGCATGCCATACATGCCACTAACCAAGGGGTACAGATCGGACATCTGAATTGAGAAAAAAGGGCTATGCTGGAAGACGACTTGGTCCCAAACAGATGACCACTGACACGGCTGTGCGTGTCACCCGAATGGTTGTGCATGAGAAAGGTTCAATACTTGAAGACTCGATATATCCTACTAACCATGGCGATTGCGAAATACTAACATGATGGCAGTGCCCCTGGAGAAGATCCAGTATATCGATTACCCAGAGATTTTCATCAACGAACATGAACGAACTGAGATGCCCTTCCGCTATGTGAAAGGAGATGATGGTCAACCTATCATGCCTCAGGTGTGTACTTATCAAGGGATTATATCAATGAAGCTAACAGGTAAGCAGGGGATGATTGATTTAATCAAAAAGGACGCCGACCAGGGCATTAATGATCTTTTTTGATATACGTGATAAGAATTGAAAACTGATGGGTTTATCTATTTATCTATCTATCCCGTCACTTGAAGCTGTCTGAAAAAGCGTTAGGAAGAGAAAAAAGCAAAAGTGAATACCCTATAGATCCCTCAATAGGCAATCCTGAAGTCATTGTACTGTATAATATAAGGTACGGTTTGTATGGATAGATCGGTATCTTTCAGTATTATAAGACCCCCAGTAAACTAACTTACAGGTATGTATAGTACACCCATTCTCGGCATAGCGGATTTACGCTGGACAGGACTACTTGCCCAGTCAAAAGCGGTCTGGAATCAGGTCGGTATGGTAATAAATTGGCACCGAAACGAATCCATTCCAAGGCCACCGCCCATCGTCTACCTGATAAAGTAATCGATAGAGGAGCTTCATCTCTCCTCTTCCTTCCTTCCACCTTCTCCCTCTACTTCTTTTCACCTGACATACTTTCACTACTTCGTCCCTACCATATACGTCTCGATCTTCAAGAGCAGCAGGAAGACAACGATCAATCGGCGTAATCCATGCGGACTAGAGCGCTGTTCTAGTCCTCTAGGACCCATAACTTTGGACTTGGCTTTTCTTTTCTGTTCTTTATCCCTGCATCCACACCCATTGTTCCTACAAGCATGTTTGCTGCAATCTTGCGTAGTAGTCCTAGGAACAAAACGGGTGGAATCTTCTCCTTCCCCTTCCTAACATCATGGCTTGTGTTTTTGCTCGTCTTCTGGGGTTCACCATTGGTCTCAGCTAAGTCGGCTGCCGATTACTATGTTCGTTCGTTACCAGGCGCCCCCGAGGGGCCTTTGTTGAAGATGCATGCTGGGTGAGTTTCGCGGCTCCGCCGGATCATTCGTATATTAAATCCTGGTCATTGTTGCAAGGTTTCTGACCCGCAGTTCTCCGAAACAGACATATTGAGGTGGATCCACAGAGCAATGGCAATCTTTTCTTCTGGCATTACCAGAATCGTCACATTGCTAACCGCCAACGGACTGTGATTTGGTTAAACGGGGGCCCTGGGTGTAGCTCAATGGACGGTGCGTTGATGGAGGTTGGCCCGTATCGATTGAGAGACAACCAAACGTTGGAATACAATGAAGGGTCTTGGGATGAGTTCGCCAACCTGCTTTTCGTGGATCAACCCGTCGGAACTGGATTTAGCTACGTCAATACCGACAGTTATCTCCATGAGTTAGATGAGATGGCCGCCCACTTCGTTATTTTTCTGGAGAAATTCTTCGAACTTTTCCCGGAATATGAAGGCGATGATGTATGAAACCCCGAATTGTTTCTTTCTTTACCTACCGTTATTTCTGTTTGCTTTTCCCTCCCATCTGACTCTGGCAGATTTACCTTGCGGGCGAGTCCTACGCCGGTCAGCACATACCGTATATTGCCAAAGCGATCTTAGATCGGAACAGAAACGCGGCAGGCCGCAGTACTCTTTGGAACCTTCGCGGTCTTGTGATTGGTAACGGCTGGATCTCTCCTGCGGATCAATACCCCTCTTACTTGACTTTCGCGTACGAAGAGGGCCTCATCAAAGAAGACAGCCGGACCGCGAAGAGCCTCGAGGTATTGCAATCAGTCTGTCAGTCAAAGTTGGAGACAACCGGAAAAGATCAAATACATATTGGTGACTGCGAATCAGTATTACAGGAGCTTCTGTCAAAGACTCTGGATTCTGACCAGAAATGCTACAATATGTATGATATTCGCCTCCGTGATACAGCTCCATCTTGTGGCATGAACTGGCCTCTGGATCTAAAGGACGTGAAGCCCTATTTACGAAGGGCAGACGTTGTTAAAGCTTTAAATGTCAATCCTGAGAAGAAGTCAGGCTGGGAAGAGTGCTCGGGGGCTGTCAGTAGCTCTTTCCTTCCGAAAAAGTCTGTACCAGCTGTTCAATTGCTTCCCAACCTTCTCGAATCGGGGATCTCAATCCTTCTATTTAACGGGGATAAGGACCTCATTTGCAATCATGTTGGAACCGAGCAACTTATAAACAATATGAAATGGGGTGGAGGGACCGGCTTCGAGACATCACCGGGGGTCTGGGCCCCCCGACACGATTGGACTTTCGAAGGCGAACCGGCGGGGATTTATCAACATGCAAGGAACTTGACTTATATTCTCCTTTATAATTCTAGCCACATGGCACCTTATGATCTCCCCCGCCAGACTCGGGATATGCTTGATCGCTTCATGAAGGTCGATATAGCAAATATCGGTGGCAGCCCTGCGGACTCGCGTATCGATGGCGAGAAACTACCCCAAACATCGGTGGGTGGTCACCCAAACAGCACCGCAGCTGAAGAACAAGAGAGAGAAAGAATGAAACAGGCGGAATGGAAGGCCTATGCCAAATCTGGAGAGGCAGTTCTCGTGGTTGTCATTATCGGTGTTTCCGTCTGGGGCTTCTTTATTTGGCGCAGCCGTCAACGTCACCGTAGGTATCAAGGGATCTACCACGAGGACGTGATTGGGGGTTCCGTTCTGGAACGCTTTCATAACAAACGTTCAGGGGCGGATGTAGAGGCGGGGGACTTTGACGAGTCTGAGCTTGACAATCTTCATTCACCGGATATGGAGCAAGAGCATTACACGGTGGGAGAGGACAGTGACGAAGACGATGTCAACCGACAGCATCAGCGAACATCTATCAACCCAAGCCAAGGGTAATTGCACACAAGTCTTCATTCTACATGGTTGGTTTCTGTATATTCCTCTTCCCTCCCGCTACGTGCTATTACCCTCAAAGTATCTTCTGTTGCCATATAAGTTCGATCATGTTAATATCGTTATTAGTTGGATTGAATAAGTAGGATACATAGACATGAATCGTTCTCGTTAGTACTATTCAAATGCTTTCCTGTTTCAGCTCACATGTAGCACGGTTGTATTTATGTAAGGCGGATTTTGTAACACTTCCTTTCTACTTGCCGACAGATGTTCGGGGTATATAACTCATAAGAGATAATCTTGGGCTACAAAGAAATCATGCTAGATTACTTCTATAACTCGAAGAATTGCTATCCAAGCGTCCAGACCTTGACGCTTCCATCGTCAGCGGTCGTGACAAGGACTTCCTCGTTGCTCTCCTCTCGACCTCGGTCCGCGCGCTTCGCCCACGCAACATGGTTGACTTCGTAGATGCCATGTGCACCCTCCACCAACGAGATAGCCACCCACTCCGTGCGAGGTGGGGGCGTAGCGGATGTATCAGCAGGTGGATCGGTGTCCATCGTTTGTACTGGCGCTGTCAAAAACAGCTCCTCATACACCACAATGCGGCCATCCGCGCCCACGGAGGCTAATAGCCCAGTGCGCTTGCTCCATGCGACCGCATAAATGGACAACTCATGCATTTGTGGGAGAACCATCTCCTCCTCCCACACTTCCTCGGTACCTGCTGGCCGGATAATACTGGGTACCCCTGTACCACCACAACGTGGCTGTGTCTGTTGTTCTCTAGGCTGTCTTCTCCAGATGCGGACCGTTCGGTCATCGGAGCATGAGACAAGACGGGGTCCACACATCGCACGCTGGTCTTTCCATTCAGTGGCTAGGAACGCACCTTGTTCGCACATCGCAGGAGTAGATGGCACGTTGTCAACGCCCTCCCAGTCCAAATACCAGACGGTTCCCGTGTGACCCTTGATACAGGCCACCTGGCCCCAATCATCGATGTCCTCCCGCCACAGCCGGATAGTATCATCGTAGCTGGCGCTGGCCAGATACTCCTCTACGGGATGCCAGGCGACGTATTTCACGTCGCCTTGGTGCTCCTGCATGACAGCCACGGTCTCGAAGTTGTTGTCGCCGTCATCAAGGTCCTCCCAGATCCAGATCGACTTATCCCGGGAGCATGTGGCCAGTAGCATCCCGGACGGCGACCATGACACTGACTTGACCTCACTATCATGTCCATCTAGGAGGACCGCGAACCGCCATTCTTCATCCTCTTCATCCTCCCGGGTATTCTGCCCATTGCCATTGAGCGCTTCCGTACCCAGTCTCCAGACGTCCGTGCCACCCTCTGCCTGACCATAACTATCCCATCGTCGCCATATCCCCACGGTTGCGTCGAAACTGCCTGTCGCCAGAACGCTCTCGCCCTGTACATGGGGTTTCCAGGCACATGTGCGCACGCTGCGTTTGTGGCCACCCGAGATGGTGGAAAGAAGCCGAAAATTTGTTAGCGAGTATACCCGGACTGTCTTATCTGAGCTGCAGGTCGCAACGATGGGGAGTGAGGGATGGGGTGCGGTCAACCACGTGCGTTCAAGGGACGGAGGGGTCAGGTCCGACAAAAGTGTAAGTGCTTTTGCTGTCATGATTGATTCTGCCCTAAAAAATTGTTTTTGACGTCTGTTCTTCCTCCTCCTCCTCGTTGTCTTAAATATTAAAAGGTAGTTGCCCGGAGTGGACGGAATGGCTGGTGGGGGATTTATGGTGGTGGGGGGAAGAATGATCTACACCAGTTGACCGTAGAAGCGACCGGCAGGTTGATTTTATGGTAACTAAGAGTTCTCGATAGATATTTAACCAGAATCCGACCAAAAAAAAAAAGAAAAAAAAGATAAAGATAAATAAGGAGGGGAAAAAATACCACACCACAGTATATGCCCCATAATCAATTTCGTGATACTATTAAGTGAGGGAGGAAGCCCCCCCGAGAGAGACAGCTTCAGGAAGGCAGCAGAAGAGAGAGCGTAAACAAGGAAACTTCATTCAATATGATCTGCACAGGTCCCTTTAAGTTGGATACCTTCATGACGCAGGGACCGGCGCGATGCCTTCCCTTAGGATCCGCTCATAGACCATACCATGACACAGCCAGTCCACTTCACGCACTTTCTCCAGCTCTTCGATCAATTTCCCAACCTCGTTGACAAACTCAGGCATACCCGCACCCGCCAGGCTCTGGCTGGCAGTCGTCGTAGCACGAACCCTTTCAGTTGCACTTGATGCACTGAGGCGGGAGAGGATATGGGCGCGCAAGCGCGAGAGGATGAGTCGTGCAACAGGGTCTGTGAAGCTAGCCGCTCCGAAATCATTTCTACTTGGATCTCCCGGGTCTGTGGATTCCGGTACATCTGGCGTGAACGCTTCTGTATGAATCTCAACCGTCGTCTGCGTTGCTACGAAGGAAGAAACAGCCGCGCAGGCCTTGGTGGCTGGCGCCAATACCCTCCGGATAGTCGCTGCAAGTTGGGCACTAGCACTGGGAGGCATGGGATGTGTTGACTCTAAAATCGACTGTACTCGACCGGGTTGAATGTCATTAAACTGTAAAGATAGGATACGATCCGCTTCAGCCTTCCATTGCGATCGCACGTCACGCTTGAGAAGATTCTTGGCGGTCAGTAAAATAGACGCAGTGGCTGCGATTTTCAATGCTTGCGCGTGCAGTCTGGCTAATCGTTCACGATCCAGGTCCAAAGTTTCAGGGATTAGATCGTCAGACACCGGGGCATTGCTCAAAACAAGGTCCACAAGGCCTTGAGCATAAACCTTCGAGGTAGGCGGCTGAGGCTCCTTATTGACATTCTCCGGGTCACGCTTCCGCATCTCGTCTACAATGATCTTGCGATGTGTTCGCCAGAAGCGCCTAGTTTTTCCCAAGCTCAAGGATCCGTCATGAAGGCCCTTGTCGAAAGTTCTTTGTTCATACCCAGGAGCTTCTTGGATAAGTTGAGGGGCAGCGAGCTGGATCATAAAGTTCGTATGATCAAGAGACAGCAAGTCAATGATCCCCATCAGCCTCGCCAGACGATCAATCGCATCCCCTGAAGTATCTTCCGCAAACGCCTTGACCACGGGATCCCGGTAAGGAGCACAAAGTTTTGGTAAAATTGTGTCCATGAAGTTGAAGAAGCTATCGTAGGAGAAAGCACCGGCCTTACATTGATTTTCAACCAATTTAGGGTCCAGCACTTCGCTAATCAGTACGTGTAGTGAATTACCCGGACGAAGCGAACGTAATAATCGATCCTGGATTACTGTGGCCATAGCCACGGTCCAATTCGTGCCTAGCCCGGCCTCCACATCTTTGCGCATCACATTGCACATATGTTTCATGATTTGTTTACGTGGCTCCGTGTACTGCGTCTCCTCAATCTTGAACTCTTTATTGATGAGAAGCTCATGCACTAAAGCACGGTTTTCTGGAAGCGCAGTTAGAATCCTTGTGAAGCGCTCATGCGGGGAGATCCGCTCCTTTTCCAACTCCCGCAAAACAGTACTGTCCACATTATTAAACGTCTCGCTGATAGGAGATGCAACACTCTCAGTGAGGGCTTCGGTCGACGAAGGCGCAACTTCTGCAGACCGCGGAATAGCTTGTTTGGAAGTAGTACGCCTCTTCTCACGCTTGGCCCTCTTCAAAGAGTCTCGCACCATCTGCATTGCCCTATCCGAGCCGGCTAATCGCTTCAGCCTGGCGAGGAGCAGAATCTGATTTTGCCTGATACCCTGACGATAATCATCTGCTACACCACCAGCTCGATCATTCTTTACCGTCTGCCAGATATGCTCCAGCTCAACGAACTGGGCCAGCATGATCTCAATCAAGACGCTGGAGTCGTGAGTTTTCCAGGCATGAAATGCAGAAAAGAAAACATTGTAAGCCTCGCACAGTGTCTGAAGCTCCGTGGAACTGGTCGCCATTGAGGAGCAACCAGCAGAAAGCAGTGGCGTGGCTTGTTCGAACGCCACGATGAGTTCACGTGCTTTAGCAATTAGATCTTGCTCTTGTTCGCCGTTGCTACTCAACACTTCAGCGGGATGGGTTACGATTAAGTAACTGCTAAGAAACGTGCGCACGGCACCCCTTCCGCCCATTGTGCCACTTTCCATATCTTGCATCCCGCAAAGTCGAAGGACACTAGCGGTCAGAGTCAAGACTTTATCTTCCGAGAGCAGAGACCCAACATCCTCAAATTCCATGTGCTGGATGCGGTTGGTTGTCAGGCCCAGAGCTCGAAACTCTTGCATAACCATTTTTGCATGATAATCCCTCCATATCCGCTGTATGGTTCTCGCGGCTGCATCCCGTGTAAGCGAGTTGGTGACCGCCTTGGCCATCTTCTTCTCTTCGCTAGCAGGCAAGCTGCTTGTACGATGACGTCGATGGCTTTGCTGGTAGAGCACACGCCGCTTCTCGGCCTCTGCAAACTTCTCTGCCAGTTCCAACCGAAGCCTGGCGTGTTCTGCAGCTTTCCTCTCCCTGTTGTCTTCAGCCTTCTTCTTCGCACGACGAACCTCCTCTTCGCATTTGGCGGTAATCTCCGCCAATAGTCGTTCGCGAGCTTGCTGGGCGGCCAGCGCTCTCTCCTCTCTTTGCAAGTTTCTGGAGGCAGCTTTAGAAAGGGCAGCGCGAAGCCGCACTTTCTCTGCATGTAGGGCACGGTCTGCGAGCCTCGCTTTCCGGCTCTCGAGAATGGAAGCACGTCTGAGATGTTGCGCGATGTGGTCGGTGGGAGATGCAATATGAGAAGAGGTGCTTGGATGGTGGGAATGTAAAGATGAGATCGAACTCCGACGAGATGAAGCCGCAGAAGAGCGTCGAACTACACTCGGCTTTCGAGAGAAGCGAGCGGCAAGACGGGCAGGTAAACTCAGTGGCGGTGCTTGGTCATCAGACAGCATATCTATATCTGCTTCATTTACAGAATCAGTGGTAGGAGGACCAGATAGCTGGATCTCGATATCTGAGTTGCGACGAATCATGATCTTGGAAGAGGGTAAGAAGACTATGTTTGCTCGCGTCCAAGGAAGAGGGGCCGAATATCGATAACAGAGATCAGTCTAGATTAAAAGAGGAAAGAAAACAAGTATAGGCGTTAGACACTTCCTCTCAAGGTGGCACTTTATAAAGCTAGCTATCCCAGGGTCACTGGCACGGATCCGGAGAACTCAGGGGGATCCCAAGGAACCCAGCGCGGAGATGTACCGGTACTTGTTTCAGAAGAGAATGTAGAATTCAAAGAGCCAGAGCGAAGGTGACTTTGAGCGGGAAAGTTACTGTGTGGGGGAAGAGAGGTAGTGAAGGTAAAAATGTAGGTATAATTAATTATAAATTTATTCATTTATTTATTAACACATGCATGATGATATCAGAGACTGCATCTACAAGAAAGCCATCGAACTGGAGAGGTAGTATTGAGGATGCCGCAAGCGGAGGATGTTTTTGGCCGGCTTAAGTAAGCGCTCTGTACATAGGTGGACGTATCACTCTATTGTAGAGTGTATAGTTGGCGCCTACCCATCGACAATCGGAGCGGAGCTAATTTTCCGAACGTGGCCTGGTGTCTGTGCACAGTGGCTTTAGGTGAAAGTCATTTAAGCTAATACCATCTATTTTCAATAATGTTACGGGACGAATAAGCTGTTCCAACCTAAGCGTGCCTATTGAGCAAGAAATAGCTAATGGACAGGAATAACACATCGTACGAAATGTTTGTGGGGTAAAGATTTGGCAGCGATGCCTTAGGCAGAGCCTCCCATGATATAGGGCAGCCTGTAAGTCAGTCCCATAACTTTAAAGAAACCAATAGGAGAACACAAGACCAGAAAATGAGCAGGTGGCAGGTGTATATAAAGAAGTGAAATGCTTTGGAAAAGCTTTCTGCTGCCACAACACACAGACCTCCTGCCACTTCTGGAACAAATATTATTCCATTCCGAAAGTGGCGGACTTTTAGAAGTCGACCTCAACTGCGTCCTGATTGGAGGATTCCACGGTCGAGTGGTCTATTTTCTGCGCACACCTACTAAATATGAGCCTTTTTGACCATAAAAATAAACCTCATTTAGCCTAGCTCCTAATAAAATATAAAACTACTTATTGAGGCAATTTCTTATAGTATATCCAACTATTTCACAGCCACTGCAGCGTTGTGGAGCTCGACGTCAAGATACTGGGTTGTTACGGAACTTACAACCTCACCCTATAAATCAGAATTGACGGGCCGGAGCCGCGCTAATGCAACTACGGGAACTGGCGAATTACTATGCATTAAATCACGTGATATGGTATACGTGTTGGAACATACGGACGTCCTACGCCGCCTGCCCCTATTGGTCGACCTCGCTTAGTCATCATTTAGTAAGCTAGTTATTTAGATAGTTTGGCCGTTCCGGCCACCCAATAGAACAAGCATACACTCGCTTCCACAATACGGGTTTGGTATATGACCACGGGATATATAAGGACACTCATTCTCATGTACTTTGTTTAGTTCTTCGTGATCAATCCACATTGTTCCTATATAGTTACGTTTAGTATCAGTTGGCCGGCATCAACTCGTTCGCTCTCTCTTAACTATACGTACTTAATAGGCCTGACCTTTTGGACATGAGCCATTCACGGATTAGTATTGCACCCACGATCGGACCTTGGATTAGGTCACCCTCACGGTACCTTGTTATCGTACCTCAGTGGATTCTGACACGCAGGTTTGACCCTCGCTATGCAAGATAGTTGACTGGTCAGAAGAGCTCCTGCCCGAATACCCAGGCGTAATGGAGGGTTGCGGAGAAAGCGGACCGCTCGGTGGTTGACTACGTTAGCTAGGTAACATAACTTAATAGTTAACGTATTCCACAAGCCAGCGTTCCACACAGGCGAGCGTTCCAGCCCCGTATCCCATATAAAACGGTCACTTTTACAAGTCGGATATCTCAACAATAACAAGCCTAGAGAAGCTGTAGCTGTGCTAAGATATTGGTGTTGTATGGTACTCTAATATATTAGATACAGAGAAGATACAGAGACTGTTATTTTCTATAATGCTCTTAATAGAGTAAATACAGTTATAATTTTGTGTATTTTATTAAGTCTTAAAATACAAGAGCTTAAAAGGCATTAAAAAAATCTACTAAATTTATAATACCTTATGGGTAAAACATATATTAGATATATTAACAAATTAAGAATTGAATCTTTATTGTTGTTGGGATATTTGGGCTATAAAAAGGGCTATTTTATATGGGATATAGAGGTGGAACGCTCGCCTGTGTGGAACGCTCGCATGTGAAATACGATACAGGACTTAGTCATTGGCTGACCAATCTTCAACTACTTCCGTACTGGTATATAATACTATTTTAATACGATCATTTCCATGTATATATATAACACGATCTCAGTCTTACTATAGGTTGTCGTTCCATTTGAGGATGTTCATGAAGGGTTGCACGCTGCCCTTTTGAACGATATATCGAGATTGATGCACTGATCTGATTGCATGGAAACGCCTCAGTACTCGCCTGCTTCTAGCTGCTAGGCATTTCCCCGACCATCTTCCTCCTCCAACCTAGAGGCGAGAGATCAGTGATGGGGAAAAGCCGGCGTGTAGAGTAGCACTATACCGTCATGCTCTTTGTATTCTGACGGACGGCAACGTCCTCCAATAATTGATAAGAGGGTATGTGATGGCTTTTGAGAGAAGACTATGTATGCCATCTTCATCTGTGTCCAAATATATCTATCTTCTCGTCGTCGTCGTCTTCTTCTTCTTCTTCTTCTTCTTCCTCTTCTTCTCCCTCCTCATTGTCCTCGTCTGAGTAGCTACTCCATGACCGTCCATCATCATCACCACCACCACCATTACCTTCATTCTCACCTCTATTGCCGTTGGCTTCTGAAGTTCCATCGGCCGAATCGGTCCCTCGACTTAGAAAACCATACCTGTATTTGAACTTCGTACCCCAAAGGCGAATTTCACCGCTGTCTTCGTTTTCATTCGCCTTGGATGCTCCGCCACCGAACAATGACGTTGACTTTGGTCTCTCGGAGTCACGATCAGGGGGTATCCCGAAATAGTTACTGATAACCGGGGAAACAGCACGGCCGCGCGTGATGCTGTAGGAGGAAAACCGCCCGTTTGACTCGGCTGATAATGGCGCATTGAGTCGTGTGGTTAAGCTAGTTCCCGGGCCTGGGTCGGTGTCAAGTCTCAATGATGCCAACGTTGGGAGCACGATCTCATCTGCGCCTTGGGAAGATGGCCTTGTTCGAGTCGTTACGAATCCTCCTCTCACGTCATCATCTCCATCTTCTAATGAATCCAGTATATCTCCATTTACTAGTCGAATCTGGGCAGTGTTGTATGATTCACACCTGGCTCATTAGTCCACCACTAGTTATGAAAGATCTGGTCAAACTTACATATCACATTTTAGCCCAAGCCAGTGGTACTTCACAACTGACTTTGCGCCGCAATCGTTACAGTAAATTAGAGCTTTCGTGTCATTGAATTCAGCCGGCATAGGCTGACCTTGAATGGTACGGTCTAGGTTTCGGAAAGTAGATTCCATATTCGTGATAGTTTTGCTGCAGATCGGACAGCGGTACGAGTTTTTGGAGTATTCAGAAAGACACTTCTGGTGTATACTGTGACCGCACCGCATAAAGACGACAGTCTCGGGAGAAGTAAACATGTAGTCTCCACAGATGGGACAATCACACTGCGTCGAGCGCTCGATGCATCGATGAGTATTTTCAATAGAGATAGGCAGACAGACACAGCATGTCTGAAATAATACATTAGTACCTGTATACGGATGTATCTTCCAGCCCTTTGGGGTATTGCACCCTACCTTACAGTGAAAGAAGTCTTTACCTAAACCTTGGCCAATACGACAGATTCCGCAATCATTGCAGTGGTAGATACTTTTGCTAGTATCATTATCCCAGAGCTTGCAAATATTGCAGTAGTACTGAGAAGACTGTTCTTCGCATTTAATGCAGAATTGTGAGGCAGGTTGGGCATGTCCGCATAGCATGCATAGCATATTCTCTGTTTTTGGCCGATTGAGATGATGGTCCTCTACCTCATCATGGCAAAATCGACAGGTATACCACCTTTTGCAGGCGTGGCATTGTAGCTTGACATTCCTCTTATAATGCCGACAGCCTAGACAAGCCTCTTCGAGTTCCTCAGCATCCGTATCATCAACATCATCAAGAGGCGGCTCTAGTTCATCTTTGGGAAAGAAAGTTGGTTTCAAGTCTTCAGCTGTCAGACAATGCTGAACCTCCTGCTGAGCGACCGAAGATGGGCTAGCTGGGATTAAAGACTGTCGCTTAAACAACTGGCCACTCTCGTGGCGGTTCGGAGTGACAGGCCGATCCGGACTTCGCGGTCCGGAATGCGACAGTGTTGCCTGCATAGTTTGAGTATCCAGGCTACTTTGACAGGCATTATAGTTCTCTGTCATTAACCGATGGACCATACGTGCTTGCTCCATGTTACTACAATTCAAATCTCGGATGGCATGGATCTTTTTCCTCAAATCACCCATTCCATCGTCTTCTGGAAGCGAAAAATGACCATTCGCCTCAAATATGCCAAGGTGACTGTGTGAAGCCCGTTCGGTCTCCGGCAAAATGGTACTCGTCTGTTGAGAGACACTTCGTGTAGGAATGGTGACGGAAGCGGCTTGTCGTGGGCCCATCGGATCAATCCCATGCATGACCACTATATGACTATTTGAGTCCTCGGAGTCAATATTGTCAACTATATGCCTAGTTTGGTGTTGCAGGGATAAAGGCTCAGTTTCATCGGTGGACTCAGTCAGCGCTGAGAAAGAGGGGTCATCTTCGGAGGCTACATATCCACCGGGCAACCCAGTATTAGGCTGTTCTTCTTGCCCTGAATGTGACATCATAGCCCTTGTGGTACTATTGGTGTTGTCTTCATTTCCTGCTGAAGATTTCGGATACTGGATGCTCAGGGGTTCTGGTTGGTCAAGGATAGAAGGCGGACGGGATCCTTCAGTCTGCTGCGACAGACGACGTGCTTGCCGAACGACGGGTTCGATCAGCAAGGAAGTGATGAGCCCGCTCATGGAGGACCGGAGGCAACATTTGATTTAAAGAAAAACATAGGCTGTACTAGTCTTTCATAAAGCAAAGTTATTTGGAGGGAGAGGTTGTTGTAGTTCTCACGAATAAATATCCTGTGAGTGCCGGAACAGGAACGCAAAGCATGTGACAATCAAGGTCGGGATCGGCCACTGATTTGTTGCCTGACAACCCAGATCTTAGGACTAGTAATGATCAGAACCCTAGTGGAAATACTAGGAGTACTCAGTACTCATTGAGGTTCTCCGTAAAGGTCACTTGATATGTATGTATTTACAGTAATGGTTTGTACAGCACTATGTCAATATATACTATACATACTACTTCGTATAATGCCTTGTTTCTTTTTGCTTTTCCTACGTAATGACGTCTTCGACCTACGTATTATTGAAGTTTCTAACCACTAGCAGAGCAAAGAAAGATAAAAAGAAAAGGTGGCTATAAGCATGTATTTAATTAACTCACAGTAGTTATCATTGGTATGTTCTTTTTCTTTCCTTTTTTTTTTAAAAAAAAAATTTACTTCATTGTACTATTTACTATATACCACAGGTAGAAAGGTAACTATCCAAAATTCACAACGATGTTCGGCATACTGTAGAACTTAAAACGACCTACAATTATTTGAGGCATGTCCCTAAGCTCTCATTCAAGAGCATTAAGGTCAGATTGAATTGCTCATTGGCATCCTTTCGTAGATTGATATCTTTTTGGTCAATCCCTAGCCCTTTGAGTCTTGACAAAGTTAGAGCTAGTACTCTCGGAGTCCTTTTTTCCTGTTCATATATGACCTACACTCGCAAGTCTTTTCTCACTTGAGGTTGCTCCCAGTATCTAACCATCAACAAGTTCTTCACGATCTTATGTTCCAAGCCCGCAACATCGGCAGCTCGCTGGAGAAAGCGTAATGTGTTGGCTATCCTTTGCGGGTCGAAGTCATTACAGGAAGACGAGCGAAACGAGGATCGCAAAATCCGGAGAAGTACATGACGCGATGGCGTAGAGTGATTAATCACTTGCAATCCTTGTCGATATAGATGGCGGTAGGCTTGGATAATAGCTCGTTTATCCACGTGAGTGACACCGTGCATGGTGTCCAAAGGTGTCCTTACAGAGATCAAGGGGAATATTTGGACAAGTCTGTGTCTTAAGTAAGGTACTTTTGAGTAGAGCAGCGATGGGACTAGCCTAAACAGGCAGGCGCCCGCGGGCGTTTAGGCCGCAAATGATCGGCCCGGTTGATGCCCTCCCAATCCATCTCCCTTTCAATTACTGCCGACTACTAGTAGTACTACTGCTTATATCTAGATGCACTGCGCCGCAAACCTAACTCCATCATCTTGTCTACTTCCTCATCCAAAGTCCCCCCTTCTTTTATTTCTTTATTTCTTCCTTTTCTATATGAATGTGTGCATGCTCAAGAGTCAATCAGAGGTTATCTGTGCTGGGCAGTTATAATCTTATCCAGCTTTATTTATCTTTCCTCTGGAGCTGCTCATGTCCACGCGTTCTTTTGGTGTAGAGATGAATCACTAACTGGACTTATCAAGCTATGGCATGCTATTGACGTTCTCTCCCACCCCTTTTACTGAACTGCTTGGTCAGCTCGCTGTATTCTCTTTATGTTCACACATTGCGTCTTTGGGGAGATACCGTCAAGATGAACGCCTGTCTTCTGTAGTGACTTGAAGACCAGACATTAACAGCATGGCCCGAGTATTTCGGAGGCCCGTTTCGGCCCTTGCCAGGCGCGCTCCAGGTAGGGCTGCTCTGAGGACTACTCGAAAGCATAAAGTGATCATGGAGTCCGTCACGCAAGAAAAGAAAAAGCTTCGGAGTGTTGTATGTTATTGTATTATTGGCTTCCTCAGGACAATCTTGACAGTCAAGGCAGATATCGTTTGAAGCGAAGGCACCCCCTGGTTACACTTTCATTCCCGCAGGCAATCCTCAGCTCACCTCTGCGTGCAAGGAACTATGCCGAAAAGATGGTCTGAAGGTTTTTGCTGTCACGGTAGGCCAACAGACGTGTCTCTCTCCCTCCCTCCCCCTTTTCTCTCCATCTTTGCCTTTAGCACTTCTCTTCTCTAATACTTGATCTTTCCCGGTAGACAACTCCGCATATGCACACTCATAACCTTTCTCAGCATGTGCACAGGATCGGGTATCATTTCCCAAGTGCCATTGTTGCGACTGCATGTATGGATTTAGGCCTTTATCTCACACCAGCAGGGAAAGCAATGCCGTTTCAAAGCATTGTCTATACATCAACACACAAACGCACTAACTCAGAGATCTCTCAAACCACCATTAACACTGAGGCGCGGGACGTATTGAGGGATCTTTTCCCTAATATCCCAGATAACGATTTGAACCAAATTATCAAGACTGCCTTCCAGAAAGTATGTGAAACAGTTCTGTATTAGCCAAATAGCAATCGCGAGATGGTCATGCTAAATCGATCGAAGGGCCAACGCAAAGTGGGCACGGCGGTTGAGTTACCCCTGGCTCGTCGAGCACAATTAGCAGTCGTAGCCCATATTCGACATGTCTATACTGATTACGATCGTCTTCTCAAGACCACGTCGTTTCACGAGGCTAGAAGCATTGTTGAAGAACCTACCTTAGCCAGGTTGGTAGAGTGGAGAGGTGATGATGAGAACGGGAAAACAGTCCTCGAGGACGTCTTCCGTGAAGTCATTGTTATTTCCGATGATGAAGATAGTGATACTGAAGGCGACATTCCTCAATATGTTGATCGGGACTACAGTGTGGAGATCGTTTCGAGCCACCCATGTACCGAAGACCTTCAAATGAAGCCTGTCAACTATGCAAACCCTATACATCGAGAACACAACCTGGACATATCGGATGAGGAGGCTCCGCCAGGTTTCCGTTTCATTCGGGTAGCTCCTAGAAAAGCCAAAATTGACCGTCGCGGCTTCAGCAGATACCAGGCCTGGGACCGCGCCATAAACCGGTATAGGAATGGAGCAAATGTGACTGACAAACGCAGACCTCTTGATGGTTCTACCGATCATGGAAGACCCATATACGCTGCACAACAATCTTTGCAGGAAAACAGTGATCCTGGTCTACTCCGAGCCATACCTTCTCGGCGGATATCCGCTACGCCTTTCGGACAAGTGAATAGCACTGGGCTGAATAGATCGACTATTGCCCCTGTCATAGAACACCGTGTAAGTCCGCAAGGAACTTTGGCTCTTGATTTGATATGGCTATTCTTGCCGATTAAGTATGGAAACGTCATCTTGCTAATTCTAGCGAAGAAGCCATATGATGTATATCCCATAACTCGATCCCCTCATCAAAGAGAGGTTGTACCCGAAGTAGTGCCCTTGGAACGGGCTCTAGAGTCTCGAGGGGGAAAGCCTTTATTCCAACAAGATAACTCACCAAATGCTCCTGTTTTTGTTAGTGGCCCTAAGGTCATTGGAAATAGTGGAGATCAGCGTGGATCTCAAAGAGCTTTAGGTCCTTTTTATAGCAGAACAAGCGTCAACCCACAGGAACGTGTCTTGCCCTCTATTGAACCTCCTTTGTCACCGGAAAACAAACTCCCAGATAGTGGCCCATTAGATCATTTTACCGGAATGATGTCTGGAGGTTTCTCTATTCGCTCGGTAACGCCACACCATCTCCCTCACAAGGATATCCCGCATCATTTCATTGAAGATGGGGTGCAGGACCAATTACCCAAGAGAAGACGTCTGGCTTACTATGAAACTGTCAACCCCGAAAGAGGCCATTCTCGTTTGGCTCTTGCCACCGACCTGGCGGATACCAGCACAAGAAGACAATGCATACCTTTGGGGTCTTCGCCAAGGCAATTTTCTCTTCAGGATGACATCCATCTTCGTAGGAAGTATCTTGCACCGGTCGACCCTCTTCCCAATTCAGAGCCCCGGTTAGGGAAGGTTCAATTGTCCAATTCACGTGCTACCCGTTTTGATCTTAAATCAAGGTTCATGCATCCGGAACAATGTGAAACATTAGGAGGCCAATCACTACCCCGTAACCATCCAGTTGAAGAGGTTCACGGCCGGTGGAGACCCCCAGAACAGCCCTGTCCTTTACCAGGAACCAGGACTGCTGCTTCGATGACTTATGGCTCCGATAGAGCTGTGCCCGTGCAATCTTCTAATTTAAAAGAACAAAGGATCTGCTATCCAGATCATCACCATGACTCTAGAACAATGCTACTGGAAGGATCCGGGTTGCATAAGTCTAGCTGGACTAACGGTCATGACCATATTCTAATGCAGCATGAAAACACGAAGAGCCGAAGGCACTATGCAGATGATTTTGTTCGTACTATTGATTCGCAGGCTCTGGTTCCGATGGAGCACCCACCACAGCACCGTCTTCGTACGCATTGTGCCCGGGAGCCTCCTATTCAGCGGACCTGTGTTCAGCACCCTCGCGAGCCTTACAAACATATCATACCTGGCGGTATCAGCTCAAGACCGCCTCCTTTTCGAGACCCTCTGGAATCGAGGGTGGGGCCTGCTGTTCAAGGCCATGCTACGGTGGATATGAGATACCCTGATGCTGGACTGATTGAGTCTGCATCTGCAGTCGGTGATTATGAGGGGCGATTCCCGAATTCATCTCATTCTTCACGGTATGATTTGACCCGAATATTAACTACTTACACTGTCATCTCTACATCTGCCCTTTTCTCCCTTTCCGCTTCGATCTCTTATCGGCACCGGGAATGTTGACTAACTTCTGCTCCAGTGGACGCCCACAACACACACAAGAACTAGCCTATCCTACCTTTGTGGGCAGGGACGATCAATCTCAACCATGCCACTCGATGCCTGAGGGTAGAACCGTTATCATTATGGATTAGGTAGGTGAGCTGGTCTACTTTTTGAGCGCTTTGATGTGGGGTTAAGTTTTAGCTGTAGAATTCTGCTTAACCCCTGTACATACAAGTATATCCGAACGTGTACCAATTGGAATTATTAGTCAACCACGGTTATGATGGACCTAAGGTTTTGAAGCCTGTTACTAAACCTGCATTCGGAATGCGAAATTTAAAAGGGTTTTTATAAAAGGAGGAGTTGGGAAATCCGGATGGGCAGGAAGTAGTTATATAGTCGATTTATCCTAGAAGACCGATCGAACAAGCCCCCGCGCAAATAGCAAAAGAAGCCCTGATTGACCTGGACCCTTGGAGGGCAACCACAAAAGAAAAAGAGGCAGTTCCTCAGATGGCCATGGTCTGACCATCGGCCTCTCCAGTATTGACAGTCTTCCCAGTCTTCTTGATGGTAGCCAACACGGTATCATACGACACGGACGGTTCCGTTACGACGGTGGCAGTTTGGGAATTTAGACTGACATCGAAAGATCTGACCCCTAAACAATAATGCAAAAAGCGAGACAGAGAACTTTTTGTCAGTAATCGGCTATTTTGACTTCGTCTTTTTTTGATTAAACAATGATGATGATGATAAGGAAAAGAAAGAAAAAAACATAAACACAAACAACTTAGGTGGATAGATATACGATCTGTCTAGGCCCAGGTTCAGGGGGAAATAGAGGGGAGAGAAAGGGGAGGAGAGAGAGGGGAACATACCATCCAACTTCTTCAGTACTCGTTCTACAGCTCCAGAGCAACCACCACAGCTCATGGTGATATGAAATTTGTACTGGTGTTCAGACATGGTGAAATGATCGGGCCGCCGTGGTTTGTGGTTCAAAAATGATCTATGAAGATGGAGGGTAGATGCATACCTGTTCAGTTGGCTGTGTGGGAAGACGAAAGATCTGGTGGGGACGGGGCAGTTAGCCAGTACGGAGCCAATCTCTGTTGAGATAAATAGAGTGTAATTGATATTTATTTACTGTTCTTGGGCCTTTTCAACACCCTTCAAACAGAACGGAACAGAACAGAACGTATTAATCAATTACTCATCCCTGAAACGTGGATGATACATCGATGACTTGATCCCTACCGTACAGAGGACCTCCAGCGATATATAGTACTGTGTATACTGCTCGTATTTTATCTCCTTCTCTTGATTGCCTATTATTTAAACGCATGATTTATCCTCCGATTCTAAACCTCCAATCTTCATCGTTCTCTTTCTCTTAGTGGTTACCATCCCCCATGATTTTTCTTCTCATTGATTTACTTATCCATTCCCCTCCTAAAAAACTAAGAGACGAACAGAATCGTCTCACTAAAAGCCAGCCGCTCGCTTTTTTTTCCTCGCCTTCAAAATGCTTTTTCGGCCAGCTTCTCGGCCGCCAAACGCCCCCCGCTCGACCTGGGTCATTGGAAGGCCATCCTCCATCACCTGGCTGCTTTGAAGCCGTATAGCAGGGGGCTCATTAATCTCGGGTTGGCTTCCCCATCCTCGGATAGCAGTCGCTGTAGATGTCATCGGAAGGATGGAAGGTTCTACTGTTTTCTTCCTCAACCTACGCTTCGGGGTCGCATTCTTGGAATCACGTTGCGATTCCTCCATTCCCAGTGCCTGTACAGTTCTTTGCCAGTCATATGCAACCGGATCTGTCCCTGGTAGCCAGTGATGCAGCATATTTGTCACATTTTGAGACACGGACCGCTGTCGCTCATAGGTGAACTCGGTAAAAGCAGCCAGGCTAGAGTAAAAAGGCCTTGTATTCGGGGCGGATCTTCCATCGTCCTCACTTGCCCAGCTGCCGTGGCCATTCTCTCTAGGGATGTGGGACAGTAAGGATGACCGACTTTTACTCCTAGGCCTTGAGCTAATGGGTGGAGTATATGATGATGAATCCCCCTTATGGTTGGATGATTGTTTGTCGGTGTTGGCTTCTGATTCCCAGTCCGTTTTGCGAGTTGCGACGACCTGCGCCAGAACAAAATCAGCCGCAGCACTTCGAATAACTTTTTCTTTCATGATTCGTGTGCGACCGGGTATGTTATGAGGAAGGCTGGCCAGCCAGTAATTCACTGATTGATCATATATCTCGATCAAACTAGACTGGGAAGGCGTTTTCGATTCAACAGGTTTAGTAGATGGCAACATTGTAAGATTAGGTAATTGAATGACAAGCTTTTGGTGCTGGTAGGTGAATGCATGACAATTTAATAAGGTAGACAGCAAGTCCTCAATATCACGTGCGTTCTGGTCAATATCATCCAACAATGGGCTGCGGTCAAGAAGTTCAAGCCTGAGAGGAGTCAGCATCATCATGTTAAAGCAAGAATTATGAATCGTACAGTGTTTTGCTAGCCGATTGGCTTCCCGTCAATGCAGGAACACTGATTGTCAGCTCTTTGAGAGACTCTTGGAAGCTTTTATCACGTATCTGCCTGACATCACCTTCTGGCGATATTCCAAGCCTCCCAGTGGCCACCTCATAAACCTGCGAGTAATCGATAGTCCATTGGGGTAATTCAAGTGGTGTAATACTCGACATCCCCGTGCCTGGAAGAGTGAGTGCACCAGGGCCGACCACAGACTCATCGCAGTCATCGACTATAAAGTCCGCAGAAGACTGTTTTGCATGCATCTGTCCTATGCGCATCACTGGGTAGCGTCGCTTCAGCCGGATAACCTCGTTTCTGAGGTCTTGTTTACGTAGAGCATTATTATCCGAAGGTCCAACATAAATTGATTCACGCACAGATAGGTGTGAGTTTAACACAAAAAGCTTTATAAGCCTGAGGCTCGGGGTATAATCTTTCTTGTCCCCCATTGATGGTAGATGCATGACTTCTTTGAAAACGAGCGACGAGAATCGTTCAAGGCTGGGTTGAGGCTCTCCGTTGTATTCTGAGATCAACGGAATATCCAGAAGGAAGGGATCGGGTATAGGCTCTATATCTCCACGTCCTTCAGATATTGTCGGACAATAGAAAGTCAGCACGATATTGCTCAACCTGGAGTATAGCACAAGATAAGAGTCCTTATACAAGGACAAAGATGTTAGTTGCAGTGTAGTGTCCTCTGGATCCCGAAAGTGACGCCAGGACAGGCGGGGAAAGAGGGAAGGCCTCGTGCCATCCTTGGGTGCTAGAGCCAGGCTAGGATTAACATCAAGCCAAAAAACTCGTAAAGTCGTCAGAATAAAGACATGGGACACGTTGCAAGCGCTCCGCTTGACATCCAGGATCCACTCAGACTTTCTTTTTAAACCAAGTTCTATAGGGAAAGGGTATATCTGATCGCTTTCCATACGATAGAGCATGGGACAGCGCCTATTAGAAACAATGAAGCTGTTGACATCTCCAGCCCACTCCATAGTTGCCCACCCGTCATGCTGAGGTTTATTGCCTATTTCGTGGCCATCACCAAGATCCAGCCATGGAAGTGTGCCAGACGTGGAACATGCAGCTGTCCAGTTACCTTTGTTCTGCTTCTGTCGACCAGATATCTCCCAGATGCTCCAGTTTCCCCTCTCATCGACAATCCCGATTTTCTTCTGATACCACGGATTAAAGACCACAGCCGCGTGTGCATAACCTCCAGTCTCTGAATTCGATATTTCCACCAATAAATTCGGATCAAGGCGAGAATTATGGGGTTTACTTCGAAGTATCTGATCACTATTGTGGCATATGTGAACAGGGACAGGCCTCCTATGATAAAGAGGCCGAAACACCAGGGTAGAATGAGGGAAACGGGCCGCCATCCACGTTGGCTTCTCTTCCACTGTGCGCGCAAAACATATCTGACGAACAGCGGCTCCATGTGCAGACCATTCGGCAGACTCCGCTTGCCTAATGGATGGGACACGTATGTGGGTTGTTGTTGCCAGTTTGAAGTCCACAACGTCCTCGTCTATTTTGTAGAAAGAAATGGCGTTGCCGCACTCCCCGGACGCAACTACCGCAATTGGAACAGTTCGGCTTCCCGAATCATCATTTTCAAGGTCAACTGCGTGTCCCAGGTCAAGGAGTGATGAGCTTAAAGGGTCGCATGTCTCGCTCGTCGTGGCGATGACATGTGAGAGAGTTTCATTGTTAACCAATGGCCAACAAGCTGCGAGTTCTGGGTAAACCTTCGGTATGAGACTTTTGTTTTCGATCTGCGAGGATTGCGAAGCCGTAAAGGGCGGTGTAACAGTAGTCTTCGCTACTCCAGCTAAGGTTATATGAGGTGCTTAGAAAGAAGTTAGCAATGATTAGGATATGCAATCGATTGCTTAGTACTCAGAAGCTTACGCGGAGCGAAAGTCCGAGAAAATCCCCAAGACTGCGTCTCCGGGTCATATATGGCTTTCCCCAAGTGCCCATACTGCAGAGCACTCGTGGGGTGTTCATCCATCGGGGTTATCTAGGCTCCTGACAATATGAACAAGCTCTAGTCTTGTAAGCATATCGAGAACCGACCCATGACGCGTTGAACGATGTGGTGCAAGCTACCTGGAGAGGCCCAAGCGACCCTCTTGCAGTGCAATCAGAAACATTCACCCACGTCAATTATCAAACAGCGCACCATAAGAGAGTGTTGTCAAGCATATATGTATATACGAATGGACTGCAGTCGTCAGTTTAACTGAGCTTTTTTAGATGGAGAAATTATGCCAGTCCTCACCGCTATAGGTACAGAACAGGTAGATGGCCCTGCATCGAGCTCATTTTTGGAGACTCTTCAATTAATGTGGATGAGTTATGTTTCGGAACGCTTCAACTATTTCCACCAGCCCATACAACTCGATATCGAGATCTCGCCTCTCTAATGAAGGTGTGCTGTATGTCACGTGATACTGATAGTAAAACACGCCAAGCCTTTCTATCCGATTGACCGTTGCGGCGCAACAAACATGTTAGTGTCGGGTTGTTGTCAAGAGACTCACTTAGCACCAACAACATATCAATTGCGTCGACCCTGGTTCATTCCTAGACAAGATACGGCGTACAGCGTTCACTATGACTTCTTCTTTCGAACCCTCATTGTCCACTAGCGGCATGCGTCCACCTCTCACATCACCAGATGCACCTTCTATGGCGGAATCCCTACCTAGTATAAACTTTGGCTTTGAGGATCTGCGTAATCGCATGGCCCAGTTCACTGCACGGTTTGATGCTTTTATCGAGAGGGGCAGGAAACAAATACTGGAGGAGAGAAATCAATTCAAGATCGGTTTGGCTGAGCTCCAAGGTGTGCACTTATATAGACCTCGAGGCCATTTAAGCGTGTTGTGACTGATTCAAGCCTTAAGAGGACCAACGAATGAGACAGAGAGACATCGAAATTCTAAATCTTAAGTCACAAACTCATGAACAAACTCTACAGAAAGAAGCTGCCGAAGCTGCCGAGATGCATGCTACGATCTCATCTGTAACTATGGAACGCGATTCTCGTCTTTCTAAACGAGATCGTCTTAAGCAACAAATAAACGAGACACAGAAGGCTATAAATCAGAAATTAGAAGCTCAGAAAGCTCACGCCCGGCATCTTGACGCACAAGCTCGCCTGAACATACCAGAACTCGAATTTTGGCAGGACTATCTATGTCTTCGAATTGAGGGAGCTGGGCGGGAAGATCGCTTGAAATTCGTGTTTAGCCACCTCCTTGAGAAGGACTGGGAAGCCGAGGCCTGGTTTGAGCTTGGCACCTCCAGTCGCGACTACGAAGTGTTTCATACCCGGCCCAAGGTGGACAGGGATGCTCTTGATAGAGAGCTGGATATCTTGAACGAGGATCGGGACTTTGGCGCTTTTTTAAAAAGGATGCGTCGACTATTTGTCGAAATCTTCAAATAAAAATAGGCAACTGGTTGCGTTGACAAGGGCTGTCCATGCTAACTACGGAATCGGATTGAATACGAAGCTCTTCAGCTTGATGATATTGGTTTATAGCTTAAAGTACACCGGGAGAAATACATTGCAGAATGGTTTCCGCACAATCAGCAGACCGTAGGCTGGTTTGCTGGCTGTGAAAATTGCAAAGAAAATCTCATACAGATTGCATGTGTCTAGATATCAGCCGCCAGTAGCTTCCCTGTAGAATGATATGTTACGATTTGCACCGGCCGTGGCAAATCCTTCTGACTTTCCAATCTTCGGTAGCCATCTGACGTTCCAAACGGCCCTCTCCGTTTCAGAATGAGTTGCAACACATGTTCTGGTGTCGATAGACCAGACTTTGACTTTTCCATCGAATGATCTTCAAAGATGTTAGCGCAACCCCCTTTACTAGCCCAGGTGGTATACTACAGTGCGCTTACCCGCTTAAGAGATGTTCTCCTGTATGGCTCCAGGAAAGAGACAGGACCCATGCCGAGTGCCCTGAGAGGTTAGCCACCTGCTCACCAGACGCAGTATCATATAGCACTATCACTTTAGAGTCTCCAGCAGCTGCGAGGAACTTTCCCCCGGGAGAAAATGCAACAGCTCTTAAGGGCTTCACTAGTCCTGCGAGGTATCAGCTGCGTCTGACATTGATGCTGTGAGAGACTACAGGGGTATATGTAAGGCACATACCGGATAAACTAAACGGCATACGACCAGTTTCCGTGCTAAAGATGTAGACGCTACCATTCTCATGCCCGCTGGCTATGAAACGACCATCTGCCGACTAAAATCGGCCTGTCAGCTTAACCAAAAAAAAAATAGTAATAATAATAATAAATAAATAAATAAAATTAGAAATTCAAGATTGTATAGATAGCTTACCATGTCAATGCAGGTACCAAAGCTACCTTTAGTTTCATAGTCACGTATTTGTTCGCCATTGGCACTCAAATCCCACACTCTAATGTGTCCATCTTGGCTTACACCGGCAAGATACTGACCATCCTCTGACAAGGCAATTGCCCAAGTATCAGTAGGTTTTGTGCTACCGGCTATTCAGATGTTAGAGAAAGAGTTTTCTCAGTGATATAAGACATTCCATTACCTAAGGCTGTCTCATCTTCGGACCAGGTCCCATTATGACAGGACCAAACCCTGATCTCACCTCCAAAGCCAACACTTACTGCTCTCGACCCACTTCCATTGGTTACCACATGATGGCACCCAGCTTTATGGGCCCCATCAATTGATTGTACCAACGGGAAATCAGGGTCGGCTGTCGAATGAACTTTGAGAGCAGAGACACCGGAAGCTGACAATATCTGCTTATCGGTGACAGCCAGAGAGAAAATATCAGCGGCGTGTGCTGTGCATGGTCAGCACAGATCTAGTTGATAGTGAAAGGGCAGCGAAAGAGTTGAAGGGAGGACAAGAATATAAGAGTAATTTTGTATACATACCATCATCTGCCGATCCACAGGATAGATATTGTTTCGACTGTTATAGGTATCATTGTCAGAATATGTGGCCCGTGAAATTCTCTATTTCCATAGAACTTACCATAGCAGAATGCTTCTGGCTATGTATGGGGAATTCTAGATAATTTAGTCTGCATATATCCGTGTTCCGAGGGGATAAATGAAGTTGCTATAATTCGCAAAAATAGTGGGACACACTTGTCGGGTGAGATCATCAGCGGCCGCCTTAAAAACAAAAATGACATAACAACACTCACTCACTGAAGAAAAGAGCTTACGGTTTGAAAAACTCTAGAATTGCCTTCGCAAGGAAATATATAAATAAAAATATTAAAAAAATCGAAATATAACAACATCTAATTGAAGGTTTTTTATAGCAAATATACAGAACCCAAACACGCGAATTCCCACGTCAGAACCAGACGCCAAGTGCCATGCAGCATATATCTATCGACACTTCATGTATATAGTAAAAGTACAATTCTCAAGGGCATATGGAATTCGCCGCCTCCCTCGCTTTCCCTGGCCTTGTTTATTATTCGTTTCTTTCTCACGCTGTGTGGGTTTGCTTCCATTGTTTTTTTATATCTGTGAAGTCAGTCATTGCCAGATTTGAGTCGTGGGGAATGCAGCGATGGTAGTTTACATACTCTCAACACAGTGTGGACATAAAACATGCGCACGCTTTATTTGGCCGCAGCCAGAGCAGGTGTTGAGGTTCTTGACATCCTTCAAGGCTTTACCAGCCATCTGCCTGTGACGCTTCTTCATATGGGAGGTTTTCTTCTTCGGCACAGCTTGGAGAACAGAGTCCCAAACATCGGACAGAAGACCTGGTATATTCAGCGATAATGCGGCGGGCTTCGAGAGGGTGTTAAAGACGCTAGGGGAGGACCACAGAATCCGAGAAGCCCGTCCTAGAGTTTCGGAGGATATAAAGATACGCGACAGCATCTGCGAGGGCATGGTAGGCGAGATTGACCGCAGTGCCATTATGTCCAAGTCCGAGAGGAAATCTGCTGAAACGAAGGGCGATCGACGGGAAGCTAGGCGTATCTGATATCTGATATCAAAATTTTGGTATGCTTCTTGGAAGCCGAAGCCGACACTGCGGATGTGCTGATTTGGGTCCGGAGAAGGCACTAGCCCGAATGTAGACTAGCGTCCCCCTGAGAGCAACAACAATTAAAGGGGTCCATAACGGTGGTGGACTGCATCTCTCCTTCTCCAGTCAAACTAGCATCTTGGGGGTAGAAAGCTCGTCTGTCAAACACTAGACCTTCTTGGTGGCTTAGCTCTTGCTTGATTCTTCAGTCCTCACATTCATCATACCCCCATTGGTCTAATTGGAGATAACACCTGGTCACCTACCTACCTTGTGCTATCTCTCCACCATGGCTACCACCACTACTAGCCCGACTTCCACCACCCCGGCTCCCGTTTTCCCTCGTAGCCATGTCGGTTTCGACAGTATCACCTCGCAAATTGAACGGAAGCTGCTCAAGCGCGGCTTTCAGTTTAACGTGATGTGTGTTGGTAAGTCCTCTTTTATTTACTTGAGTGGCCATGCTTTAACTATCAAACTAACAATTTGAAAAGGCCAGACGGGTCTTGGGAAATCCACCTTGATCAACACTATCTTTGCCTCCCACTTGATTGACTCGAAGGGTCGTCTGACTCCTAATGAGCCCGTCCGCTCGACCACGGAAATCCAGACCGTCTCCCATAGTAAGTCAACAACGTTGCCTTCCCACGTTGAAGGGGCCCTGTTAATGATCGGCAACTAGTTATTGAGGAAAACGGTGTACGCCTTAGGCTAAATATCGTGGATACCCCTGGATATGGCGATCAAGTCAACAACGATAGATGGTATAAGTCCTGTGATGTTCGCGTTACTCGTGCTAATTACTTGCCAGTTGGGACCCCATCGTGAAATACATCAAGGACCAACATTCCGCGTACCTCCGAAAGGAACTTACTGCCCAGCGTGACCGTTACATTCAAGATACCCGCATTCACTGTTGCTTGTTCTTCATTCAACCGTCTGGGCATGCGTGAGTCTTATGTCTCTCAAACCGTGGAACCTGGCTGAGCTGACTATATTCTAGCCTCAAACCTATTGATATCGTTGTCTTGAAGAAGTTGTCCGATGTCGTCAATGTTGTTCCTGTGATTGCCAAGGCTGATTCGCTCACCCTTGAGGAACGTCAGGCGTTCAAGGAAAGAATTAAGGAGGAGTTTGCCTTTCACAACTTGAAGATGTACCCGTATGATAACGATGAGCTCGACGACGAGGAGCGCGCGGTCAATGCCCAAATCAAGGTCCGGATCCCCACTGATACGTGTAATCGTCTAGTGTCTAATGCATATGCAGGACATTATCCCCTTTGCTGTTGTCGGGAGTGAAAGGACTATTGTGGTCAATGGCCAACAAGTTCGCGGCCGACAGAACCGCTGGGGTGTTATCAACGTGGAGGATGAGAATCACTGTGAATTTGTTTACCTGAGAAACTTCCTCACTCGCACCCATCTCCAGGACCTTATTGAGACCACAAGCCAGATCCACTACGAGACCTTCCGTGCTAAGCAGCTTCTTGCCCTCAAGGAGAGCAGTGCAGCTGGCGGTCACAGTGGTGGAAGCCGGCCCATCAGCCCCTCTGCCGACAGAGAACTTAGCCGCAACTCTCAACGAATGACTATGAATGGTTATTAACGTCGTCTTGGGAGTGTCAAGGATATATCTCAGTATTCCATGGAACAAGCCATGCATACAAGCTGTTTCCATACATAGGCGCAAGCGCAGACAACTACAGAAAAGTCTCGAGCATCCCTCCCTTCTTTTTTCTTTCTATCTCATACATAACTCCAGATTCATACCAGCATGTTACAGATATCCTTTTAACTACTGATTTCTTCTTGTCCTACTTTGTCTCCTATGTTTCTGTCTCCCAGTATGGAAAGTGACTGGCTTTACCCCATTTCTTACGTTCGAAATTGTTATTGCAGACTTGACAGCGACTAGCAATGATAGCCCTTGCGTCATCCTTCTCGTCTTATGTACTTAATTTCCTTAATTATCACTTCATGAGGAAAATACACTCGGTATTACCTAATAACACAACGAATCTTGAATAGTAGGCTTGATTCACATTCATAGCCTTGCCAATTCTGCATTATCTTGATCATAATAATCCTTACAAAAAGATAAGCCTTATCCAATCCGTCAACTAATACTGCGCCCCAAATTTATGGCCGTCGACAATCCAATCCCTAAGCTCTGTGTAGGCTTTTTCCAGATCATCATTGATGATTACCTTGTCATGTGCGCCGGGTTCCTTGGCGTACTCGAGCTCATTTTTAGCCTGCGCTAACCGCTTGCTGTGAAAGTCGAATGTTAACACCTACCTTGTCGCAAACAACAGGAACAAAATGGATCCGTGCAAGGTAACTCACCTCAAGCTTTCTTCGGATTCGGTGCCTCTCCCTCGCAACCTCTGCTCCAATTCTTCCACAGAAGGGGGTGCAAGAAACAGAAAACGAGCATTTAGGTCCGTACGCTTCACTTGCTTCACACCCTTTTTAAATAAATTATCAGTATGCTTGTATCTTGATTTATTCTCGACCATTTGATGCTTGTCTGTTTCGAGTTCCGCAGCAGTATAAGGAATTGATTACCTCCATCTCGATATCGAGGATACAGATTTTACCCTTCTCCGCAACATTTTTCACCGCCTGGACACTGGTGCCATAGTGATTCCCTCCAAACTGCGCATGTTCAATGAACCCATTTACGCTCACAAGGTCGAGGAAATCCGCCTTTGTTGTGAAATAATACTCGCGCCCATGCTCTTCACCCGGTCGTGGAGCCCTGGTGGTATCTGCATTCGTCAACATGGTTAACCTATAAGTGTTGGAAGACGTGAAGTTCTTATTCAAAACCTCCCCCAAGAGTAACGGGAGGGACAGGGAGACGGACGCGAAACAGAAAACCCAAAGGTATCAGGATACTCGGCAAACAATCTTTTCAGTAAAGTTGACTTCCCAGTCCCAGAAGGGCCTGATACTACTACCGGACGAAACTTTTGCACTGAGGTGAACGTCAATATCCTAGGTACTTCGCATGCGTTGAGGGGTAAGCGCTAACGGGATTCGCACCAGCATTGGTCGACATTGTCAAAGCTGAGTAGCGAAGAGGCAACCGGCGAGATCCGCTAAGACAATGAAAGGCTAGGCGACAAGTCAAAGAGGGGCACATAGACAGAGAACCGAAGGTGAAAGAAAAGATGTGTGGAGAAGACTCGGTACATACATTGCAACTGAGATAATACTTTGATTTAATTCATTTCCGAAGGCGGTGACCACGGAATTTAGTGGACATGGAAGCTACTAAAACGAAACGCCCAGCTAAATGTAAAGTTGGTTCTAAAATTTTCGATTTGTAACGGATATAAGTTCTGATAAGAACCTGCTTATCATATAGCTCACAAAGAACTATACCAGTATGACTTCAACACAGCCTATGTGCGGCAACGGAACGTATTGTCAGTTGTTTTCTATATACCACAATGGTCAAGGCTTTGACTGTGTGTTTTCCAGCGCAGCTTGGGACTCCTGCTCGAGAAAGTTGGACCAAAGTTCTGCCAATGACTCCTTGCTTGTGTTACCATTATCCAAAAATTCCGTAGCCAGCGTGGGCGTACCGGGGGTACGATGGACAGGTGTGTTTGGCACTCTAAGCCTGTTAGAGGTACTTGAAGTTCCTGGACGCGCCAAACCGGCTTGCTCGCGCTGTTCTGTTGCTGACTGTCAACTCTTGTCGCAGGGAGGGCGTGAATGCAGAAGTATTCTCACGTACCATCTGTCCACCCTAGGAGAGCCGCGATGAGTTGCAAGATTTGGAATTTCTTAGGGTCTGACCGATCCAGAGTAAGAAAATGTAGGAAGTGATTCGTCACAATGTGCCTGATAGAACTCATCAGTAACTCTCGAATTAATTGATAGAAAAGCTCGTCTGGTCTGGTCTCAACATGCCTGTCGACATTATCCTCCGGCTTCCCTTTCTTGAGAAATCTCAACGCCTTAGTCAAGTGATCGTTCAGAGTTACTGCCTCATGCCTGAGTTTCCCAATGAGAAGGTTCTTTTCCTTAACTTCTTTCTCAAATGGTCTTACACGCTCCAATTCTTTCTGAGCATCTTGAAAGGCTTTGTCGGTGTCCAATGCCTTTTTCTCTGCGCAGTGAAGTGCCTGTTTTAGCTCTTCAAGTTGAGCATCGGAGCTCTCTACGAGCTCACGGAGTTCTTGTTTTCGGGCTGAAACGCGTTAGAGTTCCTGACTTATCACGGTTCGAAACGTGGGGCTTGGTTACCTGTCTGGATTTCCTGCAAAGCTCTTTGTAACCCGTCCACCGTGGCTAATTGTGAGTCTCGCTCATCAGAAGCTCTTTCGTAGGCATCTTTGAGGCTGGCGAGCTGTTCTTCGAGGTCTACGAGTTTCTCGCCGAGATTTTCCCTGATAGACCGCTCTTCCATAGCAAGGACTTCCCAGTTGTGCATGGCTTCCTTAGCTTGTTCAAATTCAGATTGAAGATATGATTCTTGCTCGAGAAGCTCTTCCTTTTCCTTCAGCCAGTTCTGCTGTGACAAATTTGTCCGATCTCGTAGGGTTGAGATTTCCTTCGACTTCTGCTCATTCTCTTTAGACAGCTCCGCCAACTCAGTGGCCTTAGCCTGGAACCCCTCTTTCAATGTCGAGTTCTGTTCTTCTAGCTCCCTAATCTTTAATCTAGCCTGGGCGAGTTCCTCCTATAAAGATGTCAGCTGGAGGGCAACGGCTGGAGCCTAACACAAATGCACATACAGCGTCTTCCTTGAGCCGTTCACCAAGCTGCGATTTAATTGTATTGACACGCTCCAACAGTTTCTGGAACTGTGACTCGGCGTGGTCCTTTTTACTCTCGGCGTCGTTTAGTTTCTGTTGTAGAACCTCCATGTCTGTCCGATGCTTAGACTGTATTTCTTCCAAAGATCTCCGCATATCCGTCACTTCAGCGCGTAGCGAGTCCCGATCGCGTACTAGAGCGTCGAACCGTTCCTTCGATTGGAGTGTATCAGAAGGTGATTTTGGTATGTCCTCTTCCCCATTTTGGGTGGCTGTTTGTCGCTCATCTTCGGAATCCTTTTGCGCACCATCATCGAAAGCGCTGTGATCTCCTCCTATTTTGGTTTCCTGCTTCTCCGTATTTGTCTCCCGGCGGGAATCGGGTATGCCCTGATGTCTATCGTAAGTTTTGGCAGGGCATGGTGCATTGAACGTAAGACTACCCACATTGGGATTTACTGTGACAAGAGATTCCTCCGCTCGTAAGTTCCCGGACACATCCTGCTGCTCTACAATTCCCCTGCCACATCCTTCCTGACTCTTTGTGGCGCCCTTGTTCTTCCTCTTGTTCTTCGACGTACCTTCTGCTCGAGAATGGCTTGTGAGAACGGGATTCAAAGGATCATTTAAGGGGTAGTTGTTGACCCAATACACACCTTCGGGCATTTTCCTTCGAGTTCCCGTAAATTTTTTTTCGTTTCTGGGAGAATAATAGGAACCGCTCGGGCGTGGTTTGGAGATCGGGGCCATAGCTGTCAACATCACTTAGCGCAGCCGCAAGGACTAGCTGACTTCCGAAGTCCGAACCACTCGCTTAAGTACCGCAAACGAATGCGTTTGCGAAAGCACCAGTGACTCAGGCCAAATATCAAAGGAAAAAAGTGGGTGGACAATTTTTATGTTACTTTTCTATGATATGAATGGGTTTGACTTTCCATATTCAGGTAGTGTCCAAGCTGGTCTGAGGTCTAGTGAAGGATGCTCATACGCTAGTATGTGCACCACACCGAGTAATTCGCTTCTAATACAGTGTGCTAGAAAACATAAGAGATGGCAGAGTATTATAACCATGAAGGACATCATTAAACAAATAGCGAAAAGGATTGCGAAAGTTTAAAGAAGAGAAGAAACGAATTTTTGAAATTATAAAGAGCTTGGTTTGGAGTTTCCGACAGTGACCGGTTTTTAGGTAGAACTAAGAACACTACGTCCAACTTGACGTGGAATTGGAACGATTGGTCTGGTATATAAAAATGCGCGGTTCCACAGCTGGTCTTCGCAGTCACATGAAGTCATCTAGAAAGTTGGGATCCCGATCATGATTACTGCTTGCCTGGATGTTCTCCTCACTCATCAGATCATCATAGGCATGCTCTTTCTGCCACTTGAGCTGTTCCCTTTCTCTCTTTTCCTGTTTCTCTCTTGCCCGCAGTTCGTCTCTGCTCTTCCTCTCCTCCCTCTGCTTCTTCTTCAGAAAATCCTCTTTCTCCGCCATGAGATCAGGGAACTTTTCGACACGCGTCTTATTTAGTCGATTGACTATGGCGTTCTCCCTTTGCCGCACAAATACTTTTCGCACCAGCTTGGAGTTGTGGAATGAGACTTGACCGGCAGCCATCGATCCATCCTTCATTAGGTTCGACCATGGCGTATAGATTACCGTGATATTGTCCCTTTTGTTTCCTACCGGATCAGTTAGCGCATTCCATATTGATAGCAGTACAGCACAGGGAATAATAAAGGTATCCTGCTCACCCTCGATAGAATTTGCCTTTGTAAGTTGTGCGCAGTCTTCTAGGAGCGGCTGCGGGAGATTGTCCCATAATTCACCATCACGGAGTCGAAGGTAGACGTGCGCACTTGATAGGTTATCAACGTGAAACTGATCATAGAGTCAGATCTTGTTCAGACAATGGAGAAGTGATAACAAACCCTACCAAGGTCATTGAGACCAGCAACTGTTAGCGCACATTGTCACAAAAGGATTGGATAATGCTAATGATACCAAACATCCTTCTCTAGTCCATACTTTATGAGATCCTCATCTATTCAAATCAATTGTCAATCGTTTAAGATGCCACTAGATCTGGAAGATGGTTGTCATACTCTCAAATTTGTCTTTCCCGACATAGATAAAAGCGGACGGATCAACCACGTTCGATGTAAAATAATAAACCATGTTGTTACAATTATCTGTAACAAGAATTAATAAGAAACAATTAGAAGACAGTTGAAGCTAACCATCGGATTTTGAACGCTACAACTGTGTGTATTGGAAGGCGGGGGTGTAGATTTTCTTACACAGTACAGTTAATTTTTGTGGGGAATTACATGAATTCATGTATGCACATATTAGTCATCTGTTCTTGCTTAATGTTATAAACCGATACAATACAACACTTTGGGTAAACACTTCAATAGAGCAGAACCCATGTACATACTACTACATATATGCTTGTGTAAGTAAATCATACTATTCGATCTGATTAGATCACAACCCCATAGAAATGAAGGTAGTGAGGGGAGATGATACGTAGTGTTGCATTCTAAATATCATGCCGACCGCTTGTATACACACTACTAGGTAATAGCCTGAAGATCGTTAGGTTGAGGTTTTACAAGAAGGGTAGAGCCTATGATCATGTGGAAATCTTTAGATGAAAGTAAGAGAAAGGGTCACACTCAACACCTTATGAGAAGCCTCCACTCATAGAAGTTTTGCTGTAAACTGCGACAGTCGTGATTTAATGTACATATGTACATACAGATGTTGTCACTCGACATAGGACTCAATCCGTCTGGTTACCTTGATCTTCCCCTACCGACAAACTGTAGCCTACAGGGGGGAGGAAATAAAGAGGAGTGGGGGGCGGTAAGAGAAAAAAGCGGAAGACAAAAGAAAAGGTCAAAGCAAAGCGAACACAATAAAACGGAAAGAAGGGTCGGATGATGGAAGTAAAGTAGAGTACGTCACGTGGGAAGCAGTTTCAGATTCTGTTCAAAAAAAAAAAAAAAAAAAAAGGAGACACGAATAAATTGTACTTGTCAACCTGAAGATACAACTGTAGCTTTATGCCAAATCATGTTAGGCTTCAGATAATTGCAGGTAAATGCAAGCTTCCGTCATGGCTGCAAGGTCAGACACATGAGCAAACGCTAATTTGTGATAAAAATAGAACAGTATGTATTAGATACTCTATAATTGCACAACATAGAAATGCCAGCATTGGATGAATATTTGTCATGCTTTTATTCGGTTGAGCCTGAGACATTTAGATATACTTGGTATAAGAAATATGCCACTATCAAACATTACAGACATTGGTGCTACGGCGCTGCGAGTCATTTAATCTCCTAGCCTTCCACTGATTGAAAGGCTTCATAACAATACCCACTTAACCCCCACTTAATTCATGCACCAGACCATATGAGTTGCTACAAGGGGTGAAAATTCGGCCAAACTTGAACACTTACTACCATCTACTGATCACGCCTCATGTAAGTAGTAGTCTAGGTAACTGAGCAACCACTATCCCGACGTGATTATTCCATACTGGTATTAGGTGTAGGGACAACTGGACACGCAACTAAACTCTCTGGTATTACTTGTTCCAGATAAGTCAGGTTAGTCGCATGCGTGTCTAATTACATATAACCACTAACTAATCTTCCAGTAACTCATTGCAACTGTACAGTAAGTGCAGTGTAAAAGTGTACTCCATAAATTCGCGCCAAACCCTACTGTGGAGCCTAAATCGGATCCTTTGAGTAAAAACCGTTACGCCAAGAATTAAGTACTGCTGCTATAGCGGGTGAGCCCGTACGAAACCCCACCTGCCACATGGCTCTTCGGAGCGGAACAGTCCCCTCTTGGATAAAACAAGATAAAAAGAAGACAGGAAGAAAGAGAGAAAGGGAGAACATGTGTATGTATATGTATGTTGGTGTTTAAATAGGGTAGGTTTATTTGTTTTATATGTGTATGTCCCAAAGGGAATTGAGAAAGTATAGGTACTCACACCCTCAATAGGCATCTGTGCTCGTGGGCTTTACCCAGAATTTCCTGTTACAAGGGTCTTGACAGGAGCTCTAAATAAGAATTTGCGAATGTCCTACCACAACATCCCTGGTACAGTTTGACCTGGCCTAAAACTAGAGCATTTTTGAGGATGAATGTAACAATAAATAGATTCACACGTCTCCTCTGCAATGCCAACAAAGTAAGTGTTCATCTTTGGTCACCTGTGGGAAACTCGATCCACGACTGCCCACCCACCCCTTGTGCTCCACCTGGAAGTGTGTTAATTTGAAAAGGCTCGGGCTTGCCAGAGAGCGAGGTTCCCACCAGGTTTCTTTCTCTCGCTCTCTCTCTCTTTTTTCTTTCTTCCTCTCTTTGTTTTTTATTTTCCTTATTCTTGTCTATTTTTTATTTTGGGTAATGGGATATTTTCTCTTTGCATCCCCCGGCAGTTAGGATTTGGGTTGTTCCTTTGTTGATTCCTACATTCTTCAGTGTCTTCTTCCATGATACTCTTCACAGATTGCAACACCCAACCGTACCACACCCAGCCAATCGCCATAAGTTGACTCCAAATGGCCAATTCTACCTCTCCTGCTACTCGGCCTAATGTCCTACAATCGCTGGAACGAGCCAGGAACTGTGAAGACAACGATGAAGATCGCAATATCCTTGAAGATGCTGTGACGGAGCTGTGGGAGAGGGTACAGAGTCAACCAGACACTTACGTGTTTACACCAGATGAATTCGCGCTCTTCAACTATTTTATCGCCCGTTTCCAGGGTTCTGTCGCTCGAGGAGCAGTGGCACGGTTTTGGGACAATTATCGAGGAAACACTTCGAGTTTGGGTTGAAGCGATATAGTCAAGGCCTTCGACACAACGTCGGTCGTCAATTACATGTGCAATTTTAAAACATGTTCACTTTGAAGAGGCAGGAAAATTGCTTCTTATGTCCAGGCCCAAGAAAAAGATGCAGCCGTCAAATTGACGCGAATAGAACCCCTTTTTTGGGTGTTTTTTTTTTTTTTTTGTGGAGGGGTTTTTCGGAGGACCAATGATACCCGCGCAAGATTGCGATATGGCCACGCATAGAGAGGGGCATGCGATTATCTCAGGAGTCAGATACGGAGTAGACAGGTCGACAATTATTCGAGGGAATGTTGCATCTGCAGTCTTTTGGATTGGACATGTTCTGACGGTACCTGAGTCGGCTGCACTTAGAGATCGTTCACGGACCTAAATCTGGTAATGGCAAATCCGCTACCCGGGCGGCTGAACGGTTGTCGGAGATTGCCGTTCATTCACCTGCGCAAGCTTAATTCTTAGAGGTGGTCGGGCCTTCGTCATCGACTTCTAACGTTCTTTTTCCTGTTTTTGTTTCCCTCTCTTTTTCATCCTTGATTTTCATCACTTTAACTCATCAAGTCACCAATCTTCAGCAATCGTCTCTTTACCGTATGTCTAGGTAGCTGAGCTACATGGGACGAACATCGTCCATACTAAGACCCCCGCCTATACTTTACTCCGAATTATCTCCGGCGATATATTTATTTATATGTTCGTTCAAGATGTGATAGTAAGACGGTGTGCCGTGGGATCCAAAACCCGGCACCTTCAGGGAGAAGAAGTCAATCCAAGTTGATCATTGGAAAGGTTGTAGAGGTGCGTTGTCCCTACAAGTAACTCAGAATACAGAATACAGGATGACTTCTAGCAAAAGTAAATCGAGGGTTATTGTGCGACAGGGTTAAGGAAAGATACCCACTCGACAAGTATGTATGTACTAAGAAGGGTACTCTACGGGTATCTTATTAAGGAGAGCTTACGAGCGGAGCAGTTAAAATTAAACGCAGCTATACCTTACAAGAAGTTATAGGTAAGCCCTTGTTTTTATCCACCCTGTACGCCATCCTACCTACAGTCCTACACAGGAAGTTCTATGGATAGTGCCACCATGGGCTTGTCAATAATCAACTCGATCATGGTATATAACACGAACCATGGCCCGAGATTTCTAACACTTTTAATACGTCGTTATGACCTTTTCTACCTAATTTGCCCCCGTCCTTTGCTAATACTAGTAAAGTCTAGGGCTAGATCGTATGGCACAGATCCTGTTCCGTAAGTTTTTCATTGGCCAGCCTAGTGGATCGTCCGAGACGATACAGTATGTATTGTACCTTGTGTCAAAGTACTATGTATGTCCGAGTAGTTATACTTAACGTAATCGGCCACCGAACCGGCAGGTTTCTTCGACGTGTAAAAACCGGGCTTACCTAAGGAAGGCTAATTAACGTATTTCACTGGTGAGCGGGCCACACCGACGAGCGGGCCACCTCCATATCCCATACTAAACAGTCACTTTTTAAGGTCTGATATCTCAACCATCATTAGCTATATTATAATAATATACTTATAGAAGCTGTATATAGGCTTTCAGAACATGTTTTTCTACTTTATATAACTATAACTTATTTTAAGTGCTTGTAATATTAGTATAAAATAAATTACTAAAAAATACAATGTAATATATATTACCTCAAGATATATAAACTTATATCCTTTAAAATCTAAATACTGATATTAAATCTTACTTTAATATATTGTTGTATAAATATGAATCACTTTAGATAAGGTGTGGTTGAGATACTGGATCTTAAAAAGTGACTGTTTAATATGGGATACGGAGGTGGCCCGCTCGTTGGTGTGGCCCGCTCACCAGTGAAATACGTTATGGAGTACAAATTGTACCACGTGACACGGTGTACGAGCCAAGACAAGATATACCATATACCACCTTGGAGGAAATAGACCGCAGAGGGAAGAGACATATAAGGACACTCATTCATGTACTTAGTTTAGTTCTTCGTGATCAATAAAGATGGTTACTACAGAGTTACCTTTAATATCAAAGACCAGCATCAACTCGTTCGAACTCTTCTATGGAGTATACGTACTTGATAAGCCTGGCCTTTTGGACTTGAGCTATTCACGGATTAGTTATTGCATCTTCGATCGGACCTTGGATTATGTCTCCCACACGGCACCACGGCATCTCGTTTACTGAATCTCAGTGGATTCTGATATTCAGGTTTGACCCTCGCTACGCAAGCGCAGCTAACTGGTCAGCAGACCTCCAGCCCGAATACCCAGGCGTAACACTCTGTTAGCCTGCCTGCCCGAGTCCGCACCCTGCAACTATATACGCTAACACTATCACTAGTTACAAGACTTAATTTTCTCTATTTTTCAGTCTTCAGCATACTCGTCAGCTAGATCGGAAGAGTCGTAATTTATAGAATAGCCTTAGTATAACACGGAAGCTTTCTAGTAGCCTAATTAGTTATATTCAGTATCTTGAAAAAGCTGCGTAAATGATAATGTATATTAATATTTCTTTATAGCAAGAAATTAGATCTTTATGGGCTGAAAATAAGCGAAAATAAAGAAGACGTGCTATGGACTTAGACTTTTAGTAATACAGGAAGGTAAGAATCGCGTTCAGCAGTTTGATACGCAGCTTAATGAGCATTCTGAGGAATCTACACCTGTGCCTAGACGACGGGCTCCTCAACGCTGCAGTAGCTATGAGATAGTCAGGCATACTATTCGGAATTGCCCTAGTAAATACCCATATTTTTATATATTTAGTAAGTCAAATTTAATGGCGTTGTGTGGTTAAAAAGCTTCAAATACTGGTAGATAGTCTGAAAGCTTACTGGTTCGGTGACACTGCCAACTGGGTGCAGGTTGATAACGTTAAGTAATGTACACGTTCATGTAAAGGAAGGTGTATGGTGGGCGGTATGGGGTGTTTACAGTGCCCCACAAAAGTTTGCATAATTTAATAGCCGCGCACCTTGCCATGGTTCAACCCTCTATATGAAAATATATATATCTTGCAATACAAGATGGATTATATTAATCTAAGTATATTAAAAACAGAATAAAAGGCTAAAAATTATGAAAATATGTAAAAACAGTAGAAAATTAGCTTAATATTTGGTATACCACTCTTTTGTCCTCAAAACTGCTTCAACCCGCTTCTTTATACTCTTTATTATTGTAGATTGAATATCTTGACGAATCAAGGCCTATGACTGTTCTAAAGCCTTCTATAGGACCTCTTCCTTCTTATTATTTGATCCCTGGTACTTTTCAATATCAGGATTCAAGTTGTAGACCCCTTCTTCAAGCGGAAACCACATGTGCTCAGTAGGGTTTAAATCAGGTGAGTATGGAGGCCATTCCATATAATTTATAGCATTATCTTGTAACCATTCTTTAATCTTTTGGCCGAATGAAAGGGGGCATTATCATGCATGAAAATAAGACATGATTCCCGAATAGTAAGCAGGAACTTCTCCAATAGAGCAAGATAGGAGCGTGCAGTGTAGCCATATTTTTTAGCTTTAAAATCACGCTCCAAACGGATGAGATCACTGCAGTTTTTGCCCCAAATAGCTGCCTAAACCATTACACGGATAGCTTTCCCTTTGATATATGGTTGAATATATTCCCCTTTCTATTTCTCGCCTTGTAAATTGAGTCAAAACACATATTTATACCGTTGGCCGGAATCCAATTCAACTGAACACTTATTAGACCATATAATCTTAGCCCAATCAGGGTCACTATAACCTCGATATTTTAGGGCCCGATTATAACGCTGCTTGGCCACATCTGATGTTAATTTAGGGCGCTTTTGAGCACGCCATTTGCTATATTCTGATTCTTGAAGTATGCAGTATAGTGTGGCATGGGAAATTATAAAATGTAGTATTTCTTGGACCTCTTGGTAGGTAATAAAAGGATTTTGTTTAATCAATTGAATCAGTGACTGTTTATCTCTATATGTATAGGGTTTTGGACGACCAGAGCGTGGTTAGGATTCAAACTCCTGTCTTGAAGATGGTCGGTTCAGCGTAGTATAGATAGTTTGGAGGGGTCGTTTTAAACGCCTTGCAATTTCAGTAGCTTTTATATCACCTTTATAAAGACCCTGTATATAAGCTCTTTCTGGTGGACTCAGCTCTTGATAACGCTTAATATTAGCACTGGAGGGACTCAAAGGAGCCCTTCTAGGTGTCATGGTTGGTGTTGTGGGAAAGATGAAGCTTTTTCAACGCGTTGGTTGACGCGACTGGGTGATTAGCGCGATTATTCAAACTTTTGACTAAGGACTGTATATATTGCCCTGTCTGCAGATTGCCAATTATACTTGAATAGTAAAGTAGATAATAAGTTGGAATTTTCTTCTGTCCATGCATCAAAGATCTACTACTCTTTTTTTTTCACCAGCCAATAAGCTGTCTCCCCTAGATTACTGCAATCTAAGACGTAGTATTCTACCTAGCATTATATTGTCCCTCACACCATTTTCATGTCAAGATACAATTTATACATTTCTGCTTTGAACTTCAGTCACATACAGGTGTCCTGTATGTGACTGAAGACCCCATTTATTCTTAATGTTTAGCTCTTTGATCCCTTTGTACACTAGTAAACTAAATAATGATCTATCTACACAGAAAAAAGGGGGAAGGGGGAAGGCGACAAAACGTCGAAACTTTGTGGTTAAGGAAGGTGCTGAGTAAACATGCGCCAAGTAACGACCATTTGGATTGGTTCGATGGTCACTGCCGCTCATGAAAACCAGTACAACAAAGGGGAAAGCGTGACCTGTGAGGCACTAGTCTATTTCAATTTCAAGATCATCCTTTCCCTATGGAATAGACAGCGTAGCGAACAAAGCGAGCTATGTACTGAGCACAGGCATTCATAAATCTAGCTAGGAACATATGGCGCGACAGCCCGAGACATACGTAGACGGAACAGAAACGCGAATTAATGACAGTCACTTATCATTTTCTTAGGATATGACAGGTATTATACACTTATACTAGCTCACTCTATATATCATCATACTCTAATTGTTTGCAGGGGACTCTGAGCTCATCAAACGACTTGATGCTTCAGAAGCCACGGAAGTCTCAGGGCGAAGATCACTATCAAGCACATCTGCCGGTGGATCTAAAGAATAAATTAGCGCCAAGAAACTATATGAGTAACCTTTTCTACTTACCAGTTCTGGAAGATGCCTGCCGTTCCGCGAAATCAACCTGCTTGACCTTGCCTGCCTCTACCTGAGCCCTAGACAGCCCAAGAAAATTCTTGGGAAGTCCCATTGATGAAAGAAAGCTAACACTTTCCTTCCATTCAAGGTCTTTTCTTCTGTTATCCCAGTTGAGTTCCTCACTCATTAGATCAATGATGCTAGGAAGAGCCTCAAGTGCTGCCTCGGCATTGAGGAACGCCAAACGAGTCCTACGAGCAATAACATCGACTGCAGTCTGAGCGTATTCGTGGCGAACAGCATAGCGAACCTCGCCATCAATGAAGGGGTATAACGCAGAGATACGTTGGCCGCGAACAGGGAAGCGAGCGTTTGTCGGTGAAGACAAAGCTGCCACTTGCCAAGCGCGATCACCATATGATTGCGTTAGATGCTGGGCCACATCGGTCTCAAGGCCAAAGTGCTGAATGAGGTTGATGAAAAGTGTTTTGGAAAACCCGTGCGCTCCAATCAAGCGGACCTGGTGGGTTTGACAAGAGCCATCGAGAACAGCACCGTCGGCAACTAAGCCACTGCCTCCAACGCCACTAATATCTGGAACCTGGGTGACATGTCGAGTTTGAAGACCAAAGACTCCGATCGCTTCATCTACAGCCTCTTCTGCCATTTGACGGTAAGTCGTCCATTTCCCTCCCGCGCATGTTAACAGCCCGGATGGGGAAACAGAAATCAGATGATTGCGAACCAATGCCTCCGAGCTCTTCACTTTAGGATCGCGAACTAAAGGCCGAATTCCAGACCATGCTGCTAGCACATCACTCCGCTCAACATTGATGTCAGGTGCTAGGTAGCCGCGAACTTCTGATAGAATCCAGTTAATGTCCTTTTCAGAGGGCTCAGGTTGAGTTGTTATTTCGGTCGGTTGATCCGTGGTTCCAGCAATTGTGTTCCCCTGCCATGGAAGGAAAAAAATGACACGGCCATCGGACGTGGAAGGGTCAATGAGGCCCATGTTCGAAGGACTGTAATACCCAGGGAGGATAACATGAACCCCAGAGCTTGGTGCGACAATTTCCTTCACATCGGGCTCGTCCATCTTTCTGATAGAATCGGTAAAGGGGCCGGTTGCATTGATAATGCCCTTAGCCCGTATGGTGAACTCTGCTTCTTCTTGGCCATTTTTCCCAGGGATAACATCTTTCACTCGTGCACCATTCAGTTTGCCAGAGGCATCTTTGGTGAGACCAGTAACTTGCATATGATTTACAACAGTGCTTCCATACAATGCAGCTGTCATCGCAAGAGATACGTTCATCCGAGAGTCGTTGTGGGCACCATCTACATATGTTATTAGCAATGCTACAATGTCGATACACTCAATGGGCGGCATTTTCGGATAGTTTCCATACCGTAGTAAACCATGGCACCAAACATATTATCTTTTCTCAGCATGGGGAAGGCATCAATAGCCTTGCTCCTGGGCAGGAAGTAGGAGCTCTCGATTCCCTCCGACCCAGCCAAATAGTCATAGAACTTTGTACCAGCCCAGAAATAAGGAGCTTGCCACCATTTCTGTACGGGAACCATGATTGGAAGCCAGCTGGAGAGGTGAGGAGCAGTGTTCAGGAAGTATTTGCGCTCTCTCAAGGCTTCCTTGACAAGCTTGTACCTTCGGGCACGTCAGTTTCCAATTAATGATGAATTGCTTTTCCAGAAATGGTTGAGATGACAAACTGACTGATTGATATCCAATTCCCACACGGCCTTTTCTAGGTAGCGGACACCTCCATGTACTAGTTTCGTACTCTTACTGCTGGTCCCAGCACTGAAATCATCCCTTTCGACAACCGCTACCTTTAAACCCCGTGTCGCGGCGTCTAAGGCGATTCCTGACCCAGTGGCGCCGGCACCGATAACAAGAAGATCATACACATCAGAATCATCACCGCTGGAACTGCGCTTTAGGTCCTGGATCTGTTCGAGGCGCGATTTGATCGAGGGGAAGCTTGGAGGCACAAGTTTGCCTTCATGATAGCCAGGGGGTGGTACAGCGGGAGCTTCCGAGCCAGGGATATTGCGAGGACGATAGGAGATGTATAAGACACCAGCTCCTGCGGCCGCTGCGACCGACGTATAAAGCAGAGGCCGTAAAAGCTTTCGGGAATGACGGGCGGCCATTATGTCAGGATTCTGGTTATGTCACAGACGTCTGGCGGAGCAATTGAAGCCAAGATGGTTCCCAGAAAGTCAGTCGACCCCGGGAATGCTGGATCGGCAAAGAGAAAGGGGGTAGCGCTGGGCAGCAATTGAATACAGAACACGTCTATGTGCAAGGATCCTTCTAATTCTGGGGTTAATGAACTGACATTTCTGAAGCAATAGAAATTAAGAGCTTTTTCTTTTCTTTTCATTTGCTTTGTAGGCACCCAATGCCTTTTGGGGAAACAAAATTGACCTACCTATCCGTTATACTAATCGTGACAAACCAAACGAGGGCCGAGAAGTAATGATGATGGTAATAATAATAGTAGTAGTAGTAGTAGTAGTATTCTGGAGAGCTGGATGAGTGAGGGTAAGAAGGGAGAAGAGAAAAAGGCAAGCAAGAGGATGGTGGGAGGAATTGAATGAAGGGGAAGAGAGAGAGAGACAAAAAAATAGACGACAAGTACCAAATAAAAGTACCACTAGTAATAAGTATGTTGCGAGCTGATGATGGACCGCCGGGTAACCTTCCAGTCTTCGTCATGCGTCATCTCTTACAAGGAAATCCGGGAATGGTTGGAACTTGGAGGAAGGACGGGGGCGGGCATGGATGACGGCAACAAAGCGCAAATCCAATTGTCCCACCAATCAGGCCTTCGGCAGCACCGGGGCGTGGGTGGGGCTCTCTAAATGCTTCCCGAACTCCGTGCCCCCATGTGACCAGCAAAGTTTTTGCTGGTAGTGATTGTATTCAATAGCTTGAGGCGGTCCAGACCCTCCAGAGCCAAAATGATTTCTTCGCACATGACTGTATGTTGCATATCACTTTCGGTATTAGAGGTTGACTCTAGGTATCACGCGATTACTTATCCCCTGACTAGATCCATGGTTTCCCTTTCAGGTGTAACAAAGCTATTATCCATACTCATTCCGGCCATTGGTTGGATATAAGCTTGATCCCTAGTATAAATATGGCGTGTATATTCTAAAAATAGGAAAATCTGAAGACTGAAGGTTGAACGAGCTCTTAGTAAGGATGGTACATAGTTACAAGATATGATTCTTAAAGATGCTGGGCTTCAAACATTCTCAAGATAGTTGACCTGTAGTTGTTGGTTGTTCGGTTTCCATTTTGTCCAAGACCTTGGCTAGTTAGATCCACTTACCCAGACCCTGATAGTGGAGCTTTTTACAGATATTGCATCCACATTGTCATTGTCATCGAAGTTAGGTGGAGAGGAAGTCGCCGAGAACCCCCCCCCCTTCTTCTGCCAAAATTAATTTTTATTTATTTATATTTCACAATGGCAGAGTCCATAAAACTTTGCGAGGCTGTCAAGAGTTATTGTAGTAATGTCGTCTTGTATTCTCTATTGAACCGACAAAATATTCCGGAGGGAAGGTGGTACGAACAACCGACCTAACAAGAGAATACATCTTGCAACCTTAGTAATCCAAGGTGCTCTATAAGTTAGTAGGGGCATTACTAGCTATCAGAGGTAGGGGCGTGGCGTTACCAGGCATACAGACTAGTTCCCCGATAGTGACAGATAAATAGATAGATACCGATCGAATACCTTTAGCTACTGATCATCATAAGAACAATCGCCACATGGCTACGCATATGGCCTTTACAGTATGTCAAGCAAGTCCCTACAACGACGTTACAAGTCTAGAGCATAATAAGTATTCACCACGTTCTATCCTGTCTTTTATGAGCTGTGGACGGAATTGTTTCCGGGCGGACTGCGGAATGCGCTCGGCTGCATCCTGGATAGTAAACGCCAATTCCGCGATGAAAAGATATATCGCAAATCCCCAATCTTACCATTGAACACTTGCTCTGTGCAGGAAACGTGGGGTAGGGCTGGAGACCCTCGGTCCTTTCTTGGAATGCGTCCAACAGAACGGAAGACTTCCTCAATATAGGAAATAGGGCGCCAGCACGGCATGAAAGGAAACTCCGCATTTAAAACTTCAGAGAAGTGCAGCATCCTCTGCCCTGACCCGGTATTTGAGAAACTACAACGATAGTGGCAAATTTGCTTAGCTCAGCATGGCCATAGCAGCGGCTCTATCCTCCCTGCAACATATTCTCTTCCTGTCTCCTCTCCGGTCTTTAGCTATAGCAACCTTTATCATCCCCTGTCTCTATATCATTGTCAATGAATTCATCCGTGCTTCTGCTCGCATCCCAGGAATCAAAGGGCCTCGCGGCCTACCTTTAATTGGGAATATCGCCCAAATCCGGGAGAACGCAGCCGAACAATATCGCATATGGTCAAAGACCCACGGGCCCGTTTATCAAATTCAGCTAGGAAACGTCCCAGTCATTGTCGTCAACTCCGCTTCCGCTGCAAAGTCGCTTTTTGGACAAAATGCGCAGGCTCTAAGCTCGAGACCCGAGTTTTATACCTTCCATAAAGTAAAGCTAACCCAATCACCCTTTCTGGCTTAGCCGAGTGCATTAATAACAAACCACAATTTAGATTGTGTCTAACACTGCTGGCACAACCATCGGGACCTCTCCGTATAGTGAATCGTTGAAAAGACGAAGAAAGGGGGCTGCCTCGGCCCTCAACCGGCCGTCTGTGGATTCCTACGTCTCGCATTTGGATGTAGAGTCAAAAGCATTCGTGGCCGAACTTCTTAAGTATGGGGTAAGCGGGAAAGTACCAGTTGACCCCATGGCGATGATCCAACGTCTCAGTCTAAGTTTGGCTTTGACGCTTAATTGGGGTGTGCGTGTGGCATCACAGGAAGAAGGCTTGTTCGATGAGATTACCCATGTGGAGGAGGAGATCAGCAGATTTAGAAGTACCACCGGCAACCTGCAAGACTACGTACCTCTCTTGCGGCTCAACCCTTTCAATACCAATTCCAAAAAAGCCCAAGAAATGAGAGACCGCCGTGACAGATACCTTAATGAACTCAACCGTGATCTTGACGCCCGAATGGAGAAAGGCACCCACAAGCCCTGTATACAGGCCAATGTCATCCTTGATCGGGAAGCTAAATTGAATTCAGAGGAGCTTACCTCTATAAGCTTGACTATGCTTTCGGGAGGGCTCGACACTGTTACTACGCTTGTGGCTTGGAGTATTGGCCTCCTTGCGAAACGCCCAGATATTCAAGACAAGGCTGCCAAAGCGATTTTCGAGATGTACGGCCCGGACCAACCATTGTGTGATGCTGCAGATGACCAAAAATGTGCATACATTGCTGCACTGGTAAGAGAGTGTCTAAGGTTTGTCTCCCTTGTTGGCTGAACCAAGAAGTGGCGTGCCTAAGTGATGCTGCATAGATATTTTACTGTTCTTCGTCTTGCTCTCCCACGGACATCGATCAGAGATATTAACTACAACGGCAGCACGATCCCTAAGGGTACAGTCTTCTTTTTGAATTCATGGGCTTGTAACATGGGTAGGTTCTTTTTCGTTACACCTTAACCTTGGTCCCCCCGTCCCGGTAGAATCCGCTCAAGCAGCACTAACACTGGGTATAGATCCTGAGGTCTGGGGTGATCCAGAAGAGTTTAGACCCGAGAGATGGCTCGAGCAGCCAGATGCACCGATGTTCTCTTACGGAATCGGCTACCGCATGTGCGCAGGCTCACTCCTTGCTAATCGTGAGCTGTATTTGATCTTCATGCGCACCATTAACAGCTTTAGGATTGAACCATATGACGAGATTGACTGGCATCCCATCTATGGCAATTCAGACCCTACGAGTCTGGTGGCAATCCCGAAGAGGTACAAGGTCAGATTTATTCCTAAGGACAACAAAGTGCTTGAAAACGTTCTTGGTTCGGCATCCTCGCTGCGGCTTGATGTATGAGGGTTCAAATCTGCTGGATGGCGGGGGTGCCTTTTTAATTATTATGATTCCACCGCAGAGATAACAACGTGGATCTTTCCCTTCCGCTTTCTGTACCTTTCTTCTTGTCTCTTCTATCTTGAATTCTTTAGGGGCATATTAAGACCCCACACGAGGTTTACCAACAAGGACATACCTGCAACATTTAGTATGCGTCGCAACAGATACAATTCCGCCTCTTAGTTTAATTCCATAGAAAAATCAAACGCGCCCTTGCTCAGTATCCTTCGGTAGAAGACAATGAACACCCTAGGCCACGGTTCCACTGCCAGGGAAATTATCTTTTACTACCATGCGTGGGATAGCAACTACAAACGAAAAAAAGTAGAGTTGATCCCAAATAGAGCATAAATTGGCCTAAAGGTCATCCCGAGATTAGGAAAGGGAAGTAGTTTAATTCTAGGAGGGGTATATAGCTTCGAGGAATATCATACAACGATTCCGTTACACGTGGAGGAGACCAATGAAGACAAAACATATATAAGGACGCGCCTGCATATATCTACATATGAAGGAAGATGAACGCTAGGAATAACTCCAATTTAGCAATTCACTAGCAAGGCTTCACTTTAGAATCAATTTTGTGCAACTTCATGACCCTTTAGACCACTCACGGAACTATGAAGCTAACCGTCTCTTGAAGTCACGAACTTGGTCAAAACAATTGGCATAATCACGTAGTTGATTCTCAAATTGATCTGATGAAGCAGAAAATTGTGATGATTTGCTTTTGAGTGAAGAAAGAGATGTTTGTGAGGACGACGTTGATAGGATCTGCGAGGATGTAGGGAGATTATTAGGCCGCGAAACCGAGACCCTGTCCAAGTCCTGACAGTAACCATCTTTAGATGCACTGGCTGCGATATCTGTTGCAATCGTTTGGGAATTTTGTCCATGAACTGATATAGGGATGCCAATCGTTGCAGTCTCCGGGATAAGATCTAGCTCAGCGAGTCTACAGGCTTGAGAACAATAAGGCCCCCCTAGTGTTTGTCGGTCACAAACTAGACAAAAGTCGAGGGACCATTCTGTGGCCATTCTGGTGACCGGGTTCAAAAGATTGAGGCGACAAGCGCGTATGGTGCCGACTTAACGATGTGAGATCAAGATCGATCGATCAGTTATGCACATAAACAGGATGGGCTTTTGCAATAGAATGGAGTGGTAGGCCTCGAAAGCGAGACCAACAGTGGCAGTCGACCTTTTCAAACACGGAAAAGATGAGAGTTTTTGTTAGACTCATCCGTCCTGTTAGATTACTTTGACGCCCATTTCATTTTCGTGGTGTTGCTGGGCGTAGATTAATCTTAAATGACCACGCAAGATAGAAGGCTGACGGTAGGCGATAAATACCTGTGAGACCCAGATTGACGCTGGCATGTAAGATGGAGGAAAAGGAGGTAAATATGGACAATCTTGAGGTAGGAAAGTAAAGAGGATGGATTCATTATTTAGCAATTCAGTACTTATTTAATTTATATGGTTAGTGAATAAAAGACACGCCATCTACTCTATTATTGTACGAGGTATTAGGTGCTTGGTATTACCCACCCAGTCAGAAATACCTATTCTAGGGAGGGGTGCGCTAAAATTAGGTACTGACATCCTACATGGATATACATACATAATACTTAAAAACCTGGTTTTAGTTTCCAAAGGTTGCGGGTGAAGTATACAGTACTAAGTAACTATTTAGAACTACGCCAGTATTACTGTATTTACATGTACTGTACTTACCTAGAGAGGGTTGGATTTGAAGCCAGATTTTATTGAATAAACTAAACTGTCACCTCCCACTAGACTATCTATCCCCACTTCCCAAGCAATCATTTATCTTCTGAATCGAATAAAGTGATTTGTGGGGGATGATTGGCGAGAGTGATGCGCAACCAGTTAAGTCCCGCCCAACTTGGTTGTCTTGTCCTGCTTAGGGTTCATAACTGGAGTAATGTGACCAACGTCGTCAAAAGGGTTTGTGGCAAATCCCATGCGTCTCAGTGGTGAATGCAGCCACCTAAAAGAGGAAGTCAGACAAGTCAGGTCTCCCAGATACATAATGGCTCGTATGGCGTTGTGATAATTGAAGTTATCTATAAGATAGGCCTGACCACGTTGGACTAAATTGTGGGGAATGTTATGTCGTCGTGGCTCGGGCGCTACAGCGAAGAGATTTTAATTTGATAAATTCATAACTTTATCCCTAACAACTGCGTCAGTGAACTCCATCTGCACTGCATTTATACCTTATTCTATATAAGGAATTGGTCTATGTACTCAGTCCTGCCTTCTAATATGGAAAGGTCTCAGTTTGCATAATGGTTTATTTAAAATCGTAACACAGTCTCTGTAGAAGTATTTTCTTTTTTAAGAAATATAATCAATGTTTGAGCAACAGCTGGAAAAATGAAGAAAAGAAAGAGCGTTTATTAAGAAGATAATTGCGAGCTTTTCTCTAGCTGAGTAGAGTGAAGTTATTTTTTTAAGCGTCTTCAAGTATTTATCTACACCTTCTTTAAATTTCTATAGATTTAGTAGAAATACTGGCTAGTTGTTCTATTTATCTTGCTAGTATTATTCTAATCAGGCAGGCGAAGTGGCGCTAAGGTGGGGTGGGTATGGAGATTAAAGGGAGTGTGTTATGTGGTGCAAATAGTCGTCGTTCTCTAGTTAAATGTATCTTTTTACGTAAGTACATACGCACTAGCAATAGGAAATAGGACACGAATTCAACCAAATACTATTGTCCATGAATTGCTTTAGCTCTTGCTCTTTCTTCCATTTTTCATTCAAAAACTGTACAGCATACTTGGAAACTAATGCGAATCTATAAATCGACCTCATCATTTTCACCTAATTGCTAAAAAAACAACCCGGGATAGGACTTCAAGAAGCAAAACAAAAAGATAAGATTTGCAAGACTCAGTACGTATTGATTGTCCAGTAACCCTCACTCTAGAATCGTTCAGGTGATTAAATCTGTCTTGCTTTGTTCTCCTAAGCTCAGCACTTATCAAGATTTCTCGCCACTTCACACGGATAACAATGATAAAAATTTACGGTTAGTCGAGATACGGAAGATCTACATGCCTAGAAATGCTTACACTGGGCCTGCCTCTTACATACATTAAACGTACCACTTAGCTTCGCCAGGAGACACAGCCTGTAAGTAGGACCCTTTTCCCGCCAATCCCTTCGGACATTCCAACTCCGCCTCCACGTACACCTTCGAAGGTGTCCTCGCGTATATGAACCAGTCAATTAGGAATCCGCTCGTTTATTCACAGAGGAAGTTCATCATGTCTCACCGTGATAGCAGCGAAATGCAGTTAGGCACTTTTCTAAGTTCTTGCTTCAAAACAAGGATACAGCTCGCAGCACATATATTGCACCTTTGTTCGCCGGCCTATAGCACTTGTAGTGTATTAAGCCGATACGGCGAGAGCTAACTATCGGTGTTCATTGCTGGTTCCCTAGTATGAAGCTCCCTCGGTTTAGATGGCGATGCCAAAAAGGCATGATTTATTGTAGACGTTACGTCCAACCGAAGCCGCTCATCACTGTCTTGCCATTCCTGCTTGCTCTGTTGGGATTCGAACCAGAGTAGCAGGCATGGGAGAATCGACTGGCATATTGCCTTCAGACCCAGTATTCGATTTTTGCTCGATCGGTCTTTGAATAGTTACAGTTTTTGCTGTAAAGGAAGCCGGAAGGTTAGCAATGGCAGTCACTAGTATAGATATTGGTCATGTCAGTGCAAGTGAAGTAGGGTCAGGCTTACTAGATGCCATGCTAATCGATCGTAAAACATTGTCCCAATTTGAAAGAACACAAGCAACAGCTAAAACCAGCGTGACGGTATATGTTAGCGCTTAGTGCACGCAGGTATTGAAGCCATCGGGCCTTCTTTCCCTCAAGAGGATACAAGAGGTGTGTAAAACTTGAACAGGTGGCATATGCAGACTGAAGCTCACGAACCTTCTGTGCCATCCTTAAGCGTTCCTATTTTCTGTTCTAAGACTTGCATTTGGATCGCCAACGCACCACTCATATCGCGAAGTTGCTTCAGATTATCTAGTTCGGCCTTCTTCGAGGCAATCCGGGCTGCCAAGGCGGACGATTGTTGCTGAGACACAGAATGATGGCCGCTTGGCTGGCGAAAAGTTGAGCTTGTAGAAGACCCTGGTGGGATCATCGATGTAGGTCGTGTAATGAAAGCCATTTCAACTGAACTATTTGAGGTGAAAACTCTTCGAAGGGAAAACGGACGAAAATGAAAAGGGGGAAGGAAACAGAATTTCCCCTCTAGAGTCAAATCGGAAGGTAATGAGTCGATTGTTGAAAAGGGTGTTGTAACTTGCAAGTTCAATGATGGTGTAGCAGCAAAGGCAATAGTTACCGTCCGCCCACATCCACTTTCCCAAATAGCCCACTTTGAACGCTAGTCCTAGTCTGGACAAATATCAACAACTAAGTCTTGGTAGCATCCTGTTTACTCCTCCATTGCCTACTCACCAGGAAACCTTCCCGCCAACAACGACCGCGACACTATCTTTGCAGTCCAATAAAATCCACTATTATCTTTGCTCGTTTTATAAATTCCCTCCCCTTCCCCACCACCGGCTTGATTAGTGGATAAAAGCAAGGAAGACAGTGCAGTCTGCACCAGCCCATGAAGCATGGCTCGCTTAAACGAATCGACAACCTCGACAGAATCTGTTGAAGTCTGTGAGTTCTATGCTCTGTTCTTGAATTTTCAGAACCTGGTATGCGAAAGGTACTAATGTCTCTAACCCCTAGTAAAACGACGATTTGTGCGACAGAATCGTGAAATTGCCCGTGTTAATTCAATACAGTCTCTTCGAATCCGTAGCCTTGAGTCAGAAGTTTCGCATCTCCTTGCAGAAAACGTGTCCCTTAGGGAGCGAGTTATAACTCTTGGCCAAGAGATAGAGAGATTCGAGGCAGCTAGATTGTTCCAGGACGGAGTCTACAACCTCAAGGCGAAGCTCGACAATAAGTTGATGGAGCTTGGGGACTTGGTAGCTGACTTGGGCGCTTTACCACGCGAATTCAACAAATCAGTCGGTGGGGCAGCGGAAACTATATACCAGAGCCGGTCAAGCTTAGAGTTGAGACAACACACGACAGAGCTCGGCGTTAAATCGACACTACAGGAAGACGGTAGACTTCCAGTTATATTGGAAGACAAATGTTATCCACGACGGACTTTAGAGTAAGTGGTATTCGGTGTGGCTATCCAGCCATTCTGAACCCATGCTGAACGATAGCAGACCACAGGAGATACAAGAATTGCTGAACAACGATATGGTCTTCCCGCAGTCTTCTTGTCTCGAAGAAGCTTCAATATCCCAAGGGGGTGCAATATTTGACGATCCATACTCGAAGCCATCTGAAGACGTGGGAGATATTCAACAGCTTCAAAGCCCGCCAGGCGCTAGTGAGGCGCTACTTCCTCCAAATCTTGAAACAAGAAGAAAGAGAAAGGCCGGCACCAACGAGACACCCGAAACTGTCTATGATACTGATCCTGAGGAGTTTCCCACACAGAGAGATTCTGGATTCCTGCTGGAATCAGGTGCTAAACGTAAATTCTCGAACGGTACCGATGACGAACATGAAGAAGTACCACGAGAAGAGGACGATTTCCAATTCAGCCGTCCCACTCACTCTCCACAGATGACGCACGAACGACTACTATTGGCACGCAGCGATCATTCTCCAGTTAATAAGCAGGTTCTATTGAAGGGAAACTCCAAAGGCAATGGACGACCTAAGCGAAAAGCGCTTGAGCCGAGTACGTCGAAATTGATCACTCTTCTAGGACCAACTCAACTAATCAAAAAACAGAGAGTACAAATATATGTTCAACTGAACCTCAGAATGCTATGACCCATGGACAAAATTACAAGATCCCGGAAAGAATGAATGATAAAAATGACGGGAATGAAACTATGCATTCAGCCCGGTCAATGAAGGGCATACACTATGAAAGACTGACTTCTAATGAGATGCAAAATCATAAGGATACTGATAAGCCAAAGCAAGAGGTAGATGAGGATGAGGAGCTTCAAATCCAACCTAAAACAACCGAAGAAAAGCCAAGCTCATCTCTAGCATCTATTACAGTATCCCGAGTACAAGATGAATTCGAGGCGTCAAAACCCTTAAACAATACTTCGTCTCGACCTACCAGGCGCCAGCGATCTGTCATAAGCTACGCGGAACCGAACTTACGAGATAAGATGAGGCGACCTACAGACGAGTTTATAGCAGCAGTTGGAAATGATCATCATTCAAGGAGAACCTCCAGTACCCATTCCGTGCGAACGACATCAGGCGATGAATTGGACGAGCATAGAAGTGATAAAATCAACGCGAGGAACCCGCATCAGTCTGACACGGAAGGCAGGGGCTCTACGACAGTTTCTACGGCTTCTCCCGACAAACATATTCAGCAACCAGTGAACATGGTCTCTCGTAGACAACGGAAGACTTTACCGGCGAGCAAGGAAGATATGTCAGCTAGCCATGATTCTACAAGTGAATTCGAAGCCTATTCGACAGTCGGGGATCAGGAACTTGGCGGGGGTTCGAAAGATCGACATCCGGCCGAAGTACGACTAGCACGTACTAAGAAGCAAAAATTACTGTCTGCAGAGGGATCTGGTGATATGGCAATGGATTTATCCGAATGTATATCTGGGGCAACACCAGACCCGAGCAGACAGTCCCGACGGCACTCCTCAAACCCCAAATCGTTTGTACAGAATTACTCTCCTGGGCATGAAACGGGTGTTTCAAGTACAGAGGGAAATACTACAGGCACCAGAGGCAGTTTAGGGAACCCAGATGGTACATCATTTGGGAGTATTAACCAACCAAAAGCAGTCATGCATACCTCAGAAGAGTCAGCCCTGGGGTTAGGAATAGAGGTAAGGCAGGTCAGGCGCGTGCCACGGGCCGCTGCCAGGAGAAGAAGTATGATGTTGTGATCAGTTAATTGTGTTCGGTCAAGACAAACTGTATCTATGTGGACCCTGGATCAAGGCTTGTTAGACTAAGAGATATATACCCCTTTCCATGCTTAAGTTGCTTCTGAATGATTATACTCTTGAGACTGAATGATCACTTAATTCTACCGTGAACGACTTGTGACGGAGCGTTACGCCTAAGTGCACTTATTAAATCACATTGCCTTTTCACAGCTTGCTGGCCGACTGGCAGACGCGGTGAAGCTGTTGGCAACATCTGCATTGGCCGGCTTTGCACGGTGTGCACTGACCAGATGCGTGAGCCGTTCCACCAGTCGGCACCTGCCATGGAGGGATTAAGTCAGTCCCTAACATGAGGATATTGGACTCTTCAGCGACCTTGCGTCTTCTTAGGCATTTTCTCGTAAGCGTTGGGGCTCGGCTTTCTCCGCTTCATCTTTTTGTTATTGTGATTTGGGCAATATGTTAATCGCCGCCCCTTTTCCCTGGAATTCTCGGATTCATGCTCATGCGAACAATGGCTGGCGTGATTATGCGCGTGTGAAGCGCCCATGCTGGCCCTGGAATTATCTATTTCACTATCACCTTCGGAATCAGATGAACTTGAATCAGACGACTCGGACTCTGAACTACTTTCACCAACAGGTCGAGATTTATGGTAGATGCAGCATACTAGGCATCAAAGATGGTTCACCATAGCCCATGTTAGTCTCCGGTGACGATAATAATAGGCTAGAAGAGAGGGAGGGGATTGTCGGTGCCGTTTGTGGCTAAGCGTTTCTTACCTTTGGAGCTCTTCTTCCCCATTCCTTCATTATCTATCACATCCTCACTCCAACGTATATGCCGATGAGAGCCTCCGTCCTCGGCAATACTTTCCACTATCGGTTCATTTTCCGCTCTTAGTCTGAGCATACCAGGAACTTGGACAGTTGATGAGGAGCCAGACTGTTGAGACACTCTCTCAATTCGGGAGCCAGACGTCCCGCTTGGTACTATTTGTCGGGATCTGGACATCTTCGGCAAGACTTGTAGGACGAAGAGGAGTCTGAGCCTATACGTGATTTCAGGTGAGCTTGAAGTAGGGAAAGGTTTCCACTTGATAAGACTGAAAGTCACGATAGACTGACGAGCCTGGCGTTGGGTTGATATGCAATGTTTGTCTAAATTTATGTACAGAAGACCCATTTTTGCGGCTCACCGCCTCCATTATTCTCTTGAGCTGATTAGTTCTAATTTACTACACCAAGATTTATAGCCACTACAAAGAAGTGTACATTTCAGGGGCAAGCTGAAATCCATTGGGGGTGTTTGTATTGTGATTTACTAGATAAAGACCTGACAAACAAATAGGCGCAGCGAATGGTTTACAATATGGTGAGAAACCTAGCCGTAGCAGCATAGAATAGCAACCACTAACCATAAAGTGGCTCAAAAATTGACCTGTCACTAAACGGCTAGAGATCCAAGATTGATTTCACATAAGAACCAGATACTAGAACAGAAGTGGGCAAGGAGAAGGCAAGGCGACGCCTACGGTTAAAAAGAAACACATTAATGTAGCGAGAAGGCAAGACAGACCTCAACCCTAATCAAAGCCCGTATAAGGTCCAGCCGTCCAGCTGGTCTCCCCCTGACAAAGTCCCTAACTTATTCGGATATTCCAGAGTCTCGGTGGACGGAGGCAGAGAAACCTCAGAACGCAATTCTTTGTCTAGTCATAGCTCATCCTCCTGGTCCATTTCAGATGGCTTCAGAAGGCCACCAACCTTCATTGCACGATCCCGCTCTGCAGCTTTGGCATCTCGCAGGGCCTGTTCTCTCTCTTCTGCATAGAGCTCTGCGTTGTCCCCAGCGAACTCCTTCAGCGAAATCAGAAAGTCCCGCAAATGGGTCTTAAATTTATTGAAATCATCGTTGAATGCAAACAGCCCGATAACAAACTGCTTGATTTGGATCCTGTGGCACGGTCAGCACATCTGAATTTGAAACCCAAAATTTAGCGAGATACACCATACTCCTGAAGATTTTTGAAGGCATTTTGCAGAAGGTTGGCAACATATTCTTGAAGAAAATCCTTATTCGAAGTTCCCAATGGCGCTTGTTCCGGGGCGTAAATGGGATCTTGCACCTTTCCAGATTCGACAAAGTAAAACATACGCGACAAGAGCATCGCCTGAGATTTAAATCCTGCAAAATAGTCAGTATCATCTTACCTTAAAAAGCTTAACAAGAATATACATACCGGCTTTATGGTCGCTATCGGTAAGCACGAAGAAAACGTCTTGCAGAATGGGAATGTAAAATTGGCGGAAAAAGATATTTGACGTTTGAGTATCTGTCTCGGCCATGTTGTTCATGAGCTCAAGGCACATGGTAAGACCCGTGTTCTCAACCTCACGGTTGTCGTGTTTACTAGCCCACATGCAAGAGTCGATTACGAATTTGAATTGCGTAGCGTCAAGTTTGAGTAGCGCAGGGAAGCAATATAAGTTAATTGCTTGGAGCAGCTTAAAGAACTGGACACGGTGCTCCGGATATTCGTGAAAGTCTTTGTTAATCATTTCTAGAGTGCATTCGAACACGCTCTCCATAATTAGCGGAACCTTGTCTTCCATCAAGTTCTAAGAACACGTCAGTTGAACATCCCAACTAAGCATATAGAAAGGGTCCTGATAGGCCACCAGAAGAGAACATACATGTAGTTTATGGATGATTGTTGTCATGACATTCAAGACCTCCGCTTCACGTGCATCAGGTACGTTACGATTATAGTCCACTAATACAGCCTCGAGCAGAGGCGGTACCATGTTCGCATTGACCATTTCCAAATCGTCCGCTTTCTGGACATAGGTATCGATGAGTTTGAGAATTTCTTTTTTGATTGTTCTGAGGCCTCGGACTTTGGGTGTTTTTGTCGCAATTTCTCCTGCAAACAATCAGCATTATCCGGACGGTAGAGGAGCTCCAGGGGGAGAGGGTGAGCAGAATCGGGAACATTACCATCATGCACAACAGCATCACTAATGAGCTGGCTGGATGCTCGAAACATATTTAACATGTCATGATAAATGCGTCCTAGCTGAGAGTAAAAATACGTGCCGATTGAAGAACAGGCGGCAACGTTCGTTTTCATGATATTGCCAATGATCTTAATGGTTTCTCCGTCTTGGAGGATCGATGGGTTTTGGTTCGCCTGGCCAATAATAGCATCCCAGGCGGAATTCGGCAATGACATCAAGTTCTCGATCAGTCGATCTTGAAGACCCTTTTGGCCCTGTGCAGAGATCATATAGCCACATGCTTCGTAAAAAGTATGGATCTGCTGCGGTGACAGGTCACAAGTAATTTTCCTCATGTTTCGAACGATTTCCTCAATGAATGGTTCGTTTTCTCCAGGCTGAAGGGCAACAAAATGGCGTCTGCATTTGTTAGCAATCTTTATAAAGGTGTCGCAAGCCATATCCTGAACACCTGTGGGTTGTTAGAAGAGATATATCTGATAAAATGGCCGGAGAACCGACCTTCATGCGTCTCATGCATAAATTCGAACAGTTTGTTGACAACTGTCTTCAAGAACTTCCAATGAGCCTTCAAAAAGCGAGGATATTGCCCCACAATGTACATAATGTTACTGGCTACAACAGCTTTGTTGTCTTTCCCGCGTTTCATTTCCGTCAGCCCCAGTAAATCTTTGATAACAGTGACAAGAAAGCGCTTCTCAGTTTCTTCGTTCATGGCTCCAGAGATTGACCCAATGGCCCAGCAAAGGGTATTGCAATTGGCCCATGACCATTCGGATCCATCAACCTGTTTAGCCAACTTCTCGATCATGATGTTCTCCGTATCAACAACGTCGAGATGTGTAAGATAAACCAAACACTCCCGAATTGTCTTGTACAGCTGAATTGTGTCGCTCTCTTTGACGAACTCGCGAACTATCTCGCCTTCGTCATTTTCCACAATCAAGACCTCCTCTGGGCGCACCATTTTCTCTATCATAACTGTACGCAAACTTGACAGAACTTCTTCATACTTGTGCTTGCGAAGAGGGTAATTGGCCAGAGTACTGGGATGCGGTGCACCGCCATTTGATAAGCCACTGACGCCCATGCTCACCAGAGGGTTGATATCGGTGATTGGAAGTTGCTGCATCTCCTCATAGAGCTCTTGCACGAGCCGCGTCCAATACTCAAGGCAGATCTTGAAAACCTCCCTATCATCAATCTGACTGATGCGAATGAGATAAAAGTGCGCATGAGTGAGGTAATCGCGATTGGGCAGCTTCTCAATAAGCTAGCGGGAAATAACATAGATAAGTATCATCGGTTCTGTCAACATTCATAGGTGCTGAGACTTACATTGAGATGAGCGCTGAAGAAACTGGAAAGAAAGAGCGCGAGATTGAGCACGAACTCTTGATCCCTCGAGTTACTCTTAGAATATGTCTGTTTCAAATCCATCGACAACGGAATTATCTTGGAAACGATCGTCAGTGTCTCTGTGAACATGTGTACCAATCTCTCGTCGTAATTATAGGGGTTGCCAATTTGCAACCCGCCAATCTCAGTGAGACACTTGAGGGTTACATTGCGGAACTCGGGGACGTCCAAAAATCGAGTCAGGAGGGTATTTATGATAGGTGTCTCAAAGATATACCCCAGCGGAATCCAGTTCAAAAAGCGTAGGAGAGTTTCCAGTGTGGCTTTGATCAGGCTCGGTTGATTTGCGGTGTTGAGCACTTCGGAGCACAGCTGAAAGATTGAGGAAAACTCCTGTGTCATGGATGTCTTGAGGTTCCTTGCTTTTACAGAAGTCATCTGGTCTTGAGAGAAGTCGAAGACTTCCTCCGATAATAAGCGAAGGATCGCCATATTATTCTCGCAAATGGATAGGCTTGTATGGCAGGATGAGATGATTTCATTGATAAAAGTTGGCCAATTGTGTGGCCATTCTTGTTTCAATATAGAAACAAGAACGAGGTTAAGTTTGTTCAAGAACGCTCGCTCGCTCCTTAATTTTTCTTCCGAGCTAGAATTTTCGATGATAAAGTTGACAATGAAATTCCGGATACCTGAAAACGTCAGACAAGTACATTCAAGCACATTCGAATCCCCGCAAAGGATTACCTAGGCATTGTTCTCTCGGTAAAACCTTCCATCGGGTCATAATTACATCGTCGAGAACTTGGAGAGCGAGATCTATTAAGGTCAGCACAATTCCAAGCAATAAGATTGAGGGTCGATCTCGCACATTTGGTTTGTGGATACGATGACTCTTGGAGAATATTTCCTACGATTAACCAGGCGTCTGGATTTTGCTTAAACTGGAGATCCAAAATAGGTCAGACTGCCCCTTTTCCTGCTGCATTCATCAATGGTTCTTCCTCGACTCACTTCTGTCAATGTCTGCTGGGCTTGTTTTTGCTGTGTTTTGCAGGTATATCATTAGCGGTCTGCATCATCGCACAGGGACTAAAAGGAAGATAAATACTAGAGGGAGAACGGGGAAGGCTGATGAAGAGGGAAAGACAAAATTTTTCGGGCACACACCAGGTCTCCTTTGCCTTCATAAAAGGCTCGGACAGTATTGTCCAACTCCTGTATTGATACTGACATTCCGCTCCAGAAGCTGGCGACACGGCCTTTTTGCACGGCTCTTTGACGCGTCCCAAATTCGGGAAGGACGAGGTGGTAGGTAGCAAAGATTTCAAGGTTACTGTAGTAGAGCCTGCGAGTAAAAAGACAGGTACAGAGTAAAGCAAATGCGTGGAATGTTTGGTGGGGTCGAGGCTCTCTTGGAGGGGTTGGCCGGAAGTAAACTGCTCAGAGCAAACTACGTCGGACGATAGACAAAATGCCTAGAGAGGTAAAGTGGGGCTGTATGGCTCAGCTTCAGGGTTAAATACCAGACAAGGCTGTGAAAGATATTCCCAATGAAGAGCGGAGGGAGGGGAAAATACTGTGTAGAGTTAAACTTACTGGCGGTGTGAACAGCACGTTGCTCAGTTGTTGGAACTCTATCGGGTTAACTAATTAGCAGGTACAGTTAGTTGGTTACATCCAAATGTGATTAGTCAGCAACTTGTCAAGGACTTGAGTAAATATATCTAAATGTTAGATGACATGACATCCCTTACAACCTTGTACAATACAAAAAGTAATTAACACTTTGACTAACCAAGTAGAAGCTGCGTGAGATGGATTCATCAAGGTATAAACGTGTGTGCGGAGCAGCGTACGACCACGAGTTTTTATTAAAGCTAGACACAACAACTCGCTTGTTATTCGTACAATCGAGATGCTTTTTAAATTGCAGTTGCTTGGTACGACTAGGTCCTGTTAGAATGGCCATTGTCGACCAGTTATATTATTAATTATTTAGTTCTCTGCCTACTAGTAATGGTATCAATTCCCAGATGAGTGAGGGTTATTGTCAGGTCAGGTCCCGTAACCGCGCCTATAGTCTAGCGCCAATAGCGAATATCTTTGGGAAGAAGGGCTTCTTAAGCGACCAAACTAAGCGGGAAATGCCTCTTACTGTGTCACCACACTAGGTATTCACCTTGCAGGTCAAGTTGACCCACTTCACTCTACGCCGTGCCGCGCTTCCCTCGCGCGGATAGAGCGAACGGCAGCAAGCCATTGGAATCCAAGCGAGTCCTAGCCCCCCTAACCGTGGGTGGCGTGTCGTCTGAGCGCGCCATCACTCGCAAGTATGTGACCTAAAGACCCATGTTAGACTAACAGAAGGGCTGCCATAGCCAATCATTTACCCTAGGCGGCCATGGCAGGATGGCCGATCGCGCGTTAACTTCAACACCCCTTCTCATCAGCCAGCTGGCAGCCGCATTCCTGCCTTGAAGCAAGTAGGGGCGTGAGCTAACACATTGGCCTACTTCTTCCCTTCCCTCTTGACTTTGGTTCAAATTTCGAGAGAGCGCTTTTCCTCCGAGGTCAATCTCTATTGGATTGTAGTTGTCTCTCATCTTGACTTCCTCCCCCTCCTCTCCCTGTTTTTTCTATTTTATTTTTGTTTTTTACCCGCTTCTTACAGAGAAAATGAAATGTGATACTACAACTCGCTACATTCAGTCATTGCCAGCCTAGTTATCGCTTACCTACCCTCCTAGGTCTCTTCCACTACTCTACCAATACGGGCCACTATTCCCCTCTCTATTTCTTCCTCTCCCCCCTCTTCGTGAACCCTAAGGGTACCTTTGTCATTTATACTTCCTCTTTTTTTCTTATCCTTTTTTTTATTTCCCTCTTTTTTGATTTAGGTTTTTTATCTAGTCTTATGTTTTGCAGTCTTACCCCAACAAGTATCACTACCGCCACAATTCCCACATCTACCATCATATTCGTACTGTCATTACTACTGCCTCTTCATGTCTTCTCATTCCTAGGACTGTATATGTTCATCTTAGTAGATTCTTGTACCTCATAAGTTCTCGGCACTGAATACTTCTTTCCCTAACGTCTTAGCCTGTCCCCTCCAGAAGCGAGCAACATCTTTCGTCATCACGGTATTATATTTTTTTCCACAAATTTCCTTCTCTAATCCCCCTACCTACCTTGTGTCTTTAGTATTCAGTCCCAGTTTGCTAATACCACCTATCACTTGAACGATCTCTCCGGAAACAGCCCTACAGAGCACACCTTGGAATCAGTGCATCACCTCGGGATAGCCGTACAGGACAGTCAATACATTGTGTCTAAAATTCTCCCTACTGGATACATTTTATCCTTCGTTCCTTTTATCTTCCAACGGCCTCGAAGAGTGAACGTGCGCACGAGGTAGTCTCTACGTCGTCGATTTATGCAACATATTCCGATTCTAGCTCTACTTGACGGCGCGCAAGGTGGAATAGTGCTTCTTGGGCGACACGTTAATTGTCCGCATTCCTCCTGTGTGACTTTAGTTCACAAAACCGGTGCGCACGAGGAACTGCGAAAGATCAATAGAATAACCATCCACTCCGTGCTGGAAAATAGGTGGTGGTAGCTCGACAGCCTCTATTAAAAAGCCACTACCAATTTCACGTCGAATCCCTACAACAACCGCTTGTACCATGACTGCCGTCGCGTCCGCCTCAATGATAAACGAACATGAATCGGAGGAGTCCAGGGCAGATCACAGTCCTTCCCGCTTTACAGCAGTGAATGGAAAGGACCCTTTGGTATCTAGCACGCCAGCCTCTATCTCTGCGGTCCCCGGCCTAGCAAATGCCGACGAGGACTCCCGGGAACTCTCTGAGCAATGGGGAAAAAGCGGTTACGATGATACAATATCCCGATCTGAGGAGCAAGTCCGTGAGAATGGGAATCTCAAAGACGATCAAGAGGATCAACAATCGCAACGATCTCCCTCACAATGCGCCATATCGCTCATTAGCAGAAACAAGCGCAAGAGGTCAGGATCCGATACTCATGAAGACAACGCTTATTCCACCCATAAAAGTCCGAAGAGCCCAACCTCTCATCCAGACGATATTGCAGATCTAAATGCACGTCCATGTACCTCCAACGGGAGCGCATCATCTCAAACCGACCATGAATTCAAGAACACGCCCCCTGCAATGAACTCCAAGCCAGAGGGAAGTGAGGATTCGCGGACATCGGCAAACACTACATGGCATGAGTACGACGCTCAGTTAGTCAATCAAGCACAACGTGCGCAACAGATCGACGCGTCAGACGCCCAATTGGCGGAGGCACTCCAACGCGAGGCTCAAGGACATGATGCAGCTCAAAAGAACTGGAGTACGGTTGGTCGCTCGACAGGAGTGCCCGCACAGAATGAGCAGACTTCATCGTTGTCTGGGTTTCCTCAGGATCGATCACAAAACGCTGTGCAAGTAGCACCAAAGAGAAAACGTGTTTTTAGCAACAGGACTAAAACTGGCTGTATGACTTGCCGAAGGAGAAAGAAGAAATGCGATGAACAACACCCTGCATGTAAGTGCGAGCTGGGCCAAACTTTCCGTCGATTGTGTTTGTGCCTTAATCTGACCTCATCGTAGGCAACAATTGCATCAGGGGCGGTTTCCTCTGTGAGGGCTATTCTTCACGAAGCACATGGCAGAAGCCGTCGAGCGCAAAAACACCAGTTCCCTTGCAATCGAAGGAGGGCTATACCGACATCAGTGGCCAATACGTACATGACATCAGTCAACAACATGATCGGCAACAAAATTTGACTGAACAACTTGAAGCGGGGAAGATGCGGCCCATTATTGTTGATGATAATGACCGATCTGCTACACAATTCAACAATTCAAGCCCAACAGGTGTTGGTTCCAATCGTGGTTCATGGTCCAAACGGTCCTGGCCAAATACAAGCCACTCGACATATATAACAGATCATATCACGAAATCTGACTATCGAGACGTTCCGTCTATCCATGAGCTACCCCGCGAGAGTCATCCGAAGGCTGATTATCCGATTGTGCCACCGATCCGGGAGCTATCACACGGTGCTGCTCATGGTAAACCTGGGGTCTCACTTTTCCAAGGAGGAATCGACCAGCGGCCAGCTCTCGCTGGTAACATGGATACCAACAGTCCGCAGGCTCAGGCACGGATGGCTCTGAGCATTGAGCATCAGTTGTCTGCACGCACTGTTTCTGGCGAGGATACAGAAAAGGACAAAATGATACGTGGCGAACTCTATCGCCCCTTCGATATTCATCTTGTGGAAGAGAGAGAGCGATGCAAAGCCGCGTTGTGGCGGTTCAATAATGCCTGCAACCCTGTTTCTGGGTTAAGCACTAAGGAGCAGAATCGTCTCCTGAAAGAAATTTTAGTACCACCTGCTTCAGCGGTTAGTTCGCCCTCAGGGGTCGCCTCTCCTCGCCCAACGGGTTCCATCGGCCAAGGTGCTGTAGTTGAAGCACCTTTCCAATGCCACTATGGCTACAACGTTCATATTGGTGAGGATGTGATGATATCCGAGAGTTGTTTATTCGTCGATGATTGTCCTATCACTATCGGCGCCCACACATGGATCGGCCCTAGGGTGACTATTCTCAGTTCAATGGCCCATGCAAATATGCAGGAGCGTAAAGGATCTCAAAGCCGTTACCAAGGGCGCCCAGTTGCAATTGAAGAGGATTGCTACGTTGGTGCCGGCTGCACAATCTACCCTGGTGTTCGTCTTCGACGTGGAGCCTATGTTGCACCAGGTGAAGTTGTCAAATCCGACATTGTAGCTTATGGTTTTCAGGGCCTCAAACCTAGCTACATGTAAGAAAGCCTTCATCGCACTGCATTATATGGCGGCGTCATTTAAGGTTCGCGATACATACAAACTACTAGGCTTGTATTTTTGCAACTTAAGATGCTGGCCATACATGCACTACCGCTATCGTCCTCATTGTGTAAATTATTCTTTCACATCCATTTGCCTGGTCCCCCATCTTATTTGGAAAGCATCCACCTTGTACTACTCATCTTTTTCCTTCTAGGACCAATACTCTGACCGGCTCAGAAAACATGGTCCACGATGTATGTACGCAGGGCGTCACGGTTTCTCTTCTTATTCGAGCCACCTATTGGTATATAATTCATATTTCGCTCTGTTAAGATTTATTCTATTTTTCCCTGTTCGTATCATATATGTTGGACATGATTGATGTGATAAGTTGAATTAATGTCTGTATGCTTATAAGTATTCATTGCCGCGCCACCACATTCTCGACCCCATCAATATTTATTATATATTGGTGGCTTTGTATCTTTACTTATAAAATAATCAAACTACATATTGTGCTATGGCTTGATATCATATTGAATGAGTAACTTTGCTTCAGATAACACTCACAGAATCTAGCTTCTTTTTTCTTTGTAGTTCAATCAATGGCTTTTTTAAGTTTGACATTTGTCCGGTAGTTATCGTGGCCATGGTTCTATCACAATCCATGCCGCCAGTTCATTCTAAAGCCAATCCAAGAAATCAGGGACGAAATAGCTCACTATAATCCCAGCACCAGCCCGTAAAATCCCTTCGGTACTTTCAAAAGCCATTGACTTCAAGTCGAAGACGCCCGCCTTGGCGCCCGCGTGTATCATAGCATATTCACCACTAACTTGATAAGCAGCGATGGGAATATCCTGGGCAAGCTCTTTTGCGTCTCTGATAATATCGAGGTAGCTGCTTGCCGGCTTTACCATTATGATGTCTGCCCCTTCACTTATATCTCTCTGTATGGCGCGTCGAGCAAGCCCACGGCCTCCTGGTGGTAGCTGATAGCATCTGCGGTCCCCGAAAGATGGACAAGAGCCCGCTGCATCGCGGAAAGGCCCGTACAGGCACCCACTAAACTTGGCACTGTAGGACATCAGGAGGACACGGTGGGCCATCCCAGCTTCGATAAGTTTCAATTTAATAGCACGCACTCTCCCATCATTCATATCGGATGGTGCGACACAGTGGGCTCCAGCAGCAGCATAAGCCAGAGCAACATCCGAGATCCGATCCACAGATTGCGTGTTATCAAGGGTTCCATCTTCTCTAAGTATCCCACAGTGGCCGTGCGATGTATATTCACAAAGACACACATCTGTCACAACATAGAGTTGAGGGAATCGTGACCTGAGCAGGCGAATAGCTTGAACTACTGGCCCAGAGGGATCATCTGCAGCTGTACCCAGTGCATCCTTTGCAGATGGGTGTAATGGGACCCCAAACAGGATGACTGAACGTAGCCCTTTGTGGACTAGGGGCTTCAGAAAGGTAACTAGACGGTTCAATCCTCGACGGTGCTGACCGGGGAGAGAAGGGATAGGCGTCTCTTCATCAGGATTATCGGTAATGAAGAGGGGATAAATAAGCATTTCCTATCGCACGGGGTTAAAACGGCTGGATAAAGGGAGAAAACTGAGAAAAGTAGATGAAAAAAGGAGATGAAGGGGGAGTGCGAACCTTGGTCAATTGCCTTTCAGCTTGCCATGATCTGCTCAGCGGATGGCTATAACCGGAATGAAGTTGACTGGAAATATCACCAGATATGCTAACACTTGTGGCAGCTGTACTTGTATATGAGCGTGCAGTAACTTGTGATCGGACATGGGATATTTGGGAGCTTCGTTCATCATGTGAGTCTCTGAAGGCAAGATCAGAGACGAGGTTAGAAAATGACATGGTGGCGATGGGTGCCGCGAAGTATAAAGGGGGACACCTGTGTCTATCCTAAACCACTTGCTAGGTAGGTACCAGTCACTGGGATGAGATGAGGTTGATAGTCAACGATCAGTCTGGCGAGTGTCAAGGTGCACTCTCTGCGATGCTTGGTCTGGCAAGGATAGGTTGTATAGCAACAGTAGAAGCGAGTTTATTATAGATTGAGGTCTCGAGGCGCTACGTACGGATAAGATCGGTGGTTCAGAAAATGTTCTTCAGATCTTCGGAGTTATAGCCGAGGGATACCATGATCTGTCTGGGTAAATCGCTGGATGTGTAAGACAATTGTCGAAGGTTACCATTGGCTAAGTGAAGAGGGTAGTGTGTACTGTATGGGGTACTATCACGTATGTACATTCTATTCTACGTACTGTGTACTGTGTGTACTCCACCCCGGTCCTTCCCTCATCATATTATCTTAACGCCTGATTACTTTATTATAAGGCCAAAGACTTACAGTTTACATGATCTATTTTATATATGCTCGTACGGAGTACGGCCCTTAATTAGTTGATACATGATGTTACGTGGTATTTTATCGGAAGCGTAATGAATCAGTACCTCCTGTACGTATAGCCACAGAACATAGCATTCGTGGTCCTACTCCCCAGCCGTACCTGTACATATACACATGTACAGGGGTCTGCTAGAGGTTATTAGTCGATTTTCCGATCACCTGATATGTGTTACGCCTGGGTATTCGGGCTAGAGCTCCGCGACCAGTTAGCTGCGCTTGCGTAGCGAGGGCCAAACGAGAGTCAGAATCCACTGAGACTCGATAACAAAGGTGCCGTGAGGGTGACCTAATCCAAGGTCCAGTTCTGGTGCGATAACTAATCCGTGAATGGCTCAAGTCCAAAAGATTAGGCCTACAAAATATATATATATATGTTACGCCTGGGTATTCGGGCAAGAGCTCTGTGGGTAGTTAGTTGTTCTTGTGTAGCGAGAGTCAAACCTGAACGATGAATCTGATATGATTCTGTGGCAAGAGACGATAGTTCCGATGAGGTGACCTAATCCAAGATCTGAATAATATACAATAATATCCCGTGGATAGCTCAATGTTACAGACCCTTGTCTAGTGCACTTATCGGACGCAGGATCAGACGGCAGAACCAGTGACACAACAGTCAGGGAACTAGACACTAGCGCCAGGAAAGGAAAAGCACCAAGGAACATCTACTTATGTGAGTAACTATTGTATATAGATTATATGATCAAGAATATATTACTAATAAGCTATATTATGGCAGCACTATAATCAGAATATGTCAGTAACATAATATAATATACCGGCAACATAATATATTGTGACAGTAATATAAGAGACAGGAATATATAAAGTCACTTACTTATATACTTAGTTTAGTTCTTTATGATTAATTTAAATTATTACTTAAAATATATTTTCAGAATTAAGTTAGTAATTAACTTATTTACACTTCCTTAACTACTAAGTATATATATTTAGTAGGCCTGGCCTTTTAGACTTAAGCTATTTATAGACAGTACTATAGTCTATATATTATTAGACCTTGGATTAGATTATCTTATCAGACTCTAGATAGGATTATACTTAGAACTATTGTTATTTATAGTTACAGAATTATATTGGATTTATTATTTAAGATTAGTCTCTATATTATATAAGGTAGCTAACACTTATAGAGCTTTTAGCTAAATATCTAGATATAATATATTAATTACTAGTCTATATAAGTTAAGTCTTGTATAAAGTTAAAACACTATGATATTATTACGCCTGGGTATTCGGGCAAGAGTTCTATAAGTGTTAGCTGCCTTGCGTTGCGGTACTACTATATCTAAACAATGAACCTGAAGTGATTCCCAATACAATCCTATCCAGGATTCAGCAGTATAATCTAATCTAAGGTCTGATGACGTGCAACAATGTTCCGAAGGTAACTCTAGTCCAAAAGACCAGGCCTATTAAGTGTGACGGCCGATCAATATGATGATATATTGGTGCTATCCTATCTAGAATTTCAAGCGTGAGGGGAAAGAGAAGGAAATGTTGTGGAGAAACACAAGATGTGTGAGAGGAAATAGCACGCTATGTACAAACAGCGCAAACACTGATGAATTTGTCACATTATCTCTTCTTCTAGGCCTGACTGCCCTCAGTCAGGGGTATATTGTCTTCTGGATGGTCTTTAATAAATTAATCCTTCTCAGAAGCTTTAATCTATAGAGCTAAACATTTTGGAGGTCCTGGGCAGTTAGGATTCTTGTTATAGTAATTATGGAGTAAGAATACTATATTTTTAAAATCCCCTGCAGGATATTATATCTAATCAGCATTATTAGAGTCAAGTTATTTAGTATAATAAGCAAGGTATTCTAGGTATATACAGCTCGCGAGTATCTCCTCTACTTCCCACTTAGTATAGTTATTTACCTGGATTAACTCCAGGGTATTCTGGATCTATCTTAATAAGAAATCAGTTTTCACTCTATAGTATAGCTTCTCAGGGTAGAAGACAGGATATATACAGATATTCTCTAGAAGTAAGATCTTAAATAAATAACCTATCTTCTTAACTATTAGCACTGGGCTATACTTAGACTTGTTAGGCCCGCGGGTTGGGCCGGGTTTTTCAGGTTTTGCAACCCAGCCTGTTGGGTTTGGGCCGGGTCAAGATAGTATACAAACCACCCATGGGTCAAAATATATATATGTGAACCACCCGCAGGAGCCCACAGCTGTAGATCCTTTCCTAGTAGAGCAATAATTTATATTCTTGATAGAATACAGTCTCTTAATACTGTAATTTATTTATATCACTGTAGGTAAATAATATATTTACTATATTTTATATCTTGGCAACCCGCGGGTTAACCCGTTGACCCATGGGCTGGAGTAGTCAATAACCCGGCCCGGTATGGACTTTCGTATACATAAACCCAGCCCATTACTTGGCGGGTTGGGCCGGGTTGGGCCGGGTTTCGTGGGCTGGGCCTAACAAGTCTAGGCTATACTATTCTTTAGCAAGTTTTCAGAATAGCTATTTCTAGTACTAATTTTATGCATCCATAAATATCTTATCTTTTATCTGAAAATTAATCAGTTAATAATAGTGGTTTGCTTAATATATCTGTTATTTCTAAGCACATTGTATATTAGTATAAGTAAAATCCTAAACTTACTTTATTTTCTCTATAAAAGCTTGAACTTGTTCACGAGTCATGGTAGTTAATCTAGAAGTCTATAGAGAGATCTAGTTAAATAAGATATAAGACTCATAGCCATATTCTATTATAAATAAAGATAAACCAGTAATTTTATATAGCAGCACTATAGTAGTAAAGTCAATCAGCAATAGCAGTTCTGACTAGTTATTCTGGAAATAACTAATAAACAGAATTAGCTGCTATACAGTATATTAATTAATAATTTCTATCTATCTATCTATCTGTAAATAATATATAGTAGAGAGCTTTAGCTTTACCTACAGAATTCTATAGAATTTATTCTAGAAATTAGTAATAAACTATCTTCCTTAGTCTAATATAATTATATCTAGCAGTTTAGTTTAAAAGTAGATTTATTTAATAAAGAGCTTTGCCATCTCCTGTAAGATAGTTATTTTAAAATATAAAATAGAGATAGTATACTTATTTAAATAATCTACTATTATAAAAACTATATTATATCCATGTCAGTCCTTGGAAAAGATACAGAAATCTATAGAAATATACTGCCAGGGATACTTAAAAATAGAAAGAGATTATAGCAGCCCTAGAAATAGATTATAGTAATTATTCTTATACTTATAGATTAAGCAGTTATCTATATAATATTTAATATTATAACTCCAGATATCCCAGTAATAATAGTACTTGACCAGGCCAAGTATCTTAATATATCCAGAGTATACAGTAGAAGATTACTAATAGATTTTATTTAGTAAGTATATTTATAAATCTCTATTCTCCAGTATTACTAGACAGTTATAGAATAGTAGAAGATTATTTTCTAGAATATATTTTTATTTATTCTGATAGATAAGGTCTTATAGAGTTACTAGTAAGTTATAGATATAGTTTACTGTAAATATATAATTAACTATCTAGAGTATATTCTATACTAAGATAATCTCTATATTCTTAGAGATAGAAAATATCCTAGATTTAAGCTATTTTAATTTAAGTAGAATCTACTTTTAATACTGATCTATTAGTAAACTATTACTTTTTTAGTAGATTAGTATATCTATAAGAGTATTTTGCTTTTCAGAATAATATTTAATAATAAAGTAATATTAGAAGAGAATCTTATTCTAATAAGTCTAATATATATTTAGTTACTTAGTTATTATAAAATATTTAAAAATATAATAGTTAATAAGAATCCTAAAATAGTCTCTTCTCTATAAGCTCTTAAGCTTAAGCTATTATTTCTTTAGAGCTTAAATAATAGCTAATATTTCTTTATTATAGATATTATAGTTATACTCTATAGTTAATATAGTCTTTAAAAAATAGATAATTAGATATTATTTATTAGTAATTAACTATAAGAGTACTCCAGTAATAATTTTATTTATAATATCAGTCTCTATATAAGTAGATAGAATAGGATTATAGTATATAAGTACAGGAACTAATATTAAAGCTTATTTTAAGATTTTAAATATTTTCTAGCAGACTATATTCTATATAAAGATAATATCTTTCTAGATAAGCCTAGTTAATACTTTTATAATCTAACTATAGACTTTTATAAATTATTAATAGAAATTATAAAATTCTAAGAATAATTAGACTCTATAAATAGTTATAAGAGTCTACTATTTAAGAATAATAATAATCTTAATAGAATCTATACAGATTCTATCTATAATAATAATAAAGTCCAGAAATTTGGTTCTTATAATATAAAACTTATATTTATAGATTATAGTATAAAGATCTATAACTTATAATTATTCTAATACTTAATAAATATAAAGCTTATATTCTGTCTTATTCTTACTATAGATAAAGATATTATTAATATAGATAGTAATAAACTTATTAAGAAAATCTATAAGTACTTTATTAATTAGATACTAAAATATAGTAAAACTATTAGTAAGTCTAAAAGATAGAACTTAATATTTAAAAATATTATAGTAAATATAAAATATAGTAAGATTCTTAGATTCAGAATCTATATAGATATAGTAAAATCTCTAATAAATATTTAGTTTTAAAAAAATCTTTATATACTTAAGATAATCTATTATTTTATTAATAAGTAAAATAGAATAGAGATCTTTTCTTATTAAGATATTTAACTTATAG